CTAGCCGTAGATATACCTCGCTCTAACCTAAGATTCTCCTACCTCCGGGCGGTGCTACGGAGCCGAAACCTATACTATAAACTAATAGATTTACCTTAAGGTAAATTTGCGTACCTCCTGCCTATAATAGAAAGGAAGATACTACCCGTAGTACGAGAGCAGACGTAGCGCTACGAGATAGTATTATATATATACGAGGTAGGATAGGCTCCTATATATAAAACTAATAAAAGGCTCTTAAGGCGAAGTAAGAGAGCATTATACGACTCTCTACTACGATTACCTACCCTTGTCCGGCTATATAGAATAGCCGTAAAACTGCTACAACCTACTACTCCTTAGGTTTAATATATTAGATAGACCTAACGGTAGCGGATGCTCGCAACTGTTATCCTACGCTAATATAGTCCTAGTAGTTCCGTATTAAAGTAGCGGGTTATAGTACTCTAATAGCGGCTATACTACCTCGGTAGAAGACGTCGTAGTGTAGATAGAAGAGTAGTCGCTCCTCTAAGTACGTATATACTACGTCGAGGGGATACCCGACTAAGCGTTCTACTACCTACTATACCGCGTAGAAAGGGTATAGAGAGGTCCTAGCAGTTGCTCGTGCTAGTGCATTATAAGGTTGCCGAGATAGTGCTTACACGTCCTTAGGATCTAATATAGCTAATATAGTAGCTGTAGATCGTTAATGCCTTGTTGTCGATTAGTAGAAGGGAGATACTCCTACTCGACTCTAGAACCCCTAACCCTAACCCTATAGTTACTATAATTGCTCTTATTACTTACTATAGTAGTTATAGTAACTATTATTAATAGCTATAGTAGCTATAGTAACTCTTATAATAGCTATAGCGACTATAGTAACTATTATTAGTTATATAACACTTATAACTATAAATTAAAGGTATTTAGAGTTACTAAAGATATAAACGCTTAGTATAGCCTACGAGTTACGCTAAAACGAGATATATAAAACTATCGAGCGGCTTTGTAAAGTAGAAACTCTACGAAGATAGGACTTGTAGGGGTAGTATCTTTTGATTACATAGGCGTATTATTTACGAGTATGCATGCGGCGCATGCTGATACCGGTCAAACGTCTCCTTGCAATGACCGAGCACGATGTTGCCCTGCGTTCGCTGTGTCCCCGTTAGCAACTTGAACGTGCGACAATGTAGTTATGAACCTACCTTGAGAAGGCCCTTGATCATCTGGTGGCTGCGACACCAGTCATCATGGTCTCGAGCGAGCCATCCTTGCGGTACATCATTCTCGAAGTTCTCCTTCACGTGATATTGGTCGGTGGAGAACACCCACGTGCCAGACTGTGGCAAGTTGACTTGCATTATACAAAGCCCAGGTGTATGGCCGGGCGCATGGCGGATATTGATACCAGGAGCTAGCTCCAAGAAATCACCATAGATCGGCTTCCAATTCAGATTGAGGTCCAGATCCTTTGGTAAGTATACGCCAATATCAGTCTTGGTCGCCACTGAGAAGTAAGCATGCTTCAACTCTTTCTCGTGGACATAAATTGGCACGTTAGTGCCCTTAAAGTGCTCCAAGCTATCGAGAGTCAGCCACCTGTAAGTACTCTGAGTCAATAAACTCACCCTCCAGCATGGTCGAGATGGAGATGGCCCATGATCACAGCTTTCACATCCTTGACGTCGTGCCCTGTGAGCTTGATTTGCGCCTCCAGCTCCTGTTCAGGCGAGTAGTCGACTTGCGCGAAGATATCGTTGAGCGGAGCGCCCCATACCTCAGGGTAGTCCTTGCCTGCTCCGGTCTCAAACAGCACCAGACCCTCGGTGGGATGTTCGATCAACACAGACACTACGACCAGCTTTCGTCGTACCCTTTCCTGGTTTGGATTCGATTTTGTCGATGTGCCGCCGCCTCGGAGGAAGAAGCCATCGTCTGCCTCCAGGTACCCGCAGTGAAGCAGCCACATTTTAGTGTCCGGAGGACATTGATTGACAACATCGAGACCGTAGGGAGTTGATGTAGCCATATTGAGTCGATACTGCTGATATAGTGTCAAGTAGTACTATGTATGCTGTAGGACAGACGAGCGTGCACCTGCTGTAGTATTCTATGTGCATCGGCATCTGGGGTCATCAGGCGTGAGGGGATGGCTGCGCTGGTGAACGGCCATAAGGAACCTCCAAATGCACGAAGAACGTCATTGATAACTTCGTCCGCCGCAATCTTACCAACCTAAGTAAGAAAGCCGAGTGAGTTGGATACGTTATTCAAGCACTGGCAAATCTCGACTCAACGAGGAGCAGTCCTCCAGCTTACGCCAAATGACCACTCAGCCGGAGTCTGACATCGCGTCAAACTTTCTTGACACACTTCCTTTGACAGGATGTAACAACATCGGAGGGAGACATATTCTCCCATGCTTGCTCTCCCACCGTGCCGAACCTGGCCCTTTGGATGCCAGACCCATCCATCTATTGTGCAACTCCTGCGCAAAATAATTGCTGTAGTACCATGTGGATCCAGCGAAATGGTGCTCTTGGTCGATGACACCGGCCAATGAACCCGCAAACTCAGCATTCGGACCATGATTGAACACAGTATCCAGCACGTCAGGCGGCCATACCCGATCCATGTAGATGGGATGAGGAGCGTAAACATGTCGGAATTCATGTTCTGCTACTATGGTTGGTGCGAACATCTCGGCTACCATAGCAGACCCATGCTTGTTCTCGGTATGCATTTGCAGGAGCAGGCGGCGTGACAGACGGTTAGTCAGGATGACAGAAGCTCGTGGCTCGTTTCGGAGATTTGGAGTGTCGTAGTCGATGATATAGTTACGCCACACCCAATCTGTGTACGAGACATTGGAGAGCGGCAGGGAAGTAATGAAGTCAGTATTATGGTGCTTCTCCGAAGCCACCTTCGGTTCAGACTTCGACAGCTGCGGCACATCAAATTGGAGAGAAGGCATCGTCTTGTGACGCGAATTTGTCAACATTCGTTAGCAGATGTCCATAATGACCTGTGTATCTGACAACGAGCTCCCAGTTCCAGACGTGGTTGATGGCCGGGTTGGCGAGCACCAACTGTTGGAGGGGCATGTAAGAATGAAAGGAGATACTACAGAGATCAGCGACTTCGTCGTACACTCTGCCACGAAAGCACTCACACTTACTCGTAAGCACCAACGTCCGGATAGGCGGCTTCCATCTCAGGATAGCTCCACGTGCGGGTGATGGCATGCAGGTCTTCGGGAACTCTCAAGATCACTAAGAGATCCTCCCTCCGGTCTCTGTATTCGTATGCAAGCGAGTCATTCCTGATATGCAATAGCACAGTAACCTGATATTCAGCTGGGAGCGGCACAGAAGTCTCGGCCACAATAGCACGGATGTTTCGGACGATGTCCAGAGTCCATACACAGTCATCCCATGCCCGGATCACTATTGCTGTTCCGGCGGTTGTATTCTGAGCTACGGCTCGATGAGTTGGCGTCTCGGTCAAATCAGTGGATTGGGCGACAATCTCGTACGGGCTCCACCGCCCTACCCTGTCGAGACATGTATTCAGGGGAAGTCCCATGCGTTCAGCTGATCCCAAAGCACTCACTGGAAAGTGTGCCGCTGGCCCGCTCCTGACAGCATCAATCACGGAGCAGGACAAAGCAGATACTCCTCCACACGTGGCAAGCACGACTGATTCATGTCGATCTCGGCGGGAGTCCGTCAAGTTACTGAAGGCACCAAACGTCGCGAGACGATCAACGCTACTGAGAGGCCAGGTGTTCTGTGTTGTGAGGTAATAGAAGCTCCTGTCCTTTGGCAGCAATCTCCACCAGAAGTGGAAGCGTGACCCATGTCGTCCATATGCTTCTGCAAGATGTTGTGACCCTGCCCAGAGCAAGATCCATGTGAATGTCAGGATGATCAATGCTCGCGCAGTAAACCTTTGCATATACAGCCGCATGTATTATGTTGAGATGTAAAGCCGATAGCAGTGCAACTGGCCACTGTTTTACCACATCACAACATAGCGCAAAGAGGAACATTACGGGAGTTGCGTGGATCGGCAGCGTTGTTCTCCGAGGGCCTTGGAGCCGAGTTAGCACTCAGCACCAAGCCTAAGGCCTTGGCGAATCCTTCGCCCCCTATTTTTGGGGTGGGAGATCTTTGCTCCATTTTCATTGCGGTCGTAGCTTCTGCCCGGTATGCGTTCGCGCATATTGTAGCGACACATACGGCATCAGTGGGTTGGATGAAGATCATCGACACGCAACATGCTAGATAATCCATTGAGGACAGTCGCACGGGCGGGCCTGGACCACCACATCCGCAAGGACGCAGTGCGAGCTGACTAGTGACGAGTCCAAAGTAACCAGGAAGATCGCATCAAAACGAATAAGAAGACATGTTGGTAGTGGCATTTCGGAATCTTCGTCACTGTACGGTCATTACATTGCTTTCTTGGAAGTTCTCGCCCATATGCTTGTGGTTGGGAATATGCTGGACCACCGCCGCAAGTGGGTGGCTGGCCAGAGCCATATCGCCATATGCGCTGTGATGTGATGGAGAACGCCACATCTAGCTGAAAAGACCGAGCGTGTGCAATGCATCGTTTTCGCGAGACATTTATCAGACTCTCTGTTATATCGGCGGCAACATTCGCTGCTTAGCGAGCTCCACCATCACACCATGCAGCGATTCAGCGCTGTCCACGAAGCCGTGCCAGCCGTACTTCCTGGCTTTGTCCATTCTACATGGTAGTCATCAGCTCTTGCAATCATCACTTCAGGTGTATACCAAACATACTTGGTGGCCCACGACCATGACGTAGTGAGTGAGAATTGTAACGCTGCAAACATGCCACCCGGGCCGGCAAGCGGCTCGCTCTTGAGCTCATGTTCTTCCTTGATTGTCTTCCACGCTGCCCGGGTGTGCGGACGTTGAGACCACTCTATAAGATCGAAGCTCGAACGACAGCGTCCTTTAGGTCCATATCTAGTGTAAGGTCAGCAGCGTCACAGAAACGGCACCAAATGACCAGGTTTATGCCTACCCTCGTGGCCTGACAGGCATCTCGACAGTCCGATATAGGCTCTCATCCTCTTGTGGCGGGGACCACTCGATGCCAAACCACTCCGCAATCCGTGGCCAGGCAGCCATCCATGTAAATTCCGACCCATCCACGATGTTGAAGCGCTGATTGGCAGTATTATCTGTCAGGACGACCCATTCATGAAACAACGAGTTCAGTACTGCGGATGACATCGGCATGATCTTCTCCCAGGCTGCAGTATCTCCTGGAAAAGCCAACAGCTGGCCGAGTTGACGCTGAACGGATGCATATACCGCCAAGGGATATATGGTCGTCATGTCAGAAGCCTCTACGGCACCAATGATCCAAGAAGGCATGGTGACATTGTAGGATGTGCTATGATGGGTACGACAGTGCTCGAACAGGATGTCTTCCTGGTCGAAGTAGAAGAGTGGTCCCAGATTAATTCGTGGATCAGCTTCATCGAATGGTACCTTTGCTGGACCTTGATGACCCTGATAGTTCTTCAAGCCTGTCTGTAGAAGAATCCGCTTCGGTCTGATAGATGCAAGATCTAAAGCTGTCAAGAAGCTTTTGAAGATCTTGCCTGAGCAGCTCTCTACTGTCAGACAGGTAGGGAAGTCAAAGCTCAGCTTGATGCTTACCGTTAACGTCTGCCAGCTTCTGCGCACTATCTTCGCTCGCTCCGCTGTACTTGCGCTCTTCGGCACTTAGCTGTACATAGCCAAAGAAGAATACAACGTCTCTGGGTTTCTCAGTCATTGGCAAGGTGCCTGTGGCTATCTTGGAGGTCTTCGACTACTTACGCCCGCACACTATGCTCGGAAAGTGTAGCTGCATTATCTTCGGGCGTCTTCAAGAGGTCCATTGGAACATGCTTCACCGACTCGGCAGTGGCCTTCGGCGGTCGTCGGCAAAGAGCAAAGATCTTATTCCATCGTGTCGGAGTCTGTACGAGTATATCGACCATAGACTGTCCAGACATGCCACTTGCACCGACGACAATGGCTGATAAGCCTCGGATATTGTCGTCCAGAGATGGTAGACCATGGCAGTGGCCTTGCGAGTATACTAGCTGCTCTCTGGCGTGCTCAGCAGTCATGTTGACAGACTTTCCTCGCCACTACACCGCGTGAACATGTTTATCAGTTTATGCTCATAACATGGTGTGGTGATGATGTTGCAACGCAAGGAGTGGAGTGCCGAGGCAAGTCTCATCAGCCTAAAGTGAACGCTGGGATTTGGTATATGGCCAATCAAGGAATGCGTGATTACAGGACAAGTGCTGTGCTATGAGAGTATATTGCGCTATCAAGATACAGATATCTACGCCAAGAGTGACAGCAGCAAAGCGCTCCTCCTCTACCATTACGCCGACGCCAACCACTGTCGATTCTTAAGCTTGAGTGGGCTCATCGACCTCGGCGGCTTTACCTTGGACTGGCGGACCTCACAGAATACAGAACTGATTGTTTGGCGGGCTGGCGCAGACGATGCACGTGGGTTGCGAGCTAGAGATGATTATACATCTCCCTTAGCTTCTGAACGGTCGTCGATACCAGATGTCAGCTAGTCGGTCCTATTGCCTTCAGTCTGAGCTAGAAGGTTTCGCTGAAGGTCAATTGGCGCAGACGAGGCCATGTATCTCTGATTATCAAAGAGATCACCTGGAGCTGTCGTGCTGCTGGATGGCATTAGGTTGAGTTCGTCGTAAAGTGGTTTTTTTTTGGCTTGTGGATGGTTTTATGGTTTCGCGACGACACGAAGTCTGCATCCATACAGTCCACCGCCTGTCGAAGTCCATACACCAGTGGAACAACCCGAGGGGTTTGTATGGCAGCAGTCAACGGGTGGCAGGGAAGTTGCCAAAAGAAACCGACCGCCGTATAAGAGTCACTAGTTCTGCGGGAGCAGAGAGTTATTGAGCTACGCGGGAGATGGGTGATTAAGCACACGACGTATGTGAAGTAGCAGTGGGAACATTACCACGCTGCGGCCAGTCACTTTGTACTTTGTCGTGCTTGTCGTGGTCCTGACTGCTGCTTGGACTAGAACCTAATTGGTACTGGAGGAGAATGTCAAGCTCGGCGAGGTCTGCTTCGAAGGAGGGTGTTTGCCACCAGGTCGTGTCGAAATCGGTGTCGCTGAGCCATGGGTCGAGTGCGTCCTGGCTGTCACTCGCAGCTGTAGGCTTGGAGGCCGTATATGGATGTGCCTGTGCAGCAAGCGAAGGTAACGCCACATCTCCGGTCCATACTGAAATGTCCGGAGCTGTAATGGCGTCCCGTTGGTGACATGCGATGCCCGCGTGAGGGTCGCCATAGTACCCATACGGAGTGCATTATTGCACGGCCGTAGCATCGTAAGAGTTCGGTCGCTAAACATCGAACGAGCCTGGCGTGGTCCAGCCATATGTGTCGCATTCGAACATGACTGGAACGCCGCTGTCGTGCCATCTTCGAGGAAGAGGCAGCCACTGTCGAGTGCCGAGAAGTCCGATACTTCGCCGACATCCCGCAGGGCTTGATCGCATTCGCGGAGTGCGAGGTCTTCGTTCCATGCTGGGTCATAGAACAACAGACCTGTATCGTTAGAATGCAGATCATTGTGGTTAATGGGGTTAGGCGGGAGGCGGTCTGCGCCTCCCGAGGGAGATCGGAAGTGTTGATGGCTGGCAAAGGATATGCCAGCAGGGTGGAGAGGTCAGCCGGCAGGAGCTGACCAGCCGCTAGGCCGCGAGGAGGTTTGTAGAGGACAAAGGAAAGAAAGCAAGTCCGAATGTCGTCCTCGCCAGTCTTAAATCATCGACGCTGGCGGCGCGTGGTGCACCACCAGACACTGCAGATATGCCTTAAGTGCCGCAGATGATGCACTGTCATTGGTTGGATGTATGCAGTGGGTCAGCCATGACCATGTGTGGTGGTATCAGACATGCCCCGAGACTGAGGCCGCCCATGCAAGTAAGATCCGTGAAAATGGCATTGTCCATACAGTCTACGGCGTTCAATGGCAAGGCAGCACGTGTCTGAGCCTGTATCATACTTCATCTCACGGCCATGTTGTGTGCATTAAGTCGGCAGGCTGCGCTTCGTTTATATCAAGCATCGAATAGCGGTAGGGGACTTGGAGATGACAATTTTCGAGCCTATCTTTCTACCCATGCTTGCTGATGATCTTGTCATTTATGCGGAAGACAACATCTTGCCAACCTCTTTCATCTCCTCTGGCGCCATGCCATCGACCTTCTTCTGCAGCTTGCCATCCTTGTAGATGAGAGCACACGGCAGGTCAGTGATGCCATGGGCGTCCTGTGACAGAGTCATTAGCCGCCTCCTAGAAAGACTGCTTTCCTACACTTCTTTCACGTACACGAGCCCTGGGTGCCTTAGCAACGTCGAACTGGTAGCATGCTACCTTGCCCTCGAACTTCTTGGCATACCTAGCCAGTGTCAGACGTGCTGTTGTTGCTCCAGTCGAGGATGCAAGTTTGCTTACTCGTCCGCGTTCGGTGGTGGTGCCCCCTCGTAGGCCAACACGAAGACATACTTGCCCTCGGTCTTGATGGCCTGGTCGAACTCTTCCTTGTTGCTGATCTCCTGGTGAGACATGATGCTTGTTAATCTGTAGAATTGTGGTGAAGGAATAGTGATACGAGAAGCAAGTCGGATTGTCGAGCAGATACGGTACCTTAAGATCACTTACACCCATCCCGCGTATGTGGATCAACATATGGCGGTGAAGAACCCCTCTGCCCCCTCGTTGATGCAGGTACGAAGTCTATCGATGGACTTCATTTTGCTAAGGAAGCTTTCGTGGTAAAGTTGCGAGCATAAAAGGTTGAGTCGACTACGCCACGAGTTCCGGACTTGGCGTTCCGCGTCCCTATTCTCCGAGATAACGCATGTTCGAGAGCTTTCGTGTAGACCGCTTGTCCAAGACTCAGAGTGGAGGGGGACGGAGAGGCATGAGGCAAGATAGACAAGACAAGCTCCGGCGGAGTATTGCGATACACTACTTGGCCGGGACCTAAGCTTACCAAGTGTGAGGTATCTTGTGGTGCAGACCACCGTGAGCCGCTGGTCGAAGTTGTTAGATGCACCACTCCAGTACACTCCAGTGTACGGCGATGAGGATCTCTGCCATGTGCTACTACACAACAATCCTGCCTTCGACGTGCTCCTCTCTCGCATGTGTGATGCTTGGAGCAACGGAGACCGAGTCGATCGGCCATTAGAGAAATCGCGATATGCACGGACCATTGCGCGTCTCACGCGTGCTTTCTGACATCATCCGCGTTGCTGCCTGAGACTTTCTCACGACGACATCCGTTCAAACACGTCTGCATTCGGGTCAGTGACAACGAATGGCGAGTGAGGCATGCGATCTACAGACACTTACGATAGAGACACTTCTATCATCGGCAACACCCAGATACCAGATAGCATAGTCAGCATTCGCCACCTCAAGACCACCACACGCTAAGATCTGGCGCTAGTCGATGACCCCTGCGTTGCGATAGATCTGGCATGTGCATGGACGGCGGAGGCTTGCCACATTATTATCCATGAGCAGTAGGTCAGCACTTCACGTTTGCAGTAACCCTCTCCTCAAGCACTACAACATCTCTGCTTCTCCCCAAAAGTGAATGCTGAAGCTGGGCTTGAAAACACCTCCCATTCTGAGCGGCGGAAGATCGGCGGAACATGAGCCGACCGAGAAGATCTGCCGCAGGGCGCACTTGTATGCCTTCTCCATCTAACTTCCATGTTTGCCTCCTGCCTCTGAGCCTTGCTGACTCAATGATACCGAAGCAGCCACTGGAGAGGCCAAACCGCGAACACAACCAGCGCGAAGGTCGAAAACTTCGGTCAACGGGAATAGCTCGCCTGCCGTTCCAAACACATCAGACGCCGAAAGCGAGATCGAGGGGGTTATATCAGTCGCTCTACCACGGCGAAGGACTCTGAAGGAGGTGTCCATACCCGCCATGGCGCGCTCCAGCATCAAGAAGGAAGTCAATGCGACATCACCGACCGAGACTTCCGCTTCTTCCATCAGCAGCGCTTCTCGTGCTCAATCAGCCGACTACGAAACCCCTGGTACAACGCCTGGCGCATCAGTCAAAGCCGACTTCTCTAACAAGCGCAAGCGGAGCCAACTTAGCAAGCATGTCATCCAGATCGACGATTCCGACGACGACAAGGAGGACGCGGACTTTGCGCTGGCCAAGCGGCTGCAGGAAGAGGAGTACAAGAAAGAAGAGCCAACGCTGAACCAGTATCAAAGAATGTTCAAGGTCGAAGACTCAGACGATGAAAGTGTGCTTAGTGAGCCACTGTCGGTAGAGTCCGAGGATTCGATGCCTCTGGCCAAACGTGCGAAGAAGTCCTCTGGTCTGCAGCATGAATTGGAGGCTGCGCACAAGGGCAAAATGGTCGCGCCTCCCGTGCCAGGCCCGAGCAAGAGTAGACATATCTCCACGCCAGTCCGCAAAGCTCGAGCTCTCGCACGCCGGTCCATCGGTCAGACACTCAAGACGAAGGTCGAAGATAGCGACTCCGACTTGACCTTGCTTAGTGAGCGTGACAGCGAGGATGAGTTCGTGGGAGAGGAGTCCGAAGCCATCTCCTCAGGCCTTAGTGATGCCGAGTCAGATATGCTGGACAACTCCACGCGTAGCTCAACGGCCGCCGCAAATGCTGCACCTCGCAATACATTATCTCGCAAGCAAAGTCGTGGTCGCGGTAGACTCGCAGGCCGTGGACGTCGCTTTGGCAACATCACTGCTAACGATGCGGTCAATATTGCTGAAGAGCTCGGCGAGATTCTACTCTCGCGGAAGGAGAAGGAGAGGAAGAAGCTGGAGAAGTCTCATCCTGGTATCAAGACCATGTGGGACGAGCTTGGCAACATCACAATCATCAAGCCAGTGCCCGCACTACAGCCAGAGTCTATCAATCGCAAGCTCAAGCCATTCCAGCTCGAAGGCCTGGATTGGATGGTGCAACAAGAGAAGACGCACTACAAGGGTGGTCTGCTTGGCGATGAGATGGGTATGGGCAAGACAATTCAAGCCGTCTCGCTCATCATGTCCGACTACCCGCAGAAGCAGCCTACGCTGGTTGTCGTGCCTCCGGTCGCGCTCATGCAGTGGTCGTCGGAAATCAAGGAGTACACTGATGGCAAGCTTAATGTGCTTGTCTACCACGGCCAGAACAACAAAGTCAAGGGCATGTCCGTCAGCGCGCTGAAGAAGTTCGATGTTATCATGATATCCTACAACAGTCTGGAGTCGCTGCATCGCAAGGAGACGAAGGGCTGGAGCCGTGGCGAGAACATCATCAAGGAGGCATCGCCGATTCATGCCATCCACTTCCACCGCCTGATTCTGGACGAGGCACACAGCATCAAGTCTCGCCAGACTGGAGTTGCCAAAGCCTGTTTCGCACTGACCGGAACGTACAAGTGGTGTCTCTCCGGCACACCAGTACAAAACCGCATTGGCGAGTTCTTCTCCCTTCTCCGCTTCCTCGAGGTCCGTCCATTCGCCGACTACTTCTGCAAGCGCTGTCCATGCAGCATCCTACACTGGAAACTGAACGAGGATCACATGTGTGACAGCTGTAAGCATTCTGGCATGGAGCACGTCTCAGTCTTCAACCAGGAATTGCTCAATCCGTTGACACAATCCGAGGAGCCCGAGGAGAGGTCTGCTGCTATGGACAAGCTTCATATGATTACTGCTCGTATTATGCTCAGGCGTATGAAGCGCGACCATACCAGCAGTATGGAGTTGCCGCCGAAGGAGGTCATTGTGCATAACGAGTGAGTCTTGCCACTCTACACGACACACGAGAAACGGACTGACAACGCTTACAGATTCTTCGGCGAAATTGAGCGCGACTTCAGCTCGTCCATCATGTCCAATACGGCTCGCCAATTCGATACTTACGTCGCCCGCGGTGTGATGCTCAACAACTACGCCAACATCTTCGGTCTGATCATGCAGATGCGCCAAGTCGCGAATCATCCTGATCTGCTTCTGAAGAAGCACGCACAGGAAGGCCAGAATGTCCTTGTGTGCAACATCTGCGACGAGGTGGCTGAGGAGGCCATTCGCTCACAGTGCAAACACGACTTCTGCCGCAGCTGCGTCAAGTCTTACCTCCAGTCTGTCGAAGAGGCTGATGGTGATGCCGACTGCCCACGCTGCCACATCCCTCTCGCCATCGACCTCGACCAGCCCGAAATCGAGCAAGACGAGGATGTTGTCAAGAAGTCGTCCATCATCAACCGCATCAAGATGGAGAACTGGACCTCGTCAACTAAGATCGAGATGCTCGTCTACGACCTCTACAAGCTCCGCTCCAAAAAGCAGACACTGAAGTCCATCGTCTTCTCTCAGTTCACCTCCATGCTCCAGCTCATCGAGTGGCGTCTCCGCCGCGCAGGCTTCAACACAGTCATGCTCGACGGCAGCATGACTCCCATCCAACGTCAGAGATCGATCGAATACTTTATGACCAACACCGACGTCGAAGTCTTCCTCGTCTCTCTCAAAGCTGGCGGTGTGGCGCTCAATTTGACCGAAGCCAGCCGTGTTTTCATTGTCGACCCGTGGTGGAACCCAGCTGCGGAGTGGCAAAGCGCCGATCGCTGTCATCGTATTGGGCAGCGTAGGCCTTGCGTCATTACTCGGCTGTGTATTGAGGATTCGGTCGAGTCGAGGATGGTGATGTTGCAGGAGAAGAAGGCCAATATGATTAATGGGACGATCAACAACGATAAGAGTTCTATGGAGAAGCTGACACCGGAGGATATGCAGTTCCTGTTCAGAGGTACCTAGGTGGGTGGAAAGGATGTGTGAGAGGATTTGAGATGGGTATGATGACCGACGGGCTGACGGGCTGCCTGTTGAATGTGGGCTGCGGCAGTTAGATTGCTGCATGCATGATATGCTTTGGAGGACTGCGATGGTCCGATTATATGATACCACTGATGCATTTTCATGAGCGCTGCCTAGCCATAGAGCTACATGAAAGACTGTGCTACCGAGAGGATAGAAGATGTAGCGTAGACACATCAATGTACGTCCCATGACGACTATCAAGACTCAAGTGGTTCGCAGGTATGTGGTCTACGGCCGAGTCTGCTCCACCTGACGCCATATCATCCAGCTATAGTAATTGCTGAAGTTGCATAGCACACTTGATCTTAAGTTTACCAGAAGCCAAAGTCATCGAACATGTCGTCGTAGGTGTTGCCACCACCGTACATGCCCATCCCCATACCTATGCCCATTCCCATAAGCTCCGGTGGCATCCCACCCCCCATCATCTCAACATCAGATGGTCCATGGCAACTTGTCGCGGACTCTTGCCTAGCACATTGGTCTTCTTTTTGCGACCCTGTCGACCGCCCATGCCCCCACCGCCCATACCTTCTCCACCCATGCCATTCATCTCTGGTCGCGTTGATTCATGCATACCGCCTCCCGTACCTCCGCCTCCCATCCTCCCATACCTCCTCCCATACCTCCTCCCATGCCTCCCATCATGTCTCCTCCCATATCGCCTCCCATCATGCCACCTCCCATCACACTACCTCCCATGCTGGGGGTCATCATCCCGCCCATGCCTCCTCCCATACCACTCGTCATTCCTCCACCCATTGGTCCTCCCATTTCCCCCGCCCATGCCCATGCCCATGCCGCCACCTATGCCGCCACCCATGCCGCTACCACCCATGAGTATCTTCTCCATCATCATCTCCTCTCCGAGAGCCATTATCTCCATGTCGGCCATCATATATGGATTCATCGTAACCTGCTCGGCTGGTGTAGGCCGATCCAGCGACGTACTGTTGTAGGGCAATTATTGGTGATGTGATTTTGTTTGTTTAACTTGGAGCGGTAGTCCTGAACAGGCTGTCTGTTTTCCTGAATGTGTGAAGATTGTCGTCAAGATAGGTTTTTGCTCAAGCTGCCCGGATTGTAAGTCATCAATGTCGCTTTGGCCAATGCTATCTAGGCAATGGAATGACTTAGCGATCTTTGCAGAAGTTATGGTGAACGAAACGGGGCTCGCCTTCGCCGTGTATGGCGCGGAATTGTCAGCGAAGAGCAGCGATGCCAATGCTGCATGCAGCTTGTGAGCAGTATTGACGAAAGTCAATGGCATGGTCAATACTGGCCTGACAGAGCTGCCAGATCCTGTCGTTGGTGCTAGTGCTCATGATCCTCTGATGTGAAAGTAGCTCTGGGAACTTAATTTTCAAGAATTCCGTGGACTTCAAAGGCATACTATTAATGAGTGGCGCCCGCAGCTGTACCTTCAAGCATAGAGGCGAGACCTTGTAGAAGAGCCAGGATCCTGCACCGCCGGCGCCATAGCCGACCCGTGATCCTCCATATGACGGACTGCGACTCATGCCATTCATACCAGGTTGCATACCAGGCGGCATACCAACCGGCCTACCAGGCTGCACACCACCAGGGAATGCACCAGGTATACCTGGAACAGTGTTTGGCATGGCTGGATGACCGCTGTAACAGGCTACACACCCATCTGCTGCTGGATCATCATCATAGTCCTCGAATCAGCCATCTGGCTGCTCGAAAGCACAGGGTCTGGCATGCCAAGATGCACCATACCCTGCAATGGAGCACCACTATTTCCCGCCAACAGATCGGGATCCTGTAAGCCCTGCCTTTGGTGGTCCTGCGCCAGTCGCTTCAGCATTTCATCAATTGAGGGCTTGCGGTGAGGATTCGCCCTCCTGGCCAACCTCTTAGCCTCCCATCTATCCTCCCGTAGTCGTTGCTGCTCCTGGATCCACTTCACGGTTCCTATAGCTTCGTCTTGTGCACCAGGGTTGTAAGACGACGGTAGCGGATGTGCCTCTCGAGAACTGCTTGAGCTCATTTCCGAAAGGTACTGGAAGTAGATTGAATGATGTCAACACAGTGCCTATAGACAACAGAGCTGACGGTTGTTGGATTTCATAGGTCGACCTAGTCGAGAGTCTAGGCTGGTGGGAGCTACAGAGGTGCTGGGAGCGAGAAGATGATTATGGTGGACCAAAGTGACGAGGAAGGGTGGCCGACTTATAGAAGTCTCATGATCCATTCCGTGTAGTGAAGCTATTTGGTTTTCGGTCGCAGGATATTCGTCACTGTGTGCCATTCAAAAGGCTTGATAGTTACCGAATGCCGATGATGTCGGAGACAAAAGGCCACCACATGTCCTGATGTGGCGATTCACGCAATGATGTATTCTGGCCACAGAGCATGGCCTGCCAGTACACGTAGGCAGACTGTTTCATCTGCTCATGATTCGATGGACAGCCAGCGTATTCATCCTTGACTCGCGGCACCAATCCAAGCTGATCTCGATAATACCTCAGTAACCCCCAACACCCACCCACTCACCCAGCCCGCAGCCGCCCTCGCCTTTTCCTGCTCACACTGACTCCTTCGTCCAGAGAGCCGCACTCCTCTTAGCTCAAGCCCGTGATGATGCTCCCTGGCCAACGGTCGATTGGTCAATGAGAGTACAGCTCATATTTCTCTGGGCGTGAAATCGGGATCCGGTGATCTCCTTGCACCGACCTAGTGGTGGTCATATCGAATGGCCTGGCACCCGAACAGCGAGGATAGCGGTATCCGACGATGGCCACGTGAAGTTGAAAAACATGTCGAATGGTAAGTAGAGAAAGACAGGGCGTAATAATAAGCGCTTCACGTAACAGATGTTAGAAGGAGCCAAGCAAACCCAGCGAAGCTCAGTTGACTTCATTCTCCAAACTCAGAAGAGGGCCTCGGGTAGAAGACTTTCATTATGCGGTCCCACTCCTCTCAAATGCTAATGCTACGAGCAATACTGTTACAAGCACCCACAAATGCTCTCAACAGAAAAGCCTACTGATACATTCAGCCTCCCGGCTCAGATCTGTATGACATCGAAGGAGGAACCTCAGCATTGCATCCTCGGGCCATCCTTTCAGCCAGCCCGAACATCTGTCCATCCAGAACAGCACCTTCTCAACATCGCACAATCTTGCTCTCCTTGTGTATGGCACCATCTGCCTCTCACAACAATGGTGCGAAGCATCAAGCCTCCTTGCTCTAAACACCACGTTATCCTATCTCGCACTAGAACCTGAACGCCATACGAGAAAAGGTAATCACCCTAAGCTCTTCTATATATCCCATCCCACAACAACAACCTATCACACGTCGCCCTCACTCTTCGCTCTTCCGTCCTTCCCAGCCCGCTCCTTCCTCAGATCTTCACATCCTTCATCTCCCCATCCCCCTCGGAAAACTCCTCCTCCACCTCCTTCATTCCCGCCAGGGGCTCATGCTCCCCAAGCTCCGGCGCATCCGAACTCATGACATTCTGACTCAATCTACTCTTCGGCAACGGGAAAGATCCTCGTTTCTCCTGCTCATCGTTCGAGATCGGCGAGACCGAAACAAGTTGTTCCGGCTTGGAGCTGCTCATGTTCGCGGCAAAAGGATGACTCGATTTAGGCGTGTCGACCGAGACCAGCTTTTCATACTTCCTCCCATTCGATGCTTGAGCCGAAGTATCCAGTCTCAGCGGCTGTGGTGCGCTCTCCTCCGTGACCCTAGCAAGCGGACTGCCCACATGCGCCCTCGGGCTCGAAGTCGCCGGTGCCTTGCCATTAGACACTCTGTTCGGACTTCTTCCTCTTTCGTCCGATCCAGTAGGTGAAGCATAAGGACTGAAGCCATTCTGATCCGCCTGGGCCACATTACTGTTAATCCGCAGACTCTTCTTGGCCGGCTTCTTGCGCCCATATTTCTGATCCGCCCTCCACCTCAAGATATCGATATATGCCGGCTCCACCCCCGCCTGCTTAAACTCACGCAGCTTCAACTCCTTAGTATCCTCGTCAATGAACCATTTATTCGATGCCATATCGTCGGCTACGATGGCGAGGAAAGCGGACCAAGAGCGTGAGACGACGTATTTACAGTCGTAGTCCCGACCCATGAGGATGATCTGGCCCCATCTCCCGGTTGGGCCGGGCGCAAGATCGACGCAGATGTTGTTGCCTCCCCAATCGCGGGCCAGTGGGATCCAGGCGGGGTGGGAGTAAGCTTTTTGGACGGCGTTGGCTGGTTGCGAGTCCTGCTTGTCGAGGAGATCTTGGCGCCACTGCGCGTTGGTGTTGGAGGAGGCCTGTGCGATGGGGACGGCGGAGGAGGAAGAGGAGCCGGCAAAGGCTTTGATGGGTGCTTGTGGGATCTCGTAGTTGGCTGCGCTGCTGAAGTAGGCCTCGTTGACCGTTCGCCAATTCTGCCATTCTTGGATAATCTCCTCGCAGTCGAGTAGCATGCATCCAAACAGTATCCCCGTCGGCATCCCACCCCGCTCCTGTCCATCATGCACCTGTATTGATTCGCGCACCTCTTGTGGTAGGGTGCAGTCCAGCTCATGCTCCAACTCATTAACATCGTTCACCGTCGCCGGCTCGCCCTGGTTCTCAAACAGCTCTTCGTAGTTGTCCTCCAGCCACCTGTCAATCCTGCGCCAAGAATGCGCGACTGGTGGTGGAGGCGGTAGTCCATCATTGAAGCTCTGCATTTGAATCTCGCCCGCACCGACGCTCTCCATCTTGGCGTCCATGCCCGAACTCTGCCTTTGCAGCTGTTTCCGCATGCCGGGCGAGTATGCGGGTGAAGAAGGGCCAGCACCGGCATTATTGTTGACAAAGCCGTGGCCCGCTTCCACGTCCTGGTCGAGATCTGTTCGGGAGTCGAGCGCGCTCGTGGCGACGGATGTGAGGGGTGAATGCCGGTTCTGAGGCAGCTGCACGTGATTGCCGCTTCGGTAAGGGGAGTCGTATGAGGCATGGCGGTCATTGGAGGTGATGGTGTGCCAGAACGAGCGCCATTGTGTCGCTAGTCTGTAGTCATCAACTTATCAGTATTGTCTCTTCGACGCGCTTGGCATTGCAGTATAACATACGAGGGAGCCATTGGAGCAGACTACTATTGCTTTACAGCTATGTCAGAAGCGACAGTGGTGTGGTGGTGGTGTACTCGTTTCGTGTCCACCAACGCTTCTTCTCCACTCCCGTGCGGTGCGTGTAAGCAATGGAATGCAATGCGTGGGCTTGTTGACTTGATGACACAATACGAGGTAGAGGCCGATATAAGCACGTCTCTCCTTTTCGCGCGTCACTGCACAATTAACGACCAGGGGCGGCGGAAGAGAGAGGGATCGCAATCGGCCAATCTCCGGTATCTTCTCCAGCCCTACCACTGTCGAGCCGGTGACATTCAATTCTATCAGTATGAGTTGAAGATGATTGCTTCGCCGTTATATCGAGGTTTGATACCATTGAGTGTGATGGTATGGCATGGTATAGCAGTATTATTGACTAGCTAAGGTAGTCTTGTTTTCCTGTACAACTTCTCCACACCAACCGAACGCGCACCAGGAACCCTGCATGAGAAAGCTTGCTGCTGCATGCACAGGCAGCACCATCCACCCACCAAACAACGATCTACAGTATCATTCGTCCATTGCCAACAAGAGCAAACTTGCCGGAGCAACGCATTACAAGAAATCGTAAACATAGCTACATACAGTATATTCGCCACTATCATGCACACTGCTTCCTGCTATACCACCACCACCACCACACCGCCATCATGATCTGACCGCGCGTACGTCCAAGACTTGCATATGCAATGCGCGATAAGATCGACTGTCCATCATATCAAGAAGTGGTTCACTATTGCTGCATCTTGGAGAGCCGGCGCGGAAGTGTTTCACGTTCGGCTTGCCGCATACGATTGGCCGATTGCGGCTGAGGGAAAACTTGAAACTGCAAAGGCCGCGCACTGACTTAGGTACCTAGATGACCGGAATAGTCAGGCACGCAGTCTTGAAGGCTACATGGTGTCCAAAAACATTAATAACTATATGCGGTATGTGGTGGTATATGCATGGATGTAGCTACAACTCGTGTTATTCGTCCACTTGTGTCGTTTGGTACACAGCCGACCGACCTTCTGACGTGTTATCCCGCCGTTGCTGACTGTGGCGAACAATGAAGATGCTTAGTCAAGTCACTAGAAGGATATTCTGCGTGGGTAATACGCATGGTAGTGTCGTCGTTCAATCTTCACCATACTACATCTGCTGCGCTGCTATGTGAGCAACCAGTACATCGACCAGCACCGATCTCGTCGGCTTTCACAATCTCCCATTCACTTCAGTCTTCGAAGCATCATTCCGCATAGATGAGTCTTTGGTCGGACCTGTTCAGTCGAGCTCTCCCGGCCATTGGACGATCTCCATCCACAGGTCATCGTCACCATCAGGGAAGCCATTTAGCCCACCGGAGGTGTCTTGGCCAGGGTCCGTCACACTAGACTTTGGGCGTTGGTCTTGTCCGAGCTGCTGTGTGATGACAGGTCCATGATCACTAGCAGCTGCGAATACCGCATCCCACTCTTTTTCTGAGGGTCGATGATCAAGGTTCGCGGCGAGTTCATGAAGCTCGTCAACAGCTGACATATCGAAGCTGCCTTCGACTATATCGTCATGCTCTTGGCTAGACGCTAGCTCTCGGAGTCCTGAGCTCCTGGTGTTCCTGAGACGAGTGGCTGTATCATGGTTTACCAGCGGAGTCGGTGCAGCATGGGTCGTGGGGTATGCTTGCCGTCCATACTATGGGTTTGCAAACATCCCGTAGACCACAGGCTTCGGCAATTGAGATGCGATCAGCTCAAGTCTCCTCTTCTGGTCAGCAGCTTTCTAATCCTGGTAATGTCTCCGGCGCAGATCATCCATGCGGTGCTCCGGAGTGTTCTTTCTGCCTTGAACGGAGTTCAACTTGAGGGAGGCTTCACGTTGGGAGGTCTTGATGGATTGATGACAACGGGAAGAAGGCCACGAGCACAATTCGATGAGTCTGTAAACTTGCTCGTGGCAACCGCTTCTTTGGTCGCTATGCCATTGAGCTTACGCATACTCCCGCACGCATTGTGGTAGCAGTTGCTACCATTCTGTACGTCTGATCCAGGCGCACAAGGATCCGTGGCTACTCTGGTCCCAGATCATGAATCGCACTCAGCAAGGCAGGGTCCTCGTGAAGAGCAACGGAGGTCGGTACCATCGGGGAGTCTTCCGCCATCACTCCCTTCATCCGATCGTCCGCTGATGTGATGCTTGCGATATACCCATGCAGCTTCAACTTCGGCGTTCAATCTTGGTGGCATGATCTTAAGCGTGGATTGACCCGGTTCTGCGAACCAAGGATACTATATTCCCTCGAAATGATGCACGTGGTACTTCATAGGGCGCATAGTGCGACGATATCCACATCCAACAAAGCCTGGATTGAAGGATGTATTCTCTTTCAGCGCGAAAAGCTTCCTGGGGTGGTCGACTGCCATGGATAACCCCAGACAATTCGAGCGGTCGCAAGCCGCTAGTAGCAGATCTCGTGCTGCCTTCTCAGCTAGACGAAAGCTTAAGGGTCGCGAAGCTATCATCACTCGATTGAGTCTGTCCCCTGCCGCTACACAGTGGCAGAGTGGTGCTATAGGGGCACTGCGAAGGACGCGAGCTGCTCCTTCGTAATCAGCACGCGGTCTCAAAACTGCTGCAAGACCTCGGGAGCCAGGCAGAGATGTATACTCTATGGTTAAAGGACCGGTTCGATCTTGTTAAATTGAGCCACCAGCTGGCTATACATACTCCAAGGTCGATGCTTACTGAACGAGCAGTTCCGCCGCTTGCTTTCTCACAGATGTATGCCTCACGCGTCTGAGGCAAAGCATGTCTGCAGACAAGCAACACTGTGCTCGATCAACCTTACTCGACCAAACTGCAGTTCTTAGAACGGATGCCAAGTGTGATATGTATCCAGCTGCAACGCTAGTTGAAGGAGTACAGATATTGAGCGATTTCTATGAAACAGTGCTGTCTTAGCTGAGATTGGCTTGAAGGTATCTCGTTTTTAGCTTCGGTAAGAGTGCGGCCGAACGCCGCCATATCAGCCAGTAAAGTGGCGGCACGGCCGAAGCTTGTCCTGTCTGACAAGATAGGAAGGCACGTCGAGGGTCGCGGAGTGACACCAACCTACCAACTCGACAAAGAGCAGTGGTCAAAGAGTAATCCACAGCCGCAATCATAGGGCGCGGGCCCTTTAAGTCTTCGCTCACGAGCATGATCACAGAATTGAGCTCTTGACAGGAAGGCATCGTGGACACTGCGAATTCCTCGATCATGGTTATCAACCGAATGCAAGCATTCCTAGACGAAGGCCGACGACCGCATACATATCCTGACCCAACGACTCTTGCTAAGCCTGTGCTCTTGATGTGCATCGAAATGCATCGTGGCAACGATGCACTAGTTAGATCTTGTTTCTGGTATTGAGGCGGTCGATTGACATCTTTGTTCACGAGTCTTGTGAGACAAACCACATTCCGTCGACAAAGCAAGGGAGTGCAAGTCTACAATGACAAAGCAACATCTTACAATCCCCCATGTACGTCTCTCATTTCCTCGTTGAGCACGATGAGGAGGCAAGCAGGAGCTGTAAGGCATCATCGCATTTAAATATTACTGGTATTGAGCAGGAAGGATAACGAGCGGCATCATATCACGATATCAGCAACCACCTAGCCAAGGTGGCTCAAGCCGGGTCAACCGCCAGCAGAATGAGCAGGAGGTGTGACCATCACTTGAATGTCCTCCAACTGCGCTCAAGAATCATGTTGGCACAATGGGGTTGAACACTACACTGCCACGAAGCCGATATTCGCACAGCATGATATCCCTCTTGACCCAGTCATCGAGGTCATTATGGATCTGTGTTCCAGTAATGCAGGAGGACATTCTAAACTCACCTTGAAGGTCAAATACCAAAAGGAACAGCGATATATACGCCTAGCATGATCACTCGTCGGGTTGCTACCTTTTGACCAGCAGAATGTTCCCACAGTAAGCTCATATATCCCTTGCCAAGACTTGCGTACCTACTACGAGAAGCACGCTCTGACCAGCTCTGCTGTCGGTCGCTGCGGCTGCTACAGCTTGCTAAGCTTCATATATGATTTGAAGCCTTCAACAAGCACCAGCCAATCAACTCCATCCTCAATCCTCTCACGCATCGCATAACCACTGAGCACGCCTTTCACACGAGCTCGCTATCATGCCACCACCCATCAGAGTTGGCGTTCCACAGAGGAAAGGCACGATAGGCCAAGACGGAAATACAGATGCACAACGACGTGCGGACAACTTTTGGAACTATCTGTGTCCCATCGAATTCTGCCCGTATCATTCTGGCAGAAAGACTGAGCTCGAGTCGCACCTCAATACAGGACGCAAGTCGATTGAAGCAGGCAAGATTCGGATCCTCTGCACCGTGCTACCTCTTCTGCACACTATACGCCTACACCCACCACAGATGCCAAACTTTCGCAGAGAAAGCGCCGGCGCCGTCCATAGAAGTGCTGCAGGAGGGAGGTATTGCTTTCGATCCTCGCCCCATCCCTGATTCCGACAAGAATGCTGCACTACTTGCGTTGATACGTGCAGCTAGTACTACGCCGGATCAAATGCATGCTGGGGTCAATATCCAATCGACGCCAACTCTAAATCCGCCGACGCATCCCCATCAAGGTCAGCAACTTCCTCAACAGACCGCGCCGGTGCAACCTCCGAGTTCCCCCTTCGGCCAGATGCAACTACCGCCAAACCCCAACCCACGTCTCCGTTATCACGACAACGCCGCGTCAGGATACCTATTTGATCCCATGCCAGATAGTGCAAACCCAAACTACCTGCAATACAATAACCCCCAAGCGGATCCGCAAAGTGCCAGTGGTGTCACTCGGTATCTGGCAGATACAGAACATGACTTCGTATCTCACGAGGAAGTCAATGCAAATCATGTTCTCGGTCTCGACCCACCGTTTGGGTATGACTTCGATGATGGGGGTGTCATGGAGGGTCTAATGAAGCAGATGGACTTCCCGATGGCTGGGGCTGGTGGAATTGACCCCAGCGCAGACCATATCATGCCGGATCAGGGCTTTGAGCCTTGGTCTTGGGTTTCAAAGGATGAGATGTATCGTCCCATCGTCTATCCGCAATTCACCACGCCCCGAGAACAAGCAACGGTCGTAGGCTAGGAGCATGCGGGCGGTGAGGCTATTCATGGTGCGCCAGGATTGGCGAACGATGTTGACAATTTGTTCGACGAACTCTTGCATGAGCACGCCCACTGCGAGTAGACTAATGTCCACTGATGAAAAGGCGAGGTGAGCTCCAAGCTGCTAGCGCGATGACAGAGATTTTCACGAAGGATTGGATCTACTGGTCATCAACTGAGCATGTAGAGTTGATGACACACGATCCGGGTCCTGGAGGATTGTCAATGAGGGTGGTGGACGGATCTTCCGTTGCAAGATCGTACGGCCAAGTGAGGTCGAGGCACTGTGATCCCGCAAAACATCGCTTGTCATTGGCTGGAGTTGAGCTTGGACTATACTTTAGCCAGAATGAGTTCGTGCTTTCGTAACACCGTACACTTCTACACCACATCCTACATCCCAATGACCAATCATTCGTGAACACCATGATGACGCTTGAACAATCGAGAAGCAGGCAGAGATCAGATTGACGCGTGACAGTCTACCCCAGTCATCATTCTTTCCGATGGAAATAATGCGTCTTCCCGACCACACGGCGTTCGGAGCTGACCGTAGACATGATGCTGTGAGATTTATACTTTGCTTGTTGTAACCAGACGTGGTCCTCTTTCTTCATCACGACCCATCACCCCCTCCCCCCCCCTCCCTCTCGTTAGCATGGAAGACATGGACGCTGTCAACTCCAAGATCCTTGATACTCCGGACACGACGATTGCTGACAATCATGGTGAGCCTGCAGGAAAGGCGCCCGTGGAGTTCGAGCCGCTGGAGATTGACGACAGGCCAAGTCCTCGATCAGGGCTCAGGCTGATCGCCATTCTCGTGGCCCTATATGTAAGTCTTGTAGCCTACTCAGATCCTCGGCACTATCTGACCCTCTTTCGTCAGCTCGCTCTATTCATTGCCGCGCTCGACCAGACGATTATGGCAACATCCATACCCACCATATCTTCACAATTACACTCTGCTTCCGGCTATGTCTGGATAGGGGGTGCTTATCTACTGGCCAACGCTGCTGCAGGACCAATCTGGGCGAAATGCTCTGATATTTGGGGTCGGAAGCCTGCAATTCTTGGAGCAGTAGCCCTCTTTGCTGGTGCCAGTATCATGGCCGCTTTGAGTGTGAACATGAATATGCTCATTGCTGCTCGAGCTCTCCAAGGTACTGCCGGAGGAGGTCTCCTCCAACTGGTCTTCATCACGATCTCGGACTTGTTCAGTATGCGGGAGCGTGTACTGTATCTTGGCTTGACGGAAGTCCTGTGGGCCATTGCTGGTGGTGCTGGTCCGCTCATTGGTGGCGCTTTCACGCAACTCGTGTCCTGGCGTTGGTGTTTCTGGGTCAACTTGCCGTTCTGTGCCATCACTTTCGCACTGTTGTTCTTCTTCCTGGATGTGCACAACCCTCGGACACGTCTGGTAGATGGCTTATCTGCAATTGACTGGTTTGGAACACTATCACTTCTAGCTGTGATAGTCATGATACTTCTAGGGCTGGACTTTGGTGGTGCAGTCTTTCCATGGAACAGTGCTACCGTGATATGCCTGATCGTCTTCGGCGCTGTTATGATTGGAGCATTCCTCCTGAGTGAGAAAAAGCTGGCGAACTATCCTCTGATGCCCCTTGGAATGTTCAACAATTGTTCGAATGTGGCAGCGTTTGTGATTGGAGTCACGCAGGGCATGTCTTACATCGCGGCCGAATACTACCTTCCACTATACTTCCAATCTGTGAAGGAGGCTTCACCTATCCGGAGTGGCGTGCTCATACTGCCTATCACGCTGTCAGAGGCTGCATTCGGTATCATCACGGCTCTAGTGATGCATCAGACGGGCCGTTACAGGGAGATCATGTGGATCGGTACTTTCCTGGTCACGCTTGGCACCGGCCTCTACATCGCTTTCGACGTTGATACAAGTCTTGCAAAGCTCGTAGGCTTCATGCTAATTGGCGGGAGTGGCTGTGGGTTCCTTTTCGAGGCTCCTGTCATAGCCCTGCAGAACACGGTTTCCCAAGCAGACACAGCTACGGCTACAGCTACATTCGGACTACTACGAAACGTGGCAACATCCGTATCGATTGTCATCGGCGGGGTGGTCTTCCAAAATAGGATGAACTCAGAAGCCGTCAAACTACAAGCAGCAGGCTTAAGCGATAGCCTTATACATGCTTTCCGTGGGTCGCAAGCTGCTGCAAGCGTGGACATCATCAAGACGATCACAGATCAAGTGCAAAGGAGAGCTATTCAGTCTGCGTTTGCGTCTAGCATGCGTGACATGTGGATACTGTATGCTTGCATTGCTGTAGTGGGTCTTATGGCAGCGCCCTTCATCAAGCAGACGCTTCTGAGCAAGGAGCATACAGAGACGAGGACTGGCATTGAACAGATGACGAAGAGGGAGGCTCTCTGAATAGGCGATGCTTTGTAGCTACAAAAGTCCATAAGTACAGTGCCATTACAGCTAGTTCTTATCCCGTGCATAGATGCATGTACTTGGGCATTCCAGGATCGTCTCGACGTACATGTGCCCACGACCTTTGTCGGGGCTTGCTGTACGATATCCTTCTTGTGCGGCCATGCAACTCGTCCACGATAGTCGGTCCTTCCATCATCCTCAATTTTGTTATGGTTTGTCCTCGTGGGTTCCCAGTCAAGCTGCAGGCCTTGTCAGAAAAACAGTGCTTTCATGTCCTCACTTCCGCCGAGCAGCCCCTGCGCAAGACCACAAGGCGTTCACCATCTCCCATGACTCATCATCATCCGCGACCACACCGAGCATCTCGACGAAACTCTTTTGCACTGCAGTGACCGGAATCGTGTCAGGAAAGTGTACGGAAAGGAGGTCGTCAGCATGCCACTTCTCCTTGATGAGCTTGTCAACAAGATGACCGAACGTAACGCCCTGATCGTCATCTCCCTTGTCGGTGGTTGTGTCAAGTACATTCGTCGGCAAGACCGTTTTGCTCGTATGCCGCTGCGCCATACAAGCCGCACGAGAGTCGTGAAATTGACGGACCATGCTAAATCGACGAGGAGATCTTTAATCTTGTCGGGGCGGGGCCCGCTATGCTTGAGGAGTATTGTATTGAACACTCGAGGTGTGACCATCTTTATAGGTCTCCGAGGCCTAGTCTCCGCCAAACGCTCATGAGAATTGCGTTCTGTCCGAATCGACTTGCGTCTCACAACCATCGTAAGGGTAAAACATCGGCAATTCTGTTGGGCCGAAGGTAGACCCTTCTTTGTAGTACCAATGATCCGGCAATCATCTTTTGGAATCTCTTCGAGACCCTTGCTGCACGAATGATTTCGGATGGTGGCAGGAAGCTTAGCACATGTTCGCAAAGCTCGAAAGTGTCCACAACGGTAGCATCAGGTCCAGTCTCATACACATCAAGCATCGCGTTGACTGACATCCTCGGAACCTTCTCTGCCAAGACCCGCAACTTTCGATGGCTCTAGTAGATGGCGAAGAGGCTGATGTACCGAGTCTCAGCTGGCACTAAGGCGCGTGATCAGCCACATTCTGCTTCCATCTAGCAAGCAACTGGCTTCATGCCAGTCACGAGCTGAAACAGCCAGAAACGGATCGGCACGGCTCAGAGTGGTTCCGTAGTACACCAGACTCTCGTACATCGAGCAAATTCTTGAACCCTTGCCTTCATCATCGAGCATATTCACAGAGCCATCGCATACAGGATCCATGGAGAGCACCAAGCAGATCATGGCCAGAAAGGTCACTTCGACATCGATAGCAGAACCAGTCTGCGGCTTTATCGCCGCCAGGAACGCCACTCGAAGGCTGAACAAAGCCCCAGGCTACGACGTACTCGCAACTGTCGAACTGTGCGAGCCCATCTTCGAACATCTCCCAGTGATAGACCTGCTCCAAGCACCTCTAGTCTGCAGAGACTTCTGTGCCACGATTCGAGACTCGACCAAGTTGCAACAACTTCTCTTGCTACGACCGCGAGCCATGCGAGCGCAAATCCCGCAGTCCATCGCCTCCAGGATCCTGACGACAGATGGTCGTTACCTCGAATTCGATATCCAGCACGGGGAGCCGAACAGTGCCAAGCCCTCGCCCGAGATCGTCTACCAACACAACCCATGTCTCCTCCACCTCGAATCGAATATGCAGCAGCTCAATTTGCACCAGGCGCGCATGTGGAAAGAATATGACAGCGGCAAAGAATGTGACGCGGGCGCACGATTAGTCCTGACCACGACTCACGCGAACCTGCTGGATAAAATCTACTCGCCAACCGTCCGGCGAATGTTCTTATGCCAGCCGCCCACCATCAAAATCAAGCTGCTACTTCTGCGTAATGGCAGCCGCCATTCACGCTGGAAAAACTGGCATGTTGTCACGCATGAGGTGACCAACGAGTCTGGTGTCACCTTCGGTCAGGTCGTCGATGAGTTTCGGCAGCTGCATACGGAAGTCGTCGAGCCGGGCGTCGTCCAGCAGAACCAAGACTTCATCCTCTGCTATGTGGTGTTCCCAGAAGATAATGTGGTGCGGCCGAAGAGTGGAGCTCTGCTTGACTGTTGGCGGAGGCGATGGCCTCCGGGTTCGAATGTTTTGGATAACGGTCCGGGGCAAGGTGGGACACACTGCCGGTATAGTAGCCTCGACTCTCTATAAGTATTGTAAGGCCGTATCATCGACGCCAGAGGATAGCGTGTTGCAGCGGAGTCGAGCGAGAAAGCGGTTGCGGAGTTAACAAGGGAGACCAATGTGTTGGCGTCGCTGTTGTCTCGGAACAAGATCGATGGCAGGCCACGATCAAGCAAGAACTCACCACTCCTCATCACTAGTATCAGTATGCCAAGCCTCCTCATCCATCAGATAGCTAAATAGAGGCTTGTGATACCAGTGTTCATCTCTAATCCTTTCCAACTTTGCTTTCACTGCCTGCGCGCCGTGGATTTGCAAAGTAATGTGCTCATACTTGATGAAAAACTCGTCAACGACGGATACAGCGCTGTCGTTGAAAGCTGGGTTGGGTGCGCCTGTTGTGGGGTCTGTCTCGGAGGGAGGTAGGGGCATGGGTGGATTTTCGACGAAGCTTATGCCACCGCCTTCGTAGAGGAGGTGGTAGAAGAGGATGTAACCTAGCTTGGGGCATGAGTCGTGGAGGAAGGTGAAGATAGAATGCCAAGGGCGTGGATGCTGTTCGTCGGAGAGTAGACGAACGTCTCGGATCTTCACGCTTGTCAAATGTCCTGCACAAGGTCGAACAAGCCCGAGCAGAACCTCAGGCGAAGTTGTAACTTTCTCCAGTTTCAGACGCTGTAAGCGTGGTAGCCGTACTTCCTCAACGACTCTTTGTAGCGTGAGATAAGGATAACTCTGCCGCCAGGTCTCAGGATCACGCCAAGTCGGCGCTAGAATGTGGCTCTGCTTGAGGTCTGGGAATATCTGCAGTCCCAACTCCTTAAGCTGGGTCGTTGCACCAAGTAATTGCACCAACGCACTACCATGTTCGACCTTGTCCCTCGCCTCTTCGATGTCTACTTTTCTGTAGGCATTGATCCAGCCTTTAATGACGTTGATCTCAAGGTACCATATCGGGCCGCAGGCTTTGTCGACAGTTGCTTGTGTGAGGACATCAGCTCGTATACTGCCAATCTCGACTGCATCAGTATAGAAGCGGCGTAACGTGATGTCAGATGCTGCTACAGCGTTTACGAGACCCACGAATAGTCTAGAAGGGCCGGATAGGGAGTATGTAGGACCATTTGGGATGGGACCAAGGACACGTGGATCTTCTCCCACATCGTTGTATAGCTTTCTCCAGCCCCATGGTGCATGGTCTTCGCTTCGTCGCATACCAATGATCTTCAGGTTCGGCAGAGTGGCAAATATCTCGCTGAGTCTGCCCTGCAGTTGTGCTGCAGAGTTCGCAAGTAATCCAGCATGATCTTCCATACAAGCTTGGTAGGCAATGTACTGTCTTCTGTCTGTAGGCGACAGCAAATCAAGCAGACTATCCGGATTGCCTGGCTCCGGTGTCTCTTGCGGATCGGGAGCACATTCCGGTCGTACGAAAGTGAAGCAATCCGGATTGAACCATACATGCTGAACATACGTTCGTAGACCATCGTTCTTGGCGATGGAGGCTAGTACATCCAGACTTGAAGAGGTGAGCATGTAGCCTCGCTTGCGGAAGAAGCGTTTGCCGAAGAGTGACAGACATGAGCGCTCTACACGGCGAGAAGTGAGCCGGGCTTGAAAGATGTCATTGTTCTCCAGCAAGCTGACGATGCTTGCGATGAGCTCGGATGGTAGGTCGTGAAGGCCACCCATTGCCACCCACACTTGACGGGATGTTCTGTTGCTCGAATGCTATCAGACGAGAATGTGGACCATCATAATACACTGCCTCTGTGAAGAGGTGAACGTCCTGTGAGCTTTGCACCGTGAGTTGAAAGAAGTTCGCAGATGTGACATGTGGAAGAGGTGAAGTTGCCTCACCCGAGTCATCATCACCAATGCCGAACTCCGTACGCCGTTCTTGTTCTTATGCCAAAAGACTCCACATCTACATATGTACTCCACATTACTTCTCGATCATGACACAAACATTGACAGAAGACGACATATATCGCACTTCCACCCAATTCCGGCTATGGTCCTTCTCGCCGGAGAGTCTGGCAGCACTACGGAAGCAAACACATGATCTCGCCATTACACGCGCACGACAATATGCCGTCGATGCAGATATACGAGATGGCAAGAAAGATGTGGACTGCCTGAGGCGGGATGAGGAGCTTCGGCTGGTCCAACGATACTGCGAGCAAATCCGAACAACAAGCGACCATTTCAAATGGCCGGTCCACGTCAAGGTGAACTTCAAGCGTGCCTGCCAGATCGGGAAAGAGCCATCACTGACAAGCATGACACACAGGCCACAGCAGTCCAATACCTCCGCCGCTTCTACCTCTCCAACTCCGTGCATACATACCCACCAAAGGAAATCTACAAAACTGTCCTCTTCCTCGCATGCAAGACGGAGGCTACACACATGACACTGTCAGAGTATGCCAGACGCATCAGCACTGACCCCGACGTGATACTGGCGCCGGAGTACAAGATCATGCAGGCTTTGAGGTTCACGCTGGATGTGCGGCAGCCGTATCGAGGCTTGAAGGGTGTGCTGATGGAGATGCTGAACATGGCTAATGGGATGGTGGGTGAAGTTGAGGGAGTGGATACGAAGGGAGCGAGGGAGTTGCAGCAGGATATGCTGACGCTGGAACACCCGGGAACGCAGGCCACAACACCATGGAAAGCACCTGGATCTCGCAAAATTGATGGGAAGACTCTCGTGGAACGAATCAACGCCGCATATTCCGCCGCCAGGACTCTCCTCGATGGCCCAGCACTACTAACAGACGTCCACTTCCTCTACACACCATCCCAGATCCTTCTGGCAGCTCTACACCTCGCAGACGAGCCCTTGGCATCTCTCTATCTCATGACCAAGCTCCCGCTAAAATCAGACGCCCGGCCCAAAATCCTAGCCACAATCGCCGCCTGCGCCGACATAATCGGCAACTTCTCCACCAAGCAGATTCTTTCAAAAGCGGAGCGAGCAGATCTGGAGACGAGATTGGAGCGGTGCCGAGACCCTTCAACCAAGGATCTGGTCAAGACTCATGCGGCTGCTAAGCGAGGAAGTGAGAGCGATGAGGAGGTGAAGGTCCAGAAGCGGAAGGCGGCGAGGGAGAAGCATCAGAAGGAGGGGGATGATTTGTTTGGGCCTAATCTGGGTGGTGGGAGGGGGTGAGAGAAGTGGTGTACTCGGAACACGAAAGACTTCGATGTATCTTCTACCATTATACGCTTTGGCTGCGAGGTCAACAGCTCGCAATGCGTGCCAGTGGCGAACCGACAGGAAGTCTAGATCATGTGCTGCATTCGAGCGGGCGGACTGGACCTCATCTGGCGTCAAGCTGTCGCTTCAGAGATGGGCCAGATAAACAAAAGGAAGGAGCTAACGCGAACGCCATTTGGTCTCGAGTCGAGCCTTGTTCAAGTACCGGCTATCTACTAGGCCTGCCTTGAGCCGATTGAAAATCTATGCGATACATATACAGCAACTAAGGCATACATGGCTCTAACGCTGCAATCTGCCACCCGCGCTCAACGCTTTTGCCCCGTGAAGACTGCTACACAGGAAAATATGGACCCGCCGTATTCCCGTACATCGTCCTCCTTCTACGACCACGATATCTCCCCCTCCCTGACTCTCTCATGACTCTCTCAAACTCACACGCCACTCACTCCGTCCGGCTAGCCCGACGGGCCTCCCCCTTTCTCCGACGCCTAGCCTGTGCCCTCACAGCCCATCGAACCACAGCAATAGCCCGCTGATTGGGACAATTGAGCTCATGGTCACGCTTCTGGATAGCATGATCGATGTACGCATTACACGCCGTGCAGACTCTCAGACTGCAGCGCAAGCAGAAGTGTGATGGTCCAGGCCACGTGGCTGCTTCCGAAACGATCTCGCTGTGCTCTGGACACGTGCAGGTGAAGTTCTGGCCCCTGCGGTTCTCGTGGTATCGCCACTTATGAGAGCCATGTAGAGCGGGAAGGATTCCAGCTGGTCGTCTTGGATGGCTGTCTTTGCCGTTACCGTTGTTGTTATTATCGTTGTTGTCGCCTGGTGGGGCATTGCCGGCAGAAATGCTATTGTTTTTCTGGCCAAGGGGTTCGACCGAAGCTGCGACAGCCGCGATGCACGCACCGTTCATCGCCATACCAACCTCGGGTACTTTGAAGCTGATCGACCGTTTCCTCTCGCGCTCGAACTCGTTCACGTCAGTACTCGGGCATATCTGAGAACCCTTGCATGAGCTTGTGCACTCAGCATGAGATCCAGTGAATTGTGTGCGGCCGCGTTTCCCACCGATAGCTCGCTGGACAGGTAGCAAGAATGGCCCTTCCTCGGCAACAGGCAAGGCATTCTTGAGTTGGAGCTGTTGAGAGAACAGAAGGGGTGAGCGTCGAGGTTCCGCGAGGTTGGGGCGGCAAGGTTTGGGAATGGCGACTCTACGTGAGTACCGCGCACAAGGCATAGTCGAGGGATTTGACTGACTGATTTTGCCAGTGCAGCCAGTCTGCAGATCGGCCGTCGGCAAGTTGGAGGACTGCTTATTCGAAGCGTGCATTTTGCCAGAATTCATCTCAGGGGAGTGCACGCTGGTAGACAGCACATTGACGATCTCCATGTTGGGAGACTGCATGCTGGAGGGACACTTTGGTCTGGTGGTCGGCTTTCTTCGGGATGGGACTGAATTATGATAGCGAATGCTGAGCGACGTGGTGATTGAGAAGCGGGAATGGGCAGAGGATGGCTTGAAAGGTGGTGAGATTCTGTATTCAAGGAGGAGCTGGCCGGCAGCTGCAGAGTGCGTATGTCGTGGTGGTTGACTGGTGGTGATTATCTGGTCGATGAGTTGAAACGTGGTGAAGTCTAGAAAGATGATGAACTGGCCAGCAGCTGAAGCATGTGTATGGATGGAAGTATGAGTACGGGTACCAATGTAAGCTGTACTGATCTGATCTACAGAACCAAGTCTAGGAGCGCGAGGAGTGCAGTATATAAGCCAGGTTACCACTCCAGAAGCCCTCGCCGCTCGTGGACGGCTGGTTCGAGACTGTCTTCGACAACCCATGAAACCAACACATGGCTGCCCGAGACCTCACTGTCACGACAAAGATGTATTCCTGGAACCTGAGACAAATGGGTCACCACTCGCTTTTCGCTCTTTGTGCATGAGCATGACAGTGCCCTTTAGGTCTACAGCGCGATCCCGAAAAGGCCATGTGCCAGAGGCAACAAGACCATCAATCCTCAAATACATGTGCAGTCTCACGGAGGTAGTCGTACGCACCGACTCATGGAATCCTGACCTCGCGTCTAAGGTGCAAGCTCTCACTTCAGCGCCCTACCCGCAATGTCTTTCCGATACTGCATGCCCTCGAACTCAATCAACTTGACACCCTGGTACGCCTTATCCACAGCTTCTCTCAGCGTACCACCTGTCGCGGTTGCGGCGATGACACGACCACCGCTCGTCTTGAGCTGTCCGTCCTCACCAAGGCCCGTACCGGCGTGGAAGACGAACACCCCATCCTCAACTTTCGCCTCCTTGACCTTCATGGGTGTGCCCTTGGCATAACTCCCAGGATATCCACCAGCAGCCACCACGACCGTGCAAGCGGAAAGTGGAGCAATAGATAGTTTGTGTTGAGATAGCGTGCCCGTGCAACAAGCGAGCATGAGCTCCGCGAGGTCAGACTGCAGAAGTGCCAGACAAGACTGGCTTTCCGGGTCACCAAACCGAACATTATACTCCAACACCTTCGGTCCATCCTTCGTCATCATAAGTCCAGTGAACAAACAACCCCTGAAAGTCATCCCCTCCTTCTTCATCCCATCAATAGTCGGTCGAAGAACAACCCGATCAATCTCCTCCAACTGCTCCTTCGTAACCAGTGGTGTAGGAGTATAAGTCCCCATCCCGCCAGTATTCGGCCCCGTATCGCCATCAGCAATCCGTTTATGATCCTGCGCAGGCGGTAAAGACAAGATTGTCTCGCCGTCGGATAAAGAGAGGATACTGATCTCATCACCCTCAAGCAACTCCTCGATGACAACACTATTTCCAGCATCCCCGAATTCGCGATCAGCCATGATACTCTCCAACGCATGCCTCGCCTCACTCGCATCCTGGGGGATAACGACACCCTTCCCCGCCGCCAACCCATCAGCCTTGATAACAACGGAATGACTCACGACCTCAAGATAGTTCTTCGCGGCGCCGTAGTCGGTGAAATTCTCGTACGCGGCGGTGGGGATCATGTGGCGTTTCATAAAGTCCTTTGAGAAGGTCTTGGAACCTTCCATCCGGGCGGCTGCTTGAGAAGGGCCGAAGACATGAATACCAGGAGCATGTTGGTGGAAGTAGTCTGTTATACCGGCTACCAAGGGAGCTTCCGGGCCAGGGACGAGGAAGTTGAGGTTGTTATCTTGGGCATGTTTGACGAGGGCGGCGAAGTTGGTGTCCTTGACTGTGGTAATGTTCTCGCTTTTTGGGACGCTGTGGGTGATGTTAGTGAGGATCGTCTATGATTGGATTGTGGTGTGCACAAGAAGAAGAGCGAATGTACCTCACGGCATGATGATCAAGTACCTACCCAGCAGTGCCACCATTGCCCGGGACGATGTGTATGCACTCTACCTGGTCACTTTGTGCGAGCTTCCAGGCCAGTGTATGTTCGCGACCACCGTTGCCTACTAGCAGGACTCTTAGCTTATCCGAAGTCATGTTGATGTATTGTTGTGTGATTTTGGGATGCTGTACGATAAACGAACATCTAGAAGTTTTCGTCGTCCTTCGGTACATCGGGGGGGCTGGTTCGCGCGGGCCGACCACCACAGCCACACTGATGACGCCACGACGCCACGACGCCACGACGCCACGCGAGGGTGCGACTAATCCTAATCCTGGTTGGAGGAGTATACAGTAGGCGGCCACTTTCACGTGCATTGAAAGTAGTTGTCGTATGCTCGTGGAGGAGGAGCAGTCTCTAGTCAATTCTATATGCGTCTATGGTAACCTTTGCGACCACTCCCATACCTCTAGACTATAGAGACCGATATATCCCATCGAGGAGAGTCGAAGACAGCCCGCGGAGCTCGATCTAGCAAGCACGAGAGCTTGTGGACAGAGGCCGAGGACTACGCAATCCCTCCCATTTATTATTCACCACAGACTATCGTAATAATGGTGACCCGGAAGCCTGTCGGTCCGCCACTCAACACTACCCAGCAATCGCCCGAACAAAGCAATGCGACGACGACGACGACGACAAATCCCCCATATCCCACCACTCCTACAGCCGCTTCGAAGTCGCCCGTGATCACCGAGCTCGACAGATCAAAGACACTCCACTCCATCCATAGTGTCTACAGCCCCGACCTGAACTCGAGTCCGGCCTTTGACCTGATCGACATGAACCAGGCACGACAACGACCACGACGGGACAGCGACGTCAGCTCGCACGGCACGTGGGACAGCGACGAGGACCACGAGGAGAGGATGGGAGGGGAGGCGGAGGAGCGGAAGCATCTAAAGGCAGACCTGCCGAAGCCATTGAGGATTACTAAGAGCCAGCAGGACATCCACGAGAATGCTCAATCACAAGGTCGGAAGGACGAGCTGCCCGCTATCCTCAAGCCTGGACCTGCTGCGGGAGCTGTACCCATACCGAGGAAGAGCGAGGAGATCTCCCGGTACGAAGACGATGCACAAGCGAATCCATGGGCGACTGCTACTGCGCCGGTAGAGAGCAGCTCGATACCAAACGGTCAAACCAGAAACCCATACCGACAAGTGCCTAGTGTGGTGCCGGAGATGGCGCAGGGCGAAACATGGCAGTTCAAGCCAGCTCTGCTACCCACTCAGCCAAGCAATGCGCCTCCCCCTCCCCCAGTCGAGATATCTACCTCGCCAAGAACACCCGCAGACGAGCTGAGTCAGATGTCCTTGAACGCACAGCCCCACAAGCAGGAACGGCCCCAGCCCCAGCCATTCGAGACCACGGAGATACTGGCTGTACCGCAGAGCCGGCCACCGCCGCCAAGCGTGGTAGACGAGGATCCGCCAGAGACGAACGAGTTCTACTCCAACAACCCATGGCGATCGCCCTCTGAAGGTGAAGTCCCTCAGCAAACACCCAATGTACCACCGCCAGCACTACCAAAAGTAGCGCCACAGCATTATGCGCCACCTCCTGGACCTCCACCGAAAGCTGCAGCATCTACTTCGCTGATTGACCACCAAAGTCCTCCTTCACAAGCAGCTGCTGCGCAAGCACGGCCGGCACCTATAGCTACATTAGCCGCTACAGCTACAATTCCTACAGACTCGATACCAGAAACGCCTGGCACAAGAGACAAGCGACAACGGAGCGAGCACTATCAAATCAAGCATATAAACTGGACCGATACTGCACACGGCTCAGCATTGCGCCGATCACCAATCTTAACACAAAATGCGAATGGGCCCTGTCCACTACTAGCTCTTGTCAATGCCCTCATACTCAGCACACCTCAAGATATGCATACCGCGCTGGTAGAGACACTCAGCACCCGCGAGCAAGTGAGTCTCGGCTTACTGCTCGATGCAGTCTTCGACGAACTCATGAGCGAACGAAGAAGCGATGCAGCGCAAGGACTACCGGATGTTGGTGAGCTTTATGCATTCCTACTCGCCCTCCACACCGGTATGAACGTGAACCCACGCTTCGTCACGCCAGCAAAAGCACCACGAGGCTCACTCGACAATCCACCGTCCGATAAAACCAACCTACACTCAGCAGATCGCGCTCAAACCAAAGCCGGCGCTTTCGAGGAGACTAGAGAGATGCGGTTATACAGCACCTTCAATGTCCCATTGATCCACGGCTGGACAGCACCCAGAGATACGCCAGCATACACAGCTTTCGAGCGTTGCGCACCGACGTTCGAGGAAGCGCAAAACGTGCAGTTCCTCGAATCAGAACTAGAGGACAAACTCCGCTCAGAAGGCCTACCACCAAACGAGCAGCGAATGCTAGACGACATCAAAACGATCAAGCTCTTCCTCAATACTTGGCCCACGCAGCTCACAGACTACGGCCTTGAAACCATCTCCTCGAGTCTACAGCCTGGCCAGATAGCGATATTATTTCGGAACGATCATTTCTCTACTCTGTACAAGGAGCCGCGACATGGCGCTCTTATGACTTTGGTCACGGATACCGGGTACTCGGGCCACGACGAGATTGTGTGGGAAAGTCTGATCGATGTCAATGGAGCGGCGAGCGAGATATTTAGTGGAGATTTCCGGGTCGTGGGGGACGCTATGGCTGGGCAGAGCCAGGCGGGCGAGCAGCAGTGGCAGAATGCCGGATCTGCACAGCACGGTGCAACCAGTCCTGTGGCGCCACCTCTACCCGGGCCACGTCCGCAGCATCCACTCGGCGGCGAGGACACCCTATTCGTGCCCCGGGAGAACATCCAGCGCACAACCTCCGAACAAGAAGACCACGACCTAGCCCTCGCCCTCCAACTCCAAGAAGAAGAAGAAGACCAACAACGGCAAGCCGAGTCCCGCCGCCGCCGCGAACAAGCCCTAAGCGAACAATTCCTCTCCACCGAAACCCCTGCCTCCCCGGAAGGCCCGCGGCCTCCAATCCCACCCCGTCGATCAGGAAACCGAGCTAGTCAAGCACCTACAGGCGGACGACCACCGGTCACTAGAGTTGCGGGAGCAGGAGCGAACACGGATCCGGATGCGCCGCCTACGTATGAACAATCTGCCTCCGATCGACCTTATCGTCCTGCTGGGGCGACGGCACAAGCGGGGTTGCAGCAGGGGAATCCACTCAATGCGTACGATGCGCTTAGGAGACAGCAGGCGGGGTTTGCGGGACAGAGTAGCGGGACTGTTAACAATATCCCCTCGAGCCCGACTCCGGGGAACGGCGGGTTCCCTGGTGGAAGTGGACCAGGTAATAGACGTCCAGGTCAGGGTCCGAATCAGGTTAGACGGCGAAGCAGCCAGTTAGCGCCGCCGGGGAGTTATGGGAGTGGGATGAATCCTGCCCCAGGAGGAGGAGGTGGGGGAAGTGGGTACGGACTAGCTGGAGGAAACGGAAATGGCTCGTCTGGTTCAGGAGGAGCGCCTCCGGGGCAAGGAAGGCCTGGGGCGGGACAGGCGGCCGGGCTGAAGGATGCGGAGGATAAGTGTGTCGTCATGTGAAGATGTGAACATGTGAGGATGCGATGAAATTTGTATTTTATGAGATACCCCAATCGCTATCAGCCAAGATTGGAGCTTGACTACGAAATGTTGTTAACAAGTTGTGAACAGCTCCTGTTCATTCGTACAAACCTGGCACACATATCAAAACTCCAACGACGCCAAAGGGCCATGTTGTATGCAACGCCTTTGGCTGGTAGTGGTCGTGTGTGCAAGATATCCTGTGGATATACACACAATTCTGCCGGACCTGACCAACATACCTGCCTACCGACCTTAGCCCGAGTAACGCCCGATACTGTGCTGATGAGGACGCCTTGCTGAAGCGCAATTCACGCACACACACCCAGGTAAGGCTACCCGCTTATGTCGACTCATCACGCAGCAAGTCGTGGCTCGTTCCTGAGCTCAAGACCGGCGCCTGTCCTCTCCATAACTTTTCTTTTCCCAGCACTACCATTCCCGCCGCCCTCGTCGTCCCTTCTGTACACCATGTCCCTGACCTCGTCGATGGAAAGAGGCCAACACATCCCCACATCCTTCGGCGGCTCCTCACTAGCAGCAACCCAGATACTCCTCGTGACCTCCTTCCCAAGCATTTCCATAACCGGCGTAATAATCGGCAGGACCGCGAACAAGGTAACGTAGCAGATAATACACGTGAGGAGCATATTGAGCCAGTATGGCAGATGCACAGAGGCGAAGTACACGCACACCAGACTGCCGATGGACCAGTGCACGAGGCCGTGGATGAGGTAGATAGTGAAGACGTGCGGGAAGAGCCAAAGGAAGGCTTTCGTGCTGAGGACTGCTTGGGTCCAGGTGGAGAGTTCGACGACGTATTGCAGGCAGACGGCGAAGACAAGACCGTGCAATTTCGGTTCGGTGTAATCCGGATATCCTGCTAGCGCCGTCTGACCGATTGGCAGGCCGGTGAGAGGCTCGGGATGGATACCTCTTTCATTAGTCGAGAAAGTCCACCCGGTCCAGATAGAGAAGAGATCGTTCGCCAGACTAAGCAAGACGAGGAAGATAGCAAGGTTGAGGAGAGGGTAGTGGAGCCAGGAGCGTGCGTGGATGTATTTGCGGTACTTGTATGTGATGTCGAGGTCGGCGAGCATGAGGCCGAACCAGAAGTAGGAGCCCCAGGACATGGCGTACCAGTGGTTGGCGATGCAGAAAGCATAGTAGCCGAAGCGTTTCCAGGGTGTTTTGATCTCGCGCACGATGACGACGCCTAGCAAGACGAGCCAACTATTCTGGAGTTGGACGGGGATGGTCCAAAGGACGCCCGTTCCGTAGTGGCCAGTGATGTTCGGCGCTGCGTTCGGGATGAGGTAGAAGAGTTGCAGAGTTTCGTTCATGAACCAGCCGAAGTTGGGGTAGACCACTGTCTGGGGCCAAGTGGACCAGGTGATGGAGGGGATGTACTCGAGGTACTTGGTCGCTCCTAGATCCATGAGGAAGTATTGGAGGACTATGACTGCCGTGATGGGTATCATGAGTCGAGGGACACGACAGACGATCTTCTCAGCTATGGTGCGGAGGTTGCCTGTTCGAAGGTAGCCGGAGCAGAGGAAGCGAGTGGATGTTGTGAAGAAGAGACCGACCCAGATGTCGTTGAAGAAGAAAGGTTCGATGGTCCGTCGGGCCCAGTATTCGCTCGCGTAATGAGAATCGAGGTACTCCATCACTACGCTCGGCGTGTACGTCAAGACCCAATGTTCGAGCGACACGAGAATGGAGCAGACGGCGACCAGGCCAGCGAGGTAGTCGACTCGAGTTCGGGCTTGCGGTAAGCCAACAGGTACGGGTGCAAGTTTCGCTCCTGGGTTGGCTGCTGCAACCGATCCTTCAGGCACGATTGCAGCTGTTGCTTTGACATCATTTTTGTTCAGTTGTGCTGGAATATCTGTGGTAGAAGCTTCGGGTCTGTCGACTGCTGTGGCTGGCCATGCCCATGCATTCTGTGTCTCGGGTGATAGTGGAGAAACAAGAGTCCTCTCGGAGTTGAAGGTCTCTGCGCGACGCGGTGGTGCCGGTAGAATGTTAAGGTCATTGCGATTGGAGTCACTCTGGCTGTATGTCGACTGGCGCTGGCTTCGTGAATTTCCTGGCGTGATGGCTGTAGTAGAATTTGCCGCAGTCGAGTCCTCATAAGGTAGCAGTGGCTTTCGCGACGAAGATCTGTCGTGCTGTACCAGGAATGCTGGCTGCGCCTTGGGATCTGATAATGTTGCCGAGCTGAATCTGTCGTGATTGACAGACTTCATATCAGACATTTCGTAGTCTCGCTGTGTGGTCCATGCTTGAGGCGTCTTATCGTTGGAACCCGTGCTCCCATCAGCCAATTTCGCTTTCGGTAGTGCTGCAGATCCCCCTGCTCGTTCGGCATGTTTATTACTCCTCCACTTCTGAGATAGAGCATGCAGAACGAGGGCAGCGCTGAACGCCAGCGCAATACCACATATCGCAATGCCTGCTGTTGTGGCATGTTTTCGGCCATGCGGCGTGTCTTCCGACCACCTCACAGTCGCTTGCTGGGAGTATGGCGTGGTGACTCGCAAAGTCATGTCATCAACAGAGCAGAACTGCGTGGAGTCGCACGCTGCCGATGTGAATTGTGTTGGCGGACCATATGAGGAGTTGAAGAACATTCGTACCCAGCCAATGGACGCTGCAGACGTGTTCTGAGGAGGGCCCTGCATGTAGGTTGAGTTGCCATTCGACCAATGCTTAAGGTATAAGGCTGTTGGCACATCCACGAGTGAAGCATCAGAGGTCAACGTAGTATTCAAGAGTGGGTACGAAGACTGGGCATTCACCAGCCAATTGATCACGTCAGAGTTCCAGTCGATTCGCCACTCCTGGAAGTTCCAAGCCCAAACACCATAGCTTGAATTAAGCATCGTGTAGTTGAGGGTCGAGAACGGTAGCGACAACTGGTCGCCAACAGAGGTAGACATGGAAGCATCAGGGTCGGAGATATCTTGGTTCAACAGACCTAGCTCAGCGGAGCTTGTCTCGTTGTACTCCAGCTTCATCGTGAAGACACTCCCTCCTGCCCAGGCATCCGGGCCCCTTGCGAGCGTACGAAATGTACCATACTGAATGTCCTGCCGTACCGTCTGCAGTTGAGCACCGTTCACCAGATGTTGTGGCGTGGCGGCCGAGACGTTCATGTTCAGCCATGATGGGCCTTCGAAAGACCAGTCGCCCTCACTCTCAACGAACTCCAAGTTCTCTGCCGTTGCGCCTTCCCTGTAGTAGATGTTCCAGCCCTTCTCGGAGGTATGTTCGAAGGTGTCCACGGAGAACACATCCTGGGGAATGCTTCCAGTTTCGTTAAAGTACACTATAATCGAGTCCGTATATACATTATTGTTCACTGTGTCCATAAATCCGCAATGGCAGTCCTGTGGCGCAGTGTGCGGTTCTGCTATTATGGATGATGTGCTGTTGTCTCCAGTGGTTTGCGTAGTGTTCTGTGCATATATAACTCGAACCAATGCACAGCTCAATAGCAAGCGCAGGATCGAGACCTGGTCGCAGCCATGCATCGCATGCCGTCAAATATATTTGACGAGAGGTAAATCTTCGAGAAATGGTTTTACGAGAGTCTGATAGTAGCCAGAGTATGCTTCCCGAAGCAGCACTACTCACATGCTCTGGCGAACGAAGGTGCACGATCTTGTTTGCATGTGGCGCTACCCACAGATAGGGCAGAGGTGGGCCATGAGTCGCCAAGGCCCACGGATGCTCACACGTATTCTAGCGGGATCACATCATAGTCGTGGCAACAAGCGGAAGTCCGAAGTGCAGTAGTGCCAATATGACAAGTGATAATCAAGATTGTGATTGATGAGACAAACGATATCTGGGCAGAGGTGGAGCAGTAGAACCGAAGGTCCCGGCGTCATTAAGGAGCATTCAAGTGGTGAGCTCCGCTTGTTCTGCGCTCCCGTGTCCACATTCGCTGCATTTTCAGTTTGAGACAGGCACGGAAACGGTCGCGAATTACATGTCATAATTTAGGAAAACTACTGATACTGGATTCCGGAGGCATATGCAATCGTGCGCGTTACAGTACATAGACATTATCGTGCTCTCTCACTATAGGACCACGATGCTCAATTGGCCGTAAACGTCTATACCTGCAGCAAGAGCAACCTGAACTGGGTACAGCACGAGCGCCACTGGCGCTGTCCACCAAGGTACAACAAAATCCGACCTAGCCGAGAACGCCATAGCAGAAGTGGCGAACATGCAGATGAGGCTGTTCGGGGATTAGCTAAATGCATGTGCAGCTGGCATGTTGACATGACTTACCCAAGAATGATGAACCAGTGGCAGACAGGATCACGAAAGTAGATTAGATCCGCTAGGTCCGCAGCCGAGTGTGGTGTTGTCGTAATCAGCATTGCGAATACTAAGCAGAAGTACTGAAGTATTGCGTGGTACACTATCCTCGTTCCTGGCAGGGTATACAGGATGTGCAGACGCTTCTTGATCGACCACTTGCTGGCTCCTCCCTCGCTCTGGCCCCTGTTTCTCTGAAAAGCCAGCTTCGTATATCGAAAACACGCTTGACTAGATTGTCGCGCCGCACTTACCTTCCGGCGAAGGTATGATCTGCTTGTTGGTGGACATGGCCGGTACGATATTACGCTCCCATCGTACAGTACCATATCACCCTTGTTGATGGCGACGTGTGCGAGATCCATGCCATCACACGACACCAATGCCGTGGAGCTTGATGCCGCTCGAAGAGTCTCCGTTAGCCAGAAGGTATTCGTCTCTCGAGGCATAGTCTGGCTCCAGCTGACTCCTTGACCTGGCTTCAACAGTCCCTCGGTCATATCCTGCTCGAGAGCGACGAGACTCGCGGATGAGGACTGTGGAACCATGATACTTCGCCCCTGCACAACGCTCACCTTCCCATTCTGGACGAATCTCGAGACTGCAGAGCGGATGGCATTTGGATGGAGGCGATCCAGGTTGCCAAACACAGCTGTAATGGTCGAGTGTGCCACGTGTGACTCCAGGCTCAGGCAATATAGCAGGCGAGAGGATAATGAGTCGATTGCGGTTGCGGGTAGTCTCAAGAACCGCAGATTGGGCGATTGCTCGTCAAAGTAGCCAGCAGAAAGTCCAGCTTCGTGATCTCTCGCAGATTGAAGTACAGTGATCTTCAATTTCTCCACGGGATAGTTGACTTGCGCGGAAATGCTTGAGAGATACTCATAATCGCAGCTCTCCTGCTCATAGTCGATGTCGAAAATGATGTGCACGGTCGGTAACGAAGCATCGTCCTGCTCGGGCTTCGAGGTATCAGACTCCAGCTTGGCGAAGGATTTACGTGCATCGCGCAACGTTGTCAGGCCGTCGTACGCTTCCAATGCTGTGATGCCAGCCGTGAGTGTGGCGATGGTAAGATAAAGGAACCAGAAGATCAAACGAGCTTTATCGTCAAACAGAGTATACAGCGAGACAGAGAAGACCAGGTATGAGACGAAGAGAAACGTGGCTGTCCATGAGAGCAACCAGCCCGAAAGTCCTCGCCGGTCATGCTTCTGTGCTTGTGGATGGGTCCTTGTGTCGTCGCTGTCGTCCGAAAGTGATGCAACTGATGAACCAGATTTGTCGTACTTCTCATGCGGGTCTGCCATACCAATCCGAGTCGTCTTCCGCCATCAGTAAATGCGAAAAGAATCGCAGATGTGAAGTCTGATTGCACATGTAATCGTTTGTACTATCGAGCACACCTGATCGTGTGCCCATGAAGCAGTGGCACAGCTAGCGCAAAGCTAAAGCCACCACTGCAGCTTCCAAGATAAACCGTGCGCCATCTCCAAGATTTTTGCCGACATGAGATCTGCTCAACCACTCAAATAGCCTTGCGAGCTATAGTGCGGAAAGTCGCCTATACACTTGTGCGCACGTTATCTCTCCAACCGGCTCGGCCATACGTAAGCATCTTGGCTGCAGTAATCAGCCAAGAGGTATGCGAGGCCGTATTCCGGCTTCAGTGCAGCCATTACAACCAATGGTTGCATCTCCCACCGATTCCAAGTAGTTCGGAGCCGAAGCCGGGCAAAGACACAGACTGTGCTTGGAAAGGTAACAGCAAGATTTCGGTCGCTTTGCAGTGGAGCCGTTATCGCCACTTCGCGCATTGTCTTGCCTATCAAACATGGATTGTTGGTAGTACCATCCCGCGGCCGTTCGGCAGCATTGTACGCTTGACAGGGGTGTCTCGTTCGTCGGGCGGAAGATCAATCTCGTGCAGCAGGTACGACCGAATGTGCGTGCTCGAGAACACAGACACCGTCAATCATCTTTCATCAGATGCGTGAACGAAAGTCGCTGCCATCATGGCTGGTCTCCGCTATCCCAGCACCACTTCTTGAGAAGACGCCAAAGACGGCCAAGAGCCATCACGATGCCGCTCAGGACTATCTCACTGGTGTACGAGGATGTCTGGCCATCATGAGCTTCCTCTGGGTGTTCATGCAAACTTTTGCACCTGGAGCGACGTACGGCTCCTCCGACACTGTCAGTCCATCGTGGCAAGCGGCCTTGCGGAAGTCGCTCTCAGTACTGTTCTGGAACGGATCCCTGATATACTCGTCGATCATATTCCTATCAGCAAGAACAGTATGTCTGCCTTTCTTGCTGAATCCGACAAAATTGCAACTAGCAAGCTCCGTCTTCCGCCGTGGACTGCGGCTATGGTTTCCTACCGCTGCAGCTCTCGTCGTCTGCTACATCGCTTTCAGCAACTCGAGTCCTCAGTACTTGGCAGACTTTGCAGCCACGACTGGTACAGCAGCTGTGAATAACGGCACCATGGTGGACAGCCTATATATCATGCCCACTTCGATCGTCAACTTCAATAGCATCTTCGAGATTTTCTGGGTGTCGCACAACTTTTCGTATCAAGCCGGTAACTGGGCCTTCCCGACTCAAACTCTCTGGGTGATCACCGCAATTTTCCAGCAATCATATACGGTCTTTGCCGTAATGGTCATTATACCGTTCACTCGCAAGAGCTGGCGGCTGTCGGGCGCTACATTTTTCATCCTGACTGCATGGTGGGTGTATTCGTGGGCGTGGTTTTCGATCTCAGGCCTTTTGCTGGCAGATATGATAGTCAGCATGGACTTCAAGGCCAAATTCCTGGCGAACCGTATCTGGACTGTTTCAGTTGGACTCCTCTGCATGGCAGCCGGCTTCGCTATGGAATTCATCTGGGCGACCATTCGTCCGGAGCTACGCAATGCCGAGATCAAGTACCATACCGGTCTGTACAGTACTGGTGGTATCAACACCACGGTCGATGCTACTGCTCCACAGCTAAGAGCTGACAATTACCTCGTCATCGTTGGCTTCTTTGTGCTGCTGGAGTCAACGCATTTCCTGCAGAAAGCTTTCGCTAATCCGGTATTCACCTTCCTTGGTCGAAGATCGCTCAGTCAGTACGCTCTATACTTGCCAATCAGACCCTCCTGCTGACTCCGTACAGGCTACTTCCTCCTGCAATCGATCATAGTATACACACTAGGCATCAGAGTGGCAATGGAGATCATGAATGGCTCGATCGAGACGTATTCGAGGGCGAGTGGCGTGGCATTCATCGCTTCCTTACTCGTGACGGTCGTAGCTGGAGAGGTCTTCTACTGGCTTCTCGATGTGCCATCACAGCAATTCGCGCGCTTGGCGTTTGCATGGATATTAGAATGATTTGTAGATGAAGCACCGCCGCCACAACGAATGCGGAGAGACCGTTACAGAGCGCTGCATTGTGTTCAACATACAAACTCAAGAACATGAAAAGTCATGCGACACTCTCAGGCGTCCCATGGGACGTCAAAATAAGGTAGTAAATGGAAATGTGCTGGTCCGAGTCTACTGGCAAACACGTGCTGCACGCAATAGCCAAGACTGGCGCAGCAAAGGCGCCACGCGCGACTGAACGCCGGGCCCGTCGAAACGAAAAAGCACACAACGAAGTCTGTTTATTGATGTTCACGACACCTTTGATCGTAGGCTCATACACAGTCTATCTCTGCACGAGCAAGACCACACCTACTACACTCTGCCTTGCTACATGGAATCGCGGGTCACCAAGAGTTCCAACATCTCGACTGGGGATCTGGAGCGACTCGCATCACGCGTGCCATTGTCATAGCTCACGACAGTGACATACCGCGGACATGCCAGGCCACCCTAGCCACAGCTCAGTCTGAACAACTCAACTCATACACGTGCCCATCGTTATTATCGACTGGAACCACCACCCCGCCGTTGAGCAGTCATCAACGCGGTGCTGAAGGCAATACTTCTTGAAGAAAAACTAAACACCACGCTCTAACAAGAACAAAGATCTCGTTGGCCACGGCGGGTAGAGCGATACTTGACTCGCTTTATGGCCTGCTGCATTGCACGATGATGGCCTTAGAACAGACCAAGACAGTAGCCGATGACTCGTACAATATGGCTTACCCACGAACAAGATGGACTCACTTCAGACATGCCTGGCCCTTACGGAAGAACAGCCTGTCATGTCATGTGATGTCTTGTGATTGTAAAGCAGACATTTGCAGGTATAGATCATGAAAGAGGTGCTCGGAACCTACGCTCGAGCGGATTCCTCGTGAGACATGGGAAGACAAGCAACAAAGACGATACCACGCCAAACCATCGCTACCACACTGAGATGTCTCTTGGGTCTCAATTCGTCTATCTCAAGACCGAGCAGAGCTAAGAGAGTGCCAACATAATAAGTACTCTGATATCGCCCTACGTTAGTTTCGTTCTCCAGATCATACCAACTCATACTTTCTACACATAGCTGCTGGTCAGCCTTCTTGCTTTCACTTCTATCACTACACCCTCTGCACCTGCTCTCAAATAACATAATCTCGACCATTCAGTACTCCCTCTCCAGCTTGAGCGACAGCTAATACCACTACACTCACGACCCCTACCACAACCTCAGAATGTGCTGCCAGCTGATCTCCTTGGGACGCAGTGACAACATTCTCCATCAGCAACTCCCCTTGAGTCACTCCAAAGCATCTCAGCTGTTCCCTACTCCGCCAGTCTCACCATCATACCATAGTGCTGTCTACAAGGCCCTTCTGTTAGAAATAGCACTTTCCCTCCTTTTCCCTCCAGAGTTCCCCATGAGGCCAACGACCGACTTCTTACCTCTCAGCCCAGTCGAGTCGCCTGTACACAAGATCTGCTCAAGCTCCAGCGGCGATGACGGCGGCGATGGCAGACACGGCCACTGGCGTCAAGCCCAGATCAGCTGGAAATGCAATTCCAACAACCAGCTGCCTCCAGAATCAATCCCCAATACCAACAGCGGGAGCGATGACGGTGCCGATGATCAAAACGGCACCAATCGTCGAGCCCAGAGCACCTGCCCATGCAGCAACGACTCTCAACGCCCGGAAGACAAGAAAGCGCCCACTCCTCCCGCTATACGCAAGCCAAAATACCACAAACGTCACGAATGGGAACTGAAACTCAACATCCGCCACAATGTTCTCTGCTACGGCCCCTACTGCAAAGGCCCCAAATCCCGGCCAGGGGTGCGGCAGCTGCATTGGCAATGCCGGAGGTGTGCGATGCGTATCTGTCTGCTATGTAAGGAGCGGATTGCTCAGAAGGAGCTGAAGTGTGGGTCCAAGTACCTCTGTCGTCGACGGACGGAGAAGTGGCCGAAGGTGAAGGGGAGATGGTCGACGCGGTGGAGGTCTGGTTGTGGTCAGTAGGGAGGGAGTGGAGAATGGTTTGTGTGTGTTTTATCAAGAGTGGGATGTTGCACGAGGATTTCGCAATGTATGCGATATCTGAATTTCCGTCTGTTGGGTATTCGAGCGCAGGCCGGCGAGAATAGCTTAGATAGCTGGTCTATTTAGATCTTTCATCCGACAGAGACTTTCTGAGTGCCCGCTGCGCTTGACGCGATCACAGCGACCTCTGAAGCGATAATGTTCGCCAATGCTCGCTATGCGTAACTAAGTTCACAGCGCACCTCTTGACACTTTCCTCATGACTTCTTCTCCGCCGCAACAGCCTTAGGCCTCTCCACCACCTCGCCAACAGCAGGTACCTTCGGCGCCTCCCCACCCTTCACGTCCGCCTTTCCCTTCGCCTTCAGACTCGTCGAATCCTTCGGCAGCTCGTTGACATAAGGTAAGAAGCCCTCCTGCAAATCCTCAGGCATGTACTTCCTCAGCACTTCCGGTACCTCAACGCCGTCTTCACGTTGGTAGTTCTCTAGCACGCAGCAGAGAGCTCGCTCGGTGGCGCATAGAGTTGAGTTCAGAGCGTGGCAGTAGGTTTTCTGGAATGAGGTGTCCGACTGCTTCTTTTGTCCGTACCTGGGATGGAATATTAGTGAAAGCCGCATTGATTCAGTCATCTTCGCTCACCTGATCTCAAGCTCCCGTGTCTGGTAATCCGTGCAATTCGAGCAAGATACCAACTCCTTGTACTCGCCCTGATACGGAAACCAAGCCTCCAGATCATACTTCTTCGCCGCCGCATTATTCAGCGCACCAGAGACAATCGCCACTACCCGATACGGCAGCTTTAGACTCTTGTAAAACTCTTCTGATGTGTTAATCATCTGATCGAAATGCTCCCACGAATCCTCCGGTTTGCAGTAAATAAACTGCTCGATCTTCTCGAATTGATGAACTCGGAAGATACCCCATGCATCTTTCCCATGTGAGCCGGCTTCTTTGCGGAAATTGGTTGAGTAGCCGGCGTATTTGATTGGGAGGTCGGTGTTGCTGAGCCACTCACCTTCGTGCATGGCTGAGATGGGTTGTTCCGAGGTCGCGATGAGGTACTTGTCACTAGCTGGGTCGTTGTCGCGCTCGGTCACTTTGTACAGTTGATCATCGAAGTCTTCGAGTTGGGCCGTTTTGGACATGGCTTCCCGGAGCATGAAGTAGGGTGGCTGACAGGCTTTGTATTGCCTTTTCCGCAGGAACTGGACGCCGTAGTTGATGAGTGCTTGGTTAAGGAAGAAGCCGACGTCTGTGAGACAGTAGCCGCGATGGCCGACGATCTTGACACCTCGGTCGGGGTCGTAGCCGCCTATTCGGAAGAGCACTTCGTGGTGTGACATACAATCCTTCTTCTCCACTGTTACGCCTTCGGGAGTCCAGTCTCGTTCTTTGGTGTTGTTGTTCTCGTCTTTGCTGTTTGGTACTGTTTCGTGGACATAGTTGCCGATCGTCTTGACTTTTTTGAGCAATGCGATCTGCTTCTGCCGTGCTTGCTCCTCTAATTGCTCCTTTTCCTTGCCTAGATCCTCCTTCTGCTTCTTCAATGCTTCAAAATCCTCTGGCGAGCCCTTATTCTTCTTGTTCAGACTCATATCTTTCTGCACTTTGTTGATCTTGGCACCCATCTCTGTACCGGCCGCATACTGTGTCTTCCTGTGGTCCTCAAACATGGCAATTACCTCATCCACCACTTCCTCTGAGGCATATCGTTTGCGCTGCGACGCCTTGATCTTCGTAGGGTCACCGCCTCGCTCGGTGATGAAATCATTGACGTCTAGCATGTTGGCGCGTAGCTAATATGATGTCTCCTGGTGGTCGTATATCTTTTGCTTCAGACGAAAGTGTTATGTAGGGACTCGAACGGTGACTGTTTATTGGCTGTTTCTGCCCACTTCAAAATGTCGCGTGAATCAATGGCTCGACGCAGGGCATGTGAGTGGCGTAGCTCGGGGCGGACCGCTGCGTTGCGCCACACCTGAAAACGCCACGTATGGCATGCCAACGACAAGCAGGAACAAGAACAAGTGGCAGTGATCAACTCTTGCCACTCGCGGATATGTAATAAGACTCATCTCTTGCTAGTCATTGGGATATACGCAGCACTTCAATCCTAAAACGAAGCTTCGGGATCTCCACTTGACCATCATGCACACTTCTCAACTACTCCTGGCTCTGGCCACTACTTTAAGGTCGACCACATATGCCAAAGCAACTCGATCAAACAGCGTCTCTCTGTCCAGCGTCAAGTCCCTCACCCTCCGAGATGGCGCTCTCACATCAGCCCGTCGAGTCGAGCCCATACCGCAACTAACCTGCATCGGCGGCAACGCCAAGGGCCTCTACAACGTCGACGTCATGAGATGCGAGAATGCAGGTTACGAGTACGATGCCGCAGAAGTTCAATGGACCTGCAAAGCCTCGTTACCCCCGGAGTTTAAGCTAGGCAGTACAGACGTCATCTGCGAAGGCTACGATTCTCCCGATGATCCGCATGTGCTCAAAGGCAGCTGTGGTGTTGAGTACCGGCTGGTCTTGACGGCGGTCGGGGAGGAGAATTATGGTAGCCGAGCGGATCAATATGCCTACTCTGGAGGAGCGGGTGGGAGTGGTGTTCAAAGTGCCGCTGATCGTCTCTTCACTGCATTGTTCTGGCTTGTATTCATTGGTACGTCGGTCTTACCATTACATGAACTGAATACTACTCTGACTAGATCATAGGCGTGCTCTGTCTCATCATATACAGGATATTCATCGTACCGCCTGGCCAGGGTCCACCAGGTGGCAATCGCCGTGTTAGCTGGAATGGTGGCGGAGGGGGCGGAGGAGGCGGTCCGGATGACAGACCCGATGATCACCCTCCACCTCCGTACACGCCCCGTAATCCAAAGTCGGCTTCTGACCACGCTGCCAATAACTACCAGTCTCAATCTGGACAGCAAAGTGATGGCACATGGCGACCTGGGTTCTGGACTGGTGCAGCTACTGGTACGTGCCCTCCTCCACTTCCATTAAACACGATGTCCGAGCTAACAAGTTGACAGCTGCGGCAGCTGGCTACGCAGCCAATGCCTTCAGTAATCGCAGCAACAACAATACCCGACCAACACGTAACCGTGTCTACAGCTATGATGATCAGCCAGCAGCCGGACCTTCGAATCGCTTCGGTCGAACACAAGATCCTTCTCCACCAAGACGCAGCAACAATGGCGGTGGCGGGTCTTCCTGGTTCGGCGGTGGCGGCGGAGGTGCAAGTTCATCGAGGCCGAACAGTGGCTACACCTCTTCAAACTCGTTCTCGAGTCCGCCGAGTAGTAGTCGGCATGAGTCTACGGGCTTTGGCGGCACGAGCCGTAGATGAGAGCGCCGGTCGCTCTTGCCATACGCGGACGAGGCGTTTGTTGGTCATGTGCCGCCAAGCTCCCACTAAATGAAAGATCGTGTCCCTTCACAATTGGATCCTATTGTGCAGTGTCAAACAAAAGCGTCCACCACCGACTTCTCCGCTTCAATATCCAGTCTACGGTACCGGAGTCTGATAAACCACCGAAAACATGATCAGTCTGGTGGCAAGATCGCCCCAGGCATCTGGCGACGACCACGCAGGACTGCCGCAGTCCCACACCGACAAGCTTGAGGTAACACCAGCACTGGTCCAATTATTTGACCTAAGCTGACTCGACGCAGATCGTCCAAGCTGCGCCGCTGCTCCGCCTCCCACAAGAGCTGTGTGATCGGATCGATGGCTATGTATACCTAGATCGCAAGTCATCGACGGCAGCCAGGAAAAGAGCGAAACTCCAGTCATCGTCATGGGTATCATCGACCAGCCTACGCTTCTCACCAACAATTCATTTCCGCGAACATATCGCTCTCACACAAACGTGCCGCCAACTCCGCACCGAGACCCGCTTCTTGCCGTACAAGCCCTGCGGTTTCGTGGTCAAAGTCGCCACTCCGATACTTCCCATTCACCGTCACTGCGTTAGGGCGCAGAAAGATACATGGTGCGCCTCACCGGCACTGATCGCAATCGCGAAATACCTTCGAGTCCTCGGAGCAGCCGTGGCAATGATGGATACGCTGCTCGTTGTAGAGGGCGGTCGATGCGGGAGTACTTACAGTCTCACAAAGAAGATCAAGGATGCACGAAAGGTGGTAGAGATCAAGCTTGAAGGCAGCAAGGTGCATCTCCTGGGAGTCGGCTGTGCGCTAATTCAGCAGGTCATGAGAATACTATTTGCTAGCTATGTGGAGGTATTCGAGGAGGCTGGCTTTGCGGTAGAGTGGTACTTCGGGTCGGACATGATTCTGGAAGATATCAAAATCAGAAGCTGGATGACAGAGTCGTAGTCGCAGATTTTCGTTTTCTAGTCGATCGCGCGGAGCTCCAGGCTAGATCGACTCTATGACTGCTTGTACTTGCCGAGTGCGGGTACTTTCATGTCATATATCATCAGCAAAAGTGCATCGGCGCTACAAGCTCTGGGTCGAAGCATCTATTCTCACATAAGCAGCTTAACTTGCATTACGAAGGCACTCATCGATTTGAAGATCGTACACCTGTCGCTACCACGATTCGAGATATCTTCACTTTTGATGGTCGACCTGGTATCACGCTGAAGCGCCCTATGGCTACCGATATAGGGTGTATAGAAAGCCACATAAGCTACGAACCATAGACCGCTACTGCTGCTCCTGCACTATTGTTCCTCTGCGCACGAATGTCACACGTGAGCAGGAAACAAAGCAGATCTGAACAATGCTATTACCGCCGGACCTATGCCGCTTCAACCTTTGCTAGCATCGTCACAAGTGGCTGCAGACACAAGTGAAGTCAAGAGTCGCAACTTCGAATCTGATCTGAGAGCACTCTCATCGTTGGACCCGGAAGCTCAGAACATAGCGTTGCAAGCACACGAAAGATGAACAGTTCACCACTTCTCAGCCTCCCTGCGGAGCTTCGAAAAAGGATCTATGAGTATGTGTACGCTGTCACGACAATAAAGGCCCTATCACGATTGCTCTAATCGACCAGACGCGCTCCCTCGGTAATAATGCTTTCCGTAAGCACATCGCTTTGACACAGACCTGCCGCCAGCTTTGGAACGAGACTCAACTTGCATGCTTCGCAACCACCATTTTCGTCTAAGCATGTTCGGACTCAATCTTACAGACACACACTTGTCCGTGGTTCGACCGCTCGAGCACATGCAGCTGGGGAACGCGTACCTTGACTCGGTCTTCGATTCAGAAACACTGGCAAGCCTGAGCAGTCTAACCCTCGAACATAGATCCCAGATGCGGACTCGAGTCGTCGTCACCTTCAAGAAGGGAGGAGAGGCAAAGCGGACCACTTGCGAGTATTCTGACTCGCACCATACTATCGTCTCGCGATGCAGCCATAATTTTCTCCAACCTCGACCAGACGTTGGAGAATGCTGGATTTATGGTGACGTGGTGTAAGAAGGGAGCCGTGAGGGGTACGATCGTTGAATAAAGATCGCGGGCTTGAGCATGGACTGAACGAGGACCATTACGCTGTGTCAGCGTACGATACGAGAGGCGTACGTACTACCAATACTCTTGCGGGCTGATGAAGTGGGTAGCCGGGGTCAAATTTCTCTTGAAAGCATGGCCTCCTGTTATTCGCACTATATAGCGATACTGAAGAGCCCTTACGACATCTCCATACGGCATACTGGCAAAGCTGTTCTCCATCACAAGACTGGCATAACCCTCCCATACATACATATCTTTGATAGCAGGCACGCCTATCGCGGGTGATGCCAAGCTGGTGAAGTCACTACGAAGATGATGAAAGCCGGCCATTCACGGTGCCTGATGATGGCCCTGAATCACGTAAGTCGCGCAGCCGCGCTCTAGACACAATTCGTGATACTTCGTTCACACGGTCAGGGAGCCTGCAAGATCCTCGAGCAGATGTTTGTGGGCAGGCAGGGCAACAGACGAGTCGGGTGTAGAGCAATATTCACTCTAGATCGATCTAGCTGTATTTGGCATTCACGTTGGGATGAATTGCGCGTATGCCGCACAAGCTCGCACGTTTGTACGCTGCTTTCCTGCGGCCAGCACCACAAGCCTTCCTACGACTTCTTGCGCCATCGAAGCGGGTTACCTTCGAGCATAGAATATCAATCGACACGACATCTCGAGTTCGACTTCTATCAAGCATGAGACCACTTTTGAGAAAACTGCTCGGCAAGAGGTCAGGAAGGCCACGCTCAGAGGTCGCCGCAAGTGTCTTTAGTATCTTCGAACTATGCGAAGCCATTCTCAGCTACTTGACACGGACTGATCTGCTTCACGCCCGACAGATCTGCAGGACCATCGTTCATACAATTGGATCATCGCCAAGCCTAAAGAAGACGCTGTTCTGCGCTGCCCAGGACACCACTACAACGCAGACCTGGACCCTCAACAGATTGACCAAGACCGTCAATGTTGGCGGGCCAACCAAAATGCCGCCAGGCTTTGATCGTCTCCGGATGCAGACTACCGTCGAAGCCTACGCATACAACTCGATCCTGCTCCATCGCGAGAAGCATTGGTTTCCATACGATTTGTTCTGGCGTTGTGAGCAGCATGATGATCTGCATCTCAAGCACCCGAAGCTGTTGCAGCTATTGCAGCCCGACTCGATGTTTCGACAGATGTACTTCACCCAGCCACCAATCAAGTACGTCAAGCTGGAGGTCTCATGTGATCAGGATGGCCCATGCAGCTGGCGATGGCCACGGCATGACCGTCAAACGCTTCTCACGACAGTTGTGTACAATGAGGCCGGAGTCACTGTCGGGGAGCTCATTGACGAGCTGGACAGGCTGGAAGAGAGGGGATCTCGTGTCGAACAACTTTCTTTTCCTGAAGGCGGCGCCTACGTGAGCCCGGCAGAGATGGACCTTGTGAAGAGCCTAAGCACAGTGTCTTGTGTTCCGCCAGAATTCAAAAGGTTCCCAAAAAACAAGCTTGCAATTGGGCTTATGGAAAAAGATCGGATCAAGCCTGCTCGCAAATGGTGGCAGAGATGGATCTTTGCTACGCAACCGTGACAGACGTGAAGCAACTGCAAAGGGGACGACTTACGACGACCAATACATAGATATCTGCCCAGCGACTCCTGGTCTTGCACACTTTTGTGACCGCGGCCATGTCCCTTTTCCGCGGCAACTAAAGACGCCAGGAAGCATGCCACTGGTTACACAACGGCAAGCAGTCTGCCGTGTGTGACGTCCGCCCGAGAGATTCTGCATCATCGACCCAGTCTGAGACAGTTATCACTTTGCACATAGCAGGCTTCGCCTGGGAAGTTGGTACGGCCCTGAGTGGCTCGATCGAACCGCACAAAGACCTGCACATCCGGCTCATAGCTTACTAGCCTTCGGCTCGATGAATAGTGCATCTCCACTAGCACAAACAATCTCCTCTCCATAATCATCCTCGCCATGCGAGACATGCTGCTTGACCACTGCATGTATCCATTCTTTCCTTCCCTCTCTCCTCGTATATCGTGCGGTGCATATGAGGCCACCAGGCGTATGGACAGGCTTCAAGTAGTTCACCGTGAGCGTGGCTGTGAACGAGCTGATACCGTGAGGTGGACTTTCGCCAGAGTCGAAGCCCTTGCCAACCCGCATGAAGTGTGCTCTATCGTGGTTGGCGTTCTGCAGTATACCCATCGCCTCGTCCAGTATCGATGCCACAATGCCACCGTGTAGTATGCCTGGGTGTCCGTTCATGCCATCGCCCATGAGTATCAAGGTTGACACTTCCTCGATTTTCTCATCGTCGTCTGCTGGCTTTGTGAAGAAGGAGATGCATGACGTGATCGTCCGAGGAGACTTCAGTACCTCTGCAAATAACGAGTCCTCAGTGCTCGACTTCGAGTTCCTGGACCCAGGCACTCGAAATATAATGTTGGGACGGTCGATCAGATGGGCAGCCCAAGGGATTCGGAGAAAGGCTGCTTTGGTATCGCCGGCAGACATGATCGATAGAGCTGAAGGTGAACTGTACAACATGAAACAAATGCAGGCCACGATGGCCGATCGAGTGTGGCTCACATGGACGTAGCGGTGTAGAGTGTGCAATATGTAATAAGATGTGGTTGGTGTGATCGACAGGGCAGGGATGAAGCGGACCTCGGGACAGAACAAAGCAGAACTTCACCACGCTCCTCGCTCTTCTCTATGAACTGCATTTTGTTTAGTTATCCTTTCGTTGTGCCATCTGCTAGACCATCCCCTCCGAGAATGGAGACCCGCCGAACCAACAACATTGATCTGGCCATCATTGGCCACCATGTACGGCAGCGGGATGTCAACGCCCATGACAAACGATACCTTGCAGCGACTGAGTTCAGATTGGATCGCGTCATACAGCTCGTCGAATGTAACGCCATGCTCATTGCTGACCACTGTGTGACACCGCGGCCCAGTGCGGTCTTGTCTTGATCTGCATCGGTATCTTCGAGAGCGATAAGACTTCTTGCCGTAAATTGCGAAGCCGACCTTGGTTGATGGAGACTGAGTGAGGTAAATGAAGCGACAGATAGCCTCTTTATTGATGATCTGCTTGGTGTAGATAGCGACAAGGATCTCTTGTGCCCTACCCTCAGCATCAATGATCTTAAGCCACAAAGGTTCCTTCTTGGCCACTCCCTCTGACTCGTGGACTAAAAGTTCGTTGCGAACACAAGGGATCAGTTCCTGTACCTTTAGCCCAAGGTCACTGAGCTGAGTTTCGAGACTTCAGATTTACTATCTGCCGCGACACCATAGCTTGCTAGGCTAAATTTGCCGTCTTTGTTCCATGCACCACGAAGTTACGATGTCCTTTCGGGCTTTACCCAGTGCTCATATCTTCACGGCATTCTGCCAGCAACAGTTCCGACAGCAACTCCAAGCATATGCTCGAGGTAGCAAGCTAGATTTTTGTGTCCGGCACAGAACCCGACTCGCAGTAAGACATCGTGTTCTGACTTGGCGCCTTGATGATACTACTACTGCCCCCCACGGACAGGCGAAGTCTCTAGCTGCTGGACCGCCGCAAAGTGTTTGCTCTGTGAGTTATATTGTAGTTGCTTACTCTACCTATCGGCTTTGCGTAAGATGACAATAGCATATCGCTCTTACTCCAAGCATCAGATCGATCTGGAGGACTGCCCATACCCAGCGCTTACTTCGATGTGGACAATCTACATGTCTCTTCGTTTTCCCCACTCCTGCAAGCTAGCATATAGCACGATCTTCATATCCCGTGACCTCCTAGCTCGGGTTGTACTGCGATCGGAACTGCCACCTAAACCACCGCACTACCTTCTATCTGTGTTGCGACGACTGATAGGTCCAGGTGGTGGCGGCGGCACTAAGTCGCGATTCATTAAGGATCTGCGTTTCCACCTCCCGCGAGTGGGGAGCAACGGCGAAGTATCGGGCTCCCCCGCCGATCGATGAGGCTGCCTGGACGACCCAAAGCGCCATCTCTAGGATCGAACAGCGATACGCGCCACTCGCTGTGCCGGAATCGATCATCGTCGCTAGTGAAAGAAGAAGACCGTCCTAAATCAGGAGTATTTCGAGATGGTCTCCGAGAACTGTCTTTTGGGAAAGGGTCGTAAGAGTGGCCTGATCCACTGTAGTTGCTAGCATCCCACCTCGAGCCCATTCGAGGGCCTCTTCCATCCATGCCTGGGGGCCCAGCAGTTGCTGTCAGGCCTCCAGAGTACGGAGCGCGATCGATACCTCCCGGTGTATATGGTGAGCGGACAGGAGAGTTGCGTCCCGAACCACCACTACCATACCTGTCACCTGCTAAGGCTGGGGAGTTGCGGCTGGGACGGGGAGAGTTGCGGCCGGAGCGAGGAGAGTTGCCACCAGAGGAGACGTAGACGGGCGAGTTGCGGCCAGAGCGAGTCGGGCTCCTTGTCCTGGAGGGTCTGAATGGATGCCCATTGATCATACGAGGATCGAAGGGGTCGTAGGAGTAGCCCGAAGACGAGCCATACGGAAAGCCAGACATCGTGGTATCAGAGAATGGTATTAACGTATTAATGGTCGAGCTCGTTGTGAATAGCAAATATCCACAGGTGCGGTGTGGCGGTCGTATTGTTGGTGAAGAGTAGACTATTGAGTAGCTTGACCACTGAAGCTGAAGTATGCGTGCAACGGTGTTGATGGGAGAAAGAAGCATGAAACCTTCGATATAAGTGCCTTTCAAGATGGCGTTGGCCTTGGTGAACGGTACGAGAAGTGTGTGCCGACAAGTGACTGCATCGACATGTGTGATAGAGTCATTATCGGGCCTGGGGTAAGCATCATATCCCATTCACTTTGTTTCCTTTGTTACTGGCTCGTATATTTGAAAGGCGTGACGTAGAAGGAACACGATCCATATCACGCATGTCGTTGCTCGAAAACAGCTGGCGACCCTCGTGCCTGTGCCAATCTCTGGAAACGCTGCTCAGACGACTCTTCGCGTAGAGAGCTGTGCATGGCGAAGTCGCTGCGGTCCATGGAATTCTTCACCAGGGTTGCGGCGCCTTCGTCTTCCAGAAACTTCCAAACCACTTCTGCGGCGGTATGCAGCATCCTTGATCAGCCATTCGCCAATCGAAGATCCTCGGAGACTCTGTTGGAACCAGCCACGACCTTGAAGACATACCCGATGACAAAAGGAAGCTGGGACTCATCTTCGATGTATTCCTCCGTGAAACATCTTACCAGATCGGCATGCAGATGCGTCTGAAGTTTGCGAAGCAGTCTGCTGTTCCGTAAGTGAAGGCTGATGTAGTCGAACTTGAGGTGGAGCTCTTCGCTTGCCATACCTTCGCGGACCGCGGTAAGGAGCTGCAGGGTGTTTAATTGCTTCTAGGTAGCAATGGTGGATGAAAATGCTGCTACATCAACAGATGTTGGCCCAATGGGTGGAGTCTTCGTAGCGACCGCCAGCATCACGACAATATTGGCAGGTGACAGATTGATCGGGCCTCCAGCGATGAACTTCTCATGGAAGATATCCTTAACTGGACTCGTCGTTTTCAGCCCACGTGGACCTTTCTTCGCGGCAGTGATTAGCGCCGTGCCTCCAGGACGGCGGTTCCTGGCGAGATTGCTTGCGCTGACACCCAGTGCAAGAGTGAAGCGCTTGAGGAAGTCTTGAGGTTCTGTAGGAGGTGCGCCGACGAAGATTCGGGAAGCAGAATGTGTGTCCAGGACGTAGTCAATATCATCCCACTCCTGCTTGAAACCAGCGCCGTGGTGGATCGCGTTGTATAGATGTGCTGGGTAGACTGCAGTGCCCCAACCGTTGCACAGCTGCAAACCGCCATCATTGAGCTGCATGTTGAGATAGAACACCAGTAGACCGGCCAGTACAGGCTGATTCTTAAGAAGATGGAACGGCTTTGGCTGGACGTGGGTGGTACGAGAGATTGGATGCTTTCCAATCTTGTCTTCTTGGGTCCACTCTTGAGCAAGATCTCTGAGCTTTCTGAAGAAGACGTCGTTCTCCTTCGGTCAGCTTGGCACATTTCTGTGCTGGCTATATCTGAAGTAGCTGTCCAATGTGGCAATGACGTGTCTGTGGCCTGGAGATCAACCCAAGGCATGAAAGCAGAAATGCGCATAACGTGGTGGATATCAAGCAGGACCTGGGTGGCGAAGACTGTGTACATTGGCAGACCATCAATACTATTGGCGTTCATCATTTTGCGCAGACCGGCCATAAGCTCGTCCTCGAATGGCAAGTGCATGTTGATGCGCGCAAGCTTAGTGAATTCTGGGAGCAGCTCCCAAAGCACGATCTTGTCGTCGCGACGCTTCTCCGCTAGACGCCACTCCATTAGATACAGTCCAAACAGTGGTGGAGCTGGACTTACGGAGTGATAGATCCCAGTAGGAAACATTGGAAATGCGGCTGCCAAGTTGCCCAGGCTTCAGTACTGGCAGACGTGATTTATCAAGGATGTCTGAGTAGTCATCGAGCAGACTGAACGGAGGCATACATATCAAGTCCCCAAGATCCTCGCTCATTTCGACCTCTTGCACGCCGTTCGAGCCGTTGAAAATGCCGAGTTGTTCAAAAAGCCGTGCGATCAAGCTCGCGTGGCCAGTGATACCTGGCACTGTGTCGCAAAGCTCATCAGAGGAGTGTCTAGATGACGATATTCATAATGTGACATGTCTACAGGCCTTGAAAGTACTTACCGAAGCAGCGTGAATGCAGTCTTGGTGGTGACTGCAGCACTCATGACGTCTTCGGTGCCGTGACAATAAGCCGTCCAGACTTCCATGATATACCTCCGGACGTCGGCAAAGTCCTTGAAGAAGGCCATGATAGCGAACACCTGCTTCTCACCATCCATCTCAAGCTCGTACGTAGGAGCAGAGGCTTGCTTAGGTCTCATGCCCATCTGCTCCACTGGCATATCATCGCCGTCTTCCACATCTTGAACAGCAAGCGCCTCAAATAGATTTGTGACGGTAGCATGGTCGGCATGGTGTTCAGGCTTGGTTGGTTGTAGAATGGAACGTACATTTTCGAGGATGGTGATGAAGTGGCGATGACCGCCATCAGCTGTGGTTCTCCGAGCAGAGGGTTCTTGCTGTGTAATCTTTGAGTACAGAGCACTCGTGGCCTTGCGCAGCTCAATCACGCTCTTGATCACGGCGACGATCGAGCGCGGTATCCTGATCTTCGGACTATGAAGCGCAGCGATGGCTTGGACCAGTGGAGTGAAATGGGCCAGAGGGACTTCATACTTGGGAGACGTGGCGGCCTTGGATTTCTTGGAGGACTCGCCAGGTGCTCGTCCAGCATCGATTCTTTTCGCCGCGTCGTGCCCAGCTCGTTTGGCCGCTTGTACTAGCCATGTCGCAATGCGAGAGGTGCCAAGCTTGTAGGTTTGGTAGGTGTCTATGCTGCTTCGTGCAGCCATCTTTGGTCGAGAGTGTGGGTCCAGGTGTACTAACGGTGTGAGTCTCGATCTTATATTGTCAAACGAATACGTCTATCATCAAATTGATGTGAAAAGTTGGGTAGGTGGAAGAATGCAGACGCGTTTGCTGCAAACGGATATTTCGCCAGATCAGGGTAACATCATACTTGCTTACCACCTCTTTGATAACAGGCAAGTCTACATCTAAGCGAAGTTGGTTGTGTCTTATGCGTCCCAGAACGAAAGGTTTGCAAGTTGTCTTTGGGTAGGGTTAGGCTGGTGGGAGAAGAGTCTGAGAAGCGACTGATCTCGAAGAGGAATGGTGGATATGCACGCCACAGCGCGATCGGCAGGCACATGGATCAATTGCGTGCGCAAGGAAAATGTTTGGAAGCTGTGTCATCATGTCACATGTGTCTGTACATTTTTAGCGTACAGGTAGGTGACTCAAAGAACATCTCCTGCGTCTCTACTCTTCCCTATTCCTTCACCTATTCACTACAGCCTACGAGATCATGACTAGCACACCCTCCGCAGCCCGCGAGATTCCACTTCGCAACGGCAACGGCAATGGCAGCACAAACCCAGGCGAAGACCTTACACGGACTGTCTCCAGCTCGTTCGGCACATTAGACAATCTCTCTAAATCTCCTACAGCTACTTTCCACAGCACACCCTCGAGCTATGGAGGACACCAAAAGCCGTCAACCAAGCAGCTGAAGCCCTTCCACACCGAAGACATTAAAATCCTGCTCCTCGAGAACGTGAACAAGACCGGCCAGGAAATCCTCCGGAAACAGGGCTACCAGGTCGAAGCACTCAAGAGCTCGTTACCTGAAGATCAGCTGATCGAGAAGATCCGGGACGTGCATGTCATCGGTATCAGGTCAAAAACACAGCTCACAGCGAGTGTCCTCAAGCATGCCAAGAACCTAATCGTAATCGGCTGCTTCTGTATCGGTACCAATCAAGTCGATCTCAAATACGCGGCCGAGAATGGTATCTGCGTCTTCAACTCGCCCTTCAGCAACTCGAGATCGGTGGCAGAACAGATGATTGGCACCATTATCATGCTGGCTAGGCAAATTGGTGACCGCAGCAACGAGCTACACCAAGGCATCTGGAACAAGGTATCAGCAGGATGCTGGGAGGTGCGAGGCAAGACGCTGGGTATAGTCGGATACGGACATGTGGGCAGTCAGCTGTCAGTCCTGGCCGAGTCGATGGGCATGAAGGTGATATACTTCGATGTAGTCAACCTAATGAGCATGGGCACATCTTCGCAAGTACACAGCCTGGATGAGCTGCTCAAGCAGGCCGACTTTGTCACGCTACATGTGCCTGAGATCCCGGAGACGAGGAACATGATTTCGACACACCAACTCGAGCAGATGAAGCAGGGCTCATATCTACTTAACGCATCGCGAGGCAGTGTAGTCGACATTCCGGCTCTGATCAAAGCAATGCAAGCTGGTAAGCTTGGCGGTGCAGCTCTCGATGTTTACCCGAACGAGCCCGCTGGAAATGGACCACACTTCAACAATGATCTCAATGACTTTACCGAGGACCTACGAAAGCTGAAAAATGTCATCCTCACACCCCATATTGGTGGCTCGACCGAAGAAGCACAGTCTGCGATTGGCGTTGAGGTAGCAGAGTCGCTACTCAACTACGTCAACCTAGGCACGACTTCCGGCGCTGTCAACATGCCAGAAGTCTCATTGCGCAGCCTGACATTGGACGAGCCAAACCACTTGCGTGTGGTCTATATCCACAAGAACGTGCCTGGTGTGCTGCGCCGGGTTAACGAGATCTTGGGTGATCACAACGTCGACAAGCAGATGACTGATTCTCGTGGCGATGTTGCATATCTGATGGCGGATATCTCGAACGTCAACATATCGGAGATCAAGGCCCTGTATCAGAGCCTTGAGGATCTTGGAAGCCGTATTAGGACGAGGGTGCTGTACTAAGAGACATTAGAAGCGAATGATATGCTGAAAGGTTGGCGTCGGGTTCACACTACAGGCACGATCGAGCTCAACACTCGAGTGAGGCTGACGTCCGGATCACCTAACCAATTCCCTCATCGAGGTACCGGCGCAATGGACGGGATGATTCTGATATGATACACCTGATAGACTAATGAAAAGATTCTCCTCGTCGCACAATCACAGTTTTTCTCCTCGACTGCAGGGCCGCAATACTATGGCATTCGTGGCTCCTCGACTTCCAAGGATTGGCACGCTTGCGAGTACTTGCAGGTTGCACCCAGTCATGCGGGTTTGTGTAACAGAAGCTGTCACTTCGCCGATTTGGGACATAATACCGTGGAAAGCTTGCAAATGTGAGGTACTGTGAGCATCTGTGTACATTGATCAACTGATATGCACACGTGGTAGTGGATCGGTGCTCCTGTCACTAATCCCCAACCTCTCTCATTGTCACTCAGATTGCAAACATCTTCAGGCACCTTGAGCCACCTTTTTTGAAACAATTCTCCTCATACACATAACAGCCCTGCCATCCATCTCTTACGACTATATACTGCCCGATCATCAAGTGAGCACCCTCGTTACTCGGACGCGCACATCGCTAACATGTCGAAGTTTCTCACTTGGTACTTCCACTATGCCCAACAGTCCGTGGACCGACGCCGCCGACCGTCAACTCCTTTTGGCCATCATCCACCTCACAGCACCTCGTATGACCTTCTCTCCGTACTACATACGTATCACTGACATCGTTATAGAGCTGCCAAAATGGGACCAAGTCGCCGACTTGATGGGTGATGGCTTCACGGCTGAGTCCGTCCGCCAGCACTTCCAAAAGCTGCGTAAGGAGTCCAAAGCCGAGCTTGGCGATGCCACTGGGGTAGCTGCCAATGAGAAGGGTAACTTGCCTACCAACAGTACTCCTCGCAAGCCGAAGGTCGCGAAGGATGCGACACCGGCGAAGTCGACGGGCAAGCGTAAGGGTATGAAGAACCTAGGCCATGATGGGGACGATGACGAGGATGATGCTAGTCCTAGCAAGAAGGTCAAGGGTGAGGATGCTGCTGAGAACGATGTCTTCAACTGAGTGCGCTTGCGGGCAGCGCAATCGAGTACGAGGCAGCGATAGCAATGCCGTACGTGAGCGGCTTCACAGGGTGATGCTTGCATCATGCACGAAGTAGCGACCGCATTGACATGAATCATGAATTATGGTGGCCTTCTACTTGACTTTCCAATCACATTGAAAACCATCCGCTGCTGCGAACCCCAATGACCGTGCCGAATGACAAAGACGACACTCGGTTACAGCATGTGAGCTCCCGTCCAACGTTCCCTACTGAAAATCCTCCATACCCTCGAAATCGAAGCTAGCGTGCTCGATGTCGAAGCTAGACTCATCGAAAGAACCGATGGGCAACTCTTCAAGACCTTGCAAGAACGAGGAGGACAGACTGTCATTGGGCTCCTTCTTGACGTTGTTCTTGCTAGGCGAAGGTTTGGTGACTCGACCATTGCTGACGGCTGTAGGACGTCAGCATCAATCGAGCAAACAAGATCGAATGGGAACATACAGCTCAAAGGATCCTTCCTCGGAGTCTTCGGCTTGCGTGGTGTTGAAGGCACAGACTTGGTACGAGTAGGCGTAGGTACATCGCCGGTCTCGCCATTATCAGCAGCAGCTTTGAGCTCGTTGGCTTGCTTCTTGATATGACGGAACTTGTTTTCGAAGGTATTATAGGTGGTGCCGTAGTACTTGGCTGCCTCGCTGAGATTGATCTATCTGCTGGTTAGCACAATTACTGTGATGTCTTGGGCTGGAGACGAGGGCGTACCTTCACGCCCGTGGCAACTATGCTCGCCACGACACGCTGCCTGGTCTCGACATCGTTCCAGTTGGTCATGCCGCCCATCTTGAGTGCTGTTGCTGTGCTTGGTGTGGAAGATCGGTAACGTTGTGTGATAATATATTCAGGATGCAACGGCAGTGAGAGTCTGTGAAGGAGTGTCAAGATCTGTGGAAGCAAATCCCGAGATGCAAGGGAGAGGAAAGATTGGATCTGAAGCTATATCTCCAGGGGAGATTCGCGTGAAGTGACGTTAACGACCGTCGCTGAGCTGTTGCCTACTGTCATATGCAACAGCTAATAGATACGACCATGCACCTAGAGTGATGTGAACTATCTTGCAGCCCTCGTCGCCAGTGACGCGGTCGACGGCATCTCATCCAGGTCCACGACCAATGGCATAGATTACATATCAATGTGCCTAAGTAACTTGTCACAAACTTCGAGTCGGCATCTGCATCTTCATGCAGCCCACGCATCCCCGGATACACAACACCTGGTACCTGCAGCCACTTACAGGGATCTGCAGCGCGACCGGCTGATGTCCCATCACGCATCTTCACGTCTTTGGACATGTCGAAAAGGGCGGTCAATGTGATGGGATGTTAGCGTTGTGTCATTTTGGCTTGAGTTATGAGTCGTACCATGGTCCAACCGCAGGGACGTCAAATAGTCGTTGTTGAATCGTTGGAATCTGTCATGTGGACGTGAACGGCTTAGGGATTCCAACCATACGTTCCCATTGACGAACGATGCAGGTCCAAACAAATACAGGACGCTAGCATGTGTACGCAAAGCTTGATCTTCAACATCCTGGTGGCCGTTCACTTGCGCTTTTGACTTCCACGGTCATTCACTTCTACTTCCACGTCTTTCCACGAGCTCCGACAGAGCTCGACAATCTCTAGACTTTGACTTAATCAAGCTTCCCTCATCAGTTCTCCAACCTTTTTACCCCAAGAAGATCGATCTTCTCTCACTTCAACCTTAACAACCTTCCATTATAACGACTTTCATAGTAAGTTGTGCTTCTCGTTTGACATTTCTCGTTTGACATCGTCATAACATCCTTTGCATGTTCTGACAGCTCCAGCAACACCCATCAAAGCATCTCCGTCATGCCTGAGAAGTGGACCGCCGAGACCGACCAGAAGCTGCTACTCTATGCCTTGGAGCTCGGCATGATCAATACAAAGAAGCTGGCTAGTAAGTCAACAATTCTCTGCCGTATTTACAAGGAATACCACAGAAGCTGACATGATGATAAAGCTCTGTGGAGTGAGCGTGAGAGTATGCACCATTGGCGGACCACCATGATCCCCACTCACTCATTCATAGTGGAGCTAACGCAGCCTAGGCAACGACGTATCTGCATCCGCTGTGAGCCAGCACCTCGGCAAGCTCCGCAAGAAGATCGAGGCGGCTGGCGGCGCTTCAAAAATGAACGGCGCTTCGAGAGTCTTCGGAACGCCAATGAAGCGTACCACACCCGGGAAGAACGCCACACCCAAGACGCCCAAGTCCAGCGGCAAGCGCAAGACCATGAGCGATGAAGACGACAGCGAAGGCGATCGCATGGTTAATCATCAGCTAAGCCCGCTGGCCATGCGCGAGAAGGCGGAGCGCCGCTCGAAGACGCCCAAACTCTATCGCGAGCCGGCTGTGGACGACGCCAATGACGTGACGGGTGGCGTCAAGCAGGAGAATGGTGAGGCGTCTGAGAGTGCTCGTCGCCGTGTGGTGGATGTTGATGCTATGAGTGATGTGTCCGACTTCAACCCGGATCACTACACCTAGGCGGGTGGGCTGATGCGTAAGAGGTGGTTTCGCCAGACGCAATATGAGCTCTTGTAGCTACGATGATCCCAAGATATGATGAGCAGGCGTTCGGCGATTGGGAACGCAGGTAATGCCTACGTGCGCGGGTTCGGCAGGCGGGCTGATCACATGCATGTATCATAGTGTGAGGGTGTTCACCATAGCCCAATCAGACCCCAAACACTCTTTATTCTCCAATATCCGCTTCTTCTCATCACCTGTCCCCGTGAGAGCAGCTCGAAGAGCTGCTTTAGCCAATCGGTCTACGGAGATAGAAGGCACCGTGGCTTCCCAGAGAATGGTCCCGATTGCATCTCCAGGCTTGATGACTTGGCCAGAGCGAAGAGCGATGGTTTCGAAGCATCTATGGCCTTGGATCATCTCGGAATGGTCGGCAACGTCGAACAGACCCTTCTCAGCAGCACCTATAGGAAGTCAGCTTCGTCCGACACACGGTCATGCTGTCTGGACCATACCCTTCATCTTCCGCCAGTCGTTCCACATCCACAGACTCCGGAACTGATCCTGCTCGGCACCATACGCACTGATAAAGATGAACCTGAACGGGAATTTTCTCTTCGGCATGAGTTGTGGGCTCAGAGCCGTAGCAAGATAGCCAGAGAAAACCTCTGCAGCAGCGATAGGATAGCTAATCCTGATCTTCTCTTCCTCTGCACGCTTCGCCGGATCGGGATGGGTCTTCGGTCCCATACACCAGATACAGCCCTCCACCCCGGCATCCTTCAAAAACTGCATCAACGAATCTTCATAGTTGCCAAAGTTCTCGTGGATGAGCTCGGTGACTTTGCCCTTGGCGGCTTTTGCAAAGTATTTGCGGTCGAGAGGTTTGCGAGTGATGCAGTAGATGTGCTCGATGTAGTTGTGTGCTATTGCTTGGTCGAGGATCTCTGTGCCGACGTAGCCAGTTGCGCCTGTGAGGATGATCTTCATATTGCTGGTAGGCGTCGATGATGTGCTGTGGATTTGATCGCCTTGCTGGGAAGGAATGGGACGACAGTAAGATCTTTGTACAATGCAAAGGACAACTTACGCTGGCAAGAATGGAAGTATTGAGACTGCAATCCTCGAATAAAACTGGTACGAGTGTGTCGAGCAAGAGCAAAAGAGCCATCTCATCGGCGTTCTCTCGGTCGTCGTCTCGTCACAGCTTTCCCCACCAATGCTTGACTTTCGTCAATCAACCAATGGAGCAGCGACAGCAAGGTCTGAACTACAGCAAGAACTACTCATACTTTGTGTACTATGGAAATCCTGCTTCTCGCATGGAGATGAGACAGGACTAGTAGGTAGAGGCAAAGCTCCGGGAGAGCCATAGGCTGAGTTCCATTTGTCCAATATCCGCAGTCTATGGATTGAGTAGTGTTCATCATTTGATGGCCATCCTCTACCCGATTGGATTCGGCCCAATTCAAGCCTTCCTCCAGCCCTTCGAGTTCACACCTCCTGACACCAGAATGCTCTCACTAGGCGCCTCACCACCAAGCAGCAATCTCATCTCAGGATCACCCTTCTCCATCGCCTTCTGGTACGCCGGTCTCGCACCACAGTCCTTTAGCCATCGTAGGACATTCTTGTAGGGTGTGAAGTCCATTTGAGGTCCAAAGTATCGCTGCGTCGTCACAGGGTAGACAGACATAACATCTGCCGCTGTGAACTCTGAGCCGGCCAACCATTTGGTCTCTGCCAGCCTGTCGTCCATCACCTGCACTGCGTCTTCAAGGCGTTTGTTCGCACTCTTGGCGAAATGTGTATCCGCCATCGGACGGGTAAACATCGAGTTGACCATAGCAGCTTGCAATGTCCCATTGGAGAAGTGCAACCAGTACAAATATGCCGCATAGGTCTTTGCATCAGCCGTCGGTGGTATAGCGAATTTACCACTCCCATATCGATGGATAATGTATTCGCATATCGCTCCGGATTCGCTCAAGGTCACGCCAGTGTCGGAATCCGCCACGAAAGGTGCTTTGCCAGTAGCATTGCCAGGGACGTTCATCAGGCTCTGAGGCGCCAGGGCGGGTGCTCGGACATGTTTGACGAGCTCATATTGGATGCCGAGCTCCTCCAGTAGCCAGAGTATCCTTTTTGATTGGGAGATTCCCAGATGATGGACTGTGAGGACCATGTTTGCTGAAAGCCGTTTAAGGTATCGCTGTATTGAATGCCGTCTTTGAGAACAAGTCCTATGCCAATGTGAACGGGGTGTTCTAGGGATATCGAGAGATGAACTGCTATTGTGCAGCTCAAAATCGCCTTGAATATATACTTTGGCCCATCTTCTAGCCTAGATGTTCCTGCGTCGTATTCTCTCCACTCGTGAACTTCACCTACCATCTGTATTATTCCCGCCATGTCAAAGCACAAGCCAACCTGCCTTTATCGGCCGTAGCATGTTCCTCGCATACGTTCAGAAACCAGTTTTGATGGAGCTGGTGAGTCAATAGTCTTGGGAGGAAGAAATGAGAAAGCGAGTCGGCATGATATTCTCGGTACCGAACCTGGGACTCGGTACGGAATAGGATGTTCCCGACTTTTGAACCTCACCTCTTCCTGGCTTATGGATAGCCAATTGTCCAGCCTGGCAGGTTCAGATATTGGAACAAAAGACGTGCTGAATACCTAAGTCACTTACCATCTGAGCGGCGGGTCCGATGGGTGGCTCTCCACGTCTGTGCACTACGCCACAACCTTTGACTGGACGCCGAGATTCCAGGAGGTATCGACTTTCGGCATCACAACGATGATCTTGAGCTTCTTCGGCCGCAGTAGTCCGTTAACAGACACCTGGGTGCCTACTTATTACCTCGCGGTGTTAGCACAAAGTCCTGTCAAGATTGTTAAGCAGCCTTCGCGCTGCCTTTCCAGTATCGACTCTCAATTGCACTATACCGCGATACTATATCGAATGGCAATGCACTTGCGGCTTACAACTTGGCTATCTCGGAATCTCTTTGGCTGCGTTAGAGATTTGGTCTTTACTCGCCTTCTCAGTAGCTCGTCCCGAAAGTAGCGCAGCACGATACTATGCTGGAGAACTATACACTGACTGATTCGAGCCTCTTTATCTTGGAATCCCGCGTAATCAGAATCCACATCTGGCCCCCGTGCCTTCCTAATTGGGAAATCCTACCAAGAAAGGATAATATCGCTCTGGATGCTCTCTCATCGTCTAAACAGCTAAAAACAATGATTCTCTCTCACACGACCCACCTCAGTCATCGCATACAACCGCCAAACATCCGTCAAACACCAAAGTGAATCACCACGGAACCCTGACGTCGTCCCGTGACTCTTCCCGTGCCTTTCCTAACCGGAACACGTGCTCAGCAAACGGACAAACCAAGCTAGCGTCGATCTCGCAACCGCGCTGCCATTTTTCTCCTTTCTCCTCTCCTTGATTGCTCGCTTGCTTCTGCTTCTTACTTCAACCGCAAACCCACTGCACATCTGCTCCTGCAACAGGTATACATACATATATACATACGACAATACCACCAGTACCACCACCAACACCGCCACTGTACGTTCAATCTGATTCCACAGCTTCCCAGAGGACTCTACTGACATTTTCGTGCCTATCATAGATGGTTCTCGGCCCTATCCACGACAGGATCATCCTGCTTCTCTTCCTCCGCCGCGTAATTACGCTGGCAGACTGTGCGACTCTGTCCGCGACGCTTCCTGGTGAGTCGTACCACTATTTCCTCCCAAACATACAGTACAACCAACATAGCTGATTTGTACCCCTACTCCCCAGGCTCCCCATCCGCCCAGGACATCTTCGACCGCGCTCTCCTGCTGCGTGGTCGTCGAGACGCAGCGCAAGCTGCGCTGAAACCAGGTGAGCTCGACCCAATCGATGTCAACGCGGCATTGATATTGACGAGCATGCAGCGTGAGGACAGGAGGTTGGGAGCGGAGCAGGAGGAGGGGCAAGGGGAGACGGGGGCAGATCTTGCGCGTGGTGGTGTGCCATTGGCCGTCTTAATGGCGGCACAGGAGGAACTGGGAGAGGAGGAGGAGGAGGAGTAGGAGTGAGAACAGGGCCAGTTTGGGGCGGTCGAGAGGACTGTTACTCTACTCCGTAGTCGCTCCACTCTTTCTCCCACTTAACTTTGTCTGTACCCCTCCTGAAGCCCGTATGTGCGTATCCCAACAAGCAATGATACATTTGCATACCCGGCCACCGACACAGCAGCTTAAGTAACAATCATGTCGCTGGGACAATTGTTAGAATACTCCATCTCACCTTACCTTACCTTATGTATCGAACTACCTCTGATCTCTCGAGATATCCTAACTAGCGATGATACTCTCTATATGGCTGAAGGCTGACATAGCAGCTCAAGATATGTTATCCCGCTGCAATAGCTGCAGGATCGCCCCAATGTGATCTGCCTCAAAATTTCCAACAAAGGTTGTGGTTGCTGTAATATCCCAGCGACCAGTGTCGATTTTGTGTAGGCGGAACGCAGTACAAGAGCTGAAATCAGATGAAGATCCCGCCGGGGTCGCAGTAAGGATACTGACAAGAAACTTCCCTGTACGATACAGCATCCCAACTCCGGGCAGCAGTAATTCAGCCCTGTAGGCCGATACAGTCTCCCAAAGAGAGACTAAGTTCCCAGGAATGGCAAATAGTATCCAGCGTTCGCATCCCCGGGCCAGATAATGGGGGCTGGCGGGGGTGCGATATCATCAGCAAAATGAGGTGGATATTTGCTTGAGGCGTGGTTGGAGGTCGTATGAAAGGGGTGGAATTTTGATGCATAGCCGTGTCAATCTCATCCTTGTTTGGCACTGTACACGGGTGATGCGAGAGCTAGAAGGTGCAAGGAAAGGGCTTCTTGATAAGACCAGCGAGGAGAAGCAGTGAGAAGGAGATCATACTTGACCATTTTCGACTACTTACCCGCGCATTCATATCATCACTCCTCGCTCCCTCACGCCTTCACCGCCGCGGCTTCCTTCACTCCTTCACCGTGGCCGAAGCAGCAGCAGCAGCCGCCTCCTCAGCCCCTTCCTTCTCCTTCTCCCTCCTCCTCTGCTCCCGGAACGCCTCCAATTGCTCAGCACACTCTTCCACAATCCCCTTCATCTCCCCAAACATCGCAACCTGCGCAGCCCAATTCCCCGCCTCGACCTTATTCTTCCCCTCCCCCTTCCCAAGCAAAAGTCTCTCCTGCCCATACCCCGTAAGATAAACAGCGATGAAATGACGATTTTGACCGAGCATATCACCCTTCAGCTCGACACTCTTCTGATAAGCCTCATAATCCAACTTCGTGCCCTTGCCACCCAGGATAAGTTTCTGCAACTCCGCCTTAGCAGCCGGATTATACCTCCGCACCCCACCAACTCCCTCCCCATCATCATGCCGAAGCAGCGTAGAAGCAGAGAGCAGATTCCGATCCTTCCCCGCCGCCTCCACCAACTTCGGCGCCCACAATCCAAGCATCCACTTCTCCACCACCGCCCACCCTTCGTCCCCTCCAGCTAAAATCACAGCAGCGACATACGCCTCAAACACATCCCCCAACACCTTATTAAACCCCTTATTCCCCTGCCTCGCGACCGAATCAGCGACCATACGCTCCATATCCGCCACCTGGACCCTCTTTTCAAACTCATAGGCCCGGGCAAATTCGGCCAGGGTTTCGTTCTTCACGAGCAGCTCACGGAGTTGAGATTGTTGACCCGATGTGAGGTGGGGGTAGCGGGTGTATAAAAGGCGAGAGGCGAGGAGTTCGAGTTGGGCGTCGCCGAGGAATTCGAGTTTTTCGTATGTGATTTCTTCGGTGGTGGTGGGGTTGGTGGAGGAGCGGGAGTGGGTGGTTAGGCTGGATTTGTGGCGGAAGGGGGCGAGGGATAGAGATGGGGAGAGGATTTGGGGGAGAGGAGGGAGGGTGTGTGTGGGGACTGTGAAGGGGGTGTAGGGTGGGATTGGGGGGAGGGTGGTTATTGGTGGGGGGAGCTTGGCGATGGCGTCGGTGTAGTCTTGGGGTTGTTCCGGCCTTTCGTTGTTGTCCTGAGAGGAGTACTGAGGTTTGCCATTCTGGCTATAGCCTCCTCCGTCGTGCCTCTGCTTCTTGTGGTTGCCGTAGCCCGAGCGGCGATCGTCTTGAAAGGGACGTTTGTTGTTCATGATGACGGTGTTGACAGCTCTCCTCAGCGCTGCTATAGTGCGAAGCGGCAACGAAGGAGATGAGCTGTTGGTAGTCAACCAGTAAAGAAGTTGTGGTGGATGGATAATTGTGTATTTGAGCTCTCATCGGCCCGACAGTTTCGCCGGCGCATACCCTGATCATCCTCTCAGAACATCCTCACACAAGAACAACCATTATTAGAACCAGCACAATCATGGCCGTCCCACGCTCCCGAATACTAGATCTCATGAAGGTATCCCTCGCCCCTGGGTTCCTCCCTTCACAACCACCACCACTACACACCACCACTGACATACCCCCCACCAGGTCCAATCCCGCATCTTCTCCACAATCTACAACCCAACCAACCTCCGCCTCGGCAACAAAATCCTGCGCCAACGCCTCAAAGGCCCTTCGCTCGCCGCCTACTACCCGCGTCGCGTAGCCACCTTCAAAGACCTTAAGGCCTTATACCCAGGCTACGAGATGTACGACGCGTTTGAAGAGGACCGGTTGGAGCATATTCAGATTGCGAAGAGTAGGGGCAAGGGGGCGCCGAAGAAGAAGAAGGTGGCGGATACTAGTAGTAAGAAGAAGAGGCGGTAGAGCAGTAGTTGATTGGGAGGTGTATGATATGGTTTGGGATCTGAGACGGGTTGGGATTCGATTAGCGGGTTGCATGGGTGTGGGATGGTTGATATGCTTGTATAATGGTCCAATATTGGTCATCAGAAATATGCGCTTGCCTCGGTCATATAGAACTTACGCTGACGATAGAGACCCCGGGTCACTTTGTCATAAATCCTGCTGACACGGTGGCAAAAAGAATCAGTACCGATTTGCGAGATTCTTGCTCACATTTCTCTAGTCAATCACCTGTAAGATTCCGCCATACAGCTTTGGGCAGCGTACCATATCTCTCGACAAGCCGATCTCGCCTCAGCTTCAATACTTTCGCCTTGACCAGAAGAACCCTCGCTTCCGGCCGCCTTCCTGGCTGGACCTCCGAACAGCAATTCATCGCCTCCTCCAACTCCTTCTTGACCTGCGCAAACTCATCGTAACCTGGCGGCAGCCTAACCCTCTCCCTCGCCTCCCCAATCGACCACAGCGCATACGTGGCCAAGATATACATCACAAGATCCAACTGATAAATATCCGACTTCGTGCTCATAACTGGCGAATCCTTCACCCGCTCATATCTGGCACGATCATTCTTCCTCAGCTGTAGGAAGGCCGCAACTTCCGGACTATCATACCCCTCCGTCCCACAAACCCCCTTACTCTGACTCGCCACCTCCGCACAGCCGGAATCCGCGAGTACAATAAGGAGCCCGCAATATGGTTTTCCCTCCGGCCAGCGGAGGAGGATGTTCTGGGGTTTGATGTCGCCGTGGATGATGGGGATATGATTCGGATCAACTTCATGCAACTCGTCCTCTTGCTCACTGTTGACTCGGTGAAGTCCATGATGGATGTAAGCTAGCGCATCGACCAAGCTGATGAAGACGTGGAGGATGAACACGATCGGGACATGAATCTGCGGCACCACCTTCACTCGACAGGAATTACGCAAGTTCTTCGCGGCCCAGACGGGATCATACCTCTGCACCAGCGCATAAGATCCCAAATCCTTCACACCAAGTCGTGCGAAGAATGCCATCTGCTCGTTTAGATCCCCGCCGGAACAGGATTCGAAATACAATTCCCACCTTCCTCCGACTATTTCTTTAGCGCCGAAAAGGTGGATGATATTCTCATGCCTCTCCCCGCCTCCTCCTCATAAGACATCTAGAAAGATCTTCGCTTCCTGGGACCCAGCGCCCTGACTTCTAGGCAGGGAGAAAAAGGCGTGGAGGTGTTTGCACACGAGTAGCTTGTCTTGACTAATTGAGCGGACGAGAGTAGTGTGGCCTTCGGCTCCTGAGGCGAAAGACTTCACTTCTTCGTAGGTGTCTCTGTGATCAAACTCTCCTGGTTGCAGGAGTTTGAGTTTGAGTTTGTGTACGCTGCGCTTCGAAATTGGCTGTGGAGGAGGCAAAGGCGAGCGTGGGCGGGTGCTGACGAGGGAGCATTTGCGTTTGTGACCGCAGGCGGTGGTGGCAGTGGTGGTGGTGGTGGAGCGGGGTGATGTGTTGGAAACTTGCGACTTACTGGTGTTGCGGGTCCAGAGGGTTGCCAGGGTCATGGTGCTTACTTGAGAGGGTGAGTACAGATATGACGATCTATTGGGGTGCATCTTGGATTGGGTCGGGTGGGTTTATGTAAAGGTCAGCCTCTCCTCCTACCTGGAGACAATGCCATTGATGGTGTGGTGGCAGATGGAGATCTGGTGCCATGAAACATGTCTGATCGATAGCAATAGCATTCTTGATGAGGGACAAAGCGAGATCTACTCCAGATGTCCGGAAGCAAGACAGCCACTTCACTACATGTTTGATAGAATGTCGGTGCCTCACTGTCTTTGACTCTCACGGAGTAGGTTGCGTAGTGTGAAGGACTATTGGCGGAGCAGAGCAGAGCAGCTCCAGTGGTAGGGTGAAGTCGTCCGAGGGGTCTGCCTTCTACTACCACAGTCAAGTTGTCGAAGATCTACGTAGCCATGAGAACGACTGCTGTAATCGGCAGCACGGCTACCAGCATTTCGGACCCCCTTCGTTACCAAGCTGCTACTTCCCTCTTCCTGCCTTCCTTGCTCTGTACTTCGCTCATCATGAAACGTACACGAATGCCGATGATTGCAGTTGAGGACATGTCTACAGCAAATGAGCATGTGGGTATGAATGTTTCTATTCACAGACCCAGCTGTTCCCGTACGCAGCTATGCACGATCCCGGCAAGGCGGCTTGCGGTCTCGAGATGCATTGCAACGAGACTGTGCCTCCAGGGATCGGTAGCCTTGTGCATCCACCACTGTTGGCAATGCCCCGGTGAGGGCGACAAAGTTGAGTGAGTATCCTCACGCTTTTATGTTCTGCTGAGGAACCGTACTCGTGACCGCACCGGGTTTCAGACTACTTATGTTCTCACAAACGTGAACAGCTCGACATCATGCCAGGACAATACACTATTGCAGGGTCTTCTAGGTCATCCTGGGTCTCGGATGCTGGAGGTCCTGGAGAAGCCATAGAAATGGCGAAGCGACCACAACATACTGCGACGCGTGACACCGTCGACGAAATGGAATCGGCAGCTGATGCTTCTCTGATACAGAAGGCCCGAGTAAACACTATATCACGATACTTTCTTTCCACATGGATCCGACTGCAGCCGATTGCTGGCATTATCGCTCTTTGCATAACCATCGGTAGCATGTTCATCTCCCTGATGATACTCGTAATATCCAATGGCCAGACTACCTCAAGCTGGAAGATTCAACCCACTGTATATCTGGCCATCGCAGCGGCGCTGGCGATTATCGCCTTGAATTTTGCATATGCCCGAGCAGTACCTGTGGCTTGGTGGTATCGAGCATCCCAAGGCACTACTGTTCGCGAACTCGAAGAGCAATGGCAAAGCAGCTTCAGCGTGATGCGTGCAGCCTTCCACGGCCGCAGGAAAATGAGCACGATTATAGCGGCATCTATTTGCGTGCCGTTAATGTTCATTGATGGCGCGCTGCTACAACGTGCATCCAGCGTCCATAGTGCTGCACACAGTGGACTGATGACGATGAACATCACCCTTCCACCGGAACTTCCGAAAGGCTTCTCGGGCATCATCGCTGACGGTACATTCGTGCCAGGGCTTGGGGCTCAGTACGCGACGTATACGTGGCTTACTGGCCAGACTGTCATTCCAAGCTTATCAAGGCAAGACTCTTTAGCAAGTTCTAAAGGAAGTTGGAATGGCAACATCGCCGGTCCAGGTGTTGCGAGGAGCAATTGCACAAGCGATACATGGCAAATCAGCAAGAACACTTGGCATGATGCCAACGCTACCTGGGGCTACGATCTCGCAACCCGAAGACTTCTACGGCACACAACCGGTCTTTGTACTCTCGATAACGTCCAAGATCCCTACGGATGATGCCAGCTTATCTCCCGCGCCAGAGACGATGCAGCTCACGACCGGCTTTATGAACAATATCAATGGCTCAGGCAACTACACCCAGACATCATGCGTGTGGAGACCCGCCATAGTGGAATACACTATGCAAGTCCTCGATGGAAAGTTTTTGTACATAGAAACAGGCGATACATTATCGCTTGTCAACAACACTGGTCCTGCATTAGGGACTGGCGACATCGATTCAAAAGACCGACCAGACACTATGAGATATTTGTACCAATACCTAGCCTCCACGATCCGGACCAATACAAGTGCTGAATGGATTGGCACCCGCTAGAATCCAGCAAACTACACCACTGAGACGATGAAGTACTCGGTGCTCACGGCCTTTGACGATCCGGACATTGTCCTATCCTGGATGGATCCTACGCCTGCCATCATCGACAGCTTCCACGACATGATGTACCGCGCAGCAGACGCATGTGCCTTCTGGGCGAACTTGACCGATCTGATCGATCCAGGACTGAGCATCAACCAGACCTTTACTGCGCACCAGACGACAGAGCAAAATATCTTCCGCTCCGACTTTCGCTGGTTCGCAGGAGTCGCACTCCTCGAAGTTCTGGCCGTGATGATCGTGATACCGTTGTACTGGGGCTTTTGGAAGTTACGGGAGGATCTGGATCTGTCGCCGTTCGGCATTGGTGTCGCTCTGCAGGCGCCTTTGTTGCAGGACGTGGAGCCTGCGAGGGGCGTGGCGGGAGTTATGGAGGAGGTGGGCGATGTGCATACGAGATTCACGGATGATGTCTTTGTCAGATCATGATGTGATGAAGGAGATGTTTCGTGAATTTGTCAGATCATGATGTGATGAAGGAGATGTTTCGTGAATTTGTCAGGGGCTCCCTATAGTCACTGGTCGAGGAACACTTCTTGTGACATTCGCGATTGCCAGACACATCTCGGTGACAGCATCCCGCCTAGTTATAACGACCCTGTGCTGCATGCATTACCATCGAAACCAAGCTGACAAGCAAGAACACCTTCAGAGAAGGGTCTGCCTAGCCAGTCTATTGAATCATCAAACTTCGGCAGCAGGACCACGGAAACTCACATAAGCAACAAGATCGAAGCATTCGAGCCTCCTTAGACCTCCTGAATGATCCTCGACACCATCAGCCACACTAACACCCGCATCCCAAACCATACCCATCATCTACGTCGACAACATGTGCCGCGTCGTCGACGAGCAATATGCCTGCGGCCATCTGACACCCCACGGACGTAGTTCGGACGGAATCCTCTTCATACATTGTCAAGATCGACGCGAGGGTCGCGAGTGTCGTGGTATCGAAGATGGACTGAGCATCGGGGACTGCAGACCTGGCTGCCAAGGCAACGCCGTCGGGACTCGATTTCCCTGGTTCCGTCAGCTACGCCCCGGGCATGTCGATCGTGATGGTGCTGGTTCTTCGACAGTTGCTCCACCGCCGGAGGTCACAGGGAGGCTGACGGTTTCACTTGGTGCATTCGCCTCCGATCATAGATCTGGACGTACCGGAATTGAGCCCGTCGTCAATTCTCGTATGATCGGTGATCGACCGTTCAGACCATCATCTGATTACCCAACTACAGCGGCTTCACGATCCTCACGCTACTACCCGTCTACAACGTCCTCATGCGACAGCGAGCCTCATACGACATCCGGTGCAGTCGACACTAGAGGCACTTCAAGCCGTCACTCCGCTATGCCAATGCCGGGGACGGATCGCGGCAGTCGCTATAGCACCACTTCCTTCTACAATTCTAGCTCTCGCATGAACTTCTCGTACGACCCAAGTACCATTCGTCGTCCTCCCGCATCGCAGGGTCTCCCGGTGACCGCAGGCCCGTCAGGTCGAATGGGCAGTTCTTGGGATCGCAGCAACTATGATCCACCCGCTCCACCTTCGAGTAGCTCGACATCCAGATACATGTCTTCTAGACAGTCGCCATATACAGCAGGCGGACTTCGTTCGGCCTCACCGCAGCGCGATATCCGTCCTCCGCCAGCATCAGATCGTAGTGAGACGACTCGATCCGGTCATACTTCGTCGAGATCGAGTAGTAGAGCCTCATATTACGAGGACGATGGCTCACTCGGTAGGTCGGAAGGTGGATATGGACACAGAATTAGCGAGCATTGACATGGAGTGACGCTTGTACGCATGGGCGCACACGACATCAAAGGGGTAAAATTAAGCAAGCGAATGATGGCGTAATGGGTATGACAGCATAGATCGTAGGTTAGCAGGCGTACGTACCAGTACACGCGGATAGCTGCGAGACCGATGGGCGTAGCCGGCAGTATAAGGTAGATAATCATGACTTAGTCGCCGCAGCACGCATACCTTCAGAGTTGAGCCAATGCAAGGCAATACACTACAATTTAATCCGCCAATGCACTGGGACTGTCACTATCTCCATCACAATGCATCGTGAACTCGCCTCTTTGCGAAGAGTTGCCTTTCTTTTTCGGCTCGATCTACGTTTTGCGACCGGTCTACACGGACAAGTAATCCACTTATGCGCCACCACCTTCACCTCCCACTAGATGTCTTTCTTCCTTCGCCTCTCGCTGTTCCTGGCCTTCATTATTGCATTCGTCCTTGTCCTCCAATCCAGGAGCGTCGATCTGACCCCCTTACCGACTGAGATGTCTCAATATGACGAGGACGAGATCATATCCTTGATCACGAATCTGTACTTCGTACTTATCCGTCTCGGCCACTATGAGGACAATGAGATACGCTTCGCACCACCGGGAGGCTTCGCGATCGATCCGTCGCAAGCCGGCAACTTCAGCCCTATCAGTGCTCCGGCTCAGTCACTGATGAGGCGCCTCCCTCATGCGCCTTCGCACAAAGCCATCGGCATGGCTATGAGGCCAGTCAACTACGACGAGCCGGAGGAACTCGCACGCAGTCGTGACATAGACAAGCTTTCGTACAATCACCCACATCACCGGGATGGCTGGGCAAGGCCAAGTATGATCCTACTCGCCGAAGGCCAAGACGACATACATCCTCAAGTAGTGCTTGACACAGCCGACGGTATGGAATCGCCGTCTCTCCCTATGTAGACGTCCCTTCTGACTTCAAGATCTAGGCACAATCCATGAGATAGGTGACGAACTGGATGACGGCGACAATAGACAAGAAGTGGACTCCCAGGGCGGCGACCTCTTAGATCGTTATCTGAACTGGCCGAGAGTGGACGCACAAGTCTATCTCCGACGTATGACTTAGCGGCTACTGGATGCAGACTGGATCCCAGACTATGTCAGCGGTATTCTACCAACATACGATGAGAGCATGGTATATGAGAGCTATCTAGGACGTGTCCGGTCAATCGCTGACCATCAACAGCCGCAAACTTCTAGTATCAAGCGAGCACTCTTGGAAGATTATGGATGGCCTGGTCCTGCTTTCAGGCGTGCAGACTGGCTACGTGATGCACCCAATCTTCTTGCTACCGCTCTAAGGAAACGGAGACTAAGCTGCACTCCTAGCATTCTCGGGGTCCAGGAGATCAGAACGGCAAATCATAGGTCATCGGTCTTTGCTCATTCCTGCTGCATCGGCGAAAGTGCCTCATACGCAAATTCTGGCAAGGGCTCCACGCGACCGCCTTTCACTCTCCAAGTCGAACTCTTCACGATCGCCCCAATCATAGTCCTAACATCCTCTCTTATGAAGAACTCGTACGGCCACCACCCACTCCTGGCCATCTTCTATGCACGCTTGACGTCTTCCGCAGTCGACTTATACAACTTTGCCACCTGCAGAATATCCAAACCCGAAATTGACTTGTCTATTGGGCTTTGCGAAGCGCCCGAAAAGATGCCTCCTGTTGTAGGATACCGGGCGTCTATACTTCTTTTAACAAGAACGTGGTCTTCGATACTTCGCGGCATTTCTATGCCTTTGTCCCAGGAATCGTAGATTATGATCGAGCGGAAGTCGAAGGTGCTATTCTTCTGAGGCTGTAGAGCCGCACCGTGATAGCCATTGTCTGGCGTTGGTGCTGATTGCACTCACTGAGCTGCTCGAGGGAACAGATCGACGGCGTAGTCTCAATGCTTGCATCTGTCGCTGTATCAGCCGAAATTACTCTTGACAAACCTTAGTCAAGTCATTACTTACACCAGGTCCATCCGCGACTTCAGATCCATCCCGTCAAATCTTCTATCACGAGAGCTCTTCACTTTCTCCTCGGCCTCTGCATATCCATCCACGGTTTGGCAGTGATAGTCGAGTTGGCCGAATGCGTCCGGCCTCTGATGCTGTATTAATTGGTAGTGACAAGCAGTGAGAACCTCGTAAGAGATCACTTATCACGCATCAAGCCGATGGTGTGACCAAGCTCATGCGTCAATACATTCACGAAGTCCTACGAATGTCCATCCAATTTCTCTGGACTCAGTGGTAATCTGATATTCATCTTGATCCAGTTATCTTTGAGGGCATGGCCGACAGTGGCAAAATGATCCAGTGCATGGAGCGACTCGCAGACGACTATATGAGTGTCTGCTGGTTCTTTCGTATATGATACGGTCTTGGTTCCAGCAGGCTTACTTGCTTCATTGACCTGTAATCCGTTCATGTCGATGATGTGCAGTGTGTCCTCAGGCATGTCAGCGGAGCATATACCAATTTTACTTGCCATGGCACTCGGGAGTAGGCTGGATCGTCAGACTCGATCCGGTGTATACCGGGAGCCATCTCGCGATGGCCTGTAACATATACCAACTGAGGTTATTTGCCGTGTCTTGGGTCTTGTAGCAGATTCGAATCAATCTCTCCCGGGCGACAGGGGCTTTATACGGGCCACGGGTAGAGACCTGACTCTCCAGATTCTGTATTTGGCCAGTATTGACCCTAATTGGTTTCTTTGCCATACTCGCCTAGTCACACATTGCGCAGCGTCGGCCACAGGCCACCCCACGGCCTCTGTCGCTTGTTTGAAGTGGCAATAGCATATGATCGTCTGATGAGACTGCGACCTGAGCCGGCGTTGTCCCTGCTGCACCTGTCACTCCATAACGCACCTGTGAATGGTCAGCTCGAACTCACAATACCGCCGCAGTCATCGGTTTTGAGAAGGATAGTCACCCTCTAGCGACGACCCCTCTGCTACTCTTTGGACGGTTGTTGGTATGCTTTTGCAGTGAGCAATGTACAGAGCCAAGATCAACGCTGACCAATGTTGTAAAATTTTTATCGTTATTACAATCTCTGAACTGTTTTGGATCGAGAACAAGTACATTCCGAGTGGGGGATGACCAAGTGTTGGAATAAGGCTGAGCTGGATTCATATCTGGGGCCCTGCTGCCACAATCCTCAGCATCGACTGCTGCGCTGGAGTACGCACAGCCATAGGCATGCATCTGCACAAAAGGGACCAAAGCCTTCTGCACCCCATCGCTGCAGCCTAAGCAATCTTAGAAGTGCTTCCCGCAGTAACAGCTCTTCCTACAGTCCTCCCTGAAGCTCAAGCCATGGATAAATCGCCTGTCCAAGAACCATACACCGCACCACATACCAACCTCAAAACGCCACCTACCCACTCCCCCCCAACGTCCCAATCCCCTTCTTCCTCCCCCTCCCCCTGGCCCCTCCACTTCCTTTCCCCTTCCTCCTGCCCTCCCCCTCCTTAACCACCTTCTCCTTCATCTCCGCCGCCAACCTCCCCTGCCTGGCCAACTCCCTCTCCTCCTCAAGGGCAACCTGCATAGCGACCTCCCTCTCCCGAAAATCCTCCCGCATCTCCCTCTGCGCGTGCTCATATCCCTCGTATTTCGTGAACTCTTCAAGGGAGCGGCCGGAGGCCGTGGCGTAATGGGTGAGGGACATTTGCGGTCTTAGAGGCTTGATGGAGGCGGGGATAGGAAGGATGATGGGTGGGGCAAGGGTAGGAGGAGGAGGTCCTGGGGTCGTGGCAGTGGGCTGGAGCTGGAGTGGGGGAGCCAGAGAGTCGTCAGTGAGACCCGGTGTTGTCAGGCTAGGTAGGACAGGCATAATCGATCTCTTCTCAAACCGCCCCAACAACGCATCCCCAATCCTGCCCGGATCCGCCCTCTCCTCCCGATTAAACTTCATCTTAACCATCCTCCTCGACTTCCCGGGAAACATAGCCGCCAAAAGCTGAAAATCCGTGCCCCACCGCGCCAACTCCTCATAAAACCTCTCCGTATTCTCCTCGCCCCACGGATCGGACTTCTGTCTCCATTGCGGCACGCGTTCCGTAGGTGCCCGACGGCGATCATTGAGGTAGGTGAAGCGGTTGAGACGGAGCGTGAGATCGTTTTCCTCCTCGATGACGCCGTCGAGGGCGTCGGAGGCGGTGGCGGTGGGGTGGTTGATTTGGAGCGAGGTTTCGTCTTCAACGATTTGGCCGTTGACGACGCGGAGGCGGAGGCCTTCGGCTGGGGGTTCTTGGTCTGCTTCGGGTTCGGAAGGAGGGGGTGGGGAGGTTTGGTTGCCCTCGCCTTCTGCTGCTTGGCCTTCTTCGCCACCTTCTGTTGTCTCTACCACACCCTCACCCGTCTCACCTTCCTTTCCCTTCTCCTTCTCCTTGTCTTTACCCTTCTGCTTATCCTTCTCCTTGCCCGTCTGCTGACCGGACTCAATCCGCACGACTTCTTCCAACCGCTTCCGTTTGACCTCATCCCAGTTGATCTCAGCCATCTTCCGTTCTCGATCTGACGTCTTGCCGTACTTGTATGTCCTTCGTGTGATGTCAAACATTTGGACTGTATTCGCATCGATCTCATGCAATTCTGGGTCGGATCCTTCGTCCTCTTCGTCCTCGGCCTCTTGAGGTTCCTGTTCTTCGAGGATCTCGCCTTGGTCCTCGCCAGTAGCTGGTTCCTCAACAGGTGGAGCAGGTGCAGCCTTCTTCTTGCGAGGCTTCTTCGTCTTCGGCTTCTTCGTGAGTATTGCTGCGGCGTCGGGCAATTCTTCTTCATCTACTGGATTCTCCTGTGCTGGCGGCTCCTGATCTTCATCCTCTACAACCACTTCAGCACTCTTCGGAGTCGACTTCTTTCTTGATGTCGCTTTTGCCTTGGGTGCTGCTTTCGAAGTCGGTTTCTTCACTCTGCCCACTTTCGTCTTAGTCATGACAGCCTCGGGAGCTGTTTGCTGAATGACCGGCGGACCTTCTACAGACGGCGGAGAGGTACCCGGGATAGCATCTTGGCCGCTAGACTCAGCGGGAGTAATAGGAGCATCCGCATTCACATTGGCCTGCACGGTCTCATTGCTCTTGGTTGAGCTCTTCTTCTGCCGTTTCGGCACCGGCTTGGCTGCTGCTGCATTGCTCTTGCGTTTCCGCGTCTGCTTTTCAGATGGCGCTGTGGGCTGCGCGTCTGTAGTAGTAGCATGTTGACGGCCAGTATCAACAGTATCAGTTGGTACGTCGGTAGCCGCAATAGGTAAAGGTTGGCTTGGCACAACGGGTGGAGTATCGACTGGCGGTACCACTGGCTCAGTCGCCTTTGCAGGTGACACATGGCGTAACTGCTGCTCAACATGCGACCTGCTGCTTGTCGGTGCTGGCTCGGTCGTTGTTCGGACGACAGGTACAGGGTTGGACTGTCGAGCTGGGGGCGGGGTAGGCTCGCGCGGCGGTGGAGGAGGCGGTGTGGGATCACCCCCAGGCGCTGACCCGCTCACTCTCGATACATGCTGCTCCTCGACGACAGGCGTTGGCTGCGTGCGGGGAGGAGTCGGTGGGATAATGGTCGTCGGCGCATCCTCTGAATCCGAGATGGCTATCGGGGTGGATTGCTTTGCGGCTGGTGGTTTGGGCGGCGGTGCCGGTGGAGGGGCTCGTCGTCGGGTCGGTACTTTGGGCGCGACCCTCTTGCCCGACACGCCGGAGCTGATGAGCTGGGACATTGCTGACTATGACATGGTAATTTGTATGGAGATTACGAGAGGTCGTGATGGTGGAGAGAGAAGCTCAATCTTGAATGCTGAGTCACGATAGCAAAGCCACAAGTCGTGGCGCTTCTCCGAACATGTGACCAGAGTTCTTCGTCCCCTTCACTCTGCAACTGTCTTTGTATCATGGTCTCCCCCACACTGCGATTTTTCGTATCAGCCTTCTCATGCGCTTCGAGTCACCTCATCCAATGCCGCTCGGCTATTGGAAATCCATTCATTCGACCATGATGGAGCCACTTTCCTGCCAAGACCGTGCCAGCTTAATCAGCAGGTGTGAATGCCTGAGGCTCCTGCCGCCTCGTGACCTCCTTACGTGCAACCTCGAGTTCTGCAGATTTTCATCAAACCTGTTCTCACTTGCGCCTGCCACCACCATCTCCGCCACCAAATCAACCACAATTAACCAGCCTCTCCTCTCCATACTCATGTGAGAGCAAGCGCAATACACAGCATGAGTACAGACCGAGTCACTGGGGCATAGATAGCACGCACGCACCACTGCCTTACCAATGACCACCGCCCAAGCACCACCCCCCGCTGCGCTACCATCCTTTGACAAGATCAAGATGGATGAGCGCAAGCGATCTTTGGCGGCGGTCGAGGCTGACGACCTGGCGCCGCGGCCAAAGCGAGTGGTCAAGGATGAGAACGGGCAGGCTATGCGCATGGACGCTGAGAAAGAGCGCGATGTCGAGGTGCGTGGCCTTGCATAATCATTCTCTAGCATTAGATCGAAGATCACGCTCATACTAACACGTGACTCGTAGAACTTCCAAAAGGACGCCATCATGCGACAGATGAAGGACTACAAGCGACAGCGCAACTCACTCGACGAGCAGCTGAGCGAAGCCCGCGCCAAGGCCCGCTTCCACGACGACCACCTCCGCATCCTCGACGCCTGGTTCTCACAGGTTCTGGACGAGCTTCGAGTCCTGGCTCGCCGATTACTCCCCACCCCACTGCACAGCGCCGCCTCAACAGCCGGTATGCATTCCACAATACACACCGCGTTCGTGACATGAAGAGAAGACATGCTGAGAAGATGATAGGAGAAGAACTCTATGGCTCCGCCCTCCTATTCGAGACAAGCGAATTGTTCAGTGAACATTTATCAGGCCGAGCGCAGAATATCAAAAACACCATCGCAGAACTATTCGGCTCTTTACCAGCATCTACACCTGAAACTGAGGAACTACGAATACAACTCAACGACACCATGGCCAAGCAGAAAGAACAGACCATTGAACTACGTCGGGCCCTGGACGAACAAGAATCTCTGGGTAGTAAATGGCAAGCCGCTGTAGAGCGCTACATGACTGCGGAAAAGAAGCTCGACCGTGCCAAGAGCCAGCAGGTGCTGAAGCTGGAGCGACAAGCCATCATGGGTAGCAATGGCGAGTCTGCGTCACCCACGGCTGTCAAGAAGGCCGGCACACCAGTGAAAAGCGACCTCGCAGAAGTCAACGGCGAGCTTACAAACGGGATCTCCCACCAAGAGGCTGAGGCAGCAAGACAAGAAGCTCTGGCTGTGGCTGAGAGGCAGAGAAGACAAACGGTGGATATCGAAGCAGACAACGACCGCCTCACTAATGCGTTGAGTGCCTCGCGGACTAAATTGGCCAGCCTGACGGACGACGATTATGCCGAAACGGCCCTTTTCAAGACTTTGAGATCGAAACATGATGATGCTGTCAAGCGGGTCAATGATCTGGAGGTTACTAATGTGCAACTGCGTGAGGAAGCACAGAAGTTACAGACCGAGAGGACGGCATATCGAAGACACCTGGACGATGAGAGTCGGGAATCTATCAGCGAGTCCGAGGCGCAGATCGCAAGGGCAGAGACCGATCTTGCACGAATTCGAAACAATCGTGACGAGCTAGCGGCAGAGCTGGAGATTCGAAAACGAGCTGAGGATACTCGACGAACGTCAGCCGACCAAGCACGACAACTGGCTGAAGCACGCGATCACAAAATCACAGCCATGCAGTCGGAGGTCGAGCGTCTACAGCTGAAACTCGGCGAGATCGCACCTTCGGACGTGGATGAGAGCATGGAAGATCTAGACCACGGCACTCTCAAAACCAAGCTCCGAACCGTGGAAGGCCAATTCAGCATGCTCAGCAACGAACTCTCCTCCATGGAAGCCGCCTGGCGCAAATCCTCCGCAATAGCCTCCCAAAAAATCGCTGACACCACCACGCAAGAAGAACTGATCTCTCGCCTGCAAGCCGAAAAAGCTAAAGCGGACCAGAAGTACTTCGCCGCGATGAAAGCCAAAGACATGAAGGAAGGCGAACTCCGCTCCTTACGAGCCCAGAACAACCGCTCCTCGGAAATCGTGACCCAACTCAAAGACACCGATGGCAAAACCCGCGAGCTCGTCTCGAACCTCGAGCGGCAACTCTCCGAAAGCAAGGAAGCGTTATCGAAACTCGACACACAGCATCGAACCCTCGATCAGCAAATCAAAGAAGCGCACCTGGAAAGTGAAAGGTTGAGGAAGCAAGGGGACGAATTAAGGGTGTTGACGGCGAGTAAAGAGAAGGAGGCCCTCGCGGACGCTAAAGCTAAGCGCGAGGCGGAGGTTGAGTTGGAGAAGTGTCAGATTCGGCTTGAGGAGTTGCGGAGGCAGGTCGAGGGGTTGAAGAGGGGGCGGGCGGCGGAGAATAGTGCTAGTAGTGATGATTGGCGGGTGAGTCTCTCCATCTCCCACACGCACACACACCCACGACGTTCTAACTGACGTGAACGAAACGGAACGAATGGGAAAGCTGACCATTTGTGTGTGAAAATTTACAGAAAATCTGCATCTGTCCTGTCTGCAACCGCAACCTACGCAACACGGTCATTAAACTCTGTGGGCATGTGTTTTGTCAGGAGTGCGTGCAAGGGTTGATTGCGAATCGCAGTCGCAAGTGTCCGAGTTGTGGGAGGGCGTTTGGGCAGGGGGATCATATGGGGATTACACTTACTTAAGCTCCCCCGACGTCGATTCGGGCTCGAGCTCAGGCTCAGGCCTAGGCTCAACTACGCCTTCGACATGTGAGCGGTCCATACAGAAAAGTAGCATGCGAGCTGCAGCCGGATCCCGCGACGACCATCCTCATGGTCGATCGTGTACTTTGGGCCAACCTTCGTCCAAGATCTGACAAAAAAAAACCCCGAAGCCCAACGAGCAGGGACGAAACTTTTCTGGACTTTGGAGGAGGAGGGGACACGCTCTCTTCCTTCCTTCTTTTGCTTCCCGGGCCCTACTTGACACGACCCAAGGGCGTTGCGCGAGCATTCACTGGGTTTCTGCGGCGCTGGGGCCTTCTTCGCTCAGGTAAGGAGGTTAGCAGAGTTGGGTGGTTTTGCGATGGAAGGGCTGAGGGTTTCGTGCTTGCGGGTGCGGGTGGGGACTTTCACACTCTCGGTCGCTAAAGAGCGGGGCGGGGATGTGCGATGGGGATGCGCAGGGGCGATGGCCACTGGACTGGACTGGACTGGACTGGACTGGACTGGAGTGCTGTTCAACTGCGAACGAAAACGCATTGCGTAGATGAAATTTTGTCTGTACTATTTTCTTGATGGGTCGGTGGGTGGGAAGTTGTATGACTAGCGGGGGAAAATTGTAACAGCATGAAAACGCTTCTGATCCACCTCCATCTTTCTTCCTGCTCGTATCTTTCTGTGACTTCCATGGGGCATTCCTTAATCAGTAGTGCGTAGGGAGTTCTTTTGGGATATCGTCGTTGTTATGGTGAGCCGTGAGTAGCGGCGCTTACGGCCGTGGTATCGTGTCGTGGTGACGAGGAGTGTAGGTGAGGGGAAGGGAAAAATGGTTGAGGAGGGAGAGTGCTACGGGGACGTGAGAGAGCGGCGAGGTCTGCATGACTGTACTTGCTTGAGCATGGTCGGGTGTGCATCAATCGCAGGGGCCGTTGCCATCTGAGTGGGTGCCGGCTGCCAGAGGCGACGAGGTTTTGATAGCCGAAGAGTGGATAGCCTGCTTATGCTCGCCTGCCTGCCTGTCTGCCTTCTCGCTTTTTTGCCTTTTTTTTTGTCTGACCACCTATTTGTCTTTCTACCCTGCTTGCATGTCACGCTCGTGTGCTCTGAAGGATTGCTTAGGGAGAGGACGAGAGACTTTCCAGAGGCCCTCGCTGCCCAGGAGTCGTGATGCCTCATAAGGTGTACGGTCGATTTTCGATCGTGCTCGATCATTCGGGACGGTTCGGGTTGTCTGATGCTATGTGCTCGCTTAGATCACTGGTCCTGATGGTGTACTACTGGATAAGTGCGTTGCTCATCACGACGCTATACGAGGAGGGCAGCGTACGCTGCTTAGAGTGGAAGATGGCATTGATGACCTAGGATTGCTGGGGTTGTTGGCTCAAGTGCAGTATAGTGCGAAATGCCTTCTGAGTAAAATAAAGGATGTGATCTTGCGAGGACGGATGCTCGCTTGTCTCAAGCCATCCAGGCTGTGTCGAGATCGTCCATTCAGGGACAGCGCGAAACGTCCTATCCAACGAAACGGAAAGGCAAACCGCGCTGTTCTTTCTTACTTACCTCTGAGCAACGAGGTGACGCAGATCTCGTACCAACGGAGCGCAACACGGCTTGACCTATACTTGTGGTATCGACCGGTCTGTGGACATTGGTTCTTCTGCTAAGCCCATTGCAATGCGGATGAAGTTGTGACGCTTGATCGCTACTCGAGGCTTTTCCAACAATCACTGGTCTTGTCGTTCGACGGGTAAAGCATATCGCTGCTCCTCGTCTCCTGGAAGGTCTTCCGTGTCAACCTGTCTGTCCCAGGTCGTGCGAAAGAAATGTGATGCCCTCGCCCGGCCTACACATCATGCGCGAGCGACTTCGTCCATGGCGCTCTCCATCGTGATAACCCGCCCATATGGATCTCTCGATCAGTAACATCAGCTCATCCTCGTCCTAGATGACCAGTTTGAAATGAGGCGGAAGACCAGCATGGCCTGTTAGGCTGTCAATAGGAATGAAATTTGGACAATATAGCGGATGTGGTCCAGGCTATTATTGATCCACCATTGATGAATAATGATATTACTGAAGCATGGTGGGGATTGCACCTCTCATTTCCCTGCCGATCATGCATGGTCCGACGTGTGCCTGGGGAATATATTCTACGCGTTGCGAAGTCGTGATTGCAACCGGATGGATCGGCTTGAGAGGCCCGCCAGATAGAACCACAAGCTGAAAAACATATGTTATCGCTTGACATGCCTTCGTCTGCCTCTTCTTCCAAGAATGCTCGAGCATGTGAAAGACCGATCCAGGTGATTCCCGTCATCCGACCTCGAAAATGTGGCACGCGAGCTGTGCATATTCCAATGAAACGACATGAGCCAGGGCCATTCTTCCGGGCACGAGGACCGAGCAACCGAGCCTAGGAAGCGAGATGTAAGAAAAATGCACAAAGGACGCCACCGTGCCACACGATTCCTCGAAATCACGAGGACCAAGGGCGTTGACTCGCTGGCACCCATGGGGCACGACAGCCTACCTGAGTAATATCAATAAACGAAAGGGAATGGAGCTAGGGTCGAATGCGTTCCACAGGACTGCCCGAAAGAGAAGTCCAACGAGATCTGGTCCTGCTTGGAACATGCGATCGTTCTGCCGGCCTGTCGTCCGCGGGCAACGGTAGTCGAGTTGGCGTGCGACCTCGACAAATCATGCCTAGGTGGTCTGTCTAAGACACGAAGCGGCGCTGCACACGTCCATCGATCACGCGTTCGTATGGCGGACGACTAGAACAAAAAGCTTGGTTAGATGTCGATGTCTCCCGGCTAATGTCAGTCAAACTCTATAGAAGATGCGCCTGTCAAGCTGGAACCGGCGCCGACGCGTGACTGAGAAGCGATCCACCCAGACCGCAGCGTTGGCAGTGGTACCAAGGCGGTAGAATGCGAGAGGCGTCGCATCTGGCCAGTCGCCGGCGAGGATAGATTGAATGCCGTGGCCTTAGCTCATCTAGCCTGCAGCAGGCTAGATGGCTTCTTGGCGAAAGAAGCTCATGCGGCAGATGGGTGCGAGTCTGGGGTTGGGCGAGGCGATACACTTCTGTCAAACGCGGATCGTCTTATTGCATGTTTCGCGACTGTCTGAACAACACAATTCTTAACACAATAATCAAGAACTGGCCGATCACCATCTTCAATACTAGTCAGAACATCTGTATCCACCATCGCATGATGCCCCATGGGGCGTGCTGTGGTCTGGCCCACTGTGCCCACAGCAGCCTGCGGGGCCAGCCAGTAAAACCCAATGCGGCTCATGAGCCTCAATCTATTCAGCACCGACCCAGTCCCGTGCATCTTGGCTCCACATTTAGCCTGATCTGCAAACCACCAACAGCTCGGTAAGATGGAGATGCATACAGCACATGGCCATGCGGACCGGCCTACCTTGTCCCTGCGCAGAGCAGAGCAGAGCAGTCTATATATCCCCTGGCCTATCCTCACCACCTCTCCCTTCTCTCGCTCCAGAGCCTCACGTCTCAGCACTCGCTTCCTCTCCTTCTCCAACCCCATACCGTTGGCCGGACACGACAATCGCTATGGCTTCCAAGCTTGCAAAGGCTCCTCACCAGGAGGAGCGCGAGGAGGCGCTCGCTGCTGCTCCAGAGATCCCCAAAGTCATCTGGCACAAGTCCCCTAATATGCGCAAGCTGTATTTCTACGCCATGATCCTGTGCATCAACTCCGCCACCACTGGCTTCGACGGTATGTGCAGCGGAAGTGATCTGAGTTGTGATTGGAAGACTGACAGACGATAGGTTCCATGTTGAACGCCATGCAGTTCTTCCCCACCTGGATCAAGTTCTTCAACGACCCCGAGGGCAGCAGACTCGGGCTACTCTCCGCCATGTACTCCATCGGTTCCATCGCCTCTCTGCCATTCGTCCCGATTTTGTCTGATCGATTCGGCCGCAAGGCTCCTATCATCGCTGGCTGCATTATCATGATCTTGATGGCTGCTGTTCAGGTGAGCACAATCATTGCACCAACATCTGAACAATCTGGCTGACACACTTGTGCAGGCTTCTTCCCAAAACCTTGCTCAGTTCGAAGCTGCTCGTTTCTTCATGGGTTTCGGCAACTCGCTCGCCCAGCTTTCCTCGCCTCTCCTCCTTACCGAGATCTGCCATCCTCAGCACCGTGGCCGTGTCACCGCCGTCTACAACTGCCTGTGGAACGTTGGTGCCCTGATCTGCTCCTGGGTCTCCTTCGGCACCCAGAACATCAACAATGACTGGGCATGGAGGACACCAACCCTCCTCCAGGGTCTGCCATCCGTCATCTGCATCACCTTCATCTGGTTCGTGCCAGAGTCCCCACGTTGGCTCCTGTCGAAGGACAAGGGTGACAAGGCCAAGAAAATGCTCGCCTACTACCACGCCGACAACAACATGGACGACCCCACCGTGCAGTTCGAATACGAGGAGATCAGCGAGACCATCCGCCTCGAGTTCATGGCCAAGAAGAGCTCCTCCTACCTCGACTTCTTCCGCACCAAGGGCAACCGTTACCGTTTGTCGCTCATCCTCACCGCTGGGCTCTTCTCTCAATGGTCCGGAAACGCTCTCACCTCCTACTACGCCAACAAGGTCTACAAATCTGCTGGTGTCACGAGCCCCCGCGCCGGTCTCGGTCTCGATGGTGGAAACAAGGTCCTCTCCCTCATCGTCTCCATCACCTGCGCTCTTCTCTGTGACCGCATCGGTCGTCGCCCACTCTTCTTGGCTGCCACCGGTGGTATGCTTCTGATGTTCATGTGCGTCACCATCTGCTCCGCCGAGTACGCTCGCAGTGGCAAGGCCGGTGTGGGATACGCCATCATCCTCTTCGTCTGGCTCCACGGTGTGGCTTACGCTTTCGCCTGGTCCGGTCTCCTCGTCGCCTACACCGTCGAAGTCCTCCCATTCAAGCTTCGTGCCAAGGGTCTGATGATCATGAACGTTGCCGTCCAGGTCGCGCTCGTCATCAACAACTACGTCAACCCTCTCCCATGGGCTGGTGCGTGGAAGCACACCGAGTGGAAACTCTACTGCGTCTACACCGCCTGGATCGCTTTCGAGCTTGTCGTGGTTTACTTCCTCTACGTGGAGACCAAGTACGTACACTCCCACTGTCATCATATTGGGTCATTGCTAATATTGCTTCCAGGGGCCCAACTCTTGAGGAGATCGCTCGTCTATTCGATGGTGACCGTGCTGAGGTCGGCGCTGTCCACACCAAGGCCGGTATCTCCAACGATCGCTACGACGGCTTCGACAAGGAGGAGAACTTTGGCGAGAAGAACGAGGTCATCACTGATCACCGCGCGCTTTAAGCTTGTGTGTTTGTTGAGTCTGTTTGCGGAAAGGAAGTTCAGTACACCACTGTCAAGGCTGATGTCTTTCGTTGATACTTGAGCAATGGAAATATCAACAGTCAGCCATGACCGTCACTTTTCCTTCTCCAACCTCATCGTCGAACCTATTTTCCTGGGGTGTCATCTCCAGTGTGTACACATTTCCAGTCACCCTTGTCTTAGAGTATTGTAACGCACCTCACCTTCCCGGCAGACTCCAAGAAGGAGGATCAATCAAGCCAGTCTCCCGTCATGTACCTCGACTATCGTCTTCCTCACCCCAGACCGCAGCAGAACTTATGATGAACGCTCAATTGGTCGGGGAATCGTCTCAGACCTTTTCACCGGCCTCTATTTCGAGAGCCACAGCAAATTCCTGATGGCTGGTCGACTCGGTTATTCCGTCGTCCTGCGCCTTGACAGCTGCGGCTCTTCTTCTAACTGTGGCAGAAGTCATGCAATAAATATGCGCCGTCCCGTTCCACCGCTGCTTCCAGCCGCACCTTGTCGTCCTTTCCCTTTCCCTTCTTCCCAAGCCACGACAACCTATCCTTCCATTTCGACTTGCCTTTGCCACTGCTGTCCGTTGCAGGTTGCTCATCGATCCCGAACTCGCCCATGCTCATCGTCAAGGCATCAAAATTCAGGTCCGTTGTCTTCTCTCGGTTCTGCTCTGATAATCCTGGGATCTCATGGCTAATACGCTTGAGCTGCCTATTCACCACGTCCTGAGCATTGGGCTCGATCTTGCCTGAGAACAATTCACCGCTGTGGAGAGGTATTCAGGGGTCTACCGCCTTCCACGAATGATCTGGTCCCAGAGCACTGGCTGCGGCTTGCTGGCTCTCCGTCCCTAGATATCTCGCAGCGATTCTTATGACATCCATGGTCGAGACTCGCGTATCGGTGGTCGTGCCACCGCTTTGCAAGATCATCCACGGCCGTTGCCCGTGTACGCCCTTGCTGTCAGGAGCTGTATCGTGAGGGAGCTTTCGTATCAAAGGCGTCTTCCCCTCCCGTACGCCCTCCCGCCCAAATCGAGGAGCAGTATGCGAGAGAGATGTCATGATCGACGTATAATCATAATCATCGCCGTAAGGATACCGAAGTTCTTGTATAGTTGGTCTAGGCGAGAGATATGCCATGGCATTAGGAAAGAACATTCCCGCATAATTCGGTATGGTACAACTATGGACAGTGAGTTGAGTCTTATTGCTGAATGCGGATGACGGAGAGTACACACATCAGCTTCATTCGTCCTGCCTTGGGTGGAACCTTCACGAAATATTTGTCGTTCTTGGGTCCCATTACGGCAATCTCCATTGTGAGCACCATATAGTATGAGGTCGCGGATATAGAGACCATGGCAATAGATGCAGACTAACCTCCGAAGTGTCTCCCTATATGTGAATAGATCAACACAGACATGTCGATACATCTGTTGTAGAATAGGCTCTCCAGCCACGACCTCATCTGGTCTCCTAGCTTGCAGAGCCAAATGATGATCGAGCAGCGTGTCCTTCGGATACACGATACTATCCATAGAAAGCTGACCGCCATTTCGAACTTTTTTAGAGCCGTCGACCATCCACCAAGTCTTTTAGTATCCAAATATTCTCCTGAGACCATCAGGACCTGGATCGGGCTCCCCGCCAGGGTAGAACAACTTCTCGTTCCACTTGGACTTGCCTTTGCCTTTGTCTTTTGGTTGCTCGAACATAATTGGGAGGAGATCAGGCCCGACTACATCCACACGATCTGCCCACAGGTCTCCATCATACAGTTTCAATCTGTCTAGACCATTCAGAGGTAGCTGAACGTGCACCCAACGCCACGTCAATGATGGTAGTAATTTCTCGATCTCGCTTTTTTGCTCGTCTATGCCTGGGTACGGAGCAGCGATCCTCTTAACATCTTCGGTGGATATCTTGGCATTGCCTTGTCGGGCTCCGTGGTGGTGGATGAACCAATTCGGTAACCCGTCGGGCCTGGGAATACCAAGGAATTCATCGGGTTGGACCTTGCGCAGAAGAGGGACTTCCATACTGTTGATGCGAGGATCATCGTCTTTATGAATACCTCCGACCAGGGATCCATATATCATGATGGAGCCGTAGTCAAAGCCCTGGTCAGGAGCTGAATTTCCAAAAGTGGCTCCTTCAGGCAGCTCGTCGCCAAGAATATAGTCGGTAGCTGAGGGAAGGTACTTCGAGGCCAGATCGAAGTCTGAACATCTTCGCAATAGTCAGCACGTCACGAGGATTAGAGTGCTGGGGTTTGGTCTTACACCCGCGCCATCCTTCTCTTCACCGGGATATTTTGACCCCAGTCTGCTTGGAACCGGAAGTCTACTACCTTTGCTTCTGCTTCTGCGTAGCCTTTGAGATACTGGCATTGAAAGGTGACGTAGTCATCACGATCAGGCCGTTGATGTTCGTGGAGCAGACCCATGGCGTGACCTGAACAAGTCAGCACTACAAGCACCACACTGCCATCGCAAATAGAAGTCTCATCATACCGAGTTCATGAGTCATTGTGCTAACCAAATGAGCGAACTCTTGCACTCCCATTTCTTCCGCGCCTGTGACTTCGTCGAATGCGCCGAAGTTCAGCTCATGTCGACCAGGAGTATCCGAGTGGTGATTGTAACCTATGGTGGCTCCGGTCTCGTGAGACCATTTTCTTGTGTCCTCACTTTCATCGCGACCGTCACTAATGATCAACGCATCAGACGCTGTGGAACCCCCCTTGCCAGTCGGTCCACAGACACAACCGTGATCGAAATTCCCATCGTCGTACATGCAGGCCAAATCAGGGACGATCAAGGCGCTCGAGTACTGGAAGGCCGGATACCAGTTTGCTATGCCGTGAGCAACGATCTTTGTCAGATGCTTCGCGGACCCAGGATCCTTGAAACAGTATCTGATCAAGTTTTTACCGCTCATTCTTCCTGGTTTGGACTCTTGTTTGGGCCATGGGCTGAACCTTGAAGGCCAGTGATGGCTGCTACGAAGCCACTCCTCGTCCATTACGCTGTACCATCGCTTGGTGTTATTCTGCGCATCCGGTCCATCATCTCGTGGGATTGGATCAGGCACCACAGCTGCCGGCAAAGGGTACACGGAGGCTGATAGTGCCAGTATTGCCCAAAGAACGCAGATCATGGTGCTGATCGCAAGGCATGTAACAAAGAGGGTGTGCTTAGGGCCTATGAAGACTCCAAGGCAGATTGCGACCATTAAGCGTCACAATATCGCATGGGATCTGACGTGGTAGTGCTGAGCAAATCACTGCACAAGCCTGAGGTTCATGTCCTTGTGCCTTCTTTTGTAGGACACCCTCAAAAGCTCTGCACAGTTGACACGTCAGCACAGATAGGCTTCGCAGGTATACCCATCTCGCAGCCCTCTCCGTAACGGTCGCCTGAGATGAAGACGTTAGTATAGATCGTACCAGCTCTGAGCATATCACTTGACTCCAGAGGCCTGGAGCTCTCGCCAACAAATTCGCAGACCCAACCCTCGACATGAGATAACCGCAGTGAAAGTTCATCCTCGAGAAAACCCACCGGTGCCCTCTCCGAGCAGAGTCGGCGTCTCGACGAACTCAAGCTTCGCTGTGTGTCTAGCAACGTGCCTCCACATTAGCAGGCATGCACGAGCGAGGGTTACAACTAGCAAAGGCGTAAGTAGTAGCTCGTGCCGCGCAGTCATTGGCACACCAGTGGTCATGAAAAGCAGAACTTTTGAGTTAGCATCGAAGAACATGATAGATCAGCCATCGATACACGGTGTCTACCTTACCGTATACCCACCATCCAATCTAATATCAGCGCCATTGATATTCAGCGCTTTATCCAGCACCAGAAACTCAACAATCCGCGCCACCTCATCTGGCTCCGCGAATTCCCCCGTAGGCACGGAAGCCTGATACGCTTCCCTCGCCTCCCGATCCGCCCAAGCGTCTTTGCCCATTTGAGTCCATACCGGACCCGGCGATATGCTGTTCGCTGTTATGCCTCGAGGACCCCACTCGCTAGCCTGACTTCTGGTCAAGCCTATGACACCAGCTTTGCTTGCGCAATAGACTCCATGAAGGTGAAGAGCGATGTGTGCGGCTTGTGACGCTATATTGACTATTCGACCTCCGTAAGGCTTGGTACCTGTGTCTGCTACCTTCTGGCGAGCGGCGAAATACATGCGCGCGAAAGCTTGACCGGTTAGAGTAGGTCCGAATAAGTTGATATTGAAGTGTCTCTGGATCTCCTCAGGCGATGTGTCTTCCAAGGGCGATAATGTCACGTAGCCTGCGGAGTTGATTAAGAAGGCCGGGAACGCAGCATTTTCTTTCTCTATACTAGCAAATGCGTTTTTGACGGATGAGGGCGAGGTGATATCACATTCATAGGGTCGGATGTCGTCTGAGTCTTCGCCGTATGTCTCCTTAATACTGCTAGCGACCTTGCTGGCCTCGAAGGGTGCATAGAGCAGTGCTAGCTTGCTTCCGTGTCCGCGTAGTAGTTTGCCAGTAACGGATCCGATGCCACCTAGAGGATATTGTATCAGCACTAAGCTTACCAAAATGTCAGCACATGTAGGCTTGTTACGCACCCATGCCACCAGGAATGATGGCCAGTCGAGAAGCCAACGCCATAGTGGAGGAAATGGGCGCATGTGCGTGAGATTGTCATCAACAGTCGCCTTCCAGTAAATAACCAACAACATGACGTTTGATTTGACTTAAAATCGAGATCGCCCTACACATCAAGAATGCGGTATTCCCGACACTACATTACCGGCAGTTTGAACCTTAAGAGCGGCCGCACGAGTTCCATCGTCCTCCAGTCTAGCAAAGATACCATCATCTCTTACTAGGTTTTGTATGGTAGTTGGAACGTTCCGAAAGGATGACAATTCGACGGAAGACAATATATACATGCACGTGGTAATGATGGTAATAGCGACGAGGTAGGAAGAAAAGGCGGACAAAACGCCGCTTCTTCGTACGTGAACAAGAAAGTTTGCACGTCCAACATTTTGGATCACCAAAGGCATCAAAGCACAAGCATCCATGGAACCAGCTAGAGATTCGAGAAGGTGACAACGCCATGGAGATCCCGGCTCAAATCAACTTTCACCAGAAGGCCACCAGCCCGGATCACGGCATTGGCCTCCTGGTCTTCTTCATACCCGGAAATCCTGGCAGCATCGAATACTACCGTGCCACTCTCGAAAAAATCTTCTCCATTCTGAAAGCCCAAGACCAAGGCGAATGTAACGACTTGACAGTATTTGGCAGTAGTCTCGTCGGCTTCGACAATCATGCAGACGATGGAACACCGTATATCAGGACCGATCACCAATACAGGCAACCACTAGGTCTCGAATCTCAGACCGCATTCGTACTGAAGACTCTATTCGCGGTCTTGGATTTCCTTGAGTTGCCACATCGTGTGGTACTGGTCGGGCATTCCATAGGAGCATACATAGCCCTGAAGCTCATTGAGCAAGCTCGCCACACGAGCTCCATACATAACAACGCCAATATCGTGGGCGGAATCAGCTTATTCCCCACCGTAGTAGACATAGCCAAAAGCCCAACAGGGCTCATAGCAGCGGTATCACCAACCCCAACCCCAAACCCCACGCCCCGTCAAAATCCCAAAAGCCCGACATGCTAACACAAAACCCACCTAGCCAATCCTCCGCTTCCCGCTCTTCCCAACTCTAATCCACTACATTTCCCGCCCACTACAACTCCTGCCTCTTTCAGATCTGATAAGGATAGTCCGCTACACAACCGGCATGCAACTCCCCGCCGCAACCACCACGGCAAAATTCCTGCACTCGCCACACGGCGTACAACAAGCACTCCATCTCGCCGCGGACGAAATGCGGAGTGTCACTACGGATCGCTGGGATGATCCATTCTGGGGTATGTCTGCTGCGAAGGACGGAGCAGTAGCCACGGGCGCGGCGGTCGTGAGGGAGGTCCTGCGGAGCACGGAAGCGCAGTCGTCCAAGTCTCCTGGTTTGTTTTTCTACTGGGGTGCGGAGGATCACTGGGTGGCGAATTCGACTCGCGATGTTCTGATCGCTAAACGTGGACGTGGTGCAGTGGCTACGGCGGGTGAGGAGGGGAAGCCTGTGATGGAGATTGATGGGCATGGTATTCCGCATGCGTTTCCTGTAAGTCTCGCCATTTTCTCATTCGCCGACGTGCTCGTCAGTATGACAAGATTGCGCTGTCGGTGGCTATTGAGAATGAAGATCACATGTGTTTGATGGCATGTAGCAGCAGAAGCAAGCAAGCTGATATGCCTTTCCAGCTCAAACCGACACACAGCCGCATCGTGGCGAAGAAAGTCGCAGGCTGGATTATTGAGATCCAGGCGGAGAGGTAGTAGTGCAGGCGTTCGACCGAAAGCCATAGCGGGGATCATGAATAATGATACAGACTGTATAGAGATACAACATACACTTAGCGTGCTGCATGGCGTCAGCCCTGCATACTTCACAAGCACGAGCACACAGCTCCCTTCCTTTTCCTCCAGCCAAAGGCTCTATCCCGCCCTTAGTCCAGATTAACAACTTCAGCACCATTCATAGGCGCACTCGTAACCCCCACCATCCCATTGCCCTCCATCGCGGCGCCCATCATACCGTTCGCAGGCATGCCCGCACCATCAAGTAACCCAGCCATGGTATCAACACCATTACTCAGACCATTCATCCCATTCAAGCCCGCACCCATACCCAACGTCAACTCCGGCGGCGGACTGAAAAGCGAGTAAATCCTGCCATCCAAGCCCTCGCCATCGAACAACCCGAGGTTCTGGATCGGCTGCTCCCTCATACCCAACACATTGATGACATCTTCGCTCAACCTCCCACCCACGAAAGCAGCCGTGGGGACGATCTCAGCCCCTAGGTTTTGCATGAAAGACCTTAGGAACTCTGATTTGAGGGTTTCGGGTGGTAGTTGCAGTTCCCGTGACTTGGTCGTGGCGAGGGTAGTAAAGATAGCCAGATCCTGCGCCTGATGCGTTGGTAGACGAGCATAAGTACGCTCGAAATCGAACAAGGCACGCAGACAAGGCAGCAGAGCAGGCACAGCCTTGAGCTTGCGTCTCGAGGATAAAATGTCCGGACTCAAAGGCGAGCTGTTAGCAAGGATAAGCGGGCAGTAAATCTCCCTCTTCTTCACAATCTCAATAGTCTTGCCACTACTCTCCTTTCTATTCGTCACACTCAGCACCGAGCGCGTCAGGGTCTCCACACCGGGAGCAGTAGCGATATTCGATTTCTCCCGCTCAACGACAAAGTCATGCGAGACGAGGTCGGCGAAGATGTAGCCGTAAAAGCCGTGGATACTGGCGGCGTAGAAAGGGATAGAGGCGAAGCGGGCGGCGGTGTTGATGCTGGAGAGGGTGTTGAAGTCGTGGTCGCAGGCTATGACGCAGGAGAATGGGGCGTAGTAGGTCTGGTCTTGGGGGAGTAGATTGGCGAGACTGCCGCCGGATTTAACGCTGACGCGGGGGTTGAGCTCTTGGATGCGTGGGATGGCTGCTTCGGCTCGCTGGAATAGGAATCAGTTCATGCTACTTCGTTTGTGGCAGTAGATGCGGAAGTGCTTACGGATTTACCAACGTCCCCCTCGCGCAGGAAGTACTGGGCACCCAGATCTTCTTCTGTCACGATCTCGTCGTCGATGATGGTAAGTGAGCTGATGCCGGCCAGAGTGAGGTTCTTTGCGATTTCCGTGCCGAGGGCCCGAAGTGATACGAGTAGAATGTTGGCTGAGCGGATGCGTTCTTGTGCTTGAGCACCCCATAGGCGTATTTGGCGGTCGTAGAGCGCGATTTCATCCGCGCTTAGTCTTGGTGCAGTGGTCGTGCTGGTTCCGTTTTCCGTTGGTAGTGATGCATTGCCATTGGCGACTGGCTGGCCAGCCATGTCGCCATTGACCAGCAGATCGCTGGCGGTGCCACCCATCGCGGTCACGACAGAATCTGCCATGATTATGTTGATCAGGATTGTGCGATGAAGCAAGAAAGAAAGTATCGAGCTGCCTTTGCTGTTTGATGAAAGTGTGGTTCGCAGGGGCTGCCCTTAGTGGCCGTGCTACCGTGGGTGCTTCCAGCCAAGCGTGTACAACGGATGGTGCCAATTCTCACACATGCACTGCGAAAGGGCCAGAAGTTCGACTTCTGATTTAGAAGTGAAGGTGATGGCGGTCGAGTGCTTGATATAGAGGTCGTTTTGCAGGAACAACGCTTGTGGCTGACGCTGGACGGCGCGGCCCGCAAACGTGTCTGCATGGATCGACGCCTCACATACAGCCCCTCCTTGTTGACGGAAGAGCATGTTTCGGCTGAATAGGCTCATGACATGACATACACTCGCCCATATCGAACAACGAGTACGACAATAAGCATGGAAATTACTGCAAGCTAGCACATCCTCTGCATCAGCACAGGCGTCAAAGAGGTCTTAAACAAGAAGAGGCAATGCCAAATCCGCAGCCACTCTCGTACCAGGTACGAACAGTCATATGACCTTCACATGCACTCTATCTGGCCTACTTACACACTACTCAGTCCGGCTCTTACGACAACCCGCCTTCGTCTGAAACATCCACACCACGAACTCGACGTGAAGGTTTACATCGAGCAATCCGCAACACCAGTTTCCTCGCCCGCGAGGCAGGCAACAACAGCATGTCTGACCAGGACCGCCGACCACGATCTACTCTCCTCAGCCCTATCAACCGCCGTCGATATCGATCTCCGAGCAACGCATGGGAGTCGCCGAGGGATACACCCGAGACATCCGACTCGGCCCAAGGACGACGTTCGAAACGTAGGAAGCTTGACGGGGAGGACGGTGCAGTAACGTCGACACCTGCCATCAAGTATGGTCACTTTGGGCAGGTCGAGCCGGGGACATTGAAGCTGGATCTGATCAGCTGTGACGGCGGCGAGCATGTCGACCCACGAAGTCCGGGACTATATCTGGGCGTCAAGAATGTGCTGCAGCACAATAAGAGCGTGTACTGCTCGGAACGACCAACTGCGAACATTATTCTCAAGCATGCGGATGACACCGTTTTTGATCTAGAGAAACTACATATCGTTGCACCGGAGCATGGCTTTACGGCGCCGTAAGTAACGAACCCAACCTCTTGCTACGACGGTAGAGCATGTGCTGACTGAAAATTCGCAGCGTCCGAGAAGGCCTCGTCTACGTCGCAATGACACTCAAGGATCTAGAGCCGTATCTTGAACCACCGCCACATGCTCGACGAGCAGCACCACAGCGGTATCCCTCGCCTCGAAGACAACGTCGGTACATGAATACCCTCCGTCAATCCCCGGAACGACTTACACTCTCCGACGCACTTCGTGACCCTCACATAGACGCCGCACTCGGCCGACGAGGAACAGACTACGCACGAGCCGCAGACTCAGCCCACGACCTCGCCCAAGCAGAAGAGACCTACTACGGCACCGACTTCGGCTTCGGCCGCGAAGAAGCAGAAGCCCACTGCGAGATCCCCTCTCTCGACAACACCACCGCCACCGAACCCAACTCTAACATCATCCTCGGCCACGACGACGATGACGACTCCCCATCCCCCATAACAATCCTCAGCGACGAAGACGCCGGCCCCGAAGAAATCTCCAGCCAAGAAGTCCTCGACTTCCGCCAATCCCGCCTCCGGCTAATGCGACGACGCCACGAGCTCGAACTCCTCGACCGCGAAGAAGAGCGTTGGACTGCAGGATTTCCTCCTCCACCGCCGCCACCACACCGGAATGATGCGCTCCGTGAGGAGAGCGCCGCTGCGGGTGGAAGAAGGACTAATATGCCTGCCCTCCGAGCCCGAGCCCAAGAACTATGGGAGCGACATACGACTGGCCGACGAGGAGGTGACCCGCACCCTGAATCTCCGGCCCACGATCTCGTCTCCAGCAACGCAAACGGCTACACCACCACCTCCCTCCCAGCCACCCACATGTCCACCACAGAATCCCGCACCCACCATCCCAGCAGACCCCGAACCGAAATCAAAGACCCCAACGTCACACACGCCCACTTCTCCATCAAACCGGGCAAACATAAAGTCACCCTTCACTTCGACCCGGGAGTCTCCGGGCAATTTATTTTAGTGCGAGTCTGGGCTGATGGAGGACCGGCAGGGTTTGTTGGTGGATTTGGTGGTTGTGGTGGTGGGAGGAGTAGGAATGTGGATGTGCAGAGCATCATTGCTAAGGGGTTTGGGGGGTGTAAATTTTTCCCGGCGAGGGGGGTGAGGTGAGGGTTTTGGGAATGTAATCGGGATACGGGGATACGGGAATGCGGGGATGAGGTGGAGGGGGGGATGGTGGGGAGGGATTGGCATGATGGGATGGGATGGGATGTGATGTGTAGTGTTGTTTACGCGATCATGAGGACTTCTGGTGACGATTGGGCACGGGGTGCAATGGCTTATGTACGCATCTGTCTGTGATGCGTAGTAGTTGGTAGCGGATCCGAAAGGGACTGTAAATCATGAAGACGAGTCGATAGGACGAGCACATGAAGCGTTTCAATGCGCTACGCTAAGCATATCCATATTCATAGCGCGGTACTCGGCATACCAGCCAGCCACCAGCCAGCCACCCAGCAAGCGACTCATCAAGCAAGCAAGCGAGCAAGCACGCACATCCATCACCCGGCCCTGGGCGCCACGCTAATCACAAACTCCCAGCCCACCCCACCCCATCATCACCTCATCAGTCATGCCGAATTATCAACGCATTCATTCACTCCTCCATAACCTCCCCCTTGACACCCATAACCTCCTCACCCTCACCCATAGGCGAATCCTCCTTCTTCGCGGCCTTCTTAATAGGCGTCTTACGCTTCCTTTTGGGAGAAGCCTCGTCAGCAGCAGCACCCTCATCATCATCGCCCTCCTCCTCGGACTTCTTGGTACGTTTCTTAGGCGTGGCTTTGGCTTTCGGGGTTTTGGGGGTCTTGGGGGTGGCTATGCAGAGTGTCAGCCGTACAGCAATGTTATGTCTGAGGAGAAGAGCCACTTGCCTGGCGCATCAGCACCACCACCATCACCGTTGGCTACACCGATAGCAGCCAGTTTCTTCTTGATCACGCCCCAGGTATTCGCCGCGGTCTAAAAACACAAAATCAACATCCAATCACAGACAGAAAATCCAGAAACCCGCATAGATAGAATGAAAACAAACCTTAGCAGTATTAAACCCCCCCAGCTCCACCAACTTCGCGATATCGATCTCAGGCGCACCGCCTTTGAGACACGACCAAGCGACCTTGAGGACGCGCTCCTCTTTGTCCGTGAAGGTGATGCCGCTGTTGTTGGCAGTAGCGGTCTTGGTGGCTGTGGCGTCGGAGGCGGGGGTGCGTTCTTTGGTTGGGGTGGCGGAAGCCATTTTTTTTTTTGTTGTTGTGTGTGAGCTGTGAGGGGGTGGAGGTCAGTGATTGGGTGGGGGGGTGGGGCGATTGTGTGATATGGATGGGTGCAGGTGGGGTAGGTTGGGATATGATGTGCTTACTTGGATAGGTGTGGGATGTGTTGGACTTGGAGATGGGTAAGTGTTGTGGTCGGTGGTTGATTGTGCGGGAGTCGCCAAGTTTGTGTATGTCGAAAGATGGAAAGCCAAGGGGCAGGTGGGCGGGCTTATATAGTTGGTTCGCAGGTGGAAGCTTCGGGAGTCCCTCCTTCAAATCACCAGCAAGCTCACACTGCAGCACTAGCGCCCTTTGTTGGGGTTCGAAGTTCACTTGCAGCGCCTTATCTCTGCTGTTCGCAGTAAGACTCCCAGCTAATTGGGCAGGGATCCCATTGTTGCAAGTGAATTTAATGTGCCTGCCCCAACCGCGAGTCAGGTGGACCGGTGAAGCGTAGGATGACACGTGAGCAGAGCGGGTCCATTTCCATGGTTGTTGAGCGCGGATCAGGAAGGAACGATGGACTAGCACACCTGTATCCCGTTGGGTAAAGGCGGATCGTAGCGTGATCGTGGTAGCGACCTGGCTGCCAGCACTGAGGAGTAGAAAATCGACTGCATCAATCGTTCGTGAAAGCCATACCCACCCATCTCACGTCTCTCAGTCCCGCCAATCAACGAGCACCTCATCCGTCCGAAACCTCTGCGTAACCCCACTCCCCCCCAATGGCGTCACAAACCCCTTCCTCCAAGCCAACAACCCCGCATGCGCAATCATAATCCCATTATCAATACAGAACCTCTCATCCGTCTTAAACACACTCCCGCCCCTCTCGGCAGCCATAATCCCCATCATAGCCTGCAACCGCTCATTACACCCCACCCCGCCCACGATCAAGACCTGCGAGGCCCCGACGTGCGCCATGGCGCGCTCGGTGATCTCGACCAGCATGGCGAAGACGGTCTCTTGGAGGGTGAAGCAGAGGTCTGCTGGGGTGATGGGAGCGGAAGTCAGGGGATCGAGCCACGGGGTTGCTGGTTTGGATTGGGCGGCGGATTCGAGTTTGAGGGCCATTTCTTCTACGCGGGCGAGGATGCCGGAGAAGGAGACGTCCATGCCTTTTACTGCGTATGGGAGCTCTAGGAGTACGCCCCCGGCGTTCTTGGCGAGCTGCTCGATGTTATAGCCCGGCGCCGGATCATTGGGGATCTTCAGGACGCGGGCGAACCGATCTAGGCAGTTCCCTACTGCTATATCTAATGCCTCGCCGAAGATGCGGTACCGCTGAGCACTGTAGGCGATGACTTGCGTGTTTCCTCCACTGACATACAACACGACTGGGTTCTCTGCACCTGTGATCGCTCGGCCCATTTCGATGTGGCCGACGCAGTGATTAACGCCTACGAGAGGTTTGTTCCATAATTGGCTCAGTGTTCGCGCGGCGATGGCGACGGAGGAAAGTGGAGCGCCCATCCCTGGTCCGCGGGTGAAGCAGATACAGTCGATATCCTCAATGCGGACCCGTGCCTGAGCCATGGCTTGTTTGACTAGTCGGACTACCCATCGCCTGTGGTGTGCTGCGGTGTCTTTTGGTAGAAATCCTGTTCCTGGCGGGGAGTTGAAGGTGTGTCGTAGGTTCGCTAAGATCTGAACAGGAGGCGAGCTGGACTTTTGCTTGCTGGTGGGATGTGAAGAGTGGAGTTCGTCGTCTGAATATGCGCTGTCGTGTGGTGAAGGTGGTGACGAGGGTTGATGTGGGGGGTGAAGGATGATGCCTACCCCGAGCTTGTTGGCAGAGCCTTCAAGGCCGATGGCGATAGGCATGGCTGTGGTGTTGTAGTCCAAGTGGACGTAGATGTCGTCTGGATAATTCTAACAATAGTTGTAAGTGAATGCATGCGGGATGCGGGGCGAGCGGCAGGGAAGGGTAGATTAGATCCGCTGCAGGTTGATCAGCTGGCGTAATGCTCAAGCCTCAGCCACAGTAGTAGAACAGGCACGAATGAAGACAGCAAACAGGAAAGGAAGTGAACAGCTGCAAACCATATCCGATTGCCTTGCTCGACATCCCCCCTCGATAGACTGGAAGCACATCCACTACATCATCCAATAGCCACGCCGGCTCCATCTTCCACGCCAAACACCCACCATGTCCTGGTCCGGCTTCAAGAAAGCCGCCTCGCGCGCCGGAACCCAAGTAATGATGAAAACAGGCCACGTAGAGAAGACGACAAACCGAGAATACGAAGTGGAAGAACGTCGCTACCGAACCCTCGAGTCCGCTTCACTACGGCTACAGAAAGAAGCCAAAGGCTATCTGGACAGTTTACGAGCCATGACAGCGAGTCAGATGCGCATTGCTGAGACGATTGACGCCTTTTATGGTGAGGCCGGAGCGAAGGATGGTGTGAGTCGGAGTTATAAGCAGGCGGTGGAGGATCTGGATGCCGAGACTGTGAAGGCGTTGGATGGGCCTTATAGGTGAGTGACTGTCCGAGTGGTGTGCTTGGGCAGTGTGATGTGGTGGAGCCCTGAGTTGAATGCCTCCCACGCGGCGAGTTGAAGGACATGGACAATGGAGAAGCTGCAGACGTGCTACTGGACAAGAAGAATGCTGACACTCCATATGCAGGACGACAGTACTTGAGCCTATAGGTCGATTCTGCGCATACTTCCCCGACATCAACGAGTGTAAGGATAATGCAGTCTCTCTGAAGGTCCCTTCCGGAAATTTCAATGACTAATGGCGTTTCTAGGCATAAAAAAGCGCAACCACAAACTTCTCGACTACGATGCCGTACGAGCGCGAGTCAAGAAGTTGACTGAGAAGCCGGACAAAGATCCTGGCAAACTTCCTCGAACCGAGAAGGAAGCAGAAATGGTGAGCACGCTCCATGATTATCTCCAGCAGACTTGGGGAATCTCCTCACCGAGCATATCTTTCCCTACCGGACCGGAACCCCACACGCCACTTCGAGCGCCAAAGGTTGCATTCCATGCACGGCCCGATCTGGACGTGGATCTCTCTGTGCCTTCGCCGCCGAAGAGACTGAAAGGAGACGATGCGGAGAAGATGAGACTTCTGCAGCTCGAGGACGAGGAGTTTGTGCGCCGCCACGGTGGCTTGAAACTGAGCTCGAGCAGATACGCCAGATCATCTGCGCCTTCCTCGCTACCACAAAACGTCCAAGGCGACATCCCTGGCTTGCTTCGAGGCGGACCTGTGAGGTTCCACCACACCACTCCCGGATCAGCACTCCAGCATGGATCTTTAACAGATCCGCGCAGCCCCTACACTTCATTCACACTGTCACAAACCACGCAGCCATTCACCACGCAAGACGCTACGAAAGCAGGCCATACAACTTCCACTACACCAACCACAACCCAAACCCGCACCCAAAAGGAAGGACGCAAGCCCGACCACTCCGTCAAAACACCCTTCTTCCAACCCTCGGAACTAGAGCATATCATGGCACCCATGAAGCAGCAGTACCTGCGAGACCAGGCTAACGGAGCATCACAGGCCAAAGTCGGCTACGAACAATTAAACGACCAACTCACAACCGAACTACCACAATTGATCGATCTACGGTATCTACCCCCCTACTGACCCCCTCCATCAAGACGAGAAACATGACACTGACATTGATTGATTGATTGATTGATCAGGGTACCCTACCTCGACCCCTCCTTCGAAGCCCTCGTCAAGATCCAATTACGATTTTGCGCTGAGGCATATAGTCGGATGGCACAGGTGCAACAGTATGTTCCCCCCATCCTATCCCTCCTCCCTTCCCACTCATGCAGATGATGTGCGGCATGGTGTGGCTACATTTGCTCATATGCGACGACAGATACCTCGACGCATCGACACGGGACTCGTACGCTAGCGGCGATTTGGATGCACGGGTTGAGGATGTTTTGGGGCAGATTCGGGAGTTGAGTATTGCTGGAACGGTGTAAGGTGCGTTAGAAAGCACCGCGGCGGCCCATAGATAAAATAGTAATGTGATGAGTGAGACACTTGAGCGTGAAAGCCAGGGGTATAACAGCCGCGGGTACGTGGTCAGGGCTGCTGAGGCTGTAGCTTGGCATGAATTTCTATGCATACACATACTACAATCTCACCATGACTATACAGTAAAAGTACAGATCCATTACCTGTGCCTTCTAGCTCAATCGAGTAAGATCTCCTCCACTATTAGAAGTTATGCTACTCAATCTGCACAAACCCAGCGTTTCGTCATCGGGCATCCGGGGTCCAAATCAATTCCCGAGTCGTACAGACTACGAATGTCACTAGTACTAGTAGTACTACACGTACTCAACTACCCACCTCCAAATACACCAACCAGAGAGCTTCGAGTACTACTCAAAACCAAACGCTCAAAGCTCGTACTACTGCGCTCCTGACGTAGTGGCCGAGGGTGGGGGCGCAGAATAGATGAACTCTAGCTTCGCAATGAATGCCGGATTTACATGTCGTGCATGACATAACACTCGAGCTTGGGATCTTCACCACGGATACTCGGACGAGTTGTGATACTAAAGCTCCGGGCTAGAATGTGGGCTGCAAGATTCAATGATGATATAGCTTGGGGACGTTACAGGTAGATCTTGAAGCTGTTTCTTTCATCCTCACTCGCATTTCTCATTCGACAACTGCTGGCGCATCGCGGTTCAAAGCTTTACCAACCATGGACTCTCCATCAGTGCAGAAGACGCCATACCTGACGATCTACCTCCTACCAGCCATCATCCTAGCCCTCCTCGCAGTAAGTCCAATCCCAAAGATCTCGAGCCAGGCATTCCCAGAACTAAAGAATCCTCCCCATCATAGTACAAAGCCTACACCATCGCCACCAACCCCCTCCGCCACATCCCCGGCCCCTGGATCTCCCTATGCACCAATCTCCGCCTCAAATACGCCATCCTCACGGGTGAACGAGTCCGCTACATCCACTCCCTCCACTCACGCTACGGTCCCATCGTCCGCATCAGCCCCTCGGAGCTCGACCTCTGCGATGCCGCGGCCGCCAAGACGGTCTATAAAATGGGTTCCCGCTTCATGAAGACCCGATTTTATTCTGTGTTCACGGGGAGTAAGGTTGTGAATGTCTTTTCGTCTCAGGATGCTCAGTGGCATGGTCAGCATCGGAGACTTACTAGTGCGAATTTTTCTGAGCAGAGTGTGAAGAAGATGGAGCCTTTTATTGCTCAGAATGTGCAGTTGGCTGTGCGGAGGATGAGGGAGGAGGTGCAGAGGTTGGGGTATGTGGATGTGTTCAAGTGGTTTATGTTTATGGTTTGTTAATGCTTCTGTTTGCGCCTCTCGTGAGCAAAGCTAATTTTGTTGTAGGCGACGGATGTGAGATTTCTGGTGTGGGAGTGCTCTGCAACACAGAAGCTTACGCGATTTCTAGGTCATCGGTGAAGCATCCTTCGGAGAGTCTTTCCGCATGTTAGAGACGGGCAAGGTATCATTATCGAGCCTCCTCGCTAACACAGCAGTCCCGCTGATATTTGCTCAACCTGCAGGAAAACCAGTACATCTCCGACCTCGAGACTCTAGCATCCAAGGGCATCTACCGCGTCGAACTCGAAGGCCTCGTGAACATCGTCGCCAAGCTACCTTTCGGTCCAGTGAAAGAAATCCTCCGCATTGCCGCTCGAATGAATGCTTACGCCGAAGATTCTGTCCAGCGTTACTGGCGACTTTACAGTGCAGATCCGGAGAATGTCAAGCCCACTTTGCTAACGAAAGAATACGCGGCGGTCGAGGACGGGACCCTAGAGCCCCTCCAGCTTCGCCGCGATGCCTCGGGATATATCATTGCGGGTACGGATACCACGGCCGTCACGGGGACATATGCTGTGTGGGAGCTTTCTAAGTTGCCGGAGGTACAGGAGGCATTGTGTAGAGAGGTAGCCGATCTGCCCGAGGGATTCGATGACGAAATTCTCAGGACGCTACCTCTATTAGATCGTGTGCTCCAGGAGACTCTACGCCTCCACCCGGCAGTCGAGCAAGGCTTGCCCCGAGCTGTTCCGGACGGTGGTGCGGAGTTCGGCGGCTATCATGTTCCTGCTGGTCAGGTGGTGGGCATACAGGCTTACTCCATGCATCGCGATTCAACAGTCTGGCGCGATCCTGAGACGTTTGATCCTTCGAGATGGGAGGAGTCGACGAAGGCTATGCAGGACAATTTCTATCCTTTTGGTGGTGGAAGTCGAGGTTAGTGACGCTCTGTCCCCACGTCAAATCGATACTGATGCGGCTATGCTACAGTCTGCCTCGGGATGCACTTTGCCAAGGTCGAGCTGCGGCATGCGCTGGCGAACTTTTACCGCACGTTTGACGTGGGCATGAAACCGGCATTCGTACAAGGCTTCACTGAGAAGGATATGGAAGCTGTTTCGTATTTCTTGTCGCCGCCGAGAGGGAAGAGGTGTTATGTGATGCCAAGAAAAAGTCTGTCCTAGCAAGCAGATGTTCTGCTGAGTCCCTAAGTGAGTACGGCTACGTGGATCTGGCCGGCATGGGATTCTTGCAAAGGACAGTATTCGACTCAAGCCTTTTGCAGCTTCACTTGTGCCTGTACTGCTGCGGTAACAATGGTATCTATCATTAAGATTGATTCTCCTGGAAACGACTTGCTCCGTCCCTGCAGCTAGCAACTTCACTGATCTACGAAGGGGTGCTGGTCCAGGGATTCCATAAGCCAGTGGTCTTATAGGTCCCTCACAATACTGCACTCGTGGTATCATCGAGCCGTCAAAGGCCAGAAGCACCTCACTTTCACCGGCTGCTGTTCATCGACACCGCTGCCAGCTCGAGGACCGGCCAACCATGATCGGGCTGTACCACTCCCCATCACCTGAGACACTACTAGCACGTGGATGGGGTCGTTCCTGCCCAGAACCAGCTGGTTGAGTTGTCCTTGTGACCACCCCTCATTTCACAGTCTCCACAGTAGCTGATAGCTCATGCATTGACCGCGAGTCAGCGAAGGGTATCTATTTCTTCCGGTATCATGACTTCCTCCTTCACGCCCTGCCCTTTTCCACCCGCAACTTCAACACCGATTACCACCAACCTTCTTCTCACCACACTCTCAACTCAGACCTCCGTCATACCTCTCACTCATCCAGCGTCCCCAAGCTTCATCATGCCGAGCAAGGGTAAGTTACCGCACCGCCACGTTTGACCAGAATCTGCAATACCAGACTTCTCACTGACCCTCACACTGGTTACGATGGTGCTCACAACAGCCTTGCTGCTCGTGGGCATGGTCAGCTCCTCTCCCATCGGTGACCCCGACCTCGTCCCTCGTGCTTACCCGCAGAACGGTGGAGGACCCGGCAACTATTGGCACAAAGATTTCTTCACTCTTACCTGGAAGACCCACACCCGTCAAATCCTCACCAACGTCACTGAACACATGCCCGGCTGGAACCCGTCATGGGCCAGCCACTTCGCCGTAGACTCCCCTCCTACCAACCAGGTTTCGTTCGGCACCGGCATCGTAAGGTCTTGCGAAGAACGAAGCTTGTTGCAGCACACTGATTGTATCCATAGTTCGGCCACGTCCAGAATAACTGCCCCACCACTGTCTATATTCACACTTCGATCGGTGCGAACAATGGTGGCCCCGGTGGCGACGATCCTGCTGATCCTGTTGCTACCTATCCCATCGCTCCTGGTACAACCTACAGCACCAGCATTCCGGCAGTCATTAATGGTGCTGGTGGCGTCTCCATCAAGATCGGGCCAGACTCCACTATGAACCCCGGCAACATCTACCAAATCGAATACACGCAATTTGCCAATAGCGATGGTAATATGGCGACTGTAAGCTCTTCCCCTTCCCATTTGGTCGGTTCACCGCTCCTGCTAACCCGCAAAGTGGTATGTTCTGAGCAGCGTCAACGGCGATCCGTTTGTCGGGAGCGCTCGCTACATGCAAGTCACCAGCAACAGCGGCGCTTGTAGCAACATCTACAACGCCCCAGGCTCTGCTGTCGGCGATTGGCCCAACGTCCAGGGCGAGTGCGAAGCTGCTGGTGATCTCTACTTCTACCTCTGCTGAGGTCGATGCCATCGTAACGTAAGTAACATGACACATCCCCAAGCATTACACAAGGCATGACATGGCATGGCATGGCATGGTGGCTGGCGAATGGCGCACGACGTGAGGCGTCGGATGGATTCATGCAGTGAGCGGGCTTTCGGGGTTTGAGATCACTGTGATCATGAAGCTAGTTAGTCCAGCCAATTGACCTTGCTTATCAAGCGCACAACAAGAATGCCAGTCCATGGCAACTTCTCATCGTCGCGTCAACTTCAGGTCTGTCGTGAATGGGCGGAGATACGATATTGTCTGCCAAGTAGTTGTCCCGGCCCCGATGGCACGATATCACGGTAAACCCGTGACGAAATGGCAACGGCATGTACGAGCAGACGTATATAAGCAGCGAGTCTTCGCACACGCTCCATCATCAGGGACATCATACATGCAGAATCTCACCAGCGAACATACCAACAAACATCTTCACTTACACGTCCTCCCACCATGGCATCAACTCCGATCACAATCCTCATAGCCACCCTGGGCCAATACGTCTCTCCCAGCCAAGAAATGCTCGACCGCTACGGCGGCAACGAAAACATCCAGAACATGATCGCACGCAGCGTCCAGCAAGCCAACTCCTCCGGCTGCAAAATCACAACCATTGCGCTGGATCCGAGCGATCATTCGGACAGCATCGAGCGCTTGACCGAGATGCTGAAAGGAACATCTTTTCAAGGGATCATGGTTATCTATGGTCTTCGAGCTGATCAGGAGTATACGCCACTGTTCGAGAAGGTCATCAATACGGTTAAAGATCTCTGGCCGACGACGAGGCTGCTGTTCAATAATGGGCCAGATGACTTGATGAAGACGTTTGAGCGAGGCCTCTCTGTTCGAATGTCATAGGAGCAGAAGCAGAAGCGAATAGAGCAGGACTGCTGTATGCGGGCGCTCCTTGGTGCCATAGTCGTGTTGAAGGGAGTGGGATAGTGCTGTAGGATGAGCATCGTGAGCGTAGGTGTCGTGAATGATGGTAGAGCCCAGAGCACGACACAGTTTGAAATTCTGTGTAGTTGCTAAAACAGCGGCATATCCAGATCAATACACAAGTGATGCTGCGAATTGTCAGCAAGATTGTCATTTGTCTAGTTGTGTTGATGTGTACTGGAATGATGATGAAGGAAGAGCCGCGTAAGTTGAGCTTTGACCCCCGAGCTTCAGCCAGCCAATGAAGACTATTGAATTTCGGCACGACGTGCCACCGCGAAAGTCCATCACCACAACACGACTCCGATTCCTCACTGCGTTGCCATCGAAATCATCTCGACCATCATCAAAATTCGACAGCATCTTCCTTAGCCACCAAGGAATCGATACATACCACAATCAGCAGTTTTGAGCGTGCAAATTGATGAGTTTGGCGCGCGCAAAGGCTGAGGAGGCCAGGTGTCTGTCGCAAGGCCGGGGCCGGATAATCCAAACGGCCGAGGGCAGCAAAGAATCATCAACATGTCCAACAGAAATGTAGCTCGGACGGTTCGACAGCGAAAGCTGAACCCCAAGCAAGGACTGCACATCATACGAGAGAGCGAGATCGAAGAGCAACAAGATGAAGAAGGTCAACGACAGGTGCATCAGGTGGAGACCGGTGTGGAAAAGGCCGAGGAAGTGGTGAGTTGCCACTAAGACTTACTGATCGTACGAGACAATACTGACCTGCTCAGGAATACCATCTCCAAGCCGTGATCAACGCCTCCAATGCTGCTGCGCTGGGCGTAAAGACACAGCAGTCCTACATTCCTACTCCAGATGCCATACCAGCCAAGGACGTCAATTATGATGAGCTGTACCCGCCGGTCTTCAAGGAACCGTCGTCTTACATACGCTTCAGCTCGACGGTGGAAGACTGCACTGGTCCGCCGTATTGTATGAACGATGATGACCTTGAGTTCCTTGGCAAGCTGAACGAGGGTAAGGATGTCGACGGTCGAGATCGCAAGGACAAACTCGGCCAGTGTTCCGAGATCGTGTTCGAGGAAGTGATGAGCGTATTCGAGGAGAGCAGCGGCAAATTACAACCGTATGCTAACGTCGACAATGCTCCGATACCTTCGCTTGAGGAGATCGAGCGGTCGCAAGAGGATGAAGTCTCGGATGATGTGTCGAAGTGGATGAAGCCCATATATCGGCATTGGGTACAGAAGAAGACCAACCGTACGCTCATGCCGACAATCAAGGTACGAGTTCTCGACACGACTTCGGAAGCTGACGACGCGGACCCGTATGTGTGCTTTCGACGTCGCGAAGTACGACAAACCCGCAAGACCCGAGGCAGAGATGCCCAGGTCGTTGAGAAGCTCAAGAAGCTCCGTCTTGAGGTTGAGCAAGGTCGGCAAATGCTTCGCCAGATCGTGGAGCGCGAGCATCTGAAGGCAGACAGTCTCTCGCTTGATCGAAGAGTGTTCAATGACCGCAAGGAGCTCAAGCAAGTCAAGGCAGCCAAGAGCATCATCGGCGACAAAGGCGATGATGAGGAGTTGCTCGTTAACCAGAAACCAACCAAGCAGCCAACCAAGGTCCCGAGAGAGCAGCGTCCGAGTACCATCAGGATAAAGTCCAATGGTGATAGCAGGTCTGCTGCGCCAGACGTTGATCTGCCGTTACTTGAAGAGTGGCAAGAAGAGAGCCAGCGCTTCGTCCTCAACACTATCGATGCACGTAAAGAGCAGCACAAGAAGTGGAATCAGCATTGGATCGATGAGACCAAGTATCCTCTTACACCGCCTGCGGAAGAGGACAACCCCATGGATAAGTGGGCACAATTTCCAGCCGAAGGCATTCATGCCTACCCGTCGCCACCACCAAGCTTGCCATCGCATGGCAGTCAGGATACAGGCGATGTAGAAATGAAGGATGCTGTCGTTAAGGTCGAGGATGCCGACCAGACCATGGCCGGTGCTGAGCCGGAGAGTCCTCCGTTCATCTTTCATATTCCAGGATCGTTCCCGTTGTCTGATGTGGAATCAGAGGACGAAGAGTCAGAGAGAGCAGCGCATCCAGCTTGTCGTCTCCGTGTAGGACGAGGTGGCCGCTGCCATCTTGAGGCTCGCAAGCGTAAACCGTATGGCCAGCTGAGCAGGGGTGTGGTGTCCGACTCGGAGAGTGATGATGACGATGGGCCAGATTACTTTCCCTTGTCCGAGCGCATCACATTCGATTATCGCTCGGCCCTCAATAATCGCCCGACTCGTCCAGAGCTGCCGCACCAGCAGTCTTCAGGAAGTCATCAGCGCTGGGCCAGCGGCGACCAGTCTGCTTTGATTGGAGGACAGCCAGGATCGAGTGGATCACAGCAGACGCCTGTTGCAGGCTCTTGAGTTATTGACTCGTTTGGCGACCGTGTTAGAGTATCGTCGGCAGATTGTTGACGTGTACGTTAGACTAGGAGCAATAGATACCCCAAAAACTGTCGATCAGCGCTTGTGCTTCTTTGTCGTTGATAAGCTATCGTCCGTCGCCTTGCGCTTGTCGTTCGCTGTGTTGCTCGACATGGTCCGCAGTGCATCAAGGGCTTCTTGCAATACGTTCACTTCTCCTTTGATGACCTGCGCTGCCATGCTTTTGCGCCGCGCGCTTTGCCCGTCCAGCTCCATGGCACTAGCATCGTCCGAAGAGTCTTGGTGCTGCGTCTGTCGAGTCTGCACCACAGCGATGAGAACAGCGATCGCGGCTGCAGAGAGTGTAGGCTTCGGTAACTTGCTTCTCTTCTTGAATTGTTCGAACTCGCCTTGCGGTAGTGTAAGAGTATTGACGAGAACACACAGCTCGTCTGAGAACTGCGGAACTTCCTCTTGACCGCTTCGGGCAACATCGTATGCGTCGTCGAGGGCGTCTTCGGTTTCCAGATACTGCAATCTTCCCTCGACCTGCGCCTCTTTCGTCTTGGCTTGGATTCTCGCCGCACTCTTGATATCGTGAAGTGGTATCTCAACGACATCGTATTGCGCATAATTAGGTGTCGTGTAGCCATATCTGCGCAGCACATCTGCCGTTGGAAGAGGGCCGTAATCGTTGAAGATCTCTTCTCCGGACTTGATGGCTCTGATAGACTTCATGATCACCTTGTCCTCCTCGTAGAATAGCTTGGCGTTGTTTCGATCGGCGTCTGCATTCAGCATATCTGCCAGTGGTACCATGCCTTTGTGTAGGTTCTCCTCTTCGTCTTCCTCCCACTCCTCGTTGCCTTGTGCTTGTTCATCGTTTGAAGGCTTCTCGAGATCGAAGGCGTAGGCCATGATTGTGCTGCCCATCCTGTGGCATAGTTCGAGGACATCTTCGTCAGAGACGCTAGCAAGTCTGAAGTCGTCTGCGTGTGATCTGACTAGTGGCAATATCTGGTCCTTGAAAGAAGCATCTGCACTCTCTTTGCCGATCTTGGTCACGACCGCGGAGCCTTGCAGCCATTTCAGCTCTTCCTCTGACCAGAACATTAGAGTATCGAACGTCGTTGGCAAGACATCGAAGTAAGGTTTCCACTTCGACTCAGGACCCTGCTGATGTTCAAAGACCATTGCAGCAATGAGGCCTATCCATGGGTCGTCGAGTTTTGCTTTTATGGCAGCTGAAAGGTTCGATGTCTGGATAGTCAAGATTGATGAGCGAGGTATACTGAAAAGCTCCTCGTCGTCGGCGATGTCCTCCTTTGACAAAACACCCCGTCCGGCTCCATGCTGCCGTAGATCTGCGAGCTCGATCTTGTCCGAGATGGTGGTGTTGTTACTGTGCAGCCAAGATATGAACGACGTCGAGGCTTCGTCAAAGTCCTCCATGGCGCCTCTCAAGCACTTGTAGGTAAATAAAAGACTATACAACGAGCGGCGGTGGTGCAGCAAGAAAGTGCACAGTGTGCGGTACTAACACATCTAAGCCAAGCTAATACATTAGCTTTACGGATATACGTCCCGCCGATCGCCGAGAGGTGAAGTCTACCTGACGTCCTGCTCTTTGCATGTCTGTCAAAGTCCATGTCGATACGAATATGCGCTGCTGGGCGCTGGAGATACTCTAGTCTATCAAAAGCGAGCTCCTTTCAACCTTCCGTTTTACTCCAGTACCGACATCAGAGCACTCAAACTCCTCACAAAGTCATCTTTTCTGGCATTCAGCCTACTGGCGTACCACATCTGGGCAATTATCTGGGAGCACTACGACAATGGGTCAAGCTGCAGAACGACGCTGCTCCAGATACGAGACTACTCTTCTCGCTCGTTGATCTACACGCGATCACCGTCCGCCAGGATCCGAAGCAACTGCTGCAATGGAAGAACGAAAGTCTGGCCATGCTCCTGGCCATTGGTCTCGACCCGAAACGCTGCACCATCTTCCATCAAAGTGACGTCTCAGCGCACTCCGAACTCATGTGGATCCTGTCTGGCCAGGCCAGTACGGGTTATCTTGGTCGCATGACCCAGTGGAAGGAAAAGACAGCCAACGAGAAGGAGAATAGTGAGAAGCTGAAGCTGAACCTGTTCTCTTATCCCGTGTTACAGGCTGCTGATGTACTCTTGCATCGAACAACTCATGTTCCGGTTGGCCACGATCAGGCTCAGCATCTGGAATTTGCTAGGGAGGTGGCAAATGGTTTCAACCATGTCTATGGTCAGGATATCCTCATACCTCCCCAGACCTTGGTTAGTCCTGCGAAAAGAGTCATGAGCCTTACGCATCCGGTCTCGAAGATGTCTAAGAGCCATCCCAATCCTAAATCAAGAATTCTGTTGACAGACTCGGACGAACTCATCCAAAGCAAGATCAAGAGTGCTGTGACAGACTCGATCGAGGGTGTCACATACGAGCAAGATCGCAGGCCTGGGGTAAGCAACTTAATCGACATACTGTATCATACCTTAGACGAAAGTTCTTGTGGTAGCCAGCAGGATCTGGCAGCAGACCTGGCCAATATCAGTATGCGTGTGCTCAAAGAACAGGTGTCGAGCGCAGTCACGAAGTTAGTAGCGCCAATCCGTGAGAGGCATGAATCAATAGTGGGCAATGAGTCGCTTTTGGACGATGTCGCCACGCTTGGCGCTGCAAAGGCTACCGAGAGCGCTGCGCCAACTTTACTTCAAGTGAAGCGTGCGGTCGGACTATGCCGCTGATGATCTTATTAAGTATCGTGGAAAGAGACAAAACAGCTGATTGATCTCTACGGCTCGTTCGATGACGGCTTTTGCGCCCACACAAACTCGCTATATACTCATGAGCCTGGAGTCATTACACCGCTCAAGCAGAGTACTTACATGGGGATATAAGCATGAGCTTTCCTGCTGCGGATATCTGCTTCTACTTCGCGCAGATGGTGCTGGACATCATTCTCGCGCCACCCGAGAACCTGGACGAACAACCTCGTGGTGGCAGCATCTAGAGCATTGCAGAGGTTCTGCAATCATGTTAGCTGGTGATCAATGAACCCGCAGAGACAGATCATCTCACCCCTTCCATCATTTCGCCAAGCTGCTTTTGTCTATCGCCGATGGCCCATGGACCGATTGGCCATTTCGTGGACTCGTGGTGCACGTTAACAAATCCGCGGTCACGCAAGGCATTAGGCACATCTAGCACGCCTTTGATATTCCTACCGATCTTGTTCATACCATTCGTCCAGGTCTGGGTCCACTTTTCAAAGGCCGGACATTCTTTCATGCTATCATCGTCCACCCGAGCAGGGAAGTAGAACTCGTGGAATTCGACCCAGCCTGCTGGTTTGAGGTTCTCAAAACAACGTTCGAGGAGCTGCGGCCACGACTTGATGCCTGTACCTACTGCACGGCTGTGGATGAAGTCGAAGCGCTGAGGATACTTCCACTCTGCCATGAAGTCACCCGTGCGGAAGTCGGCGTTAGCGGGAATCTCGCTTGGCCAAACATTCGAGAGATCCATGCCGGTGACTTGGCAGTCTGGGTATTGGTGGGCAAAGTCCAACACCCTGTCGAAGATAAGCATGTGGAACGGAGGTGGGATCAAGCGACACTTCGACTGCGCAACTCACCACATTCCAGGCCCACAGCCAATGTCGAGGGCATGCTTCGGAGCAGTGATCCGGGCGAGGTGGGAATGGGCCTTCAAGCACAACTGCCAAAGACGATGCTGGTATTCTTCAAGGGCATAAGTCGACACGAGAATAGCAAATTCGACTAGAGACCGTGACTTGCCTAATCGCTTCACTTCTGTGGAGTCATTCGGTAGTGGGTAAGTGCTGTCTTCGAACTTGTGGTAGCTTCGCTGCTGAAGCTCTGTGACCACCGCGGTCTCGCTCCCTGCAATCGCAGTCCTTGCTTGTGCCTTTGCTGTCCATCATACCTTAGTGAAAACGTATGAAGGAGAGCACCTGGACATCTTTTTCATACCTCATCGATCTCAATCGGGTCAAACTGAAAATTGGGCATATTGCCACCTGTTGTGGTTCTTAGTATTGCAGAGTTGCAGGCACAGTGCCATATTCACCTTCAGCCATATTTCTCTGGTCTTTACTTCTTGAAACACAAGGAATACGTGTCCTTACTTTGCCAGATGGCGTACCTTTCAACCGCTCGCAGCATGACGCCAACAACGCATACCTTTATATTGACGAGAAGCGAGCGGCAAGCCGACCAGGGTAGCTTTTAGTGGTTCAGAAACTGCACCTTGCCGTCAGAGATCTCGCTTGCCATGATCTATACACGGATAAGCTGTACTACATATGAATACTGAAAGTTTAGTATGACAACCCCTGGTCGACACTGTCTGTGCGTAGTAACGAGTAGAAGCCACGCTCCTAAGCAGACCCTGCTCCCTGTGGGGATTGTCGAGGTTCATCGGATCCACCTCGCATCAAAAGAATGATTCTCGTCTTCAGTGTCGTCGGAGCCAGATTCATCCTCATCCCTAGAACCCTCGCTCATCCCATCATCCAGGTCGCCGGTATCCGCCCGCAACTCCTGCTCGGTGCAATCGGGCGCATCCAAATATTCGCCGGAGCTCACCCGAAGGTTGATACAACAGCTCGAGCACCATGACGAAAATGGGAGACCTCAATGAACCGAAATCAACAATCTGGGAGCAATGAGCTGCTGACGAGGTCTGACGAAAGCCGACGTAGCACGAACAGACTCATTCTTGTCATCATGCCTTCTTCGCCTGGCGATTCCCGATCGCCATCTTATCACCAAGGTAACGATCAGCAACCACTGGACGGCCCACGCTTACATGTTTACCACGTCCTCAAAAGCATCGGCTTGGTCACAGCCTACAACTCCTCCATCGATGTCAAACTCATCCTCGCTCAACGACTCGTCCGTGTCTTCGCTTATGGACTGGTCACCCTCATCCTCGCAGCATATCTAGCAGCACTCAAAATTTCCGAGACTCAAATCGGAATCTTCTTCGGCTTGACACTCGTCGGCGATCTCGTGATGGTCATGGCCTTGACACAGATCGCCGATGCTATCGGCCGCAAAGCCATACTTATACTTGGGGCAGTCCTGATGACGATGAGTGGCGTGGTCTTCGCTACATCAGGTAACTACTGGGTGCTCCTAGTAGCAGCAGTCTTCGGGGTTATTAGCCCGAGGTAAGTCTCCAAAACATCTGGCCAATGTGCCTGCTCACTCCTACATTTGCAGCGCCACTGAAGTTGGGCTGTTCAAGAGCATCGAGGAGTCGGCACTTTTCACCATTGTAACACATGACCTGGTCGACATTCTATCATGGTACAGCACTGCGGAGTTCGCATCCGTTACGGTCGGATTGATCATCAGTGGTGGAATCATGGACGATCTTCAACAGACCCTGGCCTGGGACTTCGTGCCGGCTTGTCGCGCTGTATTCCTTGTGTATGCTGGCGTTGGCGTGGTCAAAATTGTCCTGTCATCGTGTATGAGCTGGAAGATCGAAGCATGGCATGACACCAAGCACCAAGATGGCACTCATCGGGACTCTGAGCAGGAGGAAGTCTACGAGACTGCTGCTACCATTCCAGAGCAAGCACCACTTCTACCATCAGAGCCAATACCGGTGACGCCCAAGACATCCGTTCCAGCAATGAGAGCAGGGACATCAGTGTTCAGCCTGGACCAAGAAGAAAGACTTGTGCTTCTGAAACTCTGTGCTTTGCTCGCCGTAGACTCATGCGCTGTCGGACTATCATCTGTGTATGTCTATACGATCAAATGCAAGCTGGAACTAGCTGACCTCGCAAAGCCCATGGCAAACATATATGGTGCGTACACGATTCGACGTCCCCGACGCCAAGCTCGGTGCCATCTTCATGCTGGGCAACGGGTTAGGAGCTGTCGGAACACTCTTCTCGAGCTCACCCGCTCGAAGGCTAGGCAATCTCATTGTAAGCCAACATCTCCCCTATAGATCCGCCTCAGCTCTAATGAAAAGCAGACATTAGCAGTAACATTGCTGCCATCAGCAATCATCCTCCTCTTCTTCGGTCTCGCATTCAACCTGCCACTAATGCTACTACTGATAGCAAGCGAGTCATTCCTCTCCCCAATCTACCTAGCACCACGCAACACTTTCATAAGCCGCATACTCACCAGGAGCAAGCGCACAGCGTCATTAGGCATCATTACCATGGTCAAGCTCTTGACCAATGCCACCGGCTCGTTCTTCACGGGCTTCTGGGCCGACAGAGATATGTTCTGGCTTGCTTTCGTTGTCGCGGGCTCGTTGAAGATCTTGTATGTGTTTGGGATCTTGTATGCTTTCTTGGCTGTTGATCGTCGTCTTGCGCACGAGCAGGAGGAGAGGGAGGATACTGGCAGTGACTGAGCTTTTCGACGTAGAGATACAACTATCCCCGCGTCCTTGTTCATTAATTCTTGGTAAGATCATACACTTGCGTAGGACCACGTTGTCCATGGTCTTGTAATGCACATAGCGCGAAGCATGGAGAAAGACGGCTCGCTATAGATCGCTCATGCTACTCCAAAAAAGTAAACAGATTAGTATGAACAACATTCAGCGCCCTCTGCGCCTCTCGCTCCTCAATGACACACGAGATATTAATCTCACTAGCACCCTGGCTGATCATCTCGATATTCACCCCATGCTCCCCAAGGGTCGAGAAGAACCTTCCGCTGATCCCGACCATACTCCTCAGCTGCCTGCCGACTAGGGAGATGATGGCCATATTGGGGACGAGATCCACGTCTCCCCAGCGGCTAAGATCGTCGACTGCGCCGCGAAGACTGTTGTCTTCGATCTTGAGCTCTTCTTCGCCGTTGCCGGATAGGAGGGCGGATTCGCTGTGCAGGGCCATGCTCACGTGGACCTCGCTACTGCTGATGAGGTCGACGCTGAGACCGTGTTTGTCCAGGATGGAGAAGATGGACATCAAGAAGCCATGGGCGCGCGTCCTGCGCTTGGAGTGCACATTCAGTACCGTAATAGATGGCTTGATCGTAACAGCTGTCGGGCGTTTCGGCCTGTTTGCTGCCGCTCCATTGCCATTGGTAAGGAGGTTTGACGCTGAGCGGTTCCTGAACAGCCCACTCCGTCGCTTCTCCAAATCATCTTGAGGATCCGGAACGATGACCGTCCCCTTATTCCTTGGATTCATGACGTTCTTGATGCGGATTGGTATACTAGCCTTGATCACCTGGTCCATGGTAAAAGGATGTATAACCTCGGAACCATAGAACGTCAGCTCTGCGGCTTCGGCGGGTGTCACAGACTCCAGCAGACTGGCTGTGGGCACTTTTCTCGGATCGGCGGTGAAGATACCATCCACTTCCTTCCAGATCTGGAGTTCGCGTGCTTGAAGTCCTACCGCTACTAGAGCAGCACAGAGGTCCGTATAGCCTCTTCCAACCTGCTCCAGAAGTCCTCCGGGTACCTTGCCAAAGAAACCTGTGATGACTGGTACCACATCGTCGCCCAATGCCACCACTTTCTCTCCCAACACCTTCGCCAGGTTGCGGTAGAAGTCGTCTCCTAGACCCTTGCCACTGACTGGGAAATCAATAACCTCGCTGGCGTCCACATACACAGCCTTTGCACCTCTTTCCTGCAAAACAGCAGTCATATACAGACAACTCAGTTTCTCGCCCACAGACATGACCATGTCCAGAGTCTGACTTGTCACGGCCTTCAAGAATTGCGCCGATTCCAAAATCCTCAGAAGATTATGACATTCCGCATTCACATCCTCAGTATATCTCTCCAAGATCTCTCCATTCTGCACAGCGTCCTGCCCGGCTTTCATGTGATCAAGCCGCAACGCCTCCACAATTTCAACATACTTCCTCGTCGCCGTCTCCGAAGCCGTCTCGACATCCCTCGCAGCACGCAGAAGTCGGTTCGTGGTCCCTTCAGCTTTCGTCCCGGTACTCCTCGCCGAGCACACAACCGCAATGCGCTGGTTCTTCGATGCCGATAGACCTGCCCTGTTGTATTCAGTCACTATCCCGTCCCTCTCCAAGCCAAATACTACGAAGCCCTGTCCACACTTACAGCACAATATCCTCAGCAATCTTCACCCCGAATTTACCCACACTCGTCCCGCCAAACTTCTGCACCACCCAGTTCGCACCGCCGGGAAGGTCGCGTTCCTGCGTATGCGGTATTCTATCCTCGATCGTGCCATTTGTGACGGGCCCATTGCCATTGCGTTCGGGGACGCTTTGCCGTGAACGGCGTATGATGGGAAAATCCATGCTGGATGATGTACTTGGGCTGTGAAACGCTATCACTTTTGGGTAAGAGGAAAGGAAAGGAGACACCTCTATGACAAGGGTATGATATGTTTGAAAAGATCGAGGTCACGAGGAAACAATAATACTGCACGTGAATGACTGTACCGAGGCGGGCAGATTCTTGCGTGCTTTCGAGCCCTCGGAGTCACTTTCAGAAGAATTCAGTGGGGCTTCGTCTCGTTCCCACGATCTGGATCCCTGGCTCCGTCACGGTCCGTTCAGCCGCTGCAGGAACACCATATCCCCGGTACTTGCATAAGTAGCAAAGTGCCGGCGATCACATACAGCACACTACGATCTCGCACGGAAGCAGACACGTATTAGCGAAAGTACAGAGTGAGAAAAAGAGTTGTGTGGGAATGCTAGCGTCGATGTGGGAGGCTACGTATCACGAGTAGAGGTCCTCATCGACATCATAATCCCCAGTCTCATCATCGTCCACCTGCTCAGGCATATCGTCCCCACCAACACTAGGATCCTCCTGCGCCGGCTCGGGGTTTTCCACGGCACTGCTTCCCTCCCCAGCAGTAACCTCAGCATTAAACCCAGATACTGCTCGCAAAGTCCGAGCCTGAACCTGAACCTGAACCTGCGCCTGAGCTGGAGCACCAGCATCTTCACCCGCCTCCTCCGACAGCTCAACCCTCGGACCAAAGCCATAAAGCGTCTCCTCATCCCAAATCTTCCAGCGTTCATCATGTCGGACGCGTTTCCTCTCCCGCTCTCTCCCCTTCTTACTACCGCTGATACGCTCTAACTCAACCTCTCTCCGCTCAGCCAGAATTGCATTAGCTCGCATGAGCTCAGAGCCAGCTTCCTCCACAGAAGTGTAAAACCCTCGTCTCATGAGCGGCGGATCTGGTGGGTCGGTGGCTGGGTCTACGATCTCTGGATGTAGATCTCGCATTCGTCCACGCGATTGAGACGAGAGATTCTGTGCCGGCGCCACCCGATTCGCGTCCACTCTACTGCGAAGGCGCTCGCTACGCCGGTGCTCGCTTGGCAGATCCTGATCTACTGTCCGAGTCTGCGTCTGAGACTGAGCCTTCAGGTGATGGCGATACTCAGCTATTGCGACGACAATATTCGAAGAAGCATCCGAATGCCCCTCAACCTCGTCAGACTCCGTCGACTTAGTCCATTTGCTGCGACGACGCATGGCTGTTGCAGATTCCGAGTGTTCTCCTAGGGGATAGGAGTTGTCGAATTCGTGAGAAGGGTCGGATATTTCGATTGGAGATTCATTGTCTTCTTGCTTTGTCGAACCAAGCAAACGAGCAGACCATTGATGTGTTTGAATTGAAGGTGCTTGTCCGCCTCCACTGTCATCGCGCAAGTCTGACAATGCCACCTACACCTGTCCACGGCGATAGCTCTGTTGACATCAGCACGTCCTCGTGTCTGGTGGTCGGACTCTAACAGCCATCGCTGCGAGCATGTTGCCTATCAGAATCACGAGACACATGTCGACTCAGATAGCCCACGTGGTCCTAGAGCATGATGTGCCAGCATACTACGATACTTCCCTACTGCCGACGTATGTAGAGCACCAGCAATATAATCCGTCTCATCGTCGGTAAGGACCTCTATCCCGATCCACCCCCCTCTCTCTCCTCGTATCCTCTTCCCTCCCCCCTCTCCCACGATCCGGAGACCTGCTCCTCGTCCGCCTCTCATACCCACCACGATCCCTCTCACGGTCACGCTCCCTATCCCTATCCCTATCATCCCGATACCTCGGCGGGCCATCCACATCTCGATACGCCCGCGGCGGCGGCGGAGGAGCATCAGCATCACGATAAGCATTTTCCCTACTGCCACGCCGAGCGCGATCGTAGCCATCCCGCGGCGGTGGAGGCGGTCGTGCCTTGCGGTCTGCGGAAGAGTAGTCCGGGATGTAGACGTCCGTATCTGGTGCTCGGGCGCCTGCTCGCGGTGGGGGAACGTCACGGGCCGGTGGCATATTGGGCCGCGGAGGCAGGTCGGTAGGTCGAGGTGGGAGGGCGTGGCCATTCGTCGGTGCAGCCATGCGGTCGCGGTCGCGGTCTCGTCGCCACTCTGGTTGTCGTGCAGGCGGTGCATCTGCTGGTGGTGGGCGTCCACGGCGGTCATCGTAGCCACGTGGTGGGGGTGCAGGGCCTCTGTCTCGGTAGTCTCGTGGCGCACGTTCTCCATAGCCATGGCCGTTCCTATATGGAGGGGGACCAGAACCGTTCCACTCATCTGGACCCATGCCGACTGTGCCTCCTGCTGGCGCGGGTGGCAAATTGCGCTGCTTCTCGTGGCCTCTCCGTCGGGCATCTAACTCGTGGCTGTCTTCGTAACGCGGTATATCCTCTGGCCTGGACGGGTAAGGCTGTGTCTTGAAGTATTCGTGCTGCAAGGCATCTATAGCATTGATCCGTGTTCGCCAGTCGAGACGTAAAAGCTTCTTCAACAAATCCAGACCCTCCTGTCCAATAGCATGGCCAAACCGGTCGGTAATGTTGCCTCGGCTGGCTTCGAACGTCTTGTGTCCTTCGCAACCCGGGAGCTCACTCCACCCTGGCATAGAGTCATCGGTAGGTGATCCGACCAGCGCAAAGATCTTGTGACATTGATCGACATCCGTTCTGCCTTCTAAGATGGGTCGATGCTCAAACATCTCGGCGAAGATGCAGCCTACACCCCACAAATCGATCGCAGGCGTATATTTCTTCAGTGTGAGGAGCAGCTCCGGAGGCCTGTACCATCGTGTGACAACAAGACTCGTATAATCTCTCACGGCTTCACCATTCCCACGACCGGGTTGGGGTGGTGTACCTTCGTAGTTACGAGCCAGACCGAAATCAGCTATTTGCAGTACACCTTTGTTCGAGATCAAAATGTTGGCAGCCTTCATATCGCGATGGAGGATATGCGAGTCGTGCAGATATCGAAGTCCTTCCAGTAGTTGCTGCATGTAGCACTTGATCTGAGCAGTCTTGAAGACGATGTCCGGGTTCGTGAGCATACCACTCAGGTCGTGATCCATATACGGCATGACCATGTACAGCGTCGCACGCTTCTTTCCAGCCTTGCCCTTCTCGTCGACCTGCTGCCTCTCCACAGCCATTTCCTCCAAGTGCAATATGTTTGGGTGACTGAGCATTTTGAGCAGCTTGACCTCACGTAACGCTGTGATCGGGAAGCCGTCCTTCTCGTTGTGCATGAGGATCTTCTTAAGTGCCACCATCGCTCCCGTCCGCTTTGATCGTGCCTTTGACACCACACCGAACGTTCCCTCGCCGAGCTTCTGATTGAGGATGTCGTAGTCGGATATCTTTGCGCTGCCGCGAAAGCGACGGTGCAGTGGGTCGGTCATGTCGGCGGGAGGTGTAGCGACATGTGTCATCACGTGGAAGACTTGAGCTCGTGATTGAGCAATTTATTTATTATGTGGCATGAGTGGTGTGGTTGGAAAGGGCGTGTTTGCGCCGGCTTCCGTGGTGACGGCAGCTGTCATCGGCCGACCATGATGATACCTGGGTGGGGTAAGAGGATATCTTTCGTTCAATCTAGAGACCAGCTCCCTCCATTCCAGGAAGTGTAGTTATTATTATTATCGCGTTGTGATGTTAAAGTGGAAGTCGAGACTCGCGACTTGAAGATCGACTTGCTTTCGCGGAGTTGTGTCCGCTGTCCCAATCGTGAAGCTGCAGCGACTTGCTCTTGCACCTCTGCTTCAACAACCACACGGCTGCTCCACGACAAGCAGCAGTCCTCGAGGAAGCAACTGTGAGGCAATACACGTACGCTCAGACACCACACCATACATTACAGAAGGCTCTCACTGACCACTCTGAGCAGACAATGGCAGGAGGACACGGCCCAGCACCCGGCGGCCGCGGCGGTCACCCAATCCACATCCACCCAGCAAGACCACTCTACAGATTCGCCGCGACGGGCTTAGGAGCAGCCATGTGGTTCTTCGTACGTCTGGACACCGAGTCACGAGTTCAGTGACGTTCGCATGGCTAATTAATCCACGCAGTTGTTCTACCGTGCGAGGTACGACGGGCCAGTACTGCTCGGCTGGAGACATCCATGGGAGCATTGAGGAGGATATCTACGAGGCATTGGTATTCATGAAGAAGGTGGACTGAGGTCAGAATTGTACATATGAGACGAAGGGATATGGCGTTAGGAGTAGTGCACAATGATCTATGGCCAGCTATCGTGAGATCGTCAGCAAAAGTAAAAGCCTCATACATTTCCTGCAAAAGATACGGCGAGCATGTGCACGTCACTGAGCATCAAGACAGGTGAACATCTAAGGCATGAAGCCAGTTACAAGACGAGCTTCTGCCAGTGTTGCCACTTCGCACGTTTCCTCCTACACTCTTGCAACAAATTACTCGAGAATCTCCCAGTGTCTGCTGCATCTATATGCGCTATGTTCTCGATGCCATCATGTCAGTCATAAGCTAATTATTGTTGCGATTCTGTCTGCGGGCTTATGTCGGCTCTCTTTTGAGAAGAGATATAGTTTGTTACGGCCGCTCCCGCAGCCAGGACAAGACGGATTGTGAAGGGGGACCCGCGACCACAAATCGTTGCTCTTCGAGACGGTCCAAATCCCTCGTGGCGCAATTGGCTAGCGCGTTTGACTGTTATGGCCGCACGGTATAGCCGATCAGGAGGTTGGTGGTTCAAGCCCACCCGAGGGAGATTTTTTTTGCGTCTCGTCGACGGCCTGGTCATCGACGATATCCAACTCAGCAGCTTCGATGGAAGCGGAGTCTTTGCTTTTGGTCCTTGACATGGCATGTCAACCTCTTGAACGAGCGCGATGTTACGGAGGGCAACGAAAAGTATACCAAGCTAGTGACCGCACAGTGTCGTCGTGAGAGCCTGAACATATCACGATCTCACTGTACTTTTCGACATGCTTGAGTCGACATCATGGCACAACGAGCACGACGAGGAGTACGAAGCTATCTCGTGACAGCATTGTAGATACCAGCGGTCTGAACAACACTCTCGAGATCGAAGTCCACACGTGTACTGCGATAGTCGTGCCGCACGTATCGTTGGAGCAGCTGGTGGATACATGTCTGGGCTTCGTGCTGATTCATCTTGCCATTATGGAATTTCCCGAGATAACAGCCGGTGGTGAGGCAAACCACGGCCTCCGGGTAGTCTCTTCCAACTGCGTGAGTTACAAGTAACGAGACACAAATGGGCTCCCTTGGCACTTCTGGAGAGTGCATTATATTCAAACACGGCTTCTTTGAGAACACCTTATCACGGATCGAGATCATTCTCGCCAACGGAGAAGCGGTCGAAGCATCACGATCGGAACGAGAAGACTTTTCGAACGGAGTCGGCGGCTCCTTTGGAACCTTGGGGCGTCATCACCTTGCTTGAGGTTGACCTGATACCTGCAAAGCCTTGCATGAGGCTCACTTACAAGCCAGTGACAAGCTTCGATCTTCCCACCGCAATCGAGCATAAGACAACATCTGAGCAGTATAAGTACCTCGAAGTGGTCATGTTCGGTCTAAAAAGAGGCCTCGTTATTTCTGGCTCTTCCTCCGCAAGTCTGGAACAAGCTGAGCTCGACAAAGTGTGCTTCTGCCGCCCTTCAGATCCCTGGTTCTACCTGCACGTGGGGGATGCATCACAGCACGACACATCCCGAGCCTAAGCAGGACCTTGTGCCCCTCAAAGACTACCTCCTCCACTACAATCATAATACATTCTAATAGACTTGGACTCTTTCGAGTACTTGCTCGCGCCATTCAACGCTCTTACCCGCTGAGCGCTGAACAAACTACTGCGGCAAAAGTTCTTCACCAAGGACTCCATGTGAGCGATCTTGCAGATGAGTATATCTTGCAGGACATCCACTTCCCCTATGCAAATGTTGGGCGCTTCGTGGAATGGCTCGACACCACTTTCGGCTTCTACCCGCCATGGCTGTGTTCACACAACGTTGACAGAGATATGGCACTGCACCCCAAGCAAACTGCCGCTTATGATACAAACGCACGCAGCCCCGGTATGATGCTGAATATTGGCATGTTGGGTCCAGGCCCAAGAGGCTACGCGGAATTTGTGCTTGCGAACCTGCAATCGAGCAGAAGACAAGAGAACTTGGTGGCCTGAAATGCTTCTATGCTCAAGCTTTCTATTCAGCTGAAGAGCTCTGGAGTGCTTACGCAAGTTTTGGGACGACGCTGTACGATCGAAGTATAAGGCGTCTGGGATGCCAACTGTACAGCAGAAAGTCAATGTCGACCTGGCGAAGTGGGGTCCAAGGAGCCAGCTGCCTTGAAGACAATGGGCTGATGAGAGGTTCAGCCAGCAATGGCTGGTGGTGGGACTGTATGGTGCGCTGCAGGTGTTCTCGAACCGAGATCATGTGATGCAGTAAGCAGTCCATCACAGAGCTGACAGCAGTGGAGGACTAACGTTACTCAGCGGTGGGTACGATGTGGATGGCGGACGAAATGGTCATTGGGAATGCAGGAAGGAGGCTAGTCCTTTGTCCTCAGTACGCCTCTATAAATTCCTGTTGTGTTACAGAGTGTCCATACTACCGTACCTTCCATTCGATCACATCAAGCCAATATACTTGCATAGTAGCTTGGCAAGAGAATGTATCATGATCAGTCTCCTGCAAGATTGTCTCGTGTCCCCGATGAATGAAGAGCGATGCTGCGCTGGTGATATCCCATCGCTTTCGCAAGGCTGCCATGTGAAGGATTCCTGTAGCCTTGTAGGTCTGAGGCAACAGTCAACATCGATCAGAAGCCAGGTTTCGTCGGCGCGAGGAACAAAAGTGAAAACGTAGAAGCGCATTCCTTAAAGACTGAAACGACTCATCTGCAGCGAACTACTTCACTGGCCTTCAACGAAAGCAGTCCGGGCCATCAAGATCAGAAACCCATCCATCAACATGGCGAGCGCGACCACCAGCAATAATACTTCCCAAATCCTCCCAACGATAAACCTCCTCTGCATGCTCCCCGAACCCAAAACCGCCTTCCTCCAAGCCGTAGACAAGCACTTCCCCACCCTCCGCCACCACACCACCATTGAAATCCACGAAAGCAGCCTCAAAGCCCTCCCCCAAGAAACAACCTTCGACGCCGTGGTCTCCCCAGCAAACAGCTACGCCCGCCTGGACGGCGCCTTCGACGACGCCCTAGCCCGCGCCTACGGTCCCAAGGACGATTACTCCTGGATAACTCGCCAAGCACAGGAAGTTGTCTACGAGAAATGGAAGGGTTTCGCGCCACCGGGGACCTGCACGATTGTAGACTTGACCACTGGATCCGACGGGATCCCACGGAACCAACAGCCCTGGAAGACGCGATATCTACTCCTCTGCCCCACGATGCGGATCCCGCAGCCCGTGAGCTGGGATCGAGAGGTCTGCTACGAGTGTATCTGGTCTCTACTAAACGCAATCTTCAATCATAACCGGGACGCCCAAAACAACAACAACAACGAAGAGGAGAAGATTAAAAGTCTGCTAATGACTCCCCTAGCCACCGGGGCGGGTGCCGTGAGTAATAAGCGCTGGGCGGAGCAGACTGTGCTCGCGATGAGGCATTTTGTGGAGAGTGTGCAGGATCCGGAGACGTGGAGTCGATTGCAATGGCGCAAGGCGCTGGAGGATTTTCGGGAGATGGAGGGGACGTATAGTAAAGGCAGTGCTTCGACGAGTGGATGACTGAATGAGATCAATGTATACAAGCGCGCCATCTCAAGGCGGCAGAAGGGGAAGACTCTAAGCACCTCCCACTCCAACTCCGGCGTCTACAATATCACCCCCAGGCGTCGCAGCATCATTTGTAGCTCCTTTCCGCTTCTTTCCCGTAAAATTCCCCCTCGCCTCCACCCCGCCCTCCACCGGCAGCACCCTCCTCGCCGTAAAAACAAACCCCTCACTACCCCCCCGGCTCGTCATGCGCGGATGCGTCCTCCCAGGCAAAACCTGCCACTCCCGCACCCGACTCGTCTGCAGCGTAGGCGCCAAAAGCAACCTCGGATCGAGGGGAAAGTCGTCGATGCTGGGGGTTTCGCCTTTGGATAGGTGCTGGATGTAGGCTGCTCGGCGATCTTTACTGTAGAGGTCCATGATCTTGACCAGAGGCTCGATGGTAGGGGAGTAGATGACTATATGGCCGCCTCCTCGGACTAGGGGGATCGTGTGCGGGAGGATAGTCGCGGGATCCATATTCGAAGCTATGATCAAGCCGTCGAAATTTCCGCGTTGGGTATCGTGGACTACGGCTTGGCATCTTTGCCACCGGCGTTGTTTCTTGTGGTAGTTGCCGCGTTTGCCGGACTTCCATTTGAAGAGCTCGGGGTCGGGGACTGTGTCGGGTTGGCGATATGTTGGGTCGTCGGCCGGGTGTAGGAGTTGTAGCCAGGAGAGGCATTTGAGGTGCGTGTGGAGTGGGTGGTCTGTATTTGGACTGTTCGAATCGTAGCCGAAGTGTTTTAGGATTGAGACATTCGGTTGTACGGCAGGATGTAGTAGTGTTATCGTGTTGGATGTTGCTGGTAGTGGGAAGTCTCGTGGTGTGGGTATGTGTCTCGACGCTGGTGTACTCGATTTGCCATCCAGTGTGGCCGACACGTCCTCCATCTCAACGTCTTCTGTCTGGACTGATTCTGCATTCGTCGGTGGATGGTCGAATTGCTCCTCGTCGGTATACTTGTGCAGTATGTCCATCCTTTCGGCCATGGCTGCAACTAGCAACCCACCCGTTTCATCGACAGTGAGCCATCTACCAGTACCTAGCTTACCAAGGGAAGTCTCGTCGGCGGAAGACTCGACGTGCGACCCATGCATATTGCTCCACGCCATGATCAAACCCAGCGTCTCTTCCCGCATCTCCAGTATTCGCGCTGGCTCCTTCTCATGCAGATATAATATCAACGTACCCACGTCCATTGGCAGTACCGTAAAGCGCTTGAGATACTTACTTCTCTTCCGGAGCACATACTTGGCTCGAGAGAAGACCGTCTTCTCGTCCAGTCCCGCATGGTTGGCCAGAATCTTGTCGATGATCTCCTTTCCTGCCGAGCTCTTCTTCAGTTGCTCAATGTCTTCCTGTGATAGTGCTTGCCGGCTCGCATCATCAATCGTAAGGCGGTTGTTCTTCAGCTCCTGCACAACAGCCTCCTCCATTGCCTTTGGGAGCGATGCGCCATCGCTCACACCTGGTGTCGCCGGCTCTGCTCGGCTTTCGGCAGGGGTTGCTTCATCTGCGGCGACCTCAGCGTTCAGTTCGTCAGGCGTAACGATCCTAAGTCTGCTATATGCCTCATCTGCGGCTTTCTCCAGGATTTCATAAGTGTGGTAGTACGGTCGACCAAGTAGGAGATTGGAAGGGAACTGGCCGAGCTTGCCAACGTCAATGATCCTGCGCCATGTCTCAGTATGGACAAGCAGGAGTGCATCGACTTGTGGCGAGCGAGCGCAGATAATAGTTGAAGAATGGTGATGGGTGTGGTACCTACGTGTTAGGCTTGATCTCTAAGCACTTCAATGAACGGGAAGGCAAGCGTAAGAAGAGCCAAGTATTTGGCTGGATACGGGATGTACTCATGCCTTACGTGTGGTGCTCGTTGTCAACCGTTGTGCTATGCATAAGGATATGATCATAGAGAAGTTGCCATGGGCAAAAAGACTTTCTTGCATTCACGTCCAAAAGTTCGGCGAATGCTAGCGTTACAGGCCTGCTGGCCAATCACAGCTCGATCATTGGCTTAGTCTACACAAGCACACAGTGTGTATCGGAAGTGATATCTAAGATCCAGATATATGCGGAGTGGGAGCATATCAGAAGACTTCCATGTTACATTCGAGAGCAGACTGTCATCTACTCGCCATCTGAATATGGCTTGGCATTGGGCCAATCGATAACGGCTTCATATTTCTCCGCGCCCCGATATATTTTCTGGTCGATCAAAAACTACATGCACGATCTGCCAAAGGTTTCGTAGAGATAGTCGGAGCAAGATGGCGTCCTTCAGGAACCCAGATAAGATCCCCAACAAGATCAAGAGACGCGAACAGAATGTCAAGCGGAAACGGTCGACTGAGAATGCCAAACGAGACGATCGATTGCGGCGACGACGACAGGAAGACAAAAACCCGCATCTACGGGAAGAGCGACGAGCGAAGAATGTTCCGGCTACGATAGACAGTAAGCGGACTTGGGATGTGGCGAATGAGGACGCAGAGGTAGAGGCGAAGTTGGGCGTGAGTGTGGACGTGCTCAATCCCAAGCGAAGAAAGGTTGCCGAGGAGGAGAAGCAGAGGCCGGAGGATATCGATCCCGAGGCGCATCAGGCGGATGTGGAGGACGATGATGAAGAGCCGGTTGCTGTGGGGGATCTTGCTGTGGACAGCGTGGGGGAGGATGAAGACGAGGTGGACAGCATGCTGGACTCCGACTCCGAGAATGATGAAGACGAGGAAGGAACAAACGACCCACCCGATCGCGCAGACAGCGAAGCACCTTCCGCCGTCCCCTCAACAGCAACAGCAACAACAACCGCCACAGACCTCAACCTCACCCCGGAAGCCCTCATCGCCCGCTTCCCCACCTTCTTCGCCAACCCCGACCGCGACCCCAAAGTCCTCGTGACCACCTCAATAAACAGCCCCTGCCACTGGGAAGCCCAACTCCTCACCTCCCTCTTCCCAGGCAGCCACTACATCAAGCGCACCGCCCACTACCACAGCTACAAGTACTCCATCCGCGAAATCAGCACCTACGCCACCGAGCGACAATACACCCACGTCGTCGTCCTAAACGAGGAGCGAAAAAAACCAAAAGGTCTCGACATCGTCGCCTTGCCACAAGGACCCATGTTCCACTTCTCCATCTCCAACTGGACCGAAGGCGCCCGCCTCCCAGGCCACGGCAACCCAACAAACCACTACCCTGAACTAATCCTCAACGGCTTCCGCACCTCCCTCGGCCTCCTAACAGCCCACCTCTTCAAATCCCTCTTCCCACCTCGACCCGAGATCCAAGGCCGACAGGTCGTGACATTGCATAACCAGCGAGATTACATTTTCCTCCGACGGCATCGGTATGTATTTCGGGATAAGAGGGCGAGTGAGAAGAGCGTGCAGGGGGCGGATGGGAAGGCGATGAAGGGGGTGGAGGATATTAGGGCTGGACTGCAGGAGTTGGGGCCGAGGTTCACGTTGAAGTTGAGGAGGATCGATACGGGGATTCAGAGGCGGAGTGGGCAGGAGTGGGAGTGGGCGGCTGGAGGGGAGAAGGTGCGGACGAGGTTTTCGTTGTAGAAATATACGTTCTTGTGACGTATCTGTACATTGGCTGGCTAGATCGAAATTACAGGTTCGAAGATCTTGAGATACTACTTTCAGCATGCATTCCTGCTAACCTAACCTCGCCTTCCTCTACCAATCTTCTCCACCCTTCAACTCTACCCTGATAAAACCCTCCTATATCATGCACACCTTCATCAGCAATACACTCTCCCAACGCCACAGCGTCTTCAATAGCAGCATTCGCCCCATAACTGCCTAGGATCGGCATAGCATGCGCACTGTCCCCCAGTAAGACCACTCCATTCTCCTGCACTGCTCTCGTCATCTCGGCTTCGGTTGGTGGTGGCAGGGACCGCATAAGCCAGTTTAGAAGGCGATCTTTACGCATCTTCTCCGCATCGAACACTTCGGCGAAGATATCTGGTAGGCTAGAAAGCTGCGCGACTTCGTCAAAAAGGGCGGTGGGTGTTTCTCTGGCGTCGGATTTGGATCGCGAGGGTTTGAAGAGTGGATCTTGTGGTTCGCGACCTCCAGGGCGGGAGTAGGTGTATGTCACATCCGCCTGCTCAGCCGTGAGATCATCGATTTGGATTTGTAGGAGTGTTTGGCCTTGGCGATGCTGCAGGACTATCCCCCCTTCTTTCTGCACGGCGTGGAATAATAACTGGTAAGCTTGAGCAGCATCCTCTGCAGCTTTTATCAGGCGCTTTCCGCGGTAGACGGCGTAAGGGAGGGTCTTCAATTCGGCTTTCATGGACAGGAGGTTGCGGACGGAGGAGTGCACGCCATCGGCCGCTATCACGAGATTTGCTTTGACTTCTTGGCCGTTGGCGAAGGTAAGGGTGGTCGTGTCACCAGAGCGGGCGAGACTCGAGAGGACGTGCTCGTACCGGACATGCAGATCTTGGGAAAGCAGAGCCTCAAGTTTCTGCCTGTTCGCTCGGAACGCTTGCATAGCAGAAGCTGGAGAGGAGGCGGTATTGCCACCTTGATACCCCGTCCCACCCACACCGCCATCTACGGCCAACCGATCCCGAAAGGCCTTAGCATCGAGATCGAGATAGTCGAGTAGTGGTCTGTAGGCTTGCGGTTCCAGGGTAATGCCATAGCGATGCCTCCGGCGAGCTGTCTCGGCACTGTCGCGTTCGAAGATGGTGTAGGGGATGCTGTGCCGGGCTAGACTGCGGCCGAGGGTGAGGGCGGCTATGCCTGCGCCTATGATACTTATTTGGGGTGGAGGCATTGGGGGGCGGTTTGATGGGGGTGGCGATGGCATAGTGGTGTGGTTCTATCTCCACATCTTCAGATGAAGTATTTATTGCAGAAGGCGGTTGTACAGGAATATCCTTGAATGGCCGCGGAGTATGCTCAGACCAGACGCCCTCCTGTCTGTTGGTTGAACTTGGAAATAGTCATCTCGTTCATCGATCCCTTGGCCTGACGCTCGCCATTGGAAGTCAAAGCGGAAGGCACAGACGGTGGTCCCACCCGCCGCACGTGAGACGTCATCGTGCTTTCCGAAGTCAAGCTTGACCTTTTGATTTAATCATTTTTCACCTTCCCACATCATTGGCAAATCATGGCCACTTCAGCAGCCCGGCCCAAACGCGCAGGCGAGGACTTTGCAAAACAATACGAGAACACGTCGAAGAAGCCGAAGTTCGACGCTCGAAACCCGAGTACACTTGCTCCCGATGCGCCGGAAGAAGACGTCATCCTTAATGCCGATGTGATAGGGAAGTCGGGGCCTCAAACCAAGCGAAATGCTGTGAACATTGACGGCTACGAATCCGATTCGGACAATGATAACTTTGATGAGAGGGCGGCGGAGAGGGAGAGGGTGAACAAAGGTGCCGATGCGGCAAATGGAAAGAGTAAAGATGAGGAGCAGGACGACATGTTTGCTGATCTGGAGCAGGATGTTCAAGGAACAGCGGATGGAGATGACGACGAGGACTTGGCGCGGGAGGGCAGGAAGAGGAAGAAGGACGTCAGGTTCCTTGATCAGACGGAGATAGAAGGACAGGTGATGAACAGCACAAGTGGCGGGCATGTCTCCTCTGATCTCCTTCTCAATCCGAAAGACAAGCGAAGAACGAAGGACGTCGAGTCATCCTCTGAATCAGGCTCAGATGAAGAACGAGATATGCTCCCGGAAGAAATGGAAGATGATCTCGCCGCTGAAATCGGCGCGGGAGGGAAGAAGAGACATGCGCCTAAACTCGATGCTTTCAACCTCAAAGCTGAGGAGGAGGAAGGGAGGTATGATGAGAGTGGGAATTATGTCCGGAAGGCAGCGGATCCAGACGCTGTGAACGATAGTTGGTTGGAGGGGCTGAATAAGAAGGATATGAAGAAGGCCAAGGATGCGCAGGAGAAGCGGGATGCGGAGAGGAGGCGGAAGGATGCGGAGGACGATGCGACGTTGACTTCTGATTTACTTGGGAGGTTAATTGGGGGGTTAGAGGTCGGTGAGACGCCATTGGAGGCGCTGCAGAGGTTGCAGAAGGGGCAGAAGGGTAAGGGGAAGGATGTGAAGACGCCGAAGTGGAAGTTGAAGAAGATGCGGGATAGGATGGATGTTGATGAGGCTGAGAGCAATGGCAATGGTGCCGCTGCAGAAGATCCGGCTGAAGCTGCGAGGAAGCGCGCGGTAGATGCCATTACCGGCGCGGCAGACGCCTTGTACTCCCGCGAACAACACGATATCTACGACACGGAGCGCGAATCTCTCATGCGGCTTTACAAGCGCGAGACGGGCGAGGAGTGGACGGCTAACGCGAGTGCTGCGGTCGAGCCGGTAAGTGGAGGGGATGAGCAGTGGGAGTACAGATGGATTGACGCGAGGGATGGCGGGAACGCGAATGGGCCTTATGATGGCAAGACCATGAAGGCGTGGGTCGAGGCAGGATATTTCGGGGAGGGGGTGGAGTTCCGACGGGTTGGGGCCAGTGGGTGGGATAGGGGGCTTGATGCGCGATGAGCAATTTCTTCCCATGCAACCGAGACATAGTCTGACAGGCCTGTGGGAGGGGTGAGTGCCAGTACGTTCATGTCTTCGCACCCGGGATACCGTCCCGCTCTGGGCTGAGGTGGACGTTATAACTTTATTTGACCCTCCCCGTTCGACCCGCACGCTACCCCCGGTCGAGCGCGAGACGCTTCGAGCAGCCACATGCGATATCGAGTTGCTCGGATCTCTCGTTGAAAACTCTCCCACCACCAGGACATGCTGGGCACCACCCGGATATCACGAAGGCACACTTCACGAAGTCGCTGGACCGAACTGTTGTACGAGATGTGGCCAGCAGTACTCACGACCATCAAGAACTTCGCGGGCTGTCCCAAGCTTGTCATCCTACTGAAGACCTTCGTGGATACCCGTACTCCACAGACTAGACGCGAGGGGCCAACTCACGATACGCCAAAGTTCCTTGCATCGTCGAACACCCTGCTCCCGCCTACTGAGGTCGCTCGCGTGGCGTGCGAAAGCTTGGCTCAGCCGTGTGAAGCTTCGCATGTACATGGACCGCATAAGATGGGCATGCAAGATATTCGGCCGTGTGAGATGCACGCCCGAATGCCATGGACGGTACACCGATCCACCAGCCGTGGTCCCCCCTCCTTTCTTGACTTATCGCACTTGGCTACGCAATCTCAACCATGGCGGTCGCCCCAATTGCCGTCCAAGTCCTTGGTGCGCTCTCTTTTCTCCACTATCTACCTCACTCCAGGGGGACTAACGGTTGTACGACATCGTCCGTCAATGCGAGCACTACCACAACCTCGCTGGCGAAGCCTACATCGAGATTTTTTAGCTTCAATGTTCTGGATCTTTCCGTGGTGGAGGCCGCTGATGAACGTCTTGTTCCTCTCGCCGCTTCGGCAGATTTAGCTAAGACGATCTCGCTCCCAGCACCGACCAAGAATACAAGCCTATCACCAGCCGCTACGGTTCCCTCGGGCGCCAAAGTGACCATTTAGAACGATGACTTCGTCCCCGAATTTTAGATCCTTGCTAGAATTCCGCGCAAAGTAGCACAGGCCCTTGCGGGAGCAATCATTCATAGCGTAGACATTGAGCCCGCACGAGCACGACGCTGGACAGTCAAGATCGAGAAAGCTTGCAGTGAAGAGCGGATCATAGCACTGCACTTATCGTTCGAGACAGCTCTCTCCGCTAGGGAGTCGTTGCCATTTGCCAGATACGCTTTCGATACTGTCGCTGATGATACTATTGTCATGGAGGTGGTCACCGAGATTGTCGCTGTTGCTGTCGCTACTTCCGCACCGGCAGCTGAGGCGAAGGAGCCTACGTCGACTGCCAAGACCTATTCCTCTCCTGACGGACCCTATCTGACAGTCACGCCGTGGAAATTCCTTGGCTTCGACCGCGAGTTCATCGCTACCGCTCCTTCCGCCCCCACGGCGAAAATCCTATGCCATGCATGGACTATCGACACGCGAGAGAGTGGTGCTCATGCACCTAACAGGCATCCAAGCTTTCACGACCCTCATCATCTCTGTGCTCACCTGGTACTTTTCACCCGTCCAATCCACAAACGAACGGCTGAAGGACAAGTCTGAGCACTTGAGCGATGCTGGTGTGGACGATGATGGTCACGATCGAAAAAATGACCAAGTCGAGAAGCACAAGATCGATCCCAGCGATCGAAGTGCTGTGTTCGCACTTATCCTCTTCTGTCCTGTCCTCCTGGCCTTCCCAGTCATCTACAACGGCCTTCTCGGGCTCCACACAGCAGCCAAGACAACCGAAAGTCGCCTCCGAGCCAGGCTACGAGCGGGAGACTTCGCCATCCGCCAACATACCTGGACGTTCTTCAAGGTCTTCGCGCTTTGCGTAGTCTAGTCATTCGTACCCAGAGTTATTCTCCTTATCCTGGCACTGAGCCTCTGGCTCGCTGTCCTGTGGCCTGTTTGCTGTGCTATTGCTCAGCCAATAACTGGATACGTTGATGCTTCCCGGAATCACGACCCACAATCGATACGCTCGAGAGCTTGTGGAAGTCTGGCGTACAGACAGGTCGTACTGCCGGCCGTCGAATTTGCGAGCGACTAGGAGACCTCAGACGTGGAATCGCCGCCCGAAGTCGTTCGATCTGGCTAGCGACCACACTGTTTATCGGTACTGGCGTTGTGGCTATCAGTCTAAAGCTAACCAAGGAGAGGCCTAGTCAGTGCTACTGGCCAACTGCATATCTAAGCCGGCCGATGGGTTTGGTGATGGTGATTACTGTAATTCTTTTGGGTGCCACGGAGAAGCACCAGTCCATACGATTTATCAAGGCCGTGTGTGCTAGTGTAGCTAGCGATGTTGCTGCTGCGAAAGCTGAGTGGTATAGCGACAAGATCCGCGAGGTTATGAGGGGTGACAGCGATGAGCAGCGAGACAAGACCAATACGCCTCATGGCGTTGCCTCGACAGCTCCCGTGACAAGGTCATCACCAGCGACTGCTGCTGCTGCTGCTGCTGCTGCATTAGCTGGTCTTGGATACCATGTCGTGGCCACCGACGCGGTCGATGACACTTCCGACTCTGACCATTTGGACGATGACTGGACGGACATTGAACAGACAGAGGACGAATACAAAATTGTCGAGCGAGATGAGACTTCGACCGGAAAGGCGCCTGCACCACCACGAAACAAGAACTTGCTCATCTCGGGAAGGAATCCCACTGGATAGGAGGTTGAGCAAGACAAGCACGTATCACGACATCAGCAGCATCGAGGGGGTTGAATATCGTACCGTCCAATGACGTTCCGAATCTGTCGCGCGACCGCAGATTCATTGGAAATAGTGGCGTGCTTATGGGGAGAGCGCCGAGGAGAGAGGTATATTAGCGTAGCAGCAAGATTCTATGCCTGAAATCTATAACTACGGTATATACAACTTATACAACCGATATGACCACGAATTTGAACAACATATACAACATCTCATATAAACCCCCTATAAGCCCATCAACCCCTGATGGTTGCGCCAACAAGATCAATCACCCCTTGCATCTCCCTCTCCATCCCCTCCACCCTTCGTCTCAGGTCCTTGTTCTCCCCCCTCAGCGCATCAACAGTATCCCACGCCGCACCCTCCCCACTCCCCCCACTCCCCGCCCTCCGTGCACTAAAGATAGTCGTGCCGGGCAAGTCCCTCATACTGGGTCGCGAAGCCTGCGTCTCGTTCCGTAGGCCGTGATAGCCAAGGGCAGAAGTCCCGAGATCCCATTCCTGCCCGTCATAGGCTGGCGTGAGGACCATAGTAGGTGTCTCCCGTCCTCCGCCCGAGATGACAGAGTCGGCGTAATCGACGTCGCTCTCGAAGCCCGAGTCGCTGCCGCTACCGCCTGAACTCCTCTTTGCTCGTCGAGGCGTGTCATCCTCATCCGCCTGCTCAGCAGAACCTCTTCGCACAAGCTTGACACTTCTGCTCTCCACATTCCTCATCTTCTCCTCCGCTAGCATGGCAGCCATCTCCCGCATAGCCTGATTCTGCTCTTCGCTCTTCCGACTGAGCTCCTCAAGCTGCAATTTCAGGTGCTGAGCTCGCGTCTCCGCTTCCTCGGCTTCTTCAGCTTGTGCGTCGATTTCGGGTTGGATGGAGGCGATGTACTCTACTTTATCCTTGTACGCTGTTTGCATGCGCGTGAGAAGGGATGTGGCGTTCAGGAGCAGGTCGTTGAAGGCGTGGGGCGAGAGAGGATCGGCAGGCCCGTGCGGAAAGAGTGCGGTGTTGAGGTTGAGGGTGAGGAGCTCGTCGGCTTCTTCTTGTATGCGTGGTGGAGAGGCGGGTACCGAAGACTTGCGGCTGAACCAGCTTGACTTTGTGGATGGCGATGTCGTGTTCGTACTGGCTGGAATGAAAGCACTGCTTCGTCTTCTTGGACCAGTGGGACGTTCCGTGAAGGAAGACTTGTACTCCATGACGAAGTCCATCTCTTCTTTCTCCTTGGTTGGCGAGAGTGGCACACCAAGTCTGATAGGAGCAGACTCGCCGCTGAACAAGTTGCTGAAGACCGATTGTCTCTGCTGGCCGTCGTCGAATCTCTCCGGTGTAGACGTTGTAGTGCTTGCGTTCAGCTTGGGCATGAAACCAGCTAACGACTTCGCTCGCGAGTGCAGAACAGATCCCTTACGTGATAGTGCAGCAGCAGCAGGCTGGGCATTGGACCAAGTTGACATCAGTCTTGCGCTCAAGGCAGGTCTGGTTGGTGTAGCAGCTTTGGCCGGTTCCGGGAGCTGCAGAGCATCGTACCCATCTCTGTCGAGATCCAGTGAGAGTAGGCTTCTATCATCGATGTGGCCTTGCGAACCATGGTAGGCCGTGGAATAGTAATCGTTGTAAGGAGAAGGCATATTTGGTTTGGTTGTGGTGAAAATTCGGCGGGGTTATTCTTTTGTTGTGCCTGTCGATCAACAATGCTGGAGTAGATCGTTCGTTGTATCGTGCCGTCGTCGACGTTCGTTCAAGCTTCGTCTCTCGTTTGGTATATTGTGATGTCGCAGTCGAAAACGTCTCGAGAAGCCCCGAGCCCTTCTCCTTGTCCGTATCGTTACAATGGTGTTCTGATAAGATTGCACCACCAGCTGTCTCGGCCCCACGAAGCTACCACTTTGCAGCTTCCGTCGTCGATCAACAACTTCACCAACAAAAACCAGATTATCTCTGCTAGTGATGTTTCCTGGAAGAGCGACAGTAGTGACAGAGAGGTTGCAATAACACGAGATAGTCCTGACCAGGATACGCACACGATTAATATGAAGATCGTCCCAAAATGAAGGTGGCTTTAGCGTCAAACAATCGCCAGCCTCACACCCACTCGCACACACCAGATAAAGTTTGCGAACCGTTACAGCCCTGCCACCACCCCTGTCGCACTCCATCATCATCTCTGCCACTATACGACCGATTGCGCAAGTCTTTAGTAGCAGATGTCTCCATGGACTCGGTCCTGTTGCTGGTCAGGATGATTAAATCTCAGGGACCCGCAGAGCCCAGCCTCACATGCTCACCATTCCAACGCGCCTTGATGGGCTGCTGTCGACTGCATCTCGGCCTGCAAAGCGAACACTTTCCGTCGCCGTGATACCCTGGAGTCCAGGGGCGCGGTCCACGGTAGCAGTTGCTACTTTGCTCTCCCTTGCGATGTTCACGTCCCTCTCCGCCGACATGGCGACTCGGTAGCCAGTAGCCAGCTTACGATGTCGCGTGGCTAAATAAGGAGCTTGTATGCAGCCTTGCCACAAGGTCACCAGAGATGTATCATCGACGCCATCCTCACACACATATATATGTGCATGGGTGCCCAACTCGTTAGTAACGTCACAACATACCAGACATCCACAGACTACTAAGTCGCTTCGTTCTCTCGGTGAACACAAGCACCGCAAACGTATATGTATACTCGAGCCCGAAAGGATCAACTATCTCGACAACCCGGCTCTCAACAAGCCCGCCTTGTCGACGGAAGTAATGACACAATTATGTTCTCACTACCACCATCCCTCCCAGACTGCTCAGCAAGAATAGCAACAACAACCCCGCGTATCGTCAAAAGACATCTACTAAACCATTCGCTCATAGGAGCGACTGCAGCAGCATCAGCTACAGTGGTTGAAAGGAAAGAGAGAGTTTACCCAAACCCTAACCCTAAGACATACACGCCTACCCAATTCAAAGATACACACCCATATATGCATACGAGTACGCCAGGGAAAAGGCGAGCGCAAGACAAACTACCACTTCGCGTGAATGACGCGAAGCTGCTTATGAGTATGACTGATTTTGGTACCATACTTTCATACTGTCATAATTCTGGCGATATCTATTATAGTCGAAGCCGATCTGCCCCGACAACGTCCCCCATCCCATCCCTTTGCCTTCCCTTCGGTTTCCCGATCCAAATCCCAAGTCATAAAGTCATTACATAGCCTCCAATCCCATTTCCTCCTCTCCCTCCAAAACCAGCCAGGGTGCCCGGCGGCAAAGGACTTACGACCCCTTAGATCTGCCCCTACCCCCGCTCTTGCTGGTTCCCCTCCCACGAGACCTACTCCTACCCCTAGACTTCCCTCCCCTAACAACTTTCTCCCGCTGTTCAGACCCCTCGCTCCCACTTCCACTCCCACTCCCTTTCTCCTTAGAAATCCCAGACAGACTCCCCTCCTCCACCCCACTATCCGACCTCACCAAACCCGGCACCTCGATCTCGACCGACGGAATAGCACGGTCCGGATTCTATCCAGCACCGCCATAATCCTCATCAGCCTGAGCATCATCCTCTGGCGCGTGCGGGTCCGACGGACGATATGATTGCATACTTTGTGGTTGTTGCTGCGGAGGCTGTGGTTGCTGTGGTGGTGGCCCAGTGGCGTACATCTGCTTGACAAAGAGAGTACATTAGTCGCCGGGCACCTCAAAAGTCATGTATTGCTACCATGAGGGTTTGTCATGACTTACCTGCTGCATCGGCTGCATACCACCCATCCCATACCCCGACTGCGGCGGCGCATACATACTCGGATCGAACATGGGCTGCCCAGCATACTGAGCCTGCTGCGGAGCCGGAGGCGGGTACATTCCCGTCTGCTGCTGATACGTAGGCTGTCCTTGCATGTGCGCCTGTTCGATGCCCGCGAATTCCTGCCCACCCATGCTCGGCTGCCCGTGCTCTTGCATTCCTGCTCCGGGACCCGCGGGCGCGCCGGCATTGCTTGGGTCGCCGCCGGCGCCGGGGACTTGGTAGGTGCCGACGGGTGTGTATTCTGGTCGTCGCTTATGCTGGGGTGTTGCGTCTTCGCGCGGGACGATGTCGATGAGGAAGTCGAACATGTCGCTTTTGGCTAGTGCGGATGCGATATCGCTGCGTTGTAGTGTTCGGCGTTTGTTTTCCTCCGCGTGGATCCAGGCGCGCATGGTGAGTTCTGTGATGAAGATATCGCAGCCCTTGGCGAAGAGGATTGGAGCTTCAGCACTGATCATCTTGACCTCTGGATCGGCCTTCATGACTTTCTTTATCCGGGCGAGAGGAAGCTGATGGATCTTGTAGTCGTGCTCTTCCGTCTCTAACTTCGTGACCTGATTCTGCCAATACGTGTTGAGGATATCTCGGTACTGTCCATTGAGGCCTTGTGATACCTGTAGCCAGCACGTCAGCTATAGCATCCTCCCACAGTAAGTCCATGTACAGCACTACTGACATTCGCCCACTGCCCTGTAAACGTCTCCGGCGGCGGCGCAGACCCTCCAGCCGCGATGGTCGAGCTGGCACCATAGTGTCCGCCATGCGCGGTGTCGTAATTAGGCATGCCATTCTTCCCGTCGTACTTTCTAGGCGCCGAGGCAGGTTGGGCAGCAGGAGGCGCGGGGAGTCCTGGGTAGGCCTGCATGGCTAGACGTGTGTGGAAGAGATGTACTCATGCAATGCAATGCAATGGTCCAGACAGACGTCGTGCTTGGATGGTTCGCCGTGCGTAGTCCAGCAGTCAGGTGCGCGTCACAAGTGCGATGGCAATATGCGAGGTGCGAGTTGATGGCGCCCTGGACGTGACGTGACGTATGCGCGGCCGACCAACAATACAATGGCGTCGATCGGGTCAAGTCCAATCGAATGGAAGACTGGTAGGCGGTGTCGAGTCCGTCTTTACCAAGTGACGACGATACTGCCTGCATAAAAGCGGTCGCATTAGCACAATCCATCGTATCATAGCTCTCTCCATAGCTCTCTCCATCGCGGGCAAAGCCCCAGCGCAACGACGAGACCCGTCTGTAGTATAGACGTTGTGACAACATACCGAGGAAACTCTTTGTTTATACCGTCGTTATGGCGGCCTGACGATGCGATTGGTTCGTGGGTGATGAGGCCAGTGATTGGAGCGGTGCCAGCGGCCTTGGATCAGGCTCGGCTGCTATTTGAATGGCTGAATGGGTGGAAACCAAGCGGGCCGGGTTCCGCTCCCGTGTGTGTGAATCTGTGGTGCTGTGATTCCCCTCAGATGCACGACGACGACGAGGTTCAGATGATATGGACCCGGTATGTGTGCAAGAAGATAAACAGACAAGAGCGGAGGCTTGACGATAGTAGACATACGCCGATGCAATCCCTCCTCCCATGAAGAAAAGCACTACTTACTCCATGACGCATGCAGTCTAGGCGATACCACTTCGCTGGCAGTGCATATCATAGGTTCGAAGTAGCTATGTACCTTTCCCGCGTACATGCTCTTTCAGCCTCCACATGCTCCTCTGGATAGGACCGCCCCGTGCCTGAATGCGCACGCGGCCAGTAGCTCTCCCCGACCAATCGGCCATCTCAAGCCTTCCATCTGTGGCCCTACATTAGTCCGCATCACTGTTCAGGCACAACAAAAAGCAAGGCACTGCATCCGCATGATGAAACACCACGTGCTCGACATCACAGTTCGACATCCATGAACCGCGACCAGACTCCTCCCATCCCAAGCCGATGCAGCCGACCCATCCCATCCCACGCCTCATCCTCCCCCTCCCCCCATAACCGCAAGCACTCTACTCCTCCTCCACCTTCCCCTCAAAAGCCGGCAACCTCTTCTGCACACTCTCCCAGTTCTCCTTTCCCTTGCACATAGCAACAACAGCATCTAAAATCTCCTCCAGCGAACTGCGGACCTGCTTTGTACTATCCCTCTCCCGCAACGTAACACCCTTTCCCTCCAAACTCTCATAGTCGACGGTGATACCGAAAGGGATCCCCAACTCATCGTTCCGCGAGTAGCGCTTCCCGATCGAAACACCACTCTGATCGACCTTGAAAGAAAGCTGCGCGTCGTCAAGCTTCGCTTCGAGGTCGGCCAGCACGGGCGCGAAGCGGGAGTCCTTTTGCAGCGGGACGAGGAGGACTTTGATTGGGGCGATGGTGGGTTTGAAGGACATGACCTATCACAAATATCAGCGACACGAGTCATCAATACTAATTCGAGGCCGCAACTCACCGATCTCGCCTCATCCTTCTCCCGAGTCCAGTAGCAGTGCTCCATCAAACTATACAAAATCCTGCCAACTCCGAACGAAGGCTCGATGACGTTGGGCGTGTATTCCCGCATCGTCTCCATCCTCGTCTCCTTGACAAAACTGACAATATCCTTGTCGAGCTCGACCTTCCCACCCTCTACACCTTCCACCGGCACTTCGACCTTCCCCTCCTTCTCCATAGCCAAACTACACTTCTCCTTGAACTCCTGACTCAACCCCTTCAACGCCGCCTCAACCTTTCCCTGGTCCTTCTTCAGCCGCGGCCCAGATTTCTTCTTATCCAAATTCGCCACCCACTCCTCCACCCTCACCGGCTCCTTCAACGGCTCCCTCACCTTCAAAAACGTCCCCGTAGCCTTCTCATGCACGCTCAAATCATACGCGCTGCGGTCCGCACACCCAACACACTCGATCCAGCCGTACGAACTCAGCAATTCGCAGTCCCAGCAATCAGCGGCATAATGCGCCATTTCATTCGCCATGTGCTGGCGGAAACGCAGCTTGGCAGGATCGATGCCGATTTTCTCCATGAAGAGCATGATGCGCACGAGGAAGTAGCCGAGCGTTTCATTGTCGACGAGTTTCGAGTCTACTGCCTCACCAATAGTTTTGATCTGCGGGGTTGAGCCGCCTTCGTTCTGGGTCTTGCGGTCGAGGAGAGGGAGTTTTGTATCGCGGACAGAGGCGAATTTGGGGTGGCGCTTACCGCTTTGTGGGTCGACGAAGTGCTCGACTTCTGCCATTAGGAACTCCCTTACACGTAGTAGACCGGAGCGAGGCGAGAGTTCGTTGCGGAAGGAGTAGCCGATACTGGCCGAGGCCATGGGGAGTTGGCCGTCGCTGAACTCCAGGAGTTTCTGGAAGGAAAGGAATTGGCCTTGTGCTGTTTCCGGGCGGAGGAATGCAGGTTCTTTGCCAGTAGCACCGATCTGGGTTTGGAACATGAGGTTCACGGATACAGGCGGCTCGACTTCATTGCCGGAAGTTGGGTTGCGGATATCATGCTTCCTGATCAAGGCACCCATATCGTCACCCGTCTGATCGTCGAGGGTGGCGAGTAAGTGCTCATACTCCTTCTTCGTCGCCTCGTCGAGCCTGACCGCCGCTTTCGCAGCCTTAGCTTTCTTCTTCTTCAACTTAGGATCTTCCTCAGTTTCCTCAATCTTCTCACCTCTCGCTTCTCGATCAGAAGTAAGTCTACTCTCGATAACATCCTTGATCAAATGATCCGATCGTAAAATCTCCCCAGTCTTCGGGTCCTTGCACATGAAATCGGCAAACTTATCCACATGACCAGACGTCTTGAGAACTTCGTAGGGCGTGAGCATGGAGCATTTGAGCGCCATCATCTTCTCGTGGCGGATGAAGTGATCGCGCCAGATGTTAATTACCTCAGCCTCTAAATTTTCGAGCGGAGGGCCATAGTCGAACAGGCCTTTAACGGCACCATAGGGCTCGAATGATTGCCATAGGAATACTTTGCGTCGAAGGAGTGATTCGAAAGCCGCTCGGTCGAAAGGCTGGCCAGCACGGGTCTTGTACTCGGTGGCCATGTTGGGTGCAGTTCCGGTGTTTCTAGATTTGACGGCGACCTGGTAGCGTTGGTGAGATGGGGCAGAGTGGAAAGCCCGGTTGCTCGATATCAGGACTGATTTCGCACAGCGAAAGGTCGAATGTGATAGAAGCTGGGATCCAGTCCTCGAAGCTCGCGATATTTGGTTGCCAATGGCAAACATAAACCGAACGCGACACTTTTGCTTCGATGGACTCTTATCTTGTATGGCAGAAGACGTGCTGCAGATGACGAAGAGACGGTAGTCAGACGGCTGCGATGCTTCAACGAGTGTGTCATGAAGTGATTCCGTGTCACAGAGACCAATTCAAACAACTTTTTGATGGAGCTAGCGAATAGACTCCAACGTCGTCGGTACATCCTTTCTCCATCCCCTACGCCAAGGCCACTACCCGTCACAAATTCCCCTCTATCGAGCTTCAGTTTCAAGCTTTTCCTTTCGATCAACCATCAACTTTCATAACCGACGCCGTATGTACATATCCCCCAGCTCATCATCCGACACCAGACTGACAACCTCATCACAGCCAACTAGTCACTATGAGAGCGAAGTGGAGGAAGAAGCGCGTGCGGCGCCTGAAGCGAAAGAGAAGAAAGACGAGAGCGCGCTCGTATGTTCTACCATCCAAGCCAATGGCTTCTCCCACACATCAATATACTAATCCCGTTTCTCTAGCAAATAAGCGTCTCGCCCCCAATGGCTGCCTAGCCAATCCATGCACACCATCGTCAAGCAAAGTAAACACAACCACAAGAACAGTCACGCGACCAGACCACATCACCTCAGCATCGAAGGAAGGCTCGGAAACCTGACGACGCAATTGGCGGGTGTCAAGCAAGTGACTGGAAGCTATGAACGGGAAATGTGGGAGGACTGTTGCATGGAAGCCCTCATGAACTCAGTACGGGCTGGAGATTGCTCACCTGCATATGCAATGAAGTGGAACGGGAGGTTCTAACACCGGCGGCCTTGTGTTATGTTTAGCATATAGCTGCCTTTGAACGCTTCTGTCTGCTGAACATCTGAAGTCATTGGTCTCGTTCCACATCATCTTGTGATATCCTTATGACCCCACGTCGTAGTATATGCAACTGCCAGTGCGGAAGTTGAAGACGCAAGCCTCCCTCCCTCCATCACCCTCCATCCACTTCTTTCTCCACGAGGCCAAGATATCCTGCACCTGACCAAGATACTGCCGCTCATTGAGCTGTACACTCTGCACCGACCTCCGCCAGCTCTCGGCCTCACTCAGTCGTGTCTCCTTGATAGACTCGAGAACACCATCACTCGTCTCAATAGCCAAGATGGGCGCATCCTTCCACTCGTCCATCTTCTCCGCCCATCGTGTCTGTGCCGCTTCAACGATATGATATTTATTCGACTTCTTGCTGCGATGCTGCGCCATCAGTACTTGGACATTGCCTCGACGATCGGCAGATTCATGATGACTACTATGTCGTGTGAAAGCTGGCGGTCGGACTTTATTGGTCGTTGTCTCCTTCTCTCGCAATTCTGATTGAAGGTGGCTGACCAGTGACACGAGCGGCACATCTACTTCGTCACTGTCGGAAGCAGCACTACGTATACGGACGCTGTGAGATGCTTCATGGCGAACGGATACAATCAAATTGTGCTCCGAAGTCTTGCTGGCCGCGGTGGCCAATTCGGCACTGATGTCGTTGGCCCAGAGAGTGTTGAGAATCCGCAGGCCAGCTACGAGCGCACCGTCGGTCGAAGATGTCTCGACCAATATATCGCATCGCTTAGCGAGGTTAGCATCATCGTCCACTTCCTCGATATTCTTCAAGAATGCTTTCTTGCCAGTGCTGCCTATTGGCTTGATCATATGGGCCACAAGCGAGTCCAGGCCGATGGACACGCCGACAGCGCCTTCACAGCCTTTGCCAAATGTGCCTGTGACACGATGAGCACGGATGAGGCTATCGTAGCGGCCACCGGCAGCGAGGACTGCTCGGTTCGTTTTGCGTTCCAGCACGCACTGGAATAGCATACCTCCCTCGAAGAGCTTCGCATTGACACTGCCAAGCGGCACTACATAGAGCTTGCGATGCAGCGTCATGGCTGAAAGGACGTCCAGGATGTCTTGTAACGAGCGCAGGCCCTGTTCCAGCTTTGTCTTAAGTCTTGTGCTCGCAGGTTCCAGCAGCCCTCGTAAGCGTGGCAAAGCCTTTTCCGGTGTCTCGCGGAAGTCAAACAACTGCATGTCGTCCAGCATGGTGTCCGCCAGGCCGGACTTCCTTAGCTCTGTTCGTACTTTAGCCCAAGTGAAACCGTGGAAGCCAAGTCTGCTGATCGCCTCTCGTACCATAGGCTGCTGCGCTAGTGGCACACGGCAATGCTCCAATATCGTGTCAAGGACGAGAGTGTGATTGAAGTGCAGGCTCACAGTGGCTTTCGAAAAAGATGGTAGCTCGCAGAATATCTCGTCCATCACCTTCAGCATCTCCGCTTCATCCAGAGCACCATCTAGGCTTGGATTGGTGGAGGTAATGTCAAAGTCCACCTCGTCATTGACTTTAGGTGCGCCACCTGTGTAGGCATCTCGATATGCTGAGCCGAAGACAAATGTTCGCTTGACTGGTGGCGCTTGTCTAGCCAATTGTCGAGCATATGGCAACGTAAGGTCGTACGGTAATTGTAGCAGTAGCCCAGACGCATCGAGCATCTGTACCACGTTGGTATTATTTTGATAATACGAGGATCGTGGAAAGATGGTCTCTCGTCGAGTCTCCTCAGCGCCGTGTCTTCGAAAGATTTGCTCCAGTGTACACAAAGCGATCGATCTGTTGCGAAGCCTCGTAGCATCCGGCGCGGTAATCTGTGGTTGTGCGTCCCACGCCAACGACTTCACCCTGTCCGTCCCTTGCGGATCATGAGCGAATAGAGCAGACATCATCTTCTGGTGGTATGGCGAACGAGAGTCGGTGAGGCCACTGAGCGCTTGGCGGATGGTCTCGTCTTCGACCTTGACGGGGAGAATGTCGCTACGCAGTAACTCTGTGCTACTAGGTCGTTCGCTTGGCTTATGTGAAATCAAGCAAGTTATGAGCTTGCCCTGGGCGACTTTGGCTCCATTGGTGCGGTATGCAGGCGGAAGCTCGTGCTCCTTCTCGCGGACCTGCTGTAATGCTCGGATCCGTTCCATGGCCGTGCTGAACTCCTCGCACATCTCATAGAACATGATGCCGAGCGAGTACATATCTACTTTAGCATTATAGGAGCCACCAGAATTGGTCCGTAGCTCTGGTGCGACATACATTGCAGTACCAACGCTGCGCGTCATATCGCCACCCGCGCTACCACTCATTACACTGGCTCGCTCAGTCTGATATTGGGTAGTAGTAGCAAGGCCAAAGTCGCCGATTTTCGGGTTCTCGGCAACATCCAGAAAGACATTGTCTGGTTTGAGATCGCGGTGAATGATGCCGTGACTATGTATATGCGCGAGACCTTCGGTGATCTGTCGCACATATCGCCATGCCTCATCCTCACTCATACCTTTCCGGACCAAGTCTCGTAATGTATGCCGCTCGCAGTACTCCATCTGAATATACAGCATAGACGGTAGCCGAGGAGGCTGCGTGTGAGTCTTCCTGAGCTCGAGGACGGATGATGATGTCCCTTTCGGTGGGACATCGTCCGCAGTATTGTCAGTACCGCTCGCAGTACCATCTCCATCGGCTTCGTCATCATCATCGTCCCCAAACTCGATCTGTGCGTAGCCACTGGAGCTCACAAAGTCAAGACCGCCAGTGCTCTGGTAGCCAAAGTCCATTCGCGGTCCATCCGAGCTGGAATCATTGCTCTCATCAATGACAGACTCAGTTGTAGCCGTGGTCGTCTCGTCCGTCTCTACGTTTAACACATCATTTTCAAGCCATGTGGCAAAGTACCTGACCACGTAAGGATGGTTCAGGCGATTCAGTAGCATGACTTCAGACAAAACTTGATCAAGCAGGTGAGGCGCTTGTTTGATCTTCTTGATGGCATACACACCGCCTAGGGATGGTATGTCAGTACAGCGTAATGTACGTGCTGGAGCACTGGGAAGCGCAATCAGGACCTACCGTCAAGCTTATTGCGTGCCTTGACTACTTCGCCAAAACCACCCTTGCCCAGTCTTCCAAGCTCGGTGAAGTCCATTAGATATCTTGACATACCGACAGGCTCAAGCGCGTTAGAAGATTCTGTCCTCAGTCTTCGGTGCGTGACAACACCAAGGCTGGAGCTTGGCCTTCGTCGCTGACCTTTCAGAGGCATGCTTGTCTTTTCACGAAGTATGTCAAAGTCGGTTCGTAGGAATTCGGCTGGCAGAAGATCGAATGCGCTCAAGCGCTTCGTCGAGTCGAACATCTTGACCAAGAAGTCGCGGAAAGTGTCAGAAAGATCTAGCTGGGCAATCATATCATGAGGGGAGGTGTACTCCTCCACGACATCAACACCAAAGAACATCTGTAGGACGACAACACCGAGCTGCCATATGTCTGCGCGTCTATCCTTCTCTGCTGACCTCCATTTCTCAGGCAAATCGTCTTCAAAACTTGATTGCAATCTCCATTGACCAAGTCTGCCAAGCTTCAGTGCGACAGAAGGGCTACTCTGAACAAAGATACTGCGGCAAGTCAACGCCCCGTGTGTCACGCCACGGCTGTGAAGATAGTCCAAGGCCTCGAGCAACGAAGTTGTATGCTGTCGTGCTTTGCTCTGCTGCATGGTACCTAACGTGAGCAGCTCCTGTAGTGTACCTCGATCGGCGTACTCACTACATAATGAAAATTGTATCTTGGTCGAATCTAGTCGATCAATACGATACGTCAGCAGACCAAGAATACTACTGTGGCGTAGTTGACGGACTGTCTCCAGGTATCTTTCGATCTCTAGGATGTCGTCTCGGTCTTTGTCCGACATGAGTCTCTTCACCGCAACAAGTAGCTGTGGTGCGATCGTTGCGTGGAGGCGTGGCTTGCCAAGATGAAGCTCGTCTGTACGAGTGCTTTCCAGCAAAGTAACCAGCTCCACATCGGTGAACTCGATGGTCCTGCCACTATCGACTAGTGTCGCCGGCTGATCGAAGGACATCACCTTGCTGGCTTCACCTGATGTACTTGAGATAGGAGCAGTGATCTTTGTGGATCTACGCTTCTCGCGCCGCATGAGCTCTTCGTCAACCATCTGCTTTAGTACACGGTCCTCTTCCTCTTGAGCTTCCAGCAGTCGCTTAGACTCGGCAGCTTCAGCTTTAAAAGCCAGCGTACTGGCTACTTCCTCAGCCGACGCGCGCTCCTCTTCCAAGCTGGGCAGGGTGCCTTGCTGGCGAGCCGTGACTGCATCTTCCAAGGCATCCTGAATTTCGGATGCAATGGCGTGTATCATCACCTCACCAAGAAGCTGCTTGGGACGTAGTGTGATGATATTGCTGATACGTCGCTGGGTGCGTTCATGGTAACCCTGGAGACCAGATGTCTCAAGCAGTGGCGCGGACTTGGGATACGTAGCGGTCAGTCGGACGGCAAGAAGCATTGAGCTCTCCTGATCAGAGAAAGCTCGTAGTCGGAGCCTGAAGCTTCGATCGGTGGTTTTACTCCAGGCACCTTTGATCTCGACGTCCTCATAGTCATCCATGTAAATCGCTTTGAGCACTTCGATTTCTTCGTCTTGGACTTCGCCATAATTTATCGTGGCTGTGGCAGTCTGCTCGGTCAGCACTCTCGGTCCTGTTGCTTTTGCGTTGTTGATTTTCTTCGGCGTTTTCGGAGCCATATCAGTTTATGGCTCAGGCCGCTTCATAAGAACGGCAGGTGGAGCTGCAGCCAAAGCTGCAATCCACTACGCGGCGACAGTTGTCATTGCGGACAAGATTTGATCGAGTCCCAAAGTGGTCTGTTATGGTCTGCATAGATAGATACCTAAGGTGAAGAGTAGTTCGTGGTCGGAGTCATCGGCGTAGGTAGGCACGATGTGGCGGATAGTCCCGCAGCGCGACGTGCTCGAAATGGTTAGACAAAAATAGATAAACAATGGGTGCACAACGCTGGACACTGCGCAACACTGATATGCATACCAATCACTGTATACATTCGCACTAAACACCCTACCAGGTCAATATGTTGCACTGGCTGGCTGGCCAGAAGCTGCCAGAAGAAGCGACAGACCCTGGCACAACAGGCTATGTCGACCCGCCAGAAACGCCGGCGCCTGTCTTTGCAGTTCGCGCTTTCAAGCATGCCATCTTTGGCACGCCTCAGACCGTGCAACAGCCAAAAGTTCGACGACATTCGAGTACCGAGCATACACGAACGCGAGCACATACGCGCCCCGAACGACCACAACTGACGCGACCGAAGAGTGCTGGAGATGCTCGTTTGTTGGAGGAAGCTGCGGCGCCTGAAGCTGTCAGCTCGCCGACCAAGGGCATACTAATGACGCCCGGCACGGCTGCTGCGAAGAAGAAGAATGTCACTTTTGGCGACCACGTCCTGGACAACGAGGAGAAGAGACCGTCCAAAAGTGGTCTGCCGGAGGAATATCCAGGCAAGTTCCCGAGCCCGTGGACCAAGCCAATTGGCAGTGATGACGATCTATCGGACGTACCGGACAGGATTGAAAAGACGAAGGGGCGAAGTAGCAAGCTTACAGAAGCGCTGGAGCAGGCTCGCGACGAGTCTGGCAAGCGGACGAGGACACACAGACGTAATAAGAGCGTAGACGAGTCTGACATGACCAAAGATATGCTCGAGCCTGTCTCTGACTCCGGCAAATACTGGAAAGTTCAATACGACTCTTATCGCGAAAACTCGCAACGTGAGATCAGGAAGCTTATTACCAAGCAGAAGGCTGCGAAGACGTTTGCACGCGACAAGGACACGCAGTGCATCGAACTGGCGGACGAGCTCCGACAGGAGCGAAAGAAGGTGGAGAAGCTGGAGAAGAGAACCGCTGAGCTTGAGCGGAGATTGAAGGCAATGCAGCAGGAATTGGAGCAGGCTAGTGCTCGCCCTGCCGCTGAATCTATCGTGCAAGTTGAGTCCGCTGCTCCTTCGAAGATCAAGGAGGGCCATCTTGCTCCAAAAGCATCGGCACAACATACTTCTCAGCCTCTCGTCCCAGCGGCAAAGACGACAATAGAGCAGCTTGCGCTACCAACGACATCGGACGTGCCAGTGCTAGCTATGAGCAAGCATGAGATCGCAGCCAAAGCCGACCCCGAGCCTGTGAAGTCACGGACCAGAACACGACCTACAACATCACGAACGAAGACTGATGATGACATCTGGAACCAATCACTCCAGTCGAGTGGCCTTGCGCGAAGCCGATCCCCGGAGAGATCTAAGGCATCGTGCAAACCAGGACGCAGCATCACAAGCGGTACTGAAGTGACACCTTTACAATCGCTGAGTATCAACACCTTGCCATCTGCAAGTCTGCTACGGCGAGACTCCGTACAACCCTCGCCGCCAATGGATCAGTTCGCGAAAGAGCCGCTGGTGCGACAAGAAGTAATATGGCCGCGTGAGGCAGCAGAGAAGCCCAAGACTTCTCCTGCACTTGCGGCAGGCTTGCCAACAGCACCAGCGCCAAACGTTGATGAAGTCCCAGCGAGATCAAGATCACCGATCAGGACCAAAACTACAACCGTGGACCTCACGAGCGACCTCACCATGCCACCACTAGCCTCAAGTCCCTTTCAACCAAGTCCAATGCTTTCACCACCAGGGGTCGATGTAAAGAAGTCAACATATTTCGATCCGAAAGCGCAGCCGCTACCTACCACTACGGGTGCCACAACCAAAGACGATGAGAGCCCGGCTTCGAAAACCAGACCAGCTCTGGCAGAGAACATCAAGCCAACAGCAGCATGGAACGCTATCAACGCACCTGGTGCTGGTATGCGGCTTTCGAGCTTGACGGACAAGAGTGGCCGAGAACTGAACCAAGACCGTATTGCTGCAGCTCGAGCGCGCATTGCTGCAAAGGGACGTGGGCCTTCTTGATGAGGTTGAGAGCGTTGGCCGTGGTGCTACAGACCAAGGGGATCGCGCGATATCATTCTTTATCTTTTTAGCGGGTTTGCCGCACTATCGCCGGAGCGCCTGCTTATCCTGTCTTACAATCAGCACCCCATGTACAGATACCGTCGTTAAGCACACTTCGCAAGAATTCCTATCAATGGCCTGCTTCGCGTCTTTTACCTCTCCGGATTGTGCACAAGGCAAATGCCTCGGCGATAGGCCCAGGGTCTAAGTTTGGCAACATGCGGGGCCGCTGATCGACAGTGCATGAAGCCAGGCATGACGCGCGCCAGTCAGATCCAACGAGATGTTACAAGTTGTTCAGAAACTCTTTGGTCGTGCCTCGGTCAAACAGCAGGTCGTTGACACTGTTATACATCGTGCGCTGCGTTGGATCTCTCCAGGCGTCTTTGGTCCATTTTTTGGGGAATACCGCCGAAGCAGTGATCTGAACAATGGCAGCAGCACAAGTCGTAACACCTGCACGGCGGAAACAGGTCCTGAGAGTGTTGTTCATCTCCCTATTACTTGACTTAGTAAGTTCTAGCACTACCTGCGATGGGTCGCGTGCTGGTCTGATATGTGCATAGATCAGCTTCACCTTCATCCTCCCTCTCTTCCCGAAGCTGCTGGAGTTCTACCGTAACCTCGAGACCCAGTCATCTGGGACCGTGCTATCGAGGATCTTGTACGGCCTCAATGCCTACAAGAACAGCTTCGCCAAGCCCATCAATGATCGATATGACATAGTCTTACTGGGAGGGGCCATGGGTTCGCTTTTCTCGTTCTGCCAAGCTATTGCATCGCCTATCATCGGCACACTATCTGACCGTTATGGACGGAGAAGAGCATTGTTGTGTTCCATGGTTGGGAATATTGCTTCAGTAGCTTTGTGGTGCGCAGCAACCGACTTCAGGACATTCTTGGCGAGTCGTGTCGTAGGAGGGTTGAGTGAAGGCAATGTGCAGCTGGCTCTTGCCATCGCAACGGATATCAGCAGCGAGCAGGATCGTGGGAAGACAATGGCGATGGTCGGTGCATGCTTCAGTATAGCTTTCACCTTCGGGCCAGCGCTTGGTGCAGCACTTTCGCAGATCAACACAGTCGCAGCCAATCCTTTCGCAACAGCAGCGGGAGTGTCTCTGGCTTTGATCGTGACGGAGACGATATACCTCTACTATGCGCTGCCAGAGACACACCAAGCCATGCAGCCAACTACAAACGGCAATACGACTACCGAGCACGTCCCGGCCGAGAAACGCCAACGCACGAACTCTCACACTCTACTGAACCTCACGCACTTTACCTTCATCCTCTTCTTCAGCGGCATGGAGTTCTCCTTCCCATTCATGACTTACGACCTCTTCTCCTACGGCTCGAATGAATCAGGCAAACTGCTCGGCTACATCGGTCTAGTAGCAAGTCTCCTGCAGGGTGGCGTGACCCGACGCATGCACCCGCTACGCAATGTCCAGATGGGTGTAATCAGCTGTGCAGCTGCGTTCTTCATACTCTCCCAGCTGACAACGCAGTACGGCCTGTATGCTGCGGCAACCCTACTAGCAGTCACGAACAGCACAGTCGTGACCGGTCTGAACAGCCTCTCCAGCTTCGAAGCCGGAGCCGAGGAGCGAGGAGAGAAACTCGGTCATCATCGCAGCTTCGGACAAGTAGGCCGGGCTTTGGGGCCTCTGATCTTCTGCACGCTGTATTGGTGGGCAGGCAGGGATGTCGCTTACATTATTGGCGGAACTGGAATGGTGGGTGTTGTAGCCCTTGTATACGGAGGGCTGAAGGTGCCGGCGGGCTCGCAGATTGAGAAGGCTGCGAAAGCGACGGAAATGCATGGTGAGAAGAAAGTAGCATGAGCCACCAACGTCATCAGCGTAGACCGAGGATAAGCTTGAGCGAACTTCTTTCTTACAACCCATACTTGCAGTGCAAAGAAACGTGATCGACGTGATCGGCGACTAATTTGTCGAGCCGGGTCGCCCGCTTGGGTGAAGTTCGCGCGGTTGCCGATCACTGCCTTTACAGCCACTCAAACGACCTCACCTCGCAACGTGTGTACCAACACAGAGCAAAAGCAGCCATATTCGGCGCTATTATAGCTGGAAAGAAAAGAAGGCTGATGGTAAGGCGCCACACGAAGCTTCCACTCCATCGTCCGGGCTTGGCTGTTGTAATGTTGCATCGTACTGATGACCATGTGGGAGCACAAAAGCACGCGACTCGCACAGTTTGGGAATGCGAGGGCCTGTATTCAATCTATGCTGCATGCAAAGGCAACCCAGTCAGCGGCCTACGCCGATGCCTCAGCGCTGCACAGTGGCTAGCTGAGAGCTAAAAGCAGTTCGCCTGTAGAATGTCACCAGAAGATGTGATCATTTCGTCATATTATGTGCTTTTGGATAAAGATGATCTACCATGAGCCGCTCAATGCCGCTTGAACGCTATCAAATGCAACGATCAATATTTCAGTTCTCACCAATCATGCTGACACGGTGTTCCCATTCACAGTGATTTGAGCGGTGTATAATGCTCTCCCTGACGCAGAGTTTGCATGGAACAGCATGTGCTTGCCGTCTCTGAAGATGTCGGCGGAACCAGGAGTGTTGAGGCCGTCTGTACCAGTGGCGAAGAGTGGACTTGAAGCCCTCGTGAATGGACCGGTGATTGAGGTGGACGTTGCATAGCTGACGGTGTAGCTGCCAGTTCTGCTTGATTGTTAGCATTTCTCCACAAGTGTCACCATATTGAGTGAACGCACGTAAAGCAGCCGGAGCTGAAGAACAAAATATATGTGCTGCCCACTTTCGTGAGGGATGGTGCTTCGACGATCCCCTGATCTGCGGCACCATTATTGTTCAAGATCGTCGTTGGCGAGCCTTGCAGAGTGTAACCATCTTTGGCGACTGGCTGGAGTATGATCGGCGTTGCAACATATGGAGCAACTGATGAGGTTAGTCATGGTGATATCAGGTTTTATCAGATCGTTGGTCTTACCATTGTTGCCACAAGCTCCACCATGGCCCTGGCTGTTGCCGTCTACTTTGTAGGTGATATAACGCTGTCCAGTAGCAGCCTCCCAGTAGCCAGCAGCATCGATGGCACCACCTTGAGAGGTTGGGCAGATCAGAGCGCCATTGCCGACAGGTGTGAAAGGTCCGGTAATACTATTTGATGTGGCGCACCAACACAATGTTGGGCGGTGTTCTGAGCTGTCGTGGCACTATAGTACATCACGAAAGTATTGTCCTAGAGAACATGCATCGTCAGCGAAGGTCATGAATGAGCATCCCGCACGACGTGAGACTCACAATCTGGATGAGATCTGGCGCCCACGTGTTTGGTGAGGCAGCGTTGACCCAGGAGGGCAGGTTGGGCAGAGCATCTTTCTGGGAGCCGTCCGAGTTTCTGACGAGGGTCCAGGTGTTGAAATCGGGTGATGTGGCGATCTGAATGTGTAGGCTACTTCCTATCGTTCTTGTTGCGAAGGCGTACCATACGCCATTGACTTGTATAATGGATGGATCTTGACTGCATCAGTCGGCAATCCTTCGTAGCACGTTGTAGTACGCTGAACTCACCTGGGAAATTTGCGCCTCCAATCTGCGGTCCAGCTTCAGACCGTTTGATCAGACCAACCTCAAGCTTTGGTAAGGGTGCCGCCAGACAGAGCTGGGCCGTCAGCGCCCACAAGGCAAAGCAAATGCTACGGAAAGACATGGTATCCGATTGTGTTGACTATTCGAGAGATTGAGATCGTGGCTACAAGAAGAGTATAGGAAAAAAGTCAGAGTCAAGAGAGCTTACCACATCTTACATACCTTATATGCGCCGGGGGAATGCTCCACCACGCAGAACTATGCCATCGATGTCATTCCTGCGAGCTGATCTGCTGTGAGTGTGTGCTTCTGCGCGTAGTGCCGTACGGCTAGGGTTCCATCGTCTACTGACAGCAGACCAGACGGCGGGCCTTATGCAGGGAGGCAGTGCTACGCTCGGGCTAGCGAGTGCATACGGCCACGGCGAGAGCATCGTTGCCTGTTCCTGAACTCGTGAGCAGAATAGGTGCCAGCTACTCGTAGCTTGATCGGGAAGTAAGCTTATTCGAGAGTTTGCGCTTGACAGTAGACTGGTGAAAAGCAAATCTGTAGTGCCGAGCCGTTGGTTTGCGCTATTAGGCATGCGATGTCTCGGAGAAGGCAGAGGGTGGCCTCGAAAGTCAAGATGAGCAACCCCAGCCAGCCAGTCAGCGATTACTGGAATGAGTACGGCCGTGTGTTCGCAGGGCTTATGCTTGTTGAGTCAGCTCGAGTAGTTGTGGTGGTAATATCAGAAGAGGCTTAGCAAGACTATCGATTTATTGCGTGCTTTAGCATCTTCGACAGGCCTTCTAGCGTGCTCGTTGTACGCCAGCCTCCGTGATGAAGGCCTAGAAGCGTTGGCAGGCTGCACTTCGGGCGGCGCGGTAGCCGCAGTGTGAGAAGCATATCGAGGCGGAGGCACGTTGTCGATTCGCGAAGGAGTTGGCGTGCCAGAAAGCTGGAGCGGGACGGCACGCCAAGAATGTGTCAGCGCTTCTCGGCATCCCGATGGAGCCTTTTCCAGACTAAATCAGTACATTGTTACTGCTGGAACGTTTACTTTATACGATCATCTGAATCCTCACGCGACCGACCGATCGCCCCAAAGCCACCTGGACATGAACATGCCCGTCCTTTGGGAATTGTGCCGGAGCATGCCGCGGGTTTGGCGGTGAGGCGCACATTGCCCTAGATGCCAACAATAATAGTCTGCTCTGGCCGAGTCACCAGGTACGGCCAGCGGCAAGCCACACTCTGCGTTGGCCAGCTATGAACAGATCGAAGTGTACTGCGGCACTGCCAAGGATACGTCGAGAGTTGACTAGTGCACTCGAATCACTCTACGCAGACCTCCCCACATTCGAGCTCCACTGACGCCTAAAGAGATTGTGTCGAAAGGTAAGGAATCACAAGGATCACTCCACTGCCACCGCCACGAGCCTACTCTCATGATCCTTCCCCGCCCATTAGCTCCCTGTCATTTGCCATGCGAAGCTGGCTATTCCTGTCTGCTTTTCCATTCAACTCCACTTGAAGCTACACTGATGTGTTTTTGCTGACTTCGGGCTGGAGGCAATTGCTGTCAGCGGGTGATGGAAGTTTGGAGCTGGCAGTTCCTCGGGTAGTGACAACTTGCGTGCGCCAAGAAAGACTCGACTTCAGTGGCGCTTCGAGACCTCGCATTGCAAGCCGAGTCGCAACCATGGAGCTCGCGAAGCGTGTGTTGCATGTCGAGAAACCGTCCGACCCAGCTGGAGCGATTATTGAAGCATGGGCACAAGGCTACATGGTCGGCTCGCTGATCATCATGGCCTGTGTCGCATTCGCGAACATGCGCCGTGGTGTACTTTTGCATAAGCTGATTCTGATCGAGGTATCACGTGGTCATCATGTAGCCAGTATTGCGCCATGCTGACTGCTACTAGCTTGTGTTTGGAATGTTTCACGGGACTTTCATCTTTACGAATGCGCCAGTGTATAACTGGTATCTTAGCGTCACGGCAATCTTTTTGGTAAGACATGTCTTGCATACTCGAAACTCTGATGATGGTCAATGCCGAGCTAACATAGACCGTCTAGAACACGAGCTGGAGTTTACATAATGTCATTGCATGGATCAAGAACAAACCACTACTACCACGATGGGCTAGCATTTTCTACATCACTACTGTCATATTAGTACAGCCATATTGGATACTGGAAATCGTTGCCAACGTGAGTCTCGCAGTATCGATCATCTACCGAACCAAAAATTGACACGAAACCAGTTCCTCTATTTCAGCAACACCAGTAATCTGTTCGTGTACACCAGGCCGTACGAAGCCCTCTTTCGAGACCCTTGGTGGATCTTCACCATCGCGAACCTACTATGGAACATCAAGACTCGATATGATTTCGGCTTTCTCGAGCTCATGCGTGTCTCACCTCGCTTCGGCATTTTATTCGGCGCCATGATGCTCAGCATCTGCTTCATCTTGGTCGATATTCTGGCTGTCACGCACGTCATATCTGGGTCCGGTCTACCAGACGGCATCAACCCCTTCTGGAAACCGGCATTCGTCTTTAAGTGCTTGACCGACACCATCATCCTCGACGACTTCAAGACTGCTTTGGATCGCTTGAAGCAGCATAGGTTAGCTAGACTTGGCAGTCTAGCGAGCGACAATATCCGAGGTCAGTTTGACAAGCAAGGCAAGGAGAAGAAAGAAGATGTTGCGGATGGTAATACTTTCTTGACTGGATTTCCGATGGTAGTTACGAAGACGAATTCGAAGAAGACCTTTGATCCGGATAACATGGATCTTGAGGCAGCGTTACATATGGACGATTTCGAACCTGGCGTCTCTCCAACTCGGTCTGGTAGGGGCTGAAGAAAGTTGCTGATACCAGTTGCAACGTTGAGAATACGATTGGAAACCATCTAGAAACTATCTTGAGGGATGAGGATATTTTGCCGCGTCGTTGCAGCTGGCACGGCATGGGACCACCCTTCTGGACTTTATGGCCTCTTTCCAGACTACTGAGCTCGAGCTAAAATCTAAGCCCGGGCTTTCATGGCGAGCTTGTGAGTATTGCGAATTCACCTCAACCGTCCACCATAAGGCATTCGGGAGAGACCAGGTGACCTAAACCCCTCCCACTCATCAAACCGGGTTTCATGGTCCAGTGGCATCCTGCCGCCATAACCTTCATCATAAGGATCCTCCGTCCGACCACCACGCCCTCCGCCGCGACGGCCAGTGGACAAACCATTTCCGCCTCCACGATCATGGGCGGACCCGCCAAACAGATCGTCAAACGTGTCTAGACGACCTTGTCTGCCGCTATGGCCGGCATACGGATCCTGCATACGCTGGCCTTGGGCTTGCACCTGGCCATACCCGACGGAAGGATGGTCAGTCGGCTCGAAGAAATGATCTTGGCCTTGTGGTACTCTACGACCCCCGTCTGCATCACGCATACCACCGCCACCATATCTGCTCCCACCATCTCCGATGCCGCCGAACATCTCCTCGAAACCATCATGACTTCTTCCTCCCTGAGCACGCCCAGGACCACGCTGATCACGAGCCACGGCATCTTCTCGATCCCAGCGCCCGCGATCACCGGGTCTAATGTTGAAAAGGGAGTCGAACTCTTCGTCCAGACTGGGTCCGTGCTCGCCGAGTACTCCGCCGTATGTCAGGCGCTTGCCAGACCTGCCACCGTCTCCTCTGTGTCCTTGGCTAGGGACACCAGCTGGACGTCCGCCTGGATAGTCGGCATAAGGGTCGTCGAGGTCATTGTAGTACATGTCACGCGCGCCGGGCTGCGTGGAGTTGGAGTATGGCATGCTGGTGAGGGGGGTGTCTGGAACACGGGATAGATTGATGCAGTCCTGCTTGGAGAATGGTGGATTCGTGTGAGTAAGGGAAATAGCGATGCGGTGCGACGATTGAAGAAGGGTCGGATATTGAGCGAGCTGGGCGAAGGTTTTATACCTGTGTTTCTGTGTTTCTGTGTACAGCAGTGACTCTTGTAAGCCGTGTTGGATTACTTGCTACACTATAGTGACTACCAGAACGAGATGTCGTTCTTCGATACAGGACGATGGCATCGTGTCTTCACTAAGGCACATGACGAATCACTGTGGGAGAGCAGCTGGATCGCGATATTGCTGTTACTTATCTGGAGCTGTTCATGATGTCCTAGCTGGATTGGTGTACTGCGTAGCGAAGTGTCTTCGTCATGGCCGGTTCCGGTGCAGTGAGAGGGGTGTGAGTCTGTACAAGCCGCTTGATAGGCATATGTCTTGTCGGCAATAGTGAGCTGCTGACCAATAGCACGTAAGAAGATGATCTTCGGGAGAGCCGTGAAGCAGCATGTGAGAGCCAGGAGCATGACTGTGGCGAAGCCTGCACGGGTTTGACGAGATCAAGCTTCAGTTCGATATATTTCCACTGTTATCATGTATATACCAACTTCTTGGTGGTAGGGCAAGTCGAATTCTGAAACAACACAAACGGCGCTCGTGCATCTCCTCTTCTCCACAGAATCTCACAATAAAGAAAAAAGTGGAAAGTTTCGCCTCTACTCTCTCGACGCAGGGGGCGGCCGGCATCCTCGGTCGCAGCCGGGACCAAACGCGCGTGTAAGGATTTAACGCGAAGCGGTTTGGTGTGGCCGTGTTATTCGGGGGTCTCCTGCTGTAGGATGAGAGTATAGTAGACAATATCATCCCCTCTCACACGAAAGCGACGACGAGGTCAGCCATGCCATGCTAGCGACCTACTCTTACCACCTAGACCGACGACGCGCTTGTGTCTTTGTTTATTCTTTGGCTGTTGTAGGAGAGTAGCTGCAAGCAGCAAGCAGAAGGCAGCGTGGGGAGGAGATTAGTTTGTTGGCTGCTGATCCCTTAGCGCTGGCGTTATAAGGATTCAGAGGGTTGTCTGAGTGTTCTTCCCATACTCGACTTGGTGTTGGGAGGACGTCGTGGTAGTTGATAACCATGGCCCACCCGTACGATGTTGGGACGAAGGCGTGGCAGCCGGACGTCACTGAAGGATGGGTTGCTTCGGAGGTGACGCAGAAGAAGGTGGATGGGGACAAGATCAGACTGGTGTTTGCACTGGAGAATGGCGAGGTATGGCAGATGGAGGTGTGCAAGGAGAGACTTGATGTTATACTGACCATGACAGACCAAAACGGTCGAGACAACCCTAGCCGCGCTCCAGAACGAGAACTCCTCGACGAATGGAACGCTACCGCCGCTCATGAACCCGGCCATGCTCGAAGCCTCTGACGACCTGACGAACCTCTCACATCTGAACGAGCCGGCCGTGCTCCAGGCCATCAAGCTGCGCTATGCCCAGAAGGAAATCTACACATACTCCGGCATCGTGCTGATAGCCACCAACCCCTTTGCTCGAGTCGACTCGCTCTATGTCCCGGGCATGGTGCAAGTCTACGCCGGCAAGCATCGGTCTTCACAAGCACCGCATCTGTTTGCCATAGCGGAGGAGGCATTCGCGGAAATGCTGCGAGATGGTCGTAACCAGACCATTGTCGTCTCAGGTGAGTCCGGAGCAGGTAAGACGGTCAGCGCAAAGTACATAATGCGCTACTTCGCCACACGAGAACCACCCGATCAGCCTGGTGTCCGCCGACGAGACCGCTCAGGCGACTCCATGAGCGAGACGGAAGAGCAGATCCTCGCTACCAACCCTATAATGGAAGCTTTCGGCAATGCAAAGACGACTCGCAATGACAACTCCTCCCGTTTCGGCAAGTACATCGAGATCATGTTCAACAAGAGCACGGATATCATTGGTGCGAGGATACGGACATATTTGCTCGAGCGGTCGCGGTTGGTGTTTCAGCCGCTTAAGGAGAGGAATTACCACATCTTCTACCAGCTCGTCGCGGGCGCTACCGAGGCGGAAAGGGAAGAGTTGGGCCTGATACCACCGGAGCACTTTGATTTCTTGAATCAGGGCGGCGCGCCACAGATCGAGGGTGTGTATGATGGGAAGGATTTCAATGAGACCAGGCAGGCGTTGACGAGACTTGGTGTGTCGGTTGAGGTGCAGACGTCGCTTTGGCGGATACTTGCTGCGCTGCTGCATATTGGTAATATGAAGATTACTGCGACCAGGACAGAATCCAACTTGTCTGCCTCGGAGCCTTCACTTGCCAAGGCTGCACAACTTCTCGGAATAGATGCTGCTGAATTCGCCAAATGGACGGTCAAGAAGCAGCTCATTACTCGAGGCGAGAAGATTGTGTCAAACCTTACTGCACAGCAAGCAACTGTCGTGCGAGACTCGGTCGCCAAGTACATCTACTCATCCCTCTTCGACTGGCTTGTGGAGACCATGAACAACTTCCTCGCCACAGAAGAGACCCTCGAGCAAGTTAAGAGCTTCATTGGTGTACTGGATATCTACGGTTTCGAGCATTTCGCCAAGAACAGCTTCGAGCAGTTCTGCATCAATTATGCCAACGAGAAGTTGCAGCAGGAATTCAATCAGCATGTTTTCAAGCTCGAGCAGGAGGAATATATGCGTGAGCAGATCCAGTGGGAATTTATCGACTTCTCAGACAACCAGCCTTGCATTGACTTGATCGAAGGAAAGCTTGGTGTGCTTGCACTGCTTGATGAGGAGAGTAGATTGCCGATGGGGTCTGATGAAAGCTTCGTGACGAAGCTTCATCACAACTTCTCCAACGATAAGCATGCCTTCTACAAGAAGCCACGATTCGGCAAGAGTGCTTTCACGGTCTGCCATTACGCTATCGACGTGACGTACGAGAGCGAAGGTTTCATTGAGAAGAACAGGGACACAGTACCGGACGAACATCTGGAAGTGCTACGGAACACATCCAATGGCTTCCTCCGAGAAGTCATGGATGCTTCGACGACAGTGAGAGACAGAGATACGGCTGCAGTCGCGCCAAAAGCTACGCCTGGTAAGAGAGTCGGAGCTGCGGCGGCGCGAAAGCCAACTCTGGGCAATATCTTCAAGAGCAGTTTGATCGAGCTCATGGCCACGATTGAGAGGACTGAGGTACATTACATTCGATGTATCAAGCCCAATGAGGAGAAGCTGGCATGGAAGTTCGAGGGTCCGATGGTGTTGAGCCAACTTCGTGCTTGTGGAGTGTTGGAGACAGTCAGAATCTCGTGCGCTGGTTACCCGACCAGATGGACGTACGAGGAGTTCGCGCTGAGGTATTATATGCTGATACCATCCACACAGTGGACGCACGAGATCCGGGATATGGCCAACAATATCCTCCGCAAAGCATTTGGCGCAGGCAAGAACGACGGCACCGACAAGTACCAGTTAGGTCTGACCAAGATCTTCTTCCGGGCGGGTATGCTCGCCTTCCTCGAAAACCTCCGCACGAACCGCCTGACAGGCGCCGCGATCATGATCCAGAAGAATCTGCGGTGTCTACATCAACGCAAGAAATACCTCGAAGCGCGCGAAAGCATCCAGACTTTTCAGGCCCTCATCCGAGGACTCCTGGCGCGCAAAAGGGCCCAAGAGGCACGGCGGCAAAAAGGCGCGACGACGATCCAGCGCGTCTGGCGCGGACAGAAGGCCCGCAAGAGCTACGTACGCCAGCGCAACCATCTCATCGTCTTTGAAGCAGCGGCACGGGGATGGATTACACGTAAATCGATACTGGACAAGAGATTAGGCGATGCTGCTCGAATCATCCAACGGACGTGGCGACGACATAGTCAGCTCAGGCAGTGGAGAGATTATAGGCGAAATGTGGTCAAGGCGCAGAGTTTGTGGCGTGGCAAGCAGGCGCGGAAGGGGTATAAGACTTTGCGCGAGGAGGCGAGGGATTTGAAGCAGATTTCGTATAAGTTGGAGAATAAGGTTGTGGAGTTGACGCAGAGTTTGGGGTCCATGAGGTCGGAGAACAGGACGTTGAAGGGCCAGGTGCAGAGTTATGAGAATCAGTTGAAGAGTTGGCGGGAGCGGCATACGGCGCTGGAGCAGCGGGCGAATGAGTTGCAGCGGGATGCTAATCAGGCTGGTATCACGGCGGCGAAGTTGACGGCGGTCGAGGCGGATTTCCAGCGCTTGCAGACGAATTTCGAGGAGAGTCAGGGAAGTATGAGGAGGTTGCAGGAGGAGGAGAAGGGGTTGAGGGAGAGTTTGAGGAGTACCAGTTCGGAATTGGAGAGTACAAGGCAGGGAAAGACGGCGAGCGAGACGGAGAAGTTGAGTCTCAGGCAGCAGTTGGCGGAGATGCAGGATCAGTTGGAGCTGGCAAAGAGGGCGCAGGTCATGGCGCCTGTGGCTGGCGATATGGTGAATGGGAATGGGATGGTTGGGGCTGGGGGCGCGGTGCAACAGCCTAGTGGACTTATTAATTTGGTCGCGAGTAAGAAGCCGAAGAGGAGGAGTGCGGCGTTGGAGCAGATCCAGACGGAGAGGTTTAGTGGGACTTTTAACCCGCGACCTGTGTCGATGGCTTTTGGCGCGACGGCTTCGGGACATACGCAGAATTTGTCTGGGTCGACGTTTAATCCTTCGCTGGAGAATGTGGAGATGGAATTGGAGTCGCTATTGGCGGATGAGGATGGCTTGAACGATGAGGTGACTATGGGACTTATAAGGAACCTGAAGATACCTGCACCTGGCTCCACTCCGCCACCCACAGACAAGGAGGTTCTGTTCCCGGCTTACCTGATCAACCTTGTCACGAGTGAAATGTGGAATAATGGCTTCGTGAAGGAGAGTGAGCGCTTCCTGGCGAATGTGATGCAGAGTATCCAGCAAGAGGTCATGCAACATGATGGCGACGACGCGATAAACCCTGGTGCTTTCTGGCTCAGCAACGTGCACGAGATGCTATCTTTCGTCTTCCTCGCCGAGGATTGGTACGAAGCGCAGAAGACAGACAACTTCGAGTACGACCGCCTCCTAGAGATCGTCAAGCACGACCTCGAAAGCCTAGAATTCAATATCTACCACACCTGGATGAAAGTCCTGAAGAAGAAACTCCACAAGATGATCGTCCCCGCCATCATCGAAAGCCAGAGCCTACCCGGCTTCGTGACAAACGAAAGTAACCGCTTCCTCGGCAAGCTCCTCCAGTCCTCCAGCGCCCCGGCCTTCAGCATGGACAATCTACTCTCCCTCCTCAACAACGTCTTCAAGGCCATGAAAGCCTACTACCTCGAAGACACCATCATTACACAAACCGTCACCGAACTCCTGCGCCTCGTGGGCGTGACGGCGTTTAATGACCTGCTCATGCGCAGGAATTTCCTCAGCTGGAAGAGGGGTTTGCAGATTAATTACAATATCACCCGGATTGAGGAGTGGTGCAAGAGCCATGATATGCCCGAGGGGACGCTGCAGTTGGAGCATTTGATGCAGGCGACTAAGCTGTTGCAGTTGAAGAAGGCGACGTTGAATGATATTGAGATTATTCAGGATATTTGTTGGATGTGAGTTTGCCACCCTACCCTGTCCTGAAAGGCTGATAATGGGATGAGATGAGATGAAATGGTGTACTGACTTATCACTTTCCAGGCTCTCACCCAACCAGATCCAAAAACTCCTCAACCAATACCTAGTAGCTGACTACGAACAACCCATCAACGGCGAAATCATGAAAGCGGTCGCGAGCCGCGTCACGGACCCCAAATCCGACGTCCTCCTCCTCCAAGCAGTGGATATGGACGACTCCGGCCCTTACGAGATCGCCGAACCGCGCGTCATCACGGCGTTGGAGACGTATACGCCTTCGTGGCTGCAGACACCCCGGCTGAAGCGGTTGGCGGAGATTGTGTCGGCGCAGGCAGTGATGCAGCAGCAGCTGGATGCGACGGGAATGGGGAAGGTGGAGGAGGAGGATGATGGTGGGGGGTTTGGGGCAGATGGGGAGTGGGAGGGGGATCTGGGAGGGGGGGTTCTGGGAGTTAATGGCGGTGGGATGTTGAATGGGCATGGACGTAATGGGATGGGGGAGGTGCATGAGATTCGAGGTGGTGGTCGAGGGGGAGAGAATGGCCGGGTGTATTCGTCGTAGTATACGGTGCAGTGGTTGGTAGAAAGGCAACCGCGACGAGTTTGATGGTCGTGGCTTGTGGGCTACAATATTCTGGCGTTTCCGTGCGTGCTTGGGTCTTGCATTTTCTTGTACGCATTTAAGGGTTGCGTGGGCGTCTTGGCTTGCATTTCTTCTGACGGTAGCAATTCGGGCAGATGCCAAAGGATGGGAAGAGGCTTAGCGTCAGGATAGGTGTGGTGGGTGCTACCTAGTAGTGTATTTTTGGGGAGCCCGTGACAAGGCTGCCGTAAACCTTCTTCGGTGCCTTTTCGTTCTTGTATCGACTGTCTACCCCGTGAGTTACCACGTATAGTGATGCAAGGCCCCGGCATTGATAGGACATCGAGAGCCGTACTATATCCACGAGGACGCGCAATGGCAAGATCAATGCTAGAACATGTGTCAGTCTGATTCCGCTACAGTATAGTGGGGTGAACGACTCACATCAACATCGTCCCAAGCCCGTCCATGCACGCGATCCAGCTCTTCTATTGTCATCACCTTGCCCGTCGTGACTGTGCCCCATCAGTATGAGCAAAGACATCTCAACGATCAAACGAGATCGCAGAAGAGAGAAGAACTCACAATACCCAGCATGAATCTTAGCATCAATCTCCACCCTGGAGTCCTCAGGAATCATCTCATCCGGAATCGGCACCCTCTCCAGGATCGGGATCCCCTGATCTACAATAGCATCATGCTTCATATCACTCATACTCAACATCCGATCAATCTTTGTAATCCCCAACCAATGCAGAATATCCGGCATCAACGCCTGGAACCTCATATCTTTCACTCCTGCAATATTCTCCGTCCGCTTAAAATACTCGCTCGCCTTGTCACTGCCGCGTTTGCGAGCATTGTAGACGAGGTATTTTGTCACTTCGCCCAAGGCACGACCTTCTTTGCGGAAGTAGATCACGACTCCGCTTCCGCCGCGTTGAGCTTCTTTCACTGCTTCCTCGATGCCGAAAATTAGGTAAGGCCGGCAGGTGCAGATGTCCGAGCCGAAGACGTCGGAGCCGTTGCATTCGTCGTGGACACGTAGAGAGAGCTTGACCTTGGCATCGGCCATTTTGGCTGGGTCGCCGAAACAGTAGACTGTTAGGCCACCAATCGGTGGCATGAAGAGCTTGATGTCGCTGCGGGTGATGAGCTCGGGGTAGCTGCCGCCTGTATTCTCGAAGAGCGAGCGTCGCAGGACGCCTTCGTCGATGCCGAAGCGCTCGGCTACGCCTGGGAGGTACCAGACCGGCTCGACGGCGACTTTGGTCACACTTAGCTCGCCGATGTCGTTAAGACAGATTTTACCGTCTGGCACTAGACGGCCTTTGCGGACGCTTTCTTCGAGCTCGGGGATCTTCATGTGGGCTCTTGTGACTGCTATCGTCGGACGGATCTCGACGTTCTCGGTGTCGATGATATCTTTGAAAACCCAGGGTGCCAGATGACCAAGTGGATCCATGGCGACAATCTTTTTTGGATTGAACCAAGTCGGATTTGGGGAGATATTGGCGGCCGGCTCAGTGTTTGTGTAATCTGGTTTATGGTCTGTGTTCAGCTGCTGTGAGGCTACGGCCAGGGCGTAATATATGCTGTACGAGCCACCATGAGCCCCGATAGCGTTGCGTCGTCGGATCGTGCTTGGGCTGCGTGCTACGACGACAGGCCCACGCTTTTGCGAGTCTGAATTGCCCCAGTCCATAGGTAGAGGGTCCACTCCTGCTTGACCGGGATGGGTGGTGATCACAATCTTGGACAAAGTAGTGCTAGGTCTTCTGGGAGGTGGCGACGTCGACAATGCATGGCCATTTGATTCCTTGTCTTTGCTGAAGCCATCGCTTGAGCTTACGCTCTCGCGAGAATGATGACCGTGTGGCGGTATTCGCGGACTGCCTAGAAGGTACGGCTGAGCCTGCATTCTAGGGCTTGGAGCAGACGCATCGTGGATGATACCTTCGTGAGACTGCTTGAGCCCGGCAAGTACGTTGACACGACCATTAATAGCATCGACAGTATCGGCAAGCTGCTGTTGGTCTTGCTTGAGTGACCGTACAGAGGCTAGGATCTCTTGTAGTAACGCGGAGTTGTCTTGTAGAGCAGCCATGGTCACAAGAGGGAAGTCGAGAGACGAGTTGATTGTCCTCAGGGAGAGTCTCTATGCCTTCGACACCAGTACAAACAAACAATGTCTACCCAGTCATCATGCTTGGTCTTGCAAACGTAAGCTTCGGGGCGGGGAGTTCTGGTGGCACGTATGCCTATATGGTGCCAGATTCAGGAGAGGGAGGGCGTCGGATCAATCGAGAGGAACGATGGAAGCTCAACGTTGACTGTTGGACTCCACACAAGGTGAATACATGCCACCTGCGCTTATCGTCGACCACGGTGATGCACGTGTCTTAGATAAGACAGAGGCGGGGATTTAAGGTTGAGCCGCATGCCGCTAGATGTGGCTAGCGTCGTATCTAGCTCCTGCTGAATGCAGGACGGATAGTATTAATGCTCCAGCTTCGTCACCTTCAAGTGTATCTTTCATAGCACTGTCGCAAACATGGTGTGCACCGCTGTACGCCTGAGATTGACGACCTGTCGCTAATATTAACTAGGGCAAACGTAAGAAGTCATCGAGAAAGCCTACCGGGCCGAAGAAGGTAGCGCGATTTGCTATGCGCCAACAAATAGCCAGAGGACCATACTGATCAAGCACAGCGCGAACCTCTCGCCACCACCTTCAAATGCCCCTTCTGCAACCACGAAAGCTCAGTGTCGGTCCAGATGGACAAGAAGAACCACATCGGCACACTCGACTGCAGGCAGTGCGGCCAACATTACCAAGCCGCGAATGAGATGAAGGGTGCGCACCACACGCGAAGGCACTGTCGCGGGAATGAGCTAAGCTGACCGCTCTGCAGGGCTTATGGCCCCCGTGGACGTATATTACGAATGGATCGATGCCTGCGAAGCGATCGCAAAGGACGAAGCGACTGTCACGCCCGCAGCACCAGCATTCGCTGCCCGCCGACCCATGCCTTCCAGTGGCGCACGAGCGGACTTGGCGCCGGGAGAGAAGTTGACGGAAGAAGATGCACAGTTCATTGATGACGAAGGCGCCGAGGATGCTGAGGCAGATTTTGAGGTCGAAGATTGAAATTACCACGAGGATGTCACGACACACCTCACGCAAGGATCATGACAGAACGGCTGGAGCTACATGCGGGCTGTAGCGTTTCGTGGGTGTGGAAGCTGCCATACAAGCTTTTGAAGATGACAGGAATCTAAGGCTCTACCATGACCACAATTAGCTCGAGGAAAAGGCCAGCTGCAGCACCAGCCAAGGCTTAGGGGAGAGGCAGGTCTGGCGACAATTAGAGACAAAGGCGAAAGACGGTCGGGTGGAGTGAAGCAAATCCACAAATCGTGACAAGACCAGATTCTGTGCACGGTCCCTTTTCTCCTGTCGAAAATGCTCTCCGCGTTTGTTCCATGACTTACCATGCTCTGCAGTGTCAGCACCTCATATGTTATTGGATTTCTGCTTACCACTGACTCAAAGCTCGTGAGGACAGGAACTTACGCTACTCCGCACCTTTCGAGCCAATGCTCATCGACGATGTCTCAACCAACGAGCAGAATCGAGATTGGACCGCAGTTCTACCACCTGACGGAGTCGCCGTTCACGCCAGGCATCTAGATCTGATGCGATGTCATACTTCATGGCCAGGCACAGCTATCGTCAGGGTCCCAAGGCACGACTCGCACATGCTAAACTGTGAGAAGCATAGATAAGGTTCATACCATTATCACGACCTTGACAGGACCAGGCGTGTCTGGTGAAGGCCCAGCGCACGGGAGGACGGCAATCACTCGACACCTTGACGATTTTCTCCCTCACCTGCGCACCTGCTTGGATGTCACGACATACCTCGCTCAGTCGCGAAGCAGCCTTCCCAGCAGAATGCCTTTGTGCGCCTACGCTGGATCACTAAGCACCAAGACTCCTCGAACCTCTCTTCGCAAAGATGAGTGGTTGTACGCCGTAGCTTTGACAGCTGCACTCGCCGTATTGGAAGCACGCCCAGGACACGCGCAGGTGTCATTTGGAAGTCCGAGCAGCGTTTTGATTGAACAGCCATGCCTATCAGCACGAGATCTCCAAGCACTCCCGATATGGCCTTCAGCGACACAGCCAGCTCTACGTCCAGCCGTTACAATCAGCTTGAAGAGACTCATGAGTCCAAGGTGAGCTCTCCTGAGAGCTTGAAAATCAATGTAGGGTCCTCGTGAGCAGTGCTGATCATTGCATAGCCTGACAATATGGACGGGTCTACGCCTCTAGCACGCTACAACGCAGCAGCGCCACAAAAAGACCCTCCTATGCGCACCAGCGACGATAACCTCGACAGAGAAAGACAAAGAGCCCACAACAATCGCATCGCTGCCGTTGAGCTAGATCTGCGCCTGCAAGGGCTCTCCAACAAGGACCGCGCGATCGAGCTTTGCAAGGTCCGCAGAGATCAACACGCTGGCTCAGGCAACGTCTTCACAGCTTACATGTACGACCATTCCGACGACTGGGATCTCCTGGAGAAGCATGCTCCTGGTGGCGAGAAGTTCGGACAGCAGAAAGCGGATGAACGGATCAAGAAGGTGAAAGGCAAGAGCCTCTATCCTTCCAATGACGTTGTCGCACCCCAGCAGCGTGCGGCGATTGCTCGCCACGCACATCCGGATCATTCAGAAGTCGCGTGTAAGCACACGAAATGGCTTCAAGATTTCACGGGAGTGACAAAGGGCCAGGTGATACCATGGAAGGACCGATGGAGCGCTGCGGCCGCCATCAACAAGACCGCTTCAACAAGTTCGCCAACATCCGGGAAGAAACCCGGCTGGCGAAATTCGTCGAAAGTGGACTCCAAGATCTCCACTCAGCCGCCTTCGAGAACAGATACGGGGATTGAGGACGAGGATCCTTACAAGCCACAGTTTCCGTCTTTGCAGGAGCCAGCTTTCCATGAATGCCGTGACTGGACGCAGTGGAGTCTGAAAGACAAGCCTCCAGTTCCTATCGCAGCCGACGTCGGTCCGCGAGACGAGCTGGAGCCTTGTGTGAATGTACCAGAACGGAAGCCGTCGAAACGAAGTCTGCGTAGCTCGCTCTCCTGGCCTTCGATCCGCAAGGATAGAAAGGACAAGGGCGAGAAGAACGAGAATTCAGGTTTCGTACGCAACGTCTCGGCTTTCCTGAAGCGGGTGCGCAAGGTGGTGGGCTCTGCTGTGGAGGGCGGAAGTGATTGTGGTTCGGTGGTGGTGACGACCACGTGATGTGAATGGCCTAGTCCTGGGAATGACAGAATATGAATGATATGAAAGATCTGGAGTTGAATAGATAAAAGCACTTTCACACCATCTACTTCGCCAAGGAGCAGTACAAAGAGGCCGTGAGCCAATACTTGCGGGAGTATAGAAATGCATGGTGAGGCCTACGAAAGCCTCACCCACAGTCTGATCGTATGTATAAAGAGCTTCCCGCCCACTTGTTAACCAAAAGTCTTGGAATGATTGCTCTGTACCCTCTTGCCACTCGCTAGAAATAATATCAGACTCCACAAACATGAGGGTATTTCGCCAGCGCCTTCTATTCTCCCATGTACGCAACCGTATACTCGGACCGCACTCATCTCACAGTTGCCGACTTGTCGTTCCATACATCACTCGTGCTCATGCGCTTGCTCATCTGGCCGTAATATCTGGTGCTGCACGCTCACTCAATCCCCATGCCACTGCCATCCATCGCAGCACGGCGCACATGTGCTCGCCGGGCTCACTCGTCCTATGTGGGTATCCTTCTCACGTGATGACGATGCATCATGTTGTCGTGCACACCACTACATCATTGTGCACTTGCTGTTGCCATCCTTCGGCTGACCAGCATCTTGACCCTTCTCAATCTCGGCCACCATGCCCTCGAAAGCCTTGTTGACGTTTTCATTATATCGTGCACTGGCTTCCACAAACCCACAGCCTAGCTCATCGGCCAGCTTCTTGCCGTCTGCTGCGGTGACTTGTCGTTGCTCGGGTCGCAGGTCAGACTTATTGGCGACGATCATGATTGGTACTGTGTCTGCGCCCTATACACATCCATATATCAGCCTGGTCCTCCACTTGTCTTCCGCATCACTTACCAGATGATTCAGGATCTTGTCCCGGATAATCCGACACATCTCAAAGCTCTGCTTGCTGCCCACACTATAGACAATCATGTAGCCATGGATACCAATGAAGTGCTTGCTATTAAGGATAGTATATTCATCCTGACCCGCCGTATCAATGATCTCGACGGCAAAGTCTTGGTTCCTGTGTCGGATGACTTTACTGAAGGTGTTCTCGATGGTGGGGTAGTAGGAGTCGACGAAGTGGCCATCGACGTATTGGACGGTGAGGGAGGATTTGCCTGTACACGTGAGACCAAGCGGTCAGCATCCTGAAGCGTAGGATCAGATGTTGAAACACATAGGGATGCATTACCAACAGAGCGACTCCCCACAATAGCCATCTTCCTCTGCTTCTGCTGCTGCGGAGCCATAGCGTCTATGTGCCGACGATGTCGTGCTTGCGTGCCTTCCCAAAAGAGTCCGAGTCCGTGACCGTGACCGTGCAGGTGCAGCAGGATCGCGTGCTCAGGGCAGCACAACTCGAAGTAGTGGACCTGATACTCGGGATAGCAAGAAGACCAAGAAGTACCTTTGAACCTTTGCGAAAGTAGTCTTGCCTGCCTGCACCCCAAGTGGGACCCCAAGAATAAGGTTACTGGAGCTCGTGTGCCAAAGCACTACTCGGAAGCCAACCACTGGCTCGTCTCGTGAAACTGTATTGATCGATATGTCTTCGGTTGATTGCCTGGATTCTATATTCTGATTCCCACCTTTTCCAGTCTCTGTTCCTGTTCTGCAGATGTGATGGGAGCTGTGATATTAAAGGCGACTCGGCAGAATAACAGCAACAATGATAACAGCGTTACTCTTCCTTCTTCCCTTTCCTCCTTCCTTCATTCACTGCTGCCCAACTCTGTTTGCGCCGGGCCGGCCTCCGCGAGTCGTAGATGAAGAGGGCAGAAGCTCGGGATCCCTCACTCACTGTCTACGCCTTCGTCAACTATGCGGTGAGCTTGCGGCATTGGCAGGTAAGCAAGGACCGGGGACGACACAATCAGGATCAATATCCTCGCGCAACACCAGATTTACACAGCATCAGCACATCAGTCGATACAACAGCACCCAGACTCTGTTTCCGCTGGTTATGTTAGTCTCGGTCTCAGTCTCGCGGCCCTAAGAAGCTTTATTCTGATTCCCGGACATCAGGCTACGGTAGAAGCTTGAGAGAATCGAGCTTGCAAGGATCAGGCGTAGTGTGTCGTACGGCAATATGATTCGCGCGCAATGAATAATAGAAACTCTGCCGACCATACATTTGCCCCAACCTATAGCTAGAATCATGTTGGCGATGCGCTACTGCTGACGGCCACGTTGGCATGTAGATTGAGTTCGGCATCACAGGAGAAGTAGGTCAACAAGCCGTGGTTGTTGGTGATCGTTGTGCATCACGTCGGAGCTATAGAATGCAGATATAGAGGAGGTACAAGATACATGTACAGAGTACATGAAACATCGGCTCGTCATTGACATGTGATGCATGTAAGTGCTGCGAACGAGATTTATTCGTGCACCGCGACTGCTACAGACTGTTCCACTGCCTTATCTGCACTTGCGCGAGAATGAGGTACTCATGGTCCAACAGCCTCGTAGCTGCGGAGGACGAAGGCCGTCATACTCGCAATGCCTTCAGGCTCACCACCGCTCAATCACAATCCATCTCGTCCTCATCCCCATCACCTTCCTCCTCCGCCCAAGGCACACTCCCAGCATCGACGCAAGTAAGATACGGCAGTGCCTCCCTCCCCTCATACTGCAGACCCGACGCAACCAGCGGCGCAACAATCTCCTTCGCCTTCTCCTTCAGCGCTTTAAGAGTGTTGCGAATATCAGCCGCCTGATCATTCCTCAGCTTGCCCTCCCAATTTTCGTTCCTCTCCCGCGCCTTCGGATCAATGTATTCCAGTGAGTGCTTGCTCCACTTGGTGATGACCTCTTCGGCTGGAAGATATCCGTCGCCTGCTTTGTGGAGTAAATGGCAGAAGCCTGAGATTGACAGGCAGTCGAGAGCAGAACCTGGCTTCGTTCGTGGATGGTCGCATACCATCGTGTCCATGATACTGTCAGGGTCGACGCCTTGCTCAACTTGATCGATGAAGTCGATGTGCTCGCCCAACCAGTCGCGGAACAGGTTGACCGTGTTGTACTTGATAGGCTCGAAGTGCGGGCTGACCACTTTCTCACTGGACTCGTTCTTGACGCCTACCTTCGTATCTGCCTCTTCCTCCTCATCTTCATTGGCGTCCATGTTTGTCTTCGGTTTGGCGCTGGTCTGCACCTTGAGCGTGGTGACCAGCAGCTGCTTATCAACCACGCTACGGCGAAACTTGAGCCCGCCAGACTCTCGCTCGATGGTCTTCACAATCTCGGCAGGTAGCTCCTTCGGCTCAACGTCCGGGAAGCGGCCAACCAGATGCACGAAGGCCTCCTTGTAAGCCAGCTTGTTCTGCAGCTTGATTGCCAGAGCAAGCCACGCCTCAGGATGCTCAGCAATTGCATTGTACAGGCTGCGATTGGAAACCCAGTCGCTTGTGATGGACTTGATCGCGGAGCGAATGACTGGGAGACAATCATAGCGTTCTGCAATAGCAGTGAGACTGATCAAGAGTGGCAATGCTGTCGTTGCTTCGCTTGGCAGCTTGCAGTACTTCGCTGTGATATTCGGGGTGTACACGAGAATGCGGAAGAAGGTCTCGTATGGTGCTACCCAGTCGCTTGGTTGTGGGGTCGGAGGCACTGCTGTCGCTGCGGGAGATGCCAAATCATCCTCCGGCTCGGTCTTGACACGAATCTTGACAGTGTTGACTATACTGTCAGCTCGGTGCTGTTCCACTGAGATGTTTTGAGCCTCGCCTGTAAGATCAGCTGGGGCAGGTGTGCCAATGGGGATCGAGTATGGAACCAGCAGTAATCCCAGGTAGCCTGCATCTCCTGAATTGAGCACAGCAAGGAAGCAGACTTCGTTGCCTGTCCTGGAAAAGTTCTGTTTGGCCTCTCGTCCGCCTGTGAGGACCAAAGCGAGCTGTGGCGCATGGCGCAATAGCAATTCATGCTCAACCCGGATTGTCTTGGCGAGATCACTTTGGTCCATTATCAGCATAACGTCACCAGTGATGAGCTGCCTGCGGTTCTTCAGAGCCATTGCTTCGAGCGCCTTCTCCACCAGAGTGGATTCTTTAACTGCTTCCGTCTCCATGGCGGCTGGAAGATGCTGTGACTCCTCTGTATCTGCTACTCTGGTCACTGGTTGCTGTTCTGCGCAGGAAGCTGTCTTGCTGTTGTTGGAGCCGTGGGTTGAAGGTGACGTGGTTGGCAAAGTGGTCGGAGTGATAGGCGATGCACCGATAGCACTTTGATCCACCTCACCCGCTGCCAACGCCTCTGTCTCTTTCGTTGGAGATTTCAGAGCACGGCTTATGATGTCGTCGCCACTGCTAAGATTCTGCTCCAAGCGCTTTCGCTTTATACCAGGATTACTCATTGCTTGGGGATCTCCTTCGCTGTCACTGACTGTGATGCACGATGAAGGAGTGTTGAGCTCAGTAGCCGAGATTTGATTGTCCGAAGCGGAGCTAAGGACGTGAGAGCTGCGCGCCTTCTCTTTTCGGATCGGCTGCGAAGTGTGTGGGGCTCGTGTATTGGTAACTTGACGTTTACTTGTAGTGCTACGTGGCTTCTTGGTTGGTAACTCGTCCTCACTACCGCTGTTGTCCATGTTGGTGTGTGTGCCGCTGGCTTTGCGGCGAAGTGACCGAGCCATAGGCTGGCGGTGTATGGCACGTGATGCGCGAGTCCAAAGTCTCAGCTTTATGATCTTGCTTGTACGAGCAGTTTGGACGGATCTGCTCTCGCCTTGACCTGTTGCAGCATGGCACGAGGATCGAAACCCTTGGCTGAGCTTGAGGACACCAAGAGCAGCGAAAGCAAGGGCCTTATAAATGCAGCCCTGCGCCACGAGCCGTACAAAGTGAAGCGCATCACCTCAAAACCTGTAACACCATCAGTTCAGCACCTTCACTCAGCACAACGCTCGAACTCACCTGATCTCATAACTCCCCGCCCTCGTCATATACCTCACCCACTTGACACTGCTGTAGTTACTCTTCTCAAAGACCTTCAAATACCTCACCAACAACCCCGAAGACGTGAACATCAACAACGAAAATTGCATACTCAACGGTGGTCTCGACCAAGCCTTCTGATTCGTCATGGCACTCAACTCCGCTTCTGCACTTAGCACGAACTCGCTCTGGCCCGTAAAGCGCGCGATCTTCCAAATCATGGCGTTCTCGCTCGGCTCGTACTTGGCTTTGCCTTGAGAAGTCCGGTGGGTTGTATTGGCTGTATTGAGTGGAGTAGGGATCTTGACCACGACATTTGTGGCGAAGAGTTTGCTGCCGTAATTTGCGCGGATGGCAATGCTGTACTCGACTTTACTCTTGCCGATTTCGTTTACAATGGCTTGGACTTTGAACGGGAGGTTGACATTCTCGGTGGCGCGATAGGTCATGAGTTGGAAGCTGCCGTCAGGTGGGATGAAGGAGATTGTGCGGTCGTTGGTGAAGTTGCTCAGTTTGACGCATTGGTGGAGGGACACGTCTTCGAGGGTTACGGAGCCCGCGGCGGCTTTGGAGGCTTTATTGCCGTTCATGTTGCCCACGGCTCCTCCCAGAGATGTGTCGGCGCCGCCGTCGCCGAGTGTTAGGCGGTCGTTGAGGCCGAACTTACACTCTGGTGTTCCGGAGAGGTAGGCTCGCATTTCTATGCTGCCATTGACGTCTGCGCGAAGGACTGTGCCTGAAGCAGAGACCAGCAAGTTGACATCCTCGATAACGTCCACGAAAGCCTCGTTCTTCCTGTACTTGATGTTATCCCGTCGCCAGCTCAAAGCACCAGTCGCTTGCATTGTGATCTTGCTGCTGTCCTCCATGGCTCGCTCCATCTTGACACCTTCCGTCGTGATATACATCTTCAGCGTCTCCGTCTCCGTATTCTGCGGATAGCCAAAGTCCAAGATCTCATCCAGCAGCTCGTACACCATGACAAAATTGCTCTTCACAGCTTCCTCATCGAAGCGTCCGAAATAGCTCTTGCCCAATGCCACAAGCTTGTACAGGAACTCGAAGACCAAAGCACTATTGACATTACCTTTGCTGACACCCACGACATAGATATTGTCGCTTTTGATATGCGAGAAAGTCGTCGAGCCGAGTGTGAGGATGGGCGATCGGATTTGGGCATTCGATATGACTTGGATGCGGAAGACGTCGGCGAGTCGAGGTCGCATGTCTTGTCGAAAGGCTCGCATGATGAGCAGCTCGCCTTTCTGATTGAAGAGCAAGACGCCGGAGAGCATGGCTATGGCGATGCACCCGGAGGTGACTTGAGTGGGTGGTGGGAGATGAGTGAAAGCGTGCCGATAGACTGTAGCTCTGTTGTGAGCACACGTCGAGGTCGTGGCCGCATCGGAGGAGGCTCGGCTGAAGCCTGAACAGCCATCGATAGGTCTATATGAGCTCGACTTTACACGCATCAATACGATTATAGCATGCAAATCAGGGTTTCAGTGCTATAGTCATATTATATGGAATAAAACACAACGATATCATCTCCCTGAGACAATTGGTGGCAGATACTACTCAGCCCTACTAAAGTTAAAGCCTGGCTAGACAATTCAGACCATGGCATTCTCGATCCTGGCCACGACCATGTCCGACCGTTGGGCATGCCTTTACCATGCTCTCATCACCCGGAGAGGCCACTGTATCTAAGGGCAGCGTTATACTCCGCAGTAGAAGCTCCACGAGCTCCATCACCGGTCCCAGCCTGACCAGCTCCTTCACCATGTCCTTCCGTTCGACTTGAACGATCGTCACGACGAAGAACTTCCTCAACCTCGCCGGACTGGTTTCGAGAAAATTGCTGGATTTCGCCATGGTAGCCGCAAGGTCGCCCTAGATTTAGCGCAGAAAGTGGCGGCCATGCAGCTGGCTCACCAAGGGACCTACCCTCGGGCCTCCTGTCAGGTGGGCTACCGAAGCCAGAACGACGACCACGCTCAAAGGTCGCGACGTAATCATGGTCCACATCGTCGCCAAGCTGCCCACTCCTACTCGGACGATAGCTATCCCACATTCGCCTCCCACTCAGTCGCCTATCCCGCCCGCCACCACGCCGCTCGCTCTGAACTCCGCCCTCAAGCAGCCGCATCCTCTGCTCAATAACATCCAAAAGTCCCATAATTCATCATACTCTCGCAGTCTCTCCCGCCATATACCTTGCAGGTCAAGAAGTTCTGCTGAAGCATTGCGCCGCTCCAGCCTTGTGGTTCTCTCGGGTCTGTAGTACCGCGCTGGTCGATCCTGGCCACGGTGCCTGCTGCACGATCTTTCGCGCTCTGCTCTATCCCGGGTGACACGCGGGTGACTGGTTGAGGCGTTGATGATTTCGCCGTCGTCGTCACTGATAACGGGACAAATGACAGGACCTCGGTTTTCCATGTTGGTGGGTGAAGTGCCTAACATGTTAAGTAAGCTGTCTGGTGGTAGCGTGTCGTGTTTCTGTGGTTGATATATGCCCGGCACTTATCGTGTGTATAAGTATTCGATAATCTGTAGTGAGGAAACAAACTTGTTGTAGGACAGAGTGCGTGCATGGCAACTTATACCTACACTGAAGGTCGTTGGCAGTCACCACGAATTCGTAGTCACATGGAACGCTTCATTCACTGTTGCTCCCAGATCCTGGTTTACTTCACAGTTCCAGCGCAATTCACTGGGATTCCGCTCTACAATGCTTGACCGTGCTCCTTGCTTGGCCTACAGGCGAGCATTGCTCTCGTCGCATATCCTGAGTATCGTCGTTGGAGACGGTCATGTATGAATATACCGGACTGAGTCCTGATCCAGCAAGAATGTAAACGAGATCAGGATCGATGCCATCATACAGGTCCATGCATCCGGCTAGCCAGCGCTCTTCATCGTAGGGAGGTATCAAATAGCACTCACCGCCTCTGTTTCAGTAGTAGTCATACATACCATGACCCATACCGCGGTCGTAGCCGCCGTAGAGATCATTCATCCCATAGCCTATCCATCCGCCACCGTAGCCTCCATAGTAATTATTCACGACCCCACGGCCCCCATAGAAGTCGTCAACACCGTGGCCCAGCCCGCCAAATCCTCCGTAGAAGTCGTCCATATCATAAGCTATTCCGCCAGCACCACCATAGCCTCCATAGATGTCATCCATACCACATGCTCCATAATGATCATCCATCCCATAGTCCGTCTCATCCCCATAGCCACCAAAAAGATCCTCCATACCAACTCCATGACCTCCATGAAAGTCGTCCCTACCATAGCCTCGTCTACCCTCAGCCCGCCTCAATTCCTCCTCACAAAGAAACTCATCTTCTCCGTGGCCTCTGTGGGCCGCGCGCCTTCGACCTTGGCCCGGTGGTGATCTTCCCTCTCTAAACCACCGGTCGAAGAGATATGCATCATTCTCATCCCCATTCCCATAAAGTCGTCGTTCAAAATCATCTCTGTCGTGTACTCCGCCGTATGGTTCGGCGTTCTCTTTCATTCCTCAGCTCCTCGTCGAAAGGGTGTCCATCTCGTTCAAGCCCGCTCCCATATGGTCGTCGTTCCCGCTCCCATATGGTCGTCGTTCCCGCTCCCATATGGTCGTCGTTCCCGCTCATCTCGGACACCTTCGCCGAAATGAAATTCATCGCGTTCATGTCCTCCGACATAATGGCGCCGCTCCCTCTGACCTATAGGTTCCTCCTTCAAGATTCCATATTCTGCTCCGCAAGGCCGTCGTTTTTGTTCTAGTCCGCCAAACACCTCCTCAGAAAGCTCTGCCCCAAGCCCATACCCTCTGCCATATGGCCGTCTTTCTCGCTCGACCCTGTGCTCATGCCCTCCTCCATACGGGCGTCGTTGTCGTTCATCGTCAAACCCTCCATCGATAATCCCTTCATCAAGTCCCCAATCGCCCACATACGGACGTCTTTCTCGTTCACCTGTTGCCTGCTCATGTGCGCTACCGAGTGGTGGCATCCCTCCAAGGTAATGCCAAAGCTCAGACGTGATCTGTAGAGCAATCTTGGTGCGTTGCTGGAGTCCCTCTTTGCTTCTGTGCTTGTGTGAGATATGACAATGATAGGGAGGGGTAGAAGAGAGGCGAGAGAACGAAATAGCGGGTGAACTTATACCTGAGACTCCAGAGGCGTCAGTGCCTATGGCTGACTTTGCTAATCTACCGCGCACGATGTAGTGACTGCCGAAAGAGAAGTTGTACAAGGGTCCAACTACCTTGAGTGTTCTGCGCTTAATCATGAGACAATGTTTGAGCATTTCCAGATAGTATGTTGCCACACATCGGCGTGGTGTGAGGTGGAAGCTGCATTATTCTGGTCTGTATCCTTCGGAATCAAATCCAACATCGAGCTGACACCATTGCCTCGCCGCCACATTATGGTGCGCAGACTCCTTGATCTGTCCCATGTTGCTCGTGAGTATTCCGTGGTTGGCTACCAGGGTCAAGTCGAGTACAATCGTTGAGCTCACAAGATCTAGATCCAATCCCTACCCCAGTAGAATTGTGCAGTCGAGCAGAGACACGTTGCGAAGTTGTCGTCTATCCAGCGTAGTGAGTCGCTCGATCATCGAGGATGCTTGGGCAGCAAGCATCGGGTCAATCTTGAATATAGGGCTGCTGGCGGCCGAATTGAGGGCCTTCACTGGCAAGGCTATAACTTGACCCGGAGCGCGGACAGGATGGAGACCAAGCAGGATGAGTTTGCATGGCGAAGGAGAGTCGCTCAGATCAGCTTCTCCAACCTCGAAAGTGCCTTTGAGGCCACGGCTGGTCCTCCAATGCTCTGTCATTGTGGCTTGGCTGCCGGGAATGTTGATTGCTATGCGACCGCAATGCTGGAAGTCGAGAGGTGATGGAGCTAGCAACTGTGATCGGGCACTTGAGATAGAATGTGTCCAGGCCAAGACCGATAGATCCTCCGAACTCTCCAAGATCAGCTCCTGCAGTCGCGTGAAAGCTTGCGGGCCCTCTCCATAGAGTAGAATCATGTTCACACCGACAATGCCTAGTAGTGAATAGGCTAAATCCTCTGGCTTTGTGGTTTGTCTCTTCGCGGCCCATGAGAGCCTCTGTGCAATACTGTAATCCGTCAGAGCCTTACGACCGGCCAAAAGCGCTGGATCGATGCCGGTAATGTCAGCGACCAGAGCCAGTATACTTGGCTGGCGAAGTGCTCCCAGCCAAATCCACTTTGAGTCGAAGAAGTGAACGGTGTGTGGGGCAATGGTCTCTTGTAAAGTCCATCCTCTGGTAAACCATCGAGACGAACGCACTGCCGCTACGCCCCTCTGCGTCTTGCGTGACCAGTCCGCTGATATCTTCAGTCGCTCGCGTGACTGTATCTGCTGCTCAGCAGGAAACAGCTGTGTCCCATGTTCGACATCGGAGAGCAGTGCATAGCACACTGCGGCATTCCCATACCACGAGAACATCAAATTGATGGCTTCGCAAAGCTCGTTGTTGTTCCTTCGATCAATGCAGCATGTATCAACCCAGACATATTTGAGGCCGTCCGCGAGAGTCTGCGAGCACGCACTGATGATCTTCCGGTAGCCAGCCTTCGAGGCCTGTCGTTTGTCCCGATGCGTGGCAGGAAGCAGCCACTCTGCATGTGATATCTCCTCTGTACCCCAGGTGTGTGAGACAATGGCGTACGGCGGACATGATGACGGGAAAGTTTCGAGAAGCCTCGACTTTGCGTTCAACAGCCGGGTTGGAGTGTTACTGTCATGTGGCATGTCTGTGACGAGCTGCATCGATTTGCGTCCGGACAGTTGTTGCTGCGTGAAGTAGATGATAGATACGATTTTGCGCTCCAGTATTTGCTCGTGTGGTAATTGTTGTTCGTCAAGTCAACATTGCGCTGCGAGTTGGCGCCATATAAAGAGATTCCAGACCGCTCTAGGCGCGCGTCAGCATAGGCGTCTACATGAGACATGGACATCTCAAACGTCGTCGGGCGGACAAATTTGTGTATTGTTATCGCATCGATATATATTGTCGTGTATCATTGCCCTAGACGCGCGCTAGGGTGAACTCCCCGGCGTTTAAAGGTTAGCTACCTCAAGAGCCTCGTAGGTGAGAATTGCCTCTACCACGCTGCGTACAACACATGGAGGACGTCTTCACCCATGCTCGTCCTCAGGCTGCCCATACAATATCTCACAAACACCACCAAGCGGTATATCCATAACAGCATCCGTCCCCTCATTCCACAAACTCCTCCAATCCAACTCAGAATTCATCTGAGCTTTCGTAAGACTAGTCTGGCGACTATGCCCACCATGCTTGCCCTTACCCTTCCTCGTACCATGTCCAGCCTTATCGTCAACCTGCCACGAAGGCCTATCATCTCTGACAATCCTCCCTTGAGCATCTACCACAGCAATATTCGCAGCCTCGTCCACCAGACACTCCACGCTGTTCATCGGCTTGGTGAGGTAGCCAGTATTGTACGATGCCAGCGCGACGTAGATGTAGACTAGGAACATGACCGTCCAGGCAGGCACGGCCAAGGCCCACCAGCGATTCGGGTAGTAGTAGATGCCGAGCTGATGTAAGAACGGCGAAGGTAAAAAGGACCAGAGGACATATGCTATGAACACCAAACTACTGGTGAGATATAGCGTGAAGCCATAGTACTCATATGTCGGTACTTTCGGACTCGCTCGTGGTATGGGCTTTGCTGATCGGAATGTGCTCGTCAAAGTTGACGCAGCGGCGGAGTTCGGTGTTTGAGTGCCAGTATGATCGGCTCGTATCGGTGGTACTCCTCCTTCATCGCTTGACGGGTCGGGTGTCGTAGGTCTACTCGTGAAGGACGGTCGGAGAAGGGATGTCAAGGAGGGAGATGGGGGTAGTGGTGTTCGTGGTCGATTGTAGAAAGGCGGAGCGAAAGTTGAAGGTGAAAGATATGTGTATGACCGAGAGTATTGATGGTGACGAAGCGATGGCTTGGTGGGCAGGCTCGATACGTGCCCATCTTCCTCCTCTTCTGAAACATCGTCGTTCTCGCTTGAGGTAGGTGACAGTGATGGCGGCTCGATCGAAGAGTCCACGGATACATCATCTATGGACTTGCGACCCGAGGGAAGAATATCATCTCCCGCAGCCGTGCTTGGATTGAGTGGATTTGGCAACGCATTCGTATTGCTATCAGTCTGGCCATGTCCGGCAAGTGATCGAAGGGTAGGGAGGTTGGGAGTCGACTTCGACTGGAAACCTGCTGGCAAAGGTAGTGGCGGAGGCTTCGAAGGCTTGTCGCCCCTGCTTTGCGGTGGCATCTTTTTGGATGCATGCTTCAGACGAGCAGGTGGAACATGCAAGGAACAGAAAGCTAATCGTGGCTTCCCGAATAGGCCTTCTCCACATTTTCACATGTGACTGTCTATGTATCATCGCGCTGGGCAACATGACCACAATCACAGCGTGAGCTAGCAGTACGTTACACGACATTCGCCTCAGATAAGCTACCACGATGCGGATAGGAACTCTTCAACTCGCCCCTGCACTAGGTGAGACAGAAAAGAATATTCAACTAGCCAACGACCTAATCAAGGACATCCAACCACGTCAATTCAATCTGCTAGTCCTGCCAGAACTAGCATTCACCGGCTACAACTTTCCAGACCTCTCCGCTATAACACCATTCCTCGAACCAACAACATCAGGGACAACTACACAATGGGCCGTCGCCACAGCGAAACGATTACAATGCCACATCATAGCTGGCTACCCAGAAGTTCACACAGACGACACAACTGGCGAGACGAACAATTACAACTCAACTGTCACCGTCTCACCACAAGGCGAAATCCTGAACAATTACCGCAAATCATTCCTCTACTACACAGACGAAACATGGGCGACCGAGGGCTTCAGAAGCACGGCAACTAAAGCGCCATTCTTCTCCGGTCCATTGGGCGAGCTAGGTAAAGTAGGGCAAGGTATCTGCATGGACATCAATCCCTATCGCTTCGAGGTACCGTGGTCAGACTACGAATTTGCAAACAGTATGCTTCAGTCTGGTGTGCCGTTGGTGGTACTCAGCATGGCCTGGCTCACCCGCCTCGAGCCTTCGGAACTAGCAATCGAGCCAGACAGACCGGACATGGAGACTGTAGCGTACTGGATCGAGCGCTTTCGTCCTTTTCTTGAAAATGATTCTGATCGCGAGATTATTGTGGTTTTCGCGAATCGGTGCGGTGTCGAAGGCAACAAGCTCGGAAGTGTGGAAGTGGGGAACGGGAATATGGTGGAGGAGGGCGAAAGGGTGTGCTATGCAGGCAGTAGTTGTGTGATGAGTTTTGGGCAGGGCCAGGTGAGAATGTTTGAGAAATTTGGGCATGAGGTTGCTTTGCTTGGGAAGGGCGAGGAAGGCGTGTTGGTTATAGACACAGATCAGCCGGCGCGGTTTGTGCTGCAGCAGAAGATGGTGTAAGTCGCAGTACATCCGGTACAGCCGATACTTGGATACTGCGCATAGAAGTGCGGTTCGTGTCTAGCGTGGTGTTCGGCGTCAGTCCTTAGGTTCTGCACCGAGAAGCACAGATACTTGTGAGAAGATTGGTATGGCCATGATACGGCAAGCTCTTTTCACAACCTCGTGCTACTCTCAACTAGCCAGCATCAGCATGCCATTTCCGACCACCACCACAAACGCCATGAAGTCCGCTTCCCATGCTGATTCGTGCCACCTCATGTCTCCACCGTCATTGCCGCAGTAGCTCAGATAATGTTGCAATAATCGCTTGTTCGGTCGGGGGATGTGTTCGTGTAGGCGATTTGTTCGTGGGCGAATCGTCTAGATGCCGATACGGGTCTTGCGCCAATGTCTCCTCTTCGCGTTGTATCTGCACGTGTAATGTCAGTCCCGTCCATCTCAAGCATTTTTCCTGTCCTCCAATATAGGCTTAAAGGTTGTACCTGATGGTGTTGCCAGTCCTCAATCGAATCCACTGTGGGATGGGTCTGTTCTGCTTCTGTGCCTTTGCGAGCTTCTGCTTCGTGCGGAACGACTTGTGGGACTGTGTGCGTGTCAGTGTACTGAGAAAAGGCGTATAATAGTGTTATGTGACATACAGGCATCTTGACGGTTGTCGAGATTGTCTTCTATGTGTCTCCGTGTGGTCTTCGCTGGAAATGATGTCGCTGTCGCAAATTCGTAAGATGCTGTGGGTGAAAGCTTGGCACGCGGGATTCTACGGATCTTGCCGAGCACACAAAGCCTGAGGCGCTACTTCTAAAAAACGTATTAGGCTCGATGATCTTGACATGCATGAGCTCGAACTATACGCAAATGTACTTCTATGCCTACAACGCCCTCGCTGAACCAAGGAGCACCTCGCTATAATTACACTTCATGCCGCTCTACAAGCTCATAATCTTGCCTGGAGCTCGTGAACCGCTTCCAGAACGGCAGTCTATGCCCATATGTTGGCTTGTTCCATTTCGATGCGTCCGTCGATCCCGATGCAAACCGTCGGTACGCCAGATACCCAAGTGTGATGACTGTAATGCCTATAGCAAACCCCACAATCGTGACGAGGATCCAATTGCGAGACATCCAGAAGATGAGTTGCACATCATAGCCGTGCCAGCTATTGCCCAGATGATGTGTAAAGAAGCTCCATTCATGCCCATTATACTCATCCGGGAAGATCAAACGCATTCTCCCGCCTTCTGCACCATCTCCCACGTTCATTCCGCCTCTCAACCAATGCACCCAGAGCACGCTGAGGAACAAAGGTCCCGTGCTGCCCATGACAGTGATGTATGGCAGGATCCAGCTCCGGTCATACTTCTGTATGACCTCAATAGTCTTCAAGAAGAATGGATGCCGAGGCGTGGAGCCCATCACATCGTTGCTGATACCTGTAGGTAGCGTCCGGCGCACAAAAGCTGGGTAGACGAGCAGCGGATCGAGCGATCGGTTACAGCCGTCATCCAGATCGATATAGACTCCTCCATAATGCGACAAGACAAAGTACCTTATCGCATCTGCTCGTTGAATCGGATATCGATACCCCTTGAATGTATCGTAGAACCAGGGATATTCCGCCTCGATGAACTCAGCAGACATCGCATCCGTCCACATCTTGTACTCCCATCCTTCACTCTCCGGGTGTAGATCGATACAGCTGGCTTGCGCCTCCTGCCATACTGGAGGTATTGACTCGTTCTTGTACGTCTGGTGTATGATCTTAGGGATCAACCGTGGTTTCCCATCCTTCCGCGGTGATCCGACGGCAGGCAATTCGGCCTTCGCTATCGCATCTTCGGCTCCGTCGACTACAAGGAGTGTCAGGAGACTCCAGACCTGGTGCACTAGGAAGAGGACGATGGCTAGGTTGACCAGGAGGAAGATTAGGAGGCCGCGGCGCATGCTTGGGGTCGTGTCTGCGAAGTTCTGCTTGACTTTTATGTTTGCGCTTGGGCACGATCCGTCATGTTCAAAGACATTTCAAGTCGCATAGGCCGGTTGGAAAGACTCAGGTCAACATGATGGATTACGGCCAGGGCGGTTTGAATTAGGCAGAGCGATCATCAGAGCGTAAGAATCGCTTGCACGAGTTGCATGCTTGTTCGGAGCTCTTCTGATCCCGAGCCCGAGAAGTCCTGCCAAGACAAAAAGTCGACGCGTTAGGAGACGCGACTTCATCCCATATCGAGACTAAACATCATGTTGTCGCTCTGACACCGACACTGACGACATGGCCATACAACCGAGCGATCATCAATACGTTGCCTGGCTCGTCTTGCATCACTCATTACTGGGAGATCGTGAGATGCAAATGCTGCCTAGTCCAGTGAAACAGTATTGACACCTCACAGGCTTACAAGGCATCAAAGCCAGCGATGACTTCGACCTTGGACGCGAGAATCTACGGGAGTGGTTCGACATTACAGAGCCTTCCATATCAGCGCATCATCTTCGGTTCCATTGCGTGGTATTCGAGAATGGCTCGGACCAAGACGATGATCACGTCGAGCCATTGGTATACATGCGCGTCCTCTCTGCCAATCCTGTTCGTTTGGAGAGCTCGTGTTTCAACAACACGAGCATCTTGCGAAAGCGTGACAGAGACATTCTCCTCAACCACGGGGATGTCCTGGAGCTCAACCCTAGCGTCTCCATCACGTTCCGGACTGCTCATCCTCCAGTGCCTTGTGAGAGCGCGTTGAGTCCGCTGCAGCAGGGAGACATCATGTCCTTTGAGGCTCGATACGCGGTCAGCGATCGCCTTCTCGGCTCCGGAGGCCAGGCATGTGTGTTTCTTGCTACCAAACAGAGCGATCAATCTCAGCTCGCATGCAAAGTGGTAAGTCTGCCACAACAAAGGGCTGAAATAGCAGGCGACCCTCAGGCTGTCATCGAAGCTCGGAGGGTGGCTGTGCAGCGACAGAAGAAGCGCGACGTTCTAGCTCGGGAGTACAGTATACTCAAGGATCTCAGCCATCCCAATATCGTCTCTTTGGAGAAGGTCCTCTGCACGACGTACAACATCTATATCATGCAGGAACTATTGACTGGTGGCGATCTCCTCTCTTACCTAGACCAAACTAACGCTCTCGACGAGCCTGAGGCGGCAGTGATCGTGCGACAAGTGCTAAAGGCTGTTGAGTATCTGCATGACCAGAACATTGCACATCGCGACATTAAACCAGAAAATGTCCTCATGACATCGTGGAGACCTGGCGCGCGGGTTGTTCTCACAGACTTCGGCCAAGCCAGAACTCTTGCAAATGGCATTGAAATGCAGAAAGGCTCGAACATGTTCAGGATGCAGTCTATGGTGGGCACCTATGGCTACGCTGCTCCGTAAGTACCCACTGTCTCGCGCTGCTGGTCGTACTAACGACTGACCAGCGAGCTCTATAAACGTTACAAGCACAACGACGGCTACAGCAAAGCCATAGATATCTGGTCAGTCGGCTGCATTGCCGGCACATTGCTCACAGGCGAGCCTATGCCATTCGAGGAGAAAGGTCACGACTGGAGTCTCGAGTTTATGGACAGCGAGAAACAAAGACAGTGGCGAAAGGTCGGCCACAAAGCCAAGTCCTTCATCCGTGCTTGCTTGACCTTCGACGAGTCCATACGACCATCTGCGAAAGAAGCACTGATGCATGATTGGTTCACGAATAAGCACTATGCGGCCAATCTCGAGGCCGCCTACCAGCGAGCTATAAAAGACTGGGCACCGAGGATGACCAACAGCGGACTAATCGAGTTCATTGATACCTCGCACATCGTGATTGACGACCAGCAGTCTTCTGACTGCGACTCGCGCAGTGACCAAAATTACTCTCACCACTTCGCAGCCAACGCTTCGAGAGCGCCCGAGGCAATGTCGACGATCAAGGAAGCCGTGCAAACCATGAAGCCTGTGCATAATGCCACTTCTGCCGACCCTGAAATGCACATGTTCAGTGAAGACGGCATTCCGCTCTACGCAAGTCCCATTGGTGTACCAGAATCGCCGCCGCCTTTCTCGCAACCGAACAGCTTCTCCGACATTGTTACCTCAACCTACGACGTCGACGCCGAGACGCAACTCAGTCAGTTACCTGATATGGCATCTCATCCACAGTTCATGCTCGACTAGCTGACCAGCTGTTCAACACACTGCAAGACGCATAGCACTCAATCTGCATCTAACGAGGACATGGGTGAAATATGATGAAAGCTCAATATCATTACAGAGCTACGGCTACTATCTACCAGCAATTTGCACGTCCATGAGGGGTATATGTAAAGCATTCTCCATATCGATCGCCCCATATTATACTCCGCTTCTTGATTCGTAACACCCATTTCCAGTCGTGATGTAGTGGTCCTGTACCCATGAGCACCCCAAATGCCGCGAGCTGTGTTACCATATACGCCACCAAAAGCACCAGCCCAATCCCTCAACAGCAACCTTGACCACAACGCCGCAGCCCATCGCTTGTCTTGCCTTGCCTTTCCTCGCCCTGATCTCTCTTGCAAACTCATTGCAGCGACATCTTGACCCCATAAATCTGCAACCTCGCATGAATCTTTCTGCGACAGACAGGACAAGTATCCAGCTTCTCCGCACACTCCTTACACGTAAGCACATGTCCACAATCGTAGAACGCCGTTGTCAGCTTCCGCTCATAGCAGATGGTGCAATGACCTCTATCCTCCTCGGTGACCTTGCCCCGCAGTAAGAACTCCCCATGCTTCTCGCCCTCCTTCCAGCCACCTTCAAACACATTGCCTGTCGCGACTTCGAGCAATGAGCCCTGGCCGTGGTGTTTGCCGCCAAGCCACTCGCCATCGTAGATGTCGCCGGTGGAAGCGTAAACGATCCTGCCGCGACCCTCGTATTTGCCTTGGTAGAAGTTACCGACGTATTGATCGCCTGACGTGGTTACGAGATGGCCTTGGCCTTGATATTTATCGCCGAACATCTCACCGGAGTACCATTCGCGACCGAGGCTGTCGCAGACGGCGAGGTATTTGTGGGAGCGGGAGGGCTTTGTGGGGAGTGCGGCGAGGGTGGTGGATTGTGCGAGCTCGGTGGGTGGCGATGGCATGTCGTCCTCGGTGTCGCTCATGATGACATCGCCATCACAGTCGGTCATGGGCCATTCTGGTGTCGCAGCGCCGGCGGCATGCTGCTGTTGCTCATATGCGAGCTGCTCAGCCCGGAACGAGAGATCCGAGACTTCTTCGGACGGCTGCGGTGGAAGCTTGGCCTCCTTAGCCTGTGGTAGATCAAGACCCTTCTGGATCTCGTTCGGGACGTCCCATTTCTCTGTGACTGGCATGATTCTGCTATAATTGGCACACTTCCTGTAAAGCGCCACGTAAATGACCTCGCTGTTCTCGCTTGGATCGAGAATATCGCCAAAGGGTGAGTCTCTCCTATTCTCCTTCTCTCGAGGCGGTACGCCTTCGTGCTTGTCAACTGCTTGCTCTCGAGTTTGAATTGTCACCCGCCTATCTGTGTAGGCATACCAGACGTCATAGTCCATGTCCGGCTTGATGTAGGCATTGTGCTTGTTCGACTGAAGCTCACCGCAGTGTGTGATCACTGCATAAAGCTCATACTTCACTTCGCGAACCGTTAAGGAAGAGTCAATTTTCACCTTGTTCGTGAGCTTTCGCCACTTGCGTTTCTCGGTATCAAACTCTTGCCTCTGCAGCTCGAGCGTCAGCAATTCAGGGGTGGCGAGAGCAGTGGGATGATTGTTGATAGCCTCCTGGAGAGAAGCGAAGTCTTTGGTCCTTAAGCGATTGTGAGAGAACGCTGTCTCGGCGACGTCGAATGAGCCAAGAGTTGGACATGCCAAGTCCGATCCACACTCCTTGAGAACGTTCTCTGCGATGGTCTTGATGCAAGAGACAGTGTCGATGGTCTCCATAGGATCTGGACGACGCTTGTAATGCGCGGAATGATCGCGTGAGAACATCTTCCACAAGATAGTCTGCAACGAATACATATACCGAGTCAGCTTTGTGTGCTCTCTGACCTCTGTTCGAAACGGTCTGAAGTGCAACAACGCCACCATAGCCATGAGATGTGGAGCCTGACCAGCAAAGGGTCGAAGAGCCGTGGTCTGCAAGCAGTCTTTGTAATGATCGGTATGATCATGTGCCCACATGCTACCAGAAGGGTCTTTCAGTACACGAATATGCGCCTTCAAGGCAAGCTTGTCGTTACGCAGTATAGCTTGACGCTGACCGTGGGAACGAGTCTGCAGCTCAGCAAGCTGAGCAAAGTACCGCCATCCATAATCGGCCGAAGCCTTCGAGAACCGGTGTGCGTCGACCTCAACCTTGAATGCTCGGGGCTCGGCGGGATTGTAAACAATGAGCGACAGCTGGGCAGCAAAAGTACGTCGCTTTCTGATGTTACTAGTGTCCTGACCCTCCAGAAACGGGAACGGGGGCGTCTTGAAGTCTTCGTACTCAGCATACTCGGGATCCTGCATGGTGACACACTCGATATACGCGCTCATGAAGTCGGTGCTGTTGCCTTTGGGATAGAACTTGATGCGCCAGTCATAACCACCTATGTGGACCACGGGTGATTGCATTAGAGTCTGTGTGTTTGGGTCGTCTTTTGTACCGTTGAAGTGCGGAATCGTCCAGTCGATGTGTCCTCTGCGGATGGGTACGAGTCCCTCAGCTTCGACGTCGAGGAATGTCTGCTCATGCCAGTATTCATCGTCTGTGGCTCGGTGCTCGCCTCTTGCTGTAGCGACTGCAATCTCATCTGCGCAGGGCACGCTCGTGTCCTCGATCAGCGGCCTCCATTGCTGCTGCGGGTCCGGTGCTTCCTCATGGTCACTCTCTTCATCGTCTTCTGAGTTGTGTGAAGACGGTGACCGACTACGGCTTCTGCTGCCATCACGGCTATGACTCTGCTCGTTGCGGCTGCCTTGCTCATTCTCGCCCACAAGCAGAAGAGGATCATTCGCTGCTGGTGCTGGTGGGGGTGATGGTGGGTGAGTGCGTGCAATCACTGCAGGAGGTGGAGTCGGTGCAAATGGCGGCACAAGGTGGTTCTGTGGAATTTCGGGATTTGAGGCCGCCATGTATGGCGTGTCTGATGGTGGATGGATCGTGTTTGTGTAGTGGAAATCGGAAGCCTGGAATGACGAAAGATCTGGAGGTGCGGCCATTACGGCGTTCTTGTGTGGACGAGACTTTGCTTGCTGACTGTCACGTTCGGCGTGTTACGAGAGCGGCCAGCGCTGTTTGCTCGGATATGATGTCGGTGGTAGATGATGTGCTCGCGGTGAATGGAAATTGGCAGTGTGGATGTGGAAAAGAGGGAGGATGAAGATGTCGAGTCCGACGTTCGCAGCGATATAGTGGTGGCTGGCTATTGTCGTGACTCAACAATAGCAATTGTGTGAATGCTGATTGTCACATGTGATGTGAGCTTCCATCTTTAGATCCTGCAGCTGCCGAGAGCCTTCACGAGCCGAATGTATATGTTGATTATGTTGAATGTGTCTGAGGTACTGACGAGCAAATGTGAAGGTCGTAGCTATCGGTGATATGACTACATCGAGGCTGAGGTCGCCTTGTGTTCAGCAGGCAGCATACATGTCAGTCGACGATGCCTCGATGAGTCGGCGGAGTGTGAGGTGATCGGCATAGATCCCTGTCTAACGCCCGCTGATAACGTGGTTCCGAGCAATGCGGGGTACGCTAGGCTTAGAAACGCTTTCGCTTCCTCAAAATCCATTTGCCCTTGTGGCTGACAGTAGCAGAGAGTGAGGACGTCGAACGTCTGCCTTGGGAGGACGATCGTCCAACATATTCGAACCTCAGAGCTCGCCACACCTGCCACCATCTACTGCCATCCTGAAACCAGGTCTATCTGCACACCCATCAAGTGCTGATAGACGTGCTTTTGCAGCCAAGTTACTGGCGCAGTGTCCACGTACTATCCACATGCATTGGGCCGCAGACGTGACGCACCGGTGCGGCGGCCTCGTGCGTGCCTGACGCAGGTGTAAAGAAGTAGTCGCCGCCTCAATCGGCACCAGTCTAAGCTCCATTGGATGCCCTCTCTTCGACTCTGGCAAAGGTTGCGGCTACAATGATCGGGAACACCACGGTGGCTTCGGCATAGACCTTAGGCAAATTCTGTCAGCGCATACTTCGAACTATGTAGCTCAAACATCTCAGACGATTGTGGACAGGATTTCTTTCATACCTTGACACTCTCACCGTCCACCTTAATCTTGCCCCAACTGACAGCCTCATCAGGCCTAGCACCAGCATCCGAGCCATCAAACTCATTAGCAGTATTGATAAACACCGCACTTTCAGCACCATTCCTCATCAAATTCGCATTGGCGATATGATGCTTCACGATCCCGCCGCCAAGCACAATCATACCACTACGCTTGGCGCGAACAGCAAGCGTATTGATCCGTCGAATATCTTCCACAATATCGACCCGGAGTTGCTGTGGCGAGGCCTTGAAGGTGTGGAAGTACAGCATATCGCCCAGACTACCATCTGTCAGGGCTGGACAGAACACAGGAATATCGTTCTTGTAGGCCCAGTAGTATACCGATCGCTCGTCGTTGATTTCCTTGCCTAGACGAGCGATGACTTTGCTGGGGGTCCAGCTGAACTCTTCCTCTATACCTTTGGCGGCTTCCTGTTCCTCCAGCATCTGGTCCAGTATTGGCATGATCCAATCTTCAAAGGCACAGTAATTGCTATTGGGTACAAGCAGATTGCCGATGCGATTCATGCCTTGCTTCCGTAGTGCGGCGCCGGCAGTTGAGAACGATCCCAGGTAAGTAGGAGCGAGGCACTTGATAAAGTCCTCTTCCACTCCTCCTGCAGTAGTGACGATTGCCGAGACATGCTTATGTTGGACCAACCAGCGCAGTGTCTCTCGTAGACCAGACGAGATGAGATTTGAGGTATAGCCAAGGAAGATCGTCGTCTTGTCGCCACTTTCAGGATCACGCCAGGCTCGCATGCCGTTGATGATTTGTACTGCTTGTCCTACAGATGTTGCTTGGAAGCCCATACTAGACATGCTGTCTGCGAGTTCCGTGACGGTGATGTTACGTCCACTGTAGGCATCGAAGTCCAGACCTTGCACAGGTATCGCATCCTTGGCTACTGGGTCCGATGGTTTTAGAACAGCATCTGTTGCGCCAACCGGTGCGGCGCCGTTCTCTGTGCGATCGTTATTCATGCTAGGCTATTGTGTATGTGTTTGGTCGATCATACATCGTAAGTGTAAACATTCGGCATACATGTCTTGGCATGGCAGAAAAAAAGCTTCAAGTCCAACCGTTCTGCCTAAAGCATAACGGAGTGAATAAATGGGAGCGCATGGACAACCGCGACAATCTTCAATGCTATTGTTGATATGGGTGTGCATACACGTAGCTATATTTTCCGACACGTTCGTGCAATTGACGACATCGTGCATTGGAAAGTTCTGTATTGTAATAGCCGGGTCGCTTTATGGTACACGAGAACAGGCGCTAGGAAGGGTGGCGTTCTACGGAATCAATCCTCCAGACTTGGTCCAGTCACTCCAGTGTCAGATGCTTCGGCTGCTCGCGTGCCGCTCAGACTTCTCCTTCGAAGACGGGCATTGACTCGAACACCCCGAACTTTGGATATATCGATCGGAATACTGGAGCGGCATCAAGGACATCCACCCAGCCAAGTCATTCCACCATAGCGTGCATGTCGCGTTCAGAACTCGAACGCTCGAGTAATCGTAACATTTCCAGCGGTCTGGCCCAGCCTGATCTTTCAGGGCTGCAGCAGGGGTTCATATTTACGCCACGGTCCACCCGACTGGAGCTAAATTGGAGGCACTCCCGTCATCTATTCCAGATCCCCGCTGCGAAGAACTTCTGCATGTGGACATTCTATCTTCCCAAGGTTGACGAGCCTATCTTGTTGTGATAATCAATAGGCTGGGCGACGGCCGATATTGGCAGCCGATGATATTTCCATCATTAACTCATTCTTGTTGATTATTGCCTTGCTGCAGTGACGCTCGGTAGCCGTTGCAAGCTTCGACTTTAGATCCTGGTCTACCCGCAGATCATAGATACAGTATTTTGATTGGCTGTGCGTGCATGTGTGAAGATGCACGACCCCGTGGTTAGCTCAGTTGGTCTTGCAACTCGTGCGGGTGTCTTGTTTCCCTTGTGCAGTACACGAACATCTCAAAAACTGTCGCCTCTCACCTACAGGTCGGGTACTCCTGGCAACAGCTGCTTCGCGTAGCATTAGCACTCACAAAATCACGCGATTGATCTCATCGCCAACGGATCTGCCGCCGAGAAGGTGCGAAAGGGAGAAGCATCACCACCTCATTTGTCGCGACCATTTGCGCGACCAAAATCGACCTCTCGAGAACGAGAGACTTCTGGAGGGGTTCCGTTTGATCACTTCAGTTTCGCAGACCACGCGCCGTCCTCGAATGCATTATTGAGGAATTTGCTTCTCAGCCGCCATCTGGTCAGTCTTCCTCCAGCGGATCTAGAGAAGGTTCTCCGGCTCCACCAAACTGAGCGCCGTAATTTTAAGGTTGCGCGCTAACGACGGCACCTTGACCTTCCGCATCTGCGATTCTGCGACGTGTGTCGAAACATTCGCGACTCCATCCAAAGAAACGACAATTGAAACATCCAAAGTCGGCTGCGCCCGACACGTGCGGCTTGTCAGCATTAGCTGAGCGATCAGTGTGTGTGGCTAGAAACATATCGTGCACGCTGCGGTGTTTCAGCCTGTCGGCTGCGCTGATGGCTGTTGTGCACTGAAAGTGCTCTGCCATGTCACGATATCCGCCTGCGGCGGAATACCGTGGCTTTAGGGACAGATCACGATCACCACCGCGTTTCTCGGAAAGTCATAGACGAGGATCTGCTGCCGCCATCTTCGAGAATAGACCACCTGGACCTGCCAGAAACGCCACCGAGCTGCCCCGTGGACCGCGCCAGCAATTTGATGGTCCACCTAGGCAGAGTATAGGTGCAGGTCCTGCACCCGGACTAGGCTCACGACCGGGATATTCCTCCCTTCGAGACGCACCACCCCTCGGCACTCCTGCTCGCCCGTTCCGTGAACGCGAGTATGACCGACCGGCGCTGATACCATCGCCACGTGAGCGCTCTCCTGCACGAGGTTTCAAGGACACTCGGGACTTCCCTCCTCGCGAATTAGAGATTCCGCGCGTGCGACGTGGTTCTCGAGATGGTCCACCGTCTGCCGGATCTGGGTTCTCTGACAATCCACCCTTCGCTCCTGGCCCTCCACGTGGAGGTTATGTTCGTGGCCGAGGACGAGGAGATTTCGAATTTCGAGGTGGCCGCGCTGGACGCAGGCACTTTGACGATCGCGAAGCGTTCCGTCGAGAACGATCCCCACCTCCACCACGATGGGGTCGAGAGCCGCCTCGAGATGAGCGCGACCTGGAACGAAGAGACGACCGTCGCTTTGACAGACGAGACGAGGAAAGACGCCCCGAATGGCTCGACCGCGAGCGTGAACCAGAAAGGACGAGACGTGAACAGCCACCAACGAGGTTGGAAAGCAGACGATCAGACGAGTCTATTGCCAGTGGACCTGCTCCACAACAGGCATCGCAGGCCATACAGATTGATCCTGGCCGACTGGCATTGTTGCAGGAGGCCGGCGAAGATGTTGTGAGGAGACCCTATGCTGCGCAACCTGCGGCGTCGCAACGAGAGGTCAGACGCGATGTACCAGAGACGCCATCTTACCTCAATGGCCGTGCAGAGAATACAGCAAATCGTTACAAGCAGCGTGGCTCTTCGCCGCCTACACAAGCGCCACCAGTACCTGCCTTCACGCTGTCCTTCGCACCTCAAGGTCCGACGTCTTCATCGCACAATGGCGTGTCTCCAATGAAGCCGATCGCAGAGCGTAAGGTCTCGCTAGTGCCAAGCGGAGAGTCACTCGTTGGAAAAGCAGCACCATCGACTGACACCCCAATCAATGCACTAGCCGAAGCACAGTCGGAGGCGAAAGCTAGGCCGCCGGCGCCAAGGGCTGAGCTCATGGAGCCACCACCCACTGCTCCAAAGGCACCTAAGGCACTAGAAGCAGAGATGGTGACAGGCTTTGCGAACCGCTTGCATGGTGTCCGGTCTCTTGAGACCATTCCTGGACCACCTCATCTTTCTGTGCCTCAATTGGCTCGTGGCGAGTCTTTGGTGAGGCCATCGCCACCCGGCCCAAGACCCGTATCACCAGCGAACTCTGTGCCTTCCATGTCAACGTTGATGCAGCCAGTGTCTCCAAGTACGCAGACTTTCCGCCATGGTGATATTGCTCCGCCCACAGGGCCACGTGCGGCTCGTGTATCGCCTGCCATGACACACGTGTCACCACGAACGACATATACGTCTCCTCGATCGGACGTCGGCGCAATCTCGGGCTACCAAGGGCCATCGAAGGGGCAGACTCCACCTCCTACTGCCCCTTCTGGACCGCGCAACAGGTCATTCAGTGTCTCGCCAAAGGTTACGAGTTCGGCGGTACCAACAGCGCCTAGAGGAAGCAGAGTCCCGCCAACCGCTCCACGAGCATCTGCTGCCGAGCGGCCACCTGCACCGCCAATAAGAGGACTGGATCGTCTTGGCGGGCCACCCCCTTGGGCGCCGCCGACTGCACCACGAGGACTCCAGCGCCAGCCATGGCGCCGGCCGGGCCAGCCACCTTACAACGACAAGGTCATTCCAGCGAAAAGAGACTTTGCCGGCGACGAGCGAGATCGCCAGCCTGTTCCTACCCAGCCAAGCTCTGGGGCGCCAACGAATGTTGACCAAGCTTGCGTCGCAAGCAGGAAAGATGAGAGGGAGCCGCAAGCCGTGGGAAGTCGCCATCCAAACAGGGCACGGCAATGGGATGACAAGATGGACATCGATCATGAGCAAGCTCGCCCAGCAAATCTTGCAGCAGCTCCTGATCAGTCTGCCACGGCCAGGCAGTCGTTTTTTGGCATGTCTGAACAGAACCGTGATCCCGAAGCCAGCATGTCTGCATTGGAAGAAGAAAATCCAAGTAGTGACGAGGACGCCGATCCACAACAAGGAATAGCACTCTTCCAGGCCAAATACGAGAGGGAGAAAAGAGCTCTTGAGTCGCAATTGATTGATCTTAGTGCGCGGAAGTATCGTGCAACAACTCCACTGGAATCCATCGCACGACTCTCCTGCATCTCGGATCGTGATCTGCAAAGTGCGCGTGAAAGCAATGAGAGGAGTGAGGACCGATCGCCCACCCTCACGGAAGGGAATCTCGTACCGCCGACTACGCATTCCTCAGGAACAGACGAGGGTCGAGACCTGCTTACACCCAAAGGCGAAGAAGATGTTTCTGCGGTCGAAGTCAACAGCAGTGGCGGCGAAAGTACGGGACATCCTCGGATATTCCGACGACCAAGCTCAGAAGTCATTAGTCTGCCCTACCTTACCAAGGAACCACATCTCATCCATAACAATGTGGCGATTGAAGAGAGTCTACAACGTCAAGAGGAGAGCAGATCCACGGTCCTCACTGCCCTTGAGCAAGAGATGGACATGGAGGATGCTGACGAAGAAGAAGCAGAGGACGAATTCGAAGTCTCCTACAAAAGGTGGCGCCAGCAATGCGAGGATCTCGATCGACAGCGCGAGGAGCAGGAGCGGTTGGAAAGACAGATCTCTGTTGATCCTGCACCAGAAATGGTGGTTCCAGCTGCACCACCCCTCAATCCTATGACTGAAGGCAGCAGGCGCTTACACAAGTACAGCAGCGAGTACGATGTTGAGCAAGTGCTGAAGCAGTCCGAAGAAACAGCACGCCTGGAGCAAGAAAAACACGAACGGGAAGCTCGCAAGAATCAAGCTGACATGGAGAAAGAAGCCAAGATACCTGATCAGCACCTTGAAGAGCATTACAGACGAAGCATCTTCATCAACACCAATAGATATCGCGAGCCTGGCAAACTCACGCTGGTATTTTCCTACGAGCCACAGCCCGACACTTTCACGGAGAACGAGCAGCAGATTTTCATCGCAGCCTTCAAGGAAACCCCGAAGAAGTGGGGTGAGATCGCATCTCTGCTTCCTGGTCGCACCTACAAAGACTGCATTCACCACTACTATGCCAACAAGTGGGATGGTCGTTTCCGAGACAGTCGAACCAAAAAGCTCAAGGCTAGTGGTCGTCGTGGTAGAGGTGGGAAGGCAATGCGTGGAAGAGGCGCCCAAGCCATGGCAGATCTGGCTGTCATCACGGAGCCTGCTGAGAAGTCCGAATCGGGACGGCCTAAGCGTGCAGCGGCACCAACTACATTTGGTGAACGTGAGATCGAGAGTAAAGCTGCTCTTGTGAACCCATCACCAGCAAAGAAATTAGGTCCTGGTGCAAGGCAAGACGGCAACGGTGACATTGGGCCTGAGAAGCCGGGCAGACGTCGCAAAGGCATGGGTGAGAAACCTGGTCGCAAGGCTAAAGGTTCGCAGCCACTTGCTGCTCTTGCTGCAGCTCCATCTGCCTCACCAGGCCGATCCATGATGCAAAGCACACTAATCAAGGAGGACATGGCAAGAGCGCAGAGCATGGAAGAAGCGAGTCTCTTGACAGGTTTCCGAGCCGAGCAACACACCATGCATCCTATCGATAAGCATCTCTACCAGCAGGAAGAGTACCACACGACCATGATGCCCATGGAGGATATCGCGCGACCAAAGGTAGCTGGTCAAGCTCCACCATCAAGAACCGGCCCGTCAAGCTACTGGTCTGTACCCGAACAGACAGATTTTGTCAAGTATATCGGATACTTCGGTACGGACTTCGCAGCGATCGCCAATCACATGGGTACTAAGACGCAGACTATGATTAAAAATCATTACTCGCGTCAAGTCGCGCATGGCAACCAGCCGGATCTGGAGCGGTCAGCTAGAGAAGCAGACCGGAGGCGTGAGATGGGCGAAGACGTTGGTCCGCCACCCACGCCCACGCCAATTGTGAAGAGGAAATATGATCAGCCTCAGACCAACGCGCAAAGATCACTTGCGCCACAAGCAGATGCCATGGAACTCGATGAACCCACCATCACTCAGCGACCATCACAAGCCAAGCATGCATCGCCTCCGCAGTATCAAGCACAACCGCGCTTCAGTACTTCGGCACAAGCCACGCCTGTTCAAGTCCATCGTGTGATGGCAAGCCCTGCAGTCACCGGTGCTTCGCCCGTCGTGCCAAAGATCCAGGCTTCTGCGCCTGTCCGTCCTGGTCCTCACCCTCTAGGTGCGGGTCTGTCGTTCATGCCAGATTCTCGTCCAGAATCTCGAGCTGATATGCAAGCCAACACAAGTGCTAAACATAGTCAACCAAGTATACCGCGCAGCCAACCACATTCTCAGAACGCTGTACCCGACGCCTACATCCTCGAGCTTCAACATGAACAGGAGAGAGCAACTCGCCTACAGCAGCAGGAGCTCTTTCAGCGAGAAAGCCTTGACATGCAGCGCCAGAACAGCTTCCATCGCGGGTCAGCACATGGATCGCCAGTCAACCCACCCCTTCACGAGCCTATGGAAGAGCGCAAAACACTGTTGGAAGAGCGTGCGCCGACACCGCCTCGTGATATATTTGGCCAGTCTCCATACCAGCGCTCAGCGTTCAGATCCGATTTCGGATCAATGGGCAGCTCGCCGGCTCTGTCAATGCTGGGTCGCCCACCGCTTCAACCCTCACCGAAGAAGAAAGATGACCTTCGTCCTGGCTCCGTGCCTGTAATGCCGCCTATGCAGACAGCCGTTGCACCATCAATACAGACTGCGCCGACTGCACCACCGGAGCCAAAGCGTTCGAATCTTTTGTCAATCCTGAACGACGACCCTCCAGAACCACCGCCACCAAAACGGGAAAGCTTGCCAAGCATGCAACAACGTGGGCCTTCTCCGGCACAGAAGTTCGCGCACCAACCTGGCTCAGCTGGACCAACACCGCCAGCAGCTTCTGCTGTGCAAGCACTCAGACGTGAAACTTTCGGCCAGCCTAGTATGCCACAGTCGCATTTCCGTCGGCCATCACTCTCCCAGCAAGGACCATCTTTCTCTTCGAACCCATCAGCGTCCATCAAGCAGGAAGCTGCATCGACCGCGTCTATATTACATGCACCCAATTCAGATTGGGCAGCTCATGTGTTAAGTCGAGATCCACAACCAGCACCACCACGCCAAGCGAGTCCTTTCGGGCTGGAGCGTGAGCCGCGACCAGTCTTCCCGCCCCGTGGAAGTATTCTAGGCGGGCTCAATCAGCCCATCAGAGCTGTGCCATCACCACCACCTCATGGCACTCTGTCACATTCTCGGACCTCGTCCGTAACCATGCAACACGGGCAAGCTTCGCAGTCAAGAGAACAGCGATCCGGTTTACCAGGACACCAGAGCCTCGGTAGTCTTAGCGGCCTTGGGCAGACGCTACACCCAAATCCATACGGCCAGCAATCTGTCCCTAATCCTTTCGCACAGGCACCACCATCGGAAGGCCGTAATCATGCACATCACTCGCACAATAACTCACTATCAGGCTCACTGCAGGCGATGCACCACGGCGGATCCCTTCGAGAAGATGCCGCCCGCCAGCAAGAACTCCAGGCGCAGCAAGCGCAACGGCAGCGCGAAGCCGAAATAGGCTGGCGTCGAGATGAAATGAGGTTGGATGGAAGGAGGATGGACGAAATGAGGATGGATGAAATGAGACGGCGCGACGACATGATACGTGCTGAAAGACAAGATGAAATGATGCGGGATGATATGATGCGAAGGGGCGAGCGCAATCTACTCTTCGAGCGACAACAGCAGCAACAACAACACTTCTTTGAGCAGCAGCAGCGACAGCGTCAGGAAGATGAGATCCGCGATCGTGATCGCCAGCAGCAGCAGTTTATGTCACGTGGACCACCGCCTCCGATGCAACCCCAAGCTATGCAACCACAAGGATTCAGCGGTGGGCCACCTTTTGGCTTGGACCGCATCAGGACACCCAGCCTGCGAGACCAGGCGGCTCGTGAGACTGAGGCCGCCATGCGACATGAAGCTGCTCAGAGGATGGGAGGTGATGTGCTCTTCAGGGATCGTGACCACAATCGTGAGCGCGAGCGAGAGCATGCAGAGGGTATGAGGAGACATGAAGACGCGATGTTCAGACGCGGCACGCCTCTACAGCAGGCACCATTTGGACATCCGCCACCACCGCCCAGACGTGGATAATTCGGTGATGGAGATGACCTGGGGGTTGGATATTCTTGTATGTATAGATTCGGTACAGTCCATTTGCATGTCAAATCTCCTCTGTGACATACGTGTCTGCCTGTAGGGGGCATGCCGGCTATTTTCTCCAACAGTGAGTGCATTCAGAGAGCTTCGAGATATCACTATCAGGCCAGTCACCTGGCATTTCACTCACTACAGTTATACTCCTATCGAGCCAGGAGAAGCCTCCAAGTGAGATCTTGACATGTGAGGTGACTGTGTTGAGACCTCACTTCACCAGCCATATGTCTATGCTGCTAGGTGCGCTCCTTCCCCTTCCGACTACCAGTACTCACTAAACAGCCTGGCTACCCCGAACAAACCTACCAGAATCCATCGACACCAAGAATACTCAAAACAGAGTAAGACCTTCGAATGTGAAGTGATCATATCCGATTTCACTTCACCCCCTACCCATACAGCTTTGCTCATACCTGGATAGCTCCTTTCTCCCTCAAATTCCTACCACCTCAACACACCAGAGGGAACCTTGGACACTCAAAGCACAATAGCCAATACCAAACAACTATGCCAAGCTTCAACTGGAGCGCGGAGGCTGATGCCAAGCTCATGGCCAGCCTTATGCGGATCTGCGACGTCAAGCCTACTGGAGAGCAGAAAGATCAGCTTGCTGCAGAATTCGGTACGGAAGTCGTGAACAGCAATTCTGGCTCGATCTGACCTTGTCTCCTCAGGTGTGACTGCAAAGTCGATTACCCATCGGATCACCCGTTAGTCAATGACATATTACACGAACAAAATATTGATTCACTCTGACCACCACTTTCAGACTACCGCAATGCCGGCAAATATGGCCAAAGCGTCAAGGCTGCAGCAAGTGAGAAGAAGGCCTCCAAGGACAGTGATGGACCCTCTACACCAAAGCAAACCAAGCCAGGCCGCAAGAGCAACAAAAAGACAGCCGCTGCTGCCGCCGACGAAGGTGATGAGGAGGTCAATGGGGCGCTGACACCACCGCCTAGCGATCGTCCCAAGCGCGATGGTGGTAAGAAGCGCGATTATGCTGCTCTGGCTGGTATGAAGGATGAGGAAGGCGATGAAATCGACTCTGAGGATGGGCTGAGTAAGAAGGTCAAGGTTGTGAGTTCTCCTAATCTCGTCGGGTACAAGCTTGATTGTCATGATGTATGCTGACCTCTCCTCTCACCCTAGGAAGTCGGCGAAGATATTGGTGAGGGCCTACGTCAGAGCCAGCATTTTGAGGAAGCTATGGCTGAGATGGGCGGTGAGGATGACTTCAACTAGGTCTCGTGAGGGTGATGTGTGTGATGAGAGACGTTGGGAAGTTGGTCGGCAGATCTGCGGGGGTTGAGCACAACAGAGCATAGGTAGTTTGAGCTGCAGGGCTGCTTTTCCAGAATGACGTGAACTTCTGCCGTGCTTCTGTGATCAACTTGGCTCCATCCCTATTCTCGTCATCCAAGTTACCGCAGCCAGTGATTCACGTCGTAATGTGCCATGCGGCTCATTCTCCAATCTTGTAGTCACCCTGAGGTGTAGGCCCATCAAAACGACTATCTCGGGGGCCAGTCGGGACGAAGAAGGCCTCCAACCACGCCACATATACCACCTTATGGCTCGGCCAGTCTCGAACCGTGATAACCATCAAGTCAGACCGTTGACTCCGTGCCAAGTCGAGATGCTGCCGTCGAAGAATGCTTGAGAGATCAAAAGTCCGGATGCCGGCATTACTACCATGAGGGTCTTCTGCATGCTGGGCTTTGGTTCGAGCCTCGAAGCGCTCGAAGTTCATGTACTCGAAGACGGTTGTTCCCAGCATCAAGGCTATGTCGATAGTGTAGGCTTGCAGGTGGCCAGGAGGGAAATATGCTATCTCCGCTAATTCTACGCTGACGGTGTGTATTCGAGCCAGGCCGATAACAATCTGAGTGCATTTACTGATGACGCTGAAGGTTATAGTACCGGGCCGTTGCGAGTCGTCTGCCATTATGGCCAGTAATCGATTCTTGTCGTCGCATGCCTCATGGTACACGTCTTCGAAGACCGGCCTGTTTCCTGGTTCCTGCAGACACTGCCAGATGCAATCGATGTCGCTGGGCTGGATCAGCTTGAGGTCATATGAGTAGCCACGTAGAACATCATCCGATACACCAAGCGCTGCCAACTCTGCGGCGTCATGAGAGGGCTTGCGGGAAGAGGAGGTCTGCTTGGTCAACATGTCGATGTACTGTCTACTGATTTCAACGTGGCTCTTGTCAATCTTTGACGAGTCATGATCTACATGTACCTATACATCTATCCCATCGACGCTTCATAATCGGCTCCGAGAGATACTAAATTTGGGGGTGATGACTCTCCCTGGCGAATAATGGTCAAATCGTCAAGCACACCGCCAGATAATCGGTTCCGCAGTAACTTAGTCAGCTCACGGCAGGTCTAGCCCGATATGGCAACAGGCGGGGCAACGTAAACGAGTGAGGGTCAACTCAACAGCGCGCAAAACAATTGCCTGAGAGACAAGTTGCTGTGTATACGCAAGCCCATATTCGCCTTTCACTGCCGCCTGTGACCAGAGATACGTACTGCCAAGTAAGCCCACATCCAGGCTGCCATTGCCACCACCAGTTCAGCAGGCATAAATTCATCGCTGATGCAGCCTTCCGTGCCCCGCAGAAAGAAAGATATCCTCGAGCGATAACTGAGTGCATTGGCAACATTCTTACACGTTTGCACGCACGACCCCAAACATGGCATCCTCCGGAATCTCGGTCGCACCCGAATGCATCCAGACCTTCAACGACCTCAAGCTGGGCAAAGGCGGCAACAGCCCGAAATGGATCATTTACAAGATCTCCGACGACTCGAAGGAGATTGTTGTGGAGGAGAGCTCGTCAGACCCGGACTACAGCAAGTTCCGAGAGAAGCTGCTGAACGCCAAGAGCAAGAACAAGCGTGGCGAGGAGTGCATTGGTGCCCGATATGCCGTCTTTGATATCGAGTATGATGCGGCAAGTGGTGAGGGTAAGAGGAGCAAGATTACCTTCATCAGCTGGGTGCCTGATGATGCTGGACTACAGGTATGTGCAAACACAAACAGCCTCTACGAGCACAGTCGCTGATTCTGTCTAGCCGCGCATGATGTACTCGTCCTCCAAGGAGGCACTTAAGCGGGCGCTCACCGGAATCGCGTCCGACATCCAGGCCAACGACCCCGACGATATCGAGCACGAAAGCATCATCTCGCGAGTCAGCAAGGGTCGCTAGGAGCATATTAACCCCCAACATCACGTGCAGTACACCGAGCACCACGACCGCAAAGAATTGCGCTTCCCAGATTGCCGTCACGTGACTTAGAGACGGCACACCGAAAGCAGCATTCCTACAGGCGAGTGAAGAGTAGCAGCCTGTATAGCGGGAACGACACGACCTAAGGAGAAGATACGATGGTACCTTGGCACACAGCAGAGGAAAGCTTTCATAGACCCCTCGAACTCTGAGATGAAACATTACCGCCCCACTTCACTTGTCCAGTCCAGCGCGCAAGATATAAAACCATACTCCGCTTGAGCTCCGCTAACTTTGTCTGTCAGCAACATAATTACTATTATGACCATTTCTATCGTGAACTCCGAGCCCGCTGGTAGGGTAAGTCGGACGAGATCATGTGCAGACTCACATCAGAGTTCGAGGCGATGCTCACCGCACTCTCCGCGAAATGTCGACGGCCACCTGCCGCCGTCGCACTTTTACTCCTCTACTCTACTCATTCTCTACTGCATAGCGCGAGCACAGTGCGATCGCTACCTGTCATTCCTCGTTGAACACGACATTCTGCATTTATGCTGGGAGCCTCATACAAATCTCCGCCCAATATTTGCCACACATTAACCTCACCAGCAAGAGCAAGATCTCCCCTAGTGCGTTCTCATCATGGTCGCACCAGCCTATCCACCATACCACCTTGAGCCACAGCCGCCCGCGTATCAGCTGCACTACAACGGCGCACATTATGGTTTTCACGAGTCTTCTGAGGAAGAGGACGAGCCTATCGAACAGCCGACCACCGTGAAGCAAGGTACGCCAAATGAGAGGCAGAACGGCCACCGCAGAGTCTGCCTTCTTGCTAGAATCAATGCTTTCATGCATCCCAATGCTCGTCGCAGCGCCGTGGATGAAGAGGTATGGCAAAGAACCCTCTCATGCACTCAGCGCACCAAGATTAACACACCACAGGCCGTCCGACTCGCCAACACTCAAGCACAAGTCATCGCATCGATACTGCTCGAGGGCAGGCCTGAGCGCCGAATGCTGTATACCAATGCAACGTCCACGCCACAAGCGCGAGCGCGACAGCATCATCTTGGCCAGGCCAGATCACACTTGGAAAAGACGAGAGCCAGGAACTCCGCGCAACCTTCCCATGAGCAAGGCTACTCGACGCCTCGTGGCGGTACCCGACTTGACTCCGTGGCCGAAGACCCTGCTGAACATGACGATGACACGTCCTCTGAACATTGGATCCATGTACTTGGTCGCGGCAAATCCGATCAAGTAGATGGTTGGCACAAAGTAAAGAAGCCTTTGCCTCCACCTCCGGTTCCTAGAGGAGCGGATAGACTTCGCGATCCGCGACGTGGCGATTATCGCGCGGTTCATGCGAGTCGCCTGCAGCCAACAAGCTCGACAAGAGCCACACCCGCTTCACTACCACCCCAGCCTACGAGAGTCTTGCGGAAGGTCAGAGGTGCTTGCGAACTCAAGTATGCCGATGACTCAGGCGTTCACACTCCCCGATCGAGCCTCACCAGCTCTGATCGCTCGCTTGAGTCGGACCATGTACAGAATTGGGTCTCGACGCAGGACCCTATACAAAAATGCGGCAATAGACCAGGATTCGTGCACCCCAGGAATAAGCCTCCGCCTCCGCCTCATCATCAGCTACGGACTCATGAACATTACGACATGCATCGCCAACGCTTGCCGCTGGGTGAGCCCGAGCTCGGCGGCCTATACGGTATCCTTGTCCAGCATGAGAAAGACAAACGTAAGCCATTGGTGTTGGATGGGGTTAGGCGCGTTCAACGCCCCACAGATCCCATCAACGGGATCAGGCCATTGTCGCGACCGGCGAGTAGTTCCGAGCTGGACGACTCGGCTACATACTACAAGGATAACGGCCCAGATATGCCACCTACGAGATTATACTCCCATGATCGAAATTCACCGGATCCTAGATGGGTGGATGTGCCGCTAACGGAGAAGATTATGGTGAAGAAGCCGGTCAGACAGGTGAAATCGATGCCTGTGCTTGAAAGGCAGCAGGGTCTGCAGCAACATAGAATGGCGCCGGTCAAATCCGTACGTCCTTCGCCAGCATATGCACCTGCTAGTACTACAAACGACACGACGCAATACTCTGTGGACATGGTCCCACCACCTCTTCGCACCAAACGCAGCACACCGAGTGTCTCGACTCCTTCTATCGACTCGGTCATGGGTCACTGGAACCGTACCGTACTGGTCCCCAATACCGACGGACACCTACGCACAGTCAATGGTCTCGCCTCCCAAGCCTCCATGATCAGCCTCGGTAGCAGGTCAACAGCGTCATACCGCACAGCAAAGCCACAAATCAGCATGCCGGACCTCCGCATTCGTTACAGACAGTCGTCGAACGACCTCCGTGGCCACCACAGACGAACTCAATGTGAGGACGTTGGCGGACAGATGCTCAAGTTCCCACCTCCAGTCAGGCTGGGTGCGCGAGTCGGGAGGAATGGGTCTATACAGAGTAAGGATTATGGACAGATCGGCGCCGGGTACAGCGGTGTGATGTCGTCATTAACACGCTACCCGTCAGCTTCTGAAACGCCGACGCCCTCTTCCGACCGCAGCCGTAGGGCGAGTCGACAGCCCGAGGATCAATACCTCATGTCTGGTGGCCTCGGTCATGCAAGTTCAACAGAGAGAAGTGTTAGCTTAGCACTGTGCCAGAGGGCTCGGTGAGGCGACTTGACGTTAGGAGTGCGGTGTGCGTTGATGTGGCGAGTGGTAGTGGAAGAAGTAAGAGCGCTTCGGAGTCTGGATCACGTGTCGAGTTTCCTGGTAGCCAGGCAGCGCTGAGGTATGATGATGTTGGGGATGATGCGCTGCGCCATGTCCATCATTACGAGGACGATGAACTGATTGGAATCGCAAGCTAGTATTGGGTCGAAAGGGCGTGTGTTGCGGCGGCGGAATGTATTCTATTATATTTTATGGTATATATTGAGATCTATTGTTACACTATTACGGTCTCGCCAACGTCACAGAGACCTACACCTTGCTTGGTGGTATCGATCGGCCTACCGTCACCCTCAATACCGCCTCCACACCATACGCCTTCCTTCTCAGCCGCGACTCGCCACCTTCGCGGCGGATCTCTCACATCTTCATACTGCCCACTGATCCCACCACGGACAGTACCGTAGTGCATACCTAGACTTATCCTCGATCTCACTTCCTCGTGTATTCGCAATGACTGCTCAGGCGTAGCATGTACACCTCCCATGAATGAGTGTGGCGTCATGAGGCCTATAGGCACCATAGCAAGATCAAAAGGCCCTAGTGTCTCGCCTATCTGTTTGAATGCTGGGCATGGTGCAGGCGTGTTCATAGCTTGGTACGCGGTGTCGCCTGAGAAGTAGACTCGTTTGCCACTTGCTTCGAAAGCGAAACTGCACCATAGCGTGTGTCCGAAGCTCCCCACTGCGCGACCAGAGCCATGTTGTGTCGGACAACACGTTATGTTCACACTGCCGAGACCCTCAACGGAGAGGTCGAAAGAGTCCCACCAGTCTGCATCGGTCACTTCGCTAGCTTGGCAACCCACGTTCTGCAGAAACCATGGTTTATTGTTGAGACCTGCGATGAAATGGACCTTTCCCTTCTGGCGAGCGTAGATGTGCTGCACGGTGGCGATATCCAAGTGGTCGTAATGATCATGTGAGATCGCAATGATGTCGATATCTGGTAGTTCATCCAGCGTACATGGCGTGGGCGTATATCGCTTCGGTCCTATCCACTGCGCCGGGCTCGTGCGTTCGCTGAAGACAGGATCACACAGGACCCTGATTCCTCGTTCGGCTCCTGCTTGTGCAGGGAATTCTGTGAGAAACGAAGCGTGGCCGATCCAGGTGGCTTTCAGTCGATCTGTGTTACCAGCTCCCCAGTCTGGTTTGTGGACGTTGACGAGCTCAGTAGATCGTGTTCCGTTTGGTCCTTGAGGCACGGGGACGAATTTCTTTTCTGGATGATTGCCAAAACGATGTTCGAAGGCACTAACGAGACCGAGCTTCTGGAAGGAGTTCCACGGGTTCTGGAACGTCTGTGGTGGACTTCCAACGTGGTGATCTTTATTTTGGCTGTATTCTTGGTTGCAAGGTGGCAGTGGCTTGACTGTGACACTCGATACCATTCTCGCAGATCTGCTCAGGAAGGTCGTTGTCGCTGTGCTATGCAGATGAGTTCGCCTCACGCAGGCAAGCAGCATAGTGGATTGCTGGCTATGCCTGATAAATATGCGTGTTTGTCGCTACGGACGGGAGCCATGACGGCTTCACATAAGTCTCGCGATCGGGCGAACTTGAAGCCGTAGATATGCTATACGTGCTCACCTTGGTCATTACTCCAATGCTCGAATGCGCTTCATGCTCGATTAAGACAGCACTGCGGGAGGTACACGACTTCGATCCCACGACCTCTATTCAGGCCAACACGTAGCAGACAAAGCATTACCATCGACCTATGGCCTTGGCATTTGTATAGCCTCGGTCGGAACTGTTCCTGGCACTTGCCTCCTTGGGCAAGCGGCAAAATCGCCTTCAACATCTTCTCCACCGTTTCTTGTACCGACAATCCATCCTGGATGCATTGATAAGGACAAGATCTCACGCGCAGCACGTTCGTGCAACACCGAGCAGGACCGAGCATTCGGACTATTGTCCTACATCCATCTTGCGCGCGACTCGCGATGCCATGATGTCTGCTCTGGCGGTGTGTCTCTACTGGTTACGGTGGCTGAACCGCCTTGCTTCACAGCGACTTTCCAGTGATCGACATACGAGCTCCGCCCGCCAGCATGCATGCGAGTGGTTTATCGCACAACGCCTTCCTCTCCAAGCAAAGCGTAATCTGTGTTATGCGCTTTACATTGTGCTAGCTCACTCTTGACCCCAGTGTGTGCCTTTTGGGTTCACGGTACCTACCACTTCCATCATTCGGATTACGAGCTTCCATGGCCAAGGAGATTACTACTGGCTGTCGCGCATGTAACGTAGATGATCGCGCAGCATTAGCCAGGAACCAGATGAAGACGTCAGTGATGCTGCATAAAGCTCGAAGATAAGTAGTGCACTCCTCCCTTCAGGTAGCTTGCTGTCCATTATTAGACGCCTCGTTCATGGCGACTTGTCCTTTGAGCCTCTCTGAACTGCAGTTGACTGATTTCCTGCCGTCTGGGTTTGGTCGAGACCCAACGCCGTCGCAATGGTTAGATCAACGCTCTGTTCTTTGGCGTTCGCCGCAGGCGCCTTTGCCTCGCCACAATGGCACTTCGACAAATACACACATCCAGGATGGTAGGCATGCTTGTTTCAACTCCAAGGGTTGTGTTGACCACATTGCAGGCCAGAGCCAAGCGTCTATACTCCTCGCCAGCCAGGGAGACCTACCTGGCCCTGGACGTATCCGTACAAGAGCTCACAGGCAGCGAGCACCGCCGCTCCTACTTCAAGTGTAGCCACCACACCATCTGTCACTTCTACTAGCTCTGCTACTGGGACGCTTGGAGCATGCGCCAGCGTAGCCAAACTTGCAGCCTCCTTCACTAGCGCCAGTCCTAAGGCCACACCGACCGTACCTGCAGAGCTAGCCTATGATTGTATCAACAGTGTCCCGTTCAATCAGTCCGCAGCAGCAGCACTTTTAGACTCCATTCGGCCTTACATAGACTGGCAGACAACGATAGAGTATCTCAAGGACCCGCCAGCCGAGTACGCAGCCAAGGTTCAAGCCCCGTACGACTTCTATGCGAATTGGGACAGCATTGTTGCGAAGGTTGCCAGTGGCAGCTATGCCAACGAGTATCAGTTCGGCTTCGACCTCTACAGAGTCTTCCAAAGATCGCACGATGGACACTTTGTCTTCTATCCTGACAGGTAAGTCGTTTACGCAGCATTTAGAACCAGTCTAACGTATGCAGTGTCACGTCTATCTTCTCCTTTGGCCGTACCACTCCACTAGTATCGGTGTCTACAGATGGAGTCAGCATACCAGAAGTATACGTATATGCCGACGTGCTTGCAGCATCTTTCGGTAACACGACTTTCACACCGAGCCCTCTTACCCAGATCGATGGACAAGACAGCACCGAATGGCTTCTGGATTATTCTGAGAATGGCAGCTTGCAAGATCGTGATGCTTTGTGGAATAACATGTTTTACATTTTGGCACAAGTGTCCTTGGGTGCATCGGGCACAGGTACTGGCACATTCTCGGGAGGTGGACGTGGCCGATGGATCTACCCTGGACCAACAACAACGCTGACCTTTGCGAATGGGACCAGCATAACCCTCCAGAACTTTGCACGTGTAATGCAACCCTTTGACAACATCACCAGTGGTGAGGACATCTATCGAACGTTCTTCACCCCTCCCGCGAACCAGATCGAGTCTGCCGAGGAGCTCGCGACCATGACCACATCGTCGACTTCTTCGGCGATCGCTTCGGCCACCTCGAGCACTTCTTCCGCGGCCAGCACTAGCATACCTGCCCCTGGATATCCTTCGCCCATCATTCGTGAGAAGGCCAACACCAATTCTGGCTACTTCCTCAACGGCACAGGTTATGATGATGTAGCAGTGCTCTCCGTGCCTACGTTCGTCGGCACCGGTTCCGACGAGATACCTTTTCAAGCTGTCAACACATACTTGATTGATCGTGCCGTTGCCGCAAACAAGACAAAGCTGATCATCGATGTCTCTGCCAATGGTGGCGGCACGATCTTGCAAGGCTACGATCTGTTCAAGCAACTATTCCCACACATCTTGCCTTATGGTGCAACACGCTTCAGGGCCAATGAAGCGACAGACCTTATTGGGCAGGAAGTCAGCTACTATTCTGGACTTGTCCCGCGTAGCCTGGACACCAATGACACTGTCCAGAACTGGGTATCGTCCTTCTGGAATTACCGTACTGATGCCGACGTTAACTACGCACCTTTCACGTCTTGGGCCGAGAAGTTCGGGCCGCACGCGTATGGCCCAGAACCTGACAACTTCACCAGCATTATCAGATGGAACTTGAGTGATATACTCACGCCAGACAATAGTGGCGGTATCTATGTCAGTGGGTACTTGAACCGCAGCAACATCACCACGCAACCATTTGCAGCCGAAAACATCGTCATTGTCTATGATGGCTACTGCGCATCGACTTGCACTATCTTCTCCGAGCTGATGCGACAACAAGGAGGCGTCAAGACCATTGCGCTCGGTGGCCGACCGAACAAGGACATCATCCAAGCTGTCGGAGGTGTCAAGGGGACGAACGATCTCCCTTATGACTTCATCCTCAGCGGTGCTGAGTTCCCATTTCAGTACCAATATCTACACAACGCCAGCTACTACAACACTACTTCCTTGGCCAACTACAACGACCTTTCGATCCTGCGATCGACTGATTCCGTGGTCAACGCTAGAGATGGCATCAGGCAGGGCGACGCTTCCGAGTTACCGCTGCAGTTCCTCTACGAGCCTGCAGACTGTCGCATCTACTACACTCCTGAGATGGTCGTCGACGAGACGGCGGTGTGGAAAACCGTGGCTGACACTGCTTTCAACGGCGTCAGTCATTGTGTTGCTGGGAACTACACTTCAGCTCCCACAGGATATGGCAAGCGTGGTGTGAGGAAGCAGCATGGTGTGAGGAGGGACATGGATGTCACTGAGCACTATGATGCTATCGAGCGCTTGGCTGGGACGGTTGGCGTCACAAGCGGTGGAGATTCTATCATGATACTATGAGCGTGGACTTACAGATCCGCACGCTTCGTACTGTGGCAAACATCGCAAACGCGCTCCCCCCTCTCCCTGCAGCTTGCTCTCCTAGATCGTCCTGAAATGAGACTGATAGTAAAGGGACCCATCCATACACGTTTCAGCTTGAAAGACATGCGCAGGATAACCTCTTGCGCAAGCAAACACGGTACCGAGCACTTTAGGACCCGTTCATCCCAGGCTCAACCGTCCAAGCATATCACGACTGACATTCGCCTTAGCTTCAGCCTTTTCACCGCAATGAGCGAAACACGAGAGCCACCAACCGCCACCGTACTCGAGGCATCACGCGCAGTGTACCGCGACATCATACAGCAGTTCACAAATGCCACAGCGAATGCGTCGTCTCCACTTCAGGCTCTTCAGGCGCAAATCGACGCAATCTTCAAGCATGGTCCTGATCGAGCTGGAGATATCTACAACGAGCTCGTCGGAGATGCCTGGGGAAATGATACTTTGGTCTTGTGTCCAGTCGAGGACATGCCTGTGGGATGGAGTAGCTGTAGAAATACTGCAACCCTGGTCTCCCTTCTCGCATGTCCTGAACAAAGCCTTGAGCACACAGTGAGGTCGTCGCCAATGTACGGGGAGTCTGCGCCGTTAGGAGAGATTGTCAACACAGAGTCAGCATCTCTGCGGGACGCATATCGCGAAGCTAAAACGGCTGCAGCTAGCGGTAGAACCACAGTCATGGTCGGGACGCTGGAGGATGTGCAGTACCATCGATTGTTGCAACAGAGTGCTTATTTATCCTTTGCGTATTGCTTGGCGCTTGGTATTAGGCCTGAGGGTGCGATTGTATGGCAGTCATGGGCATCTAGACACCATCAATATTGCTTCGACGAATATCTGGCTCGTAGTGGTGCGACCTTGAAGACGTTCGTGGAGATGGATACTTTTGTTGACCAATTCGAGGACCTGGCTCAGCACAAGGTTCGTCATTCGGTCATCGTTGACTGACTGTGAGGAAAAGCGTGCTGACTTGATGAACTCTTAGGGCGTATGGGACGGGAGGTGTAACGACCTATACCGCAAGCTGTTCCATGTCGATATCATGCACGTCTGTGAAACCACAGACGCTCCTCCGATCACGCCGAGGTATGAGCCTTTGGTGATGATACGAGGGTTCAACGATGTACGCATGCAGCACTTGCAAAAGTTCAGGTTCGTTGACCACCTTGACGACGAGGTGTGAGGTTCGTTCTTGCTAAGGTCAACGAGTACCGATAGAAGGAATATGTGCGAGTTGGTGGCAACAGCGGCTAGCAACAGACAGATGTCCCTCTCGTCAAGCGATTACACCTCTGTCTTCTGCCCACGGATGAAGTCTGGGTGCTCATAATTATCTTTGAGGGTGTCCAGCTCGAACACTTGCAGAAATTCAGCTTTACTGGTGTTGCTTGAGCTGTGATAAGGGACGGACGTGGTCTGATGATTTGAGTATCCTAGAGAAGGGCGGCTAGTCCGAGGAGAGGTATGCCAATCGTTAGAGGCTAGACACGTTTTGTAGTATCACTAGCCACGTCAGAGGGACATTGTAGCATCGCATATCATCCCACCTCTGGATCTTCATTCTTGTATCTCTTCGTAGGCTCTCAAGCCGAAATTACTCAACTTCACCAACCCGCTTCCTCGGCTGAGCACCACTCATACCGAACTCAACCCTGGTCTGAGCAAAATGTCTTGGCAGCAAATCCGCACGACTATGATCCGCTCCCGTGATGACAGTGCTGATCGAAGCTCCATGCGTCCCTCTCCAAATCGTGGGAAAGTGGTTGGAGTATGATGCTCTGTTGGCGAGAACAGCATACAAGCCAACGACTACTGCGATGGCTGTGCAGAGGATGCCGATGCCGTAGGCTAATCATAGTTTCCCTGGGATGTAGACGTAAGTTTTCTCGTAGACGGCGAAGGTGCCGTTCACGGGTGGACGTAGAAAAAGTGATGTAGTGTTTGGACTGTGTCGACGTATCAGCGAAGACTTATTTCGCTTTCTTACCTTTTCACCTCAGGGCTTCCGAGCTCATCATGCTGATTGTCATGTTTTGAAAGAGCTCCTCCAATGCATTCTTGAGAGGCACAGCGGGCTCTGTCGATGTCGACGGAAAGAGGGATTCCAGCCCAGCTGCAGCCTCATTGTTAAATTATGTAAGGGCAGGACTAGCATTTGACTTCAGAAAGCTGAGTTCTGGTGTGTCGAGCAAAACCATGCGCACGATACCGGAGTCCATGGCTATCAGGGACTTGTTGCCAGACCAGTAGGTTAGTTGGCTGGCATTGCCGGCCTGGAAGCTGATGGCACCGTTGATAAAATATGTGAGTGTGTCTAAGATGGACTGGAAGGATAGCCGCTGGAAGTCACTCTGGTAGTCATGTGCATTCGTGGCGTTGAGTGTAAAGCTTTCCTCTGGCGACACAGGTGAGCCAGTCGAGGCGTCTATCGTGGCTGTAATATTCTGCACTGCGTCCGCGTAGCTGTAGGTGGTGTTGTAGGTCATATTCCAAAGAGTGCATTGCATGATTGTAGCGTCTTTCGCCATTTCGGCGCCACTGTTACCTTGATGTGGCAGCGCTGCTATGAAAAGACTTGCAGGAGGACCGGTCTCAGAAGGGTTCTCTGGGAATGGGCCAAGATAGCCTGCTCGCAGAGTGTACGTCCTCCCACTTCCAACACCAGTGATTTGGAACGGCAGCTGAGCCCTGGAAGGTCCGTCAATGCCAGGTACCCATGACAGATAGTAGTAAGTCATGGTGTTATTACCGACAGCGTTCGCCTCGGCAGCTTCGGCCACATTATTGGCAATAGCTAGCCGTAGACTGTCGTTGACGTCCTCGCTTCGTAGGCTGGGACCAGAGAAATGGGTAGTCCAAGTAGCGTTGTGTCCATAGGCAGGATATTGCCTTCGCCTGCTGCCACCGCCACATTACGGATGACTTCGTACTGTGGAGCGTTTCACCAGTACCAGGGCCGACCAATAGCATCTGTACCTCCTACGCTAGGCACAATGAACTTCAGGCTATCGTAAGGCGGCCGAAGGAACACTTATCATGTTCGAAGAAAGCGGCGAAGGCTGCGCTGATACTACAGAGATGGTGGCTGGAGCTATGACGGACATGACCGGAAGGGACCTGATGAAGGTCAGCACGCATCAATCAGTGTTTTTAGCCATGTGAGCCTACCATATGATCACAGCCAACAAGAACAACACAGGAAAGTGCACCCATCGCCAAACAGCAAACAACGCCGTAAAACTCCCCGGCATCGGACCAAGGGTATCCCGCAAGATTTGAGGAGTGGTAGGTCCAGTCATTGTGTCCACGCTCACGAACGTGATGTTCCACCAAGACGAAAGCGAGCATTCGGAGAGAGAAGAAACAAGAGAGTCTACCTTACCGCATCGGGCGCGGGAAAGGCATTCGCCGCCGGCCATGTCATGTAGCACGGAAAGGGGAAGCACAAGGCTGTGAACGAGGCTGAAGAGTCGAGGCCGGAAACCTGCATATATAGCTGCACATGTTGGTAGCAGTGGCGGATTTAAACTGAGCCTTGTCTCTGAACGAGGTCCAAGTCAACATGCTACGCAACGATACACCGCTGGATGATGGATCGAGAAGGTTACCACGATTCGCCGAGTTTTCCTGGAGAAGATCCGGCTCGAGTGCTGGAGTGCGGTGGGTCATACGCTCATCGAGCTGGGGGGAAAAAAGCGAAGAAAGGAACGAGACGGATGCAAGCTCGCAGCCAATCAGCGCAGCAGTACGCGTGAGATGAAAATGAGGTGCTTGTTTGAGGAGTCCGCCTGACGGCAGCGGCCAGGCTTCGAGAACTGTATGTGTGTATATACGAAGACTACGTATCTCTAGGTAGGCCATCCCAAGCGCTTTTTGAAGGGAGTGTTTCTCCCTCTTCCTTCCCTAGCCTCGCCCATGCACCCATAACGCCACGCTCTCCAAGCAGAAAAGGTAAACCAACGATAGGCCAGCTCGTTCCAATCGCGCGCAGCATGGCACGAAGGCATCTAAGACGCATGTGCCGCGTACAAGCAGCTGCTGTTCCCTCCAACTGCCTGCCTCCACACCCCCTTCCCAGCCTCACGCAAGACGAGAACCACGGCCTCATGTTCCTACTAACCCTTATTCCTGCTCGGCAGGCTCCTCCCCAACCCTCCTCGTAAGATAAGCCGCCACCAACGCCGCCAACCCTCCGAACCTCAAAACCCACGCCACACTATCATCCTGCCCCTCCCCCCTCGGCTTCTGCAACAGCTTAAAAATAACACTACTCCCCAACGTAGCAATAACCTGCGGCGCCGCAATAGCAACATTATGGATCCCCAATACCACCCCGGCTTGGTCAGCCCCATCGCTCGGATCATCCCCGGAAGCCAACATTTCCCCTTCGGCGGTCGGAGGGGCCGGGATATCGCCGCGACGGATGGCGTCGCGTTTGCTGATCTCGGCCGCGATGAGGGCGTAGGGGGCCCAGTTCGTCATGGCCCAGGGAATCCCGATGAGTGCGACGAGGATGGTGGCGCCGCGGGTGTCTTTGACTGAGAACGTCATCCACATTAAGAGGGCGAAGATGATGTGACTTAGCATCCAGGCGCGGCGGAGCGTGAGCCATGGGATTTCCGTGCTGGTGGGGATGTACTTCCGCCAGCCTGTCGTTTTGCTTTTCTGGCTCTCGCTCGCGTCGTCCCGCTCGACCTTGGGCTTTCTAGACCGTTGGCGTGCGAAGAAGCCTCCGCCTGCTGTGGGTGGTCCACCGGGTGTATGCGGTGTCATGGGCGTGGCGGCGAAGCGCCCCTTAGGCAGCATGAAGTAGCCTCCACCGGGCGTCGCGGGCGTACTAGGTCCGGGAGTGAATGGCGTGGTAGGATCCGGTGACGGAGGTTGGAAGGAGCTGACTATGATGAACGGGAGGATGATGGAGGCGGAGAAAGTGGTGAAGGCGAAGATGAGGAGGGCGAAGGTTCCTTGTCGGGTGGCGCGTTCCCATAGTTGGAGTTCCTCGTCTGGGGAGAGGTTTGGATGTTCCTCTAGGTAGTGATTGGCGTAGATTTCGCCGATGTAGGTTGTGATGTAGAAGAGGAACGGGAACCAGCCGATCCAAGCGAAGAATTGGACTTGGCAGACGCGGCTGATCTGAGTGGGTAGTTTCTTGATGGATTGGAAGAGGCCACGGAAGAACGAAATGACTCCATCTGCTTCGGCGCCTGGGTCGCCGTCTCTGCTCGGGTCGCGCTCTTTGATGCTGATGCAGGATACCGCCAGTGTGCTAGCCATAGCAAGTGAGGCAATCACGCAAAGGACCTTGAATTGTGAATCGCCGAAGAACCACAGGTACTTTGGCAGGTCGACATAGCCAAAGAGGTAGCCCACAATATTTCCCACGCCACTCATCCGCGAAGCCCATGCATTGGCGCTATCTTGCTGATGCGTAGGCGCATTATCCACGATGAAAGCTCGAACACCAGCTTGGATGACATTGATAGAGAAATCCAAGATGTATATCATGAGCACAGCGAAGACGATAGATCCGGTGGCGATAGCCTTCGAGTCCCAGGGCTGCCCAAACACATTATGGCCGATGACGCCTATTAATTCGCGTGTCCATGCCAAAGCCATGAGGGAGAGGATTGTGGCCGCCGCTCCACCGATCATGAACGGGCGACGTTTGCCGAAACTCCATCGGCAGCGATCCGACTTGATGCCTACGTATGGCTGAACGAGAGTACCGGACAGCGGACCGGCGATCCAGACGAATGCGAGGAGGGATTTGGAGATGCCCAGGCTGAGGAGGTAGGGCGAGCCGTTGGAGAGTTCGACGGACCAGGCTATTTGTAGGCTGAAATACATTTTGTCAGTAGGTTGTTGGATTTGGTTGTATTGTCATGTGCACATTGCTTACCCGCCAAGCGCAGATGTGAGTAGAAGCAGATACCACGAGCTCTTCGTCTCCTGCGTATGGTCTTCTACACCGGAGTACTCGCTGAAGCCCGGGCTGAAGGGGCCAGCAGAAGTGGAAGGTCTACTCTCCACCTCCTCCGCCCCTCCTCCGCCAAGAAGCGGTGAAGACTCGTTGATACTGCCTTTGCCCTCGGACACTCTCCGTAACCGACTTTTGCGGTCACCACTTGTTGTTTGGCCATCGCTGAGGTTGTGCTGGAGGGCCTGGGTGGCTATTGAGACTCGGGGGTCGTGGCGGAAGGAGACGTGTTTGGGTGGCTGTGCTCGTTGGGTGTTGGGGCTGGTCGGTTGATGTTGTTGTTGGTTTGGCTGTGAGGGTGGTCGTGAGCCCTGTGAGGCAGGGCGGTCGGTCATTGTGTCGTATCGTCGGCGGGTGGAGGAGGAACAGGAAGCAGGAAGCAAGAAGCAAGAAGCGGTCAGAAGGAGGTGTATCAGGAGTAAGCCAACGACCCGGCTCGCATATCGACACGACTTCTATACACTACAAGGACATGTAGGTGGAGAGCAGGATATGGATGCAAGGTGGTGAAGGCGAAGACTGGAGAAAGATATCTGTTCAGCAGTAGCGTCACGAGGCGCATGGGCCTAGCGCTGCGGCAACTGGTATTAGTGCCTCCCGTCAACTTTCAACTTTTTCCAGGGTTCGACATTGAAGTCTCTTGAGCCGCCGGAACAGTGCAGATGTCAGATGCAGAGTTGTCGTCACACGTGCTCAAGCCACTTTGCAAGCCACTTTGCATATCCCGCTTGACCGCTTGTCTCTGCTCTACCATACAATGATAAAAAGATCAGCCGCTGGTCTTTCCTCATTGACGTACTGTAGCCCGCCTGTCTTGTCTTGTCTTGTCTTGTCTTTCCCGCACCTTAGCGCCATCGCGATCACGTGTTAGTAATGTGGTCAGCCGCTAGTGGTTGAGCCGCAAGGAGCTACGGAGGTAGAGTAAATCCGACGCCGATTCGAGGTTGCCTGTTGCCGACGAGGTAGTACTAGTAGAGCTACGTAAGGTGACGATTGTGTTACTTGCACTACTTTGCTCAACTCAGACCACCAGTAGCCTCTATAACTTATTGTGACGGTCCGACAGTGAAGAGAGCAGAAGGAACTACACAGCGTGACGACAAGATCCCTGCCAACGACTACAGATCCGTTCCAGGCAGACCAGGCGCATCCCATACCACCAACCCACCGAAGAACAGCTAGGCATCTGAACAAGACTAGCGAATACTGGCTACAACAGGAGTAACGCACACAAAGGACTCTAGAAGAAGAAACTCTCCATAGCATGCGATAACACCCACCCCCACCAAACCCACCCACCATGGGCTTCAACTCCCTCCTCTACCACACCACCACCCTCGCCCTCCGCCAAACAACCGACAGCGACGACCCCGACGATGCCGAAGCCGGCCAGAAAGAAATCTACTCCTCCTGGGCTTTGCTAATCCTCATCACCCTTCTCATCATCGCCTTCTTCACAAGCTATGTCCTGCAATCCAAGAAGATCCAGGCCGTGCACGAGACGGTCATCAGTATTTTCGCCGGGATGGTGATAGGGTTGATTTTGAGATTGACGGCGGTGACGAGCGTGTTGGATGCTGTGAGCTTTAATTACCAGTTCTTCTTTAATTTGTTGTTGCCGCCGATTATTTTGGCGAGTGGGTATGAGTTGCATCAGGTGAGTGGAGGGTGTTGAGGGTTGGTGGGGTGTCGGGATTTATTTGCTGATTTTGTGATGTGGTAGGGCAATTTCTTCCGCAATATTGGGACGATCCTTACTTTTGCGTTTGCTGGGACGTTCATCTCGGCTCTGGTCTTGGCTTGTGTGCAATGGCTCTGGACGCGGATACCGCTGGAGGGTCTGGATATCTCTTTCGTGGATGCCATGTCTGTAGGAGCTACTCTGTCGGCTACGGATCCTGTGACCATTCTGGCCATCTTCAACACGTACAAAGTTGACCCGAAACTGTACACGATCATCTTCGGCGAGTCGATCTTAAATGACGCTATTGCCATTGTGCTGTTCGAGACCGCGCAGAAGTACAGAGAAGGAGCTTCGGAGGGCAAGCTTTCACCACTTGCACTACTCGAGTCAATAGGCGCTTTCTTGCTCGTCTTCTTCGGATCGCTGGTCATTGGGTTGATCATCGGCTTGGCGACAGCATTACTTCTAAAGCAAACGCACGTCAGGAGAGAGCCGAAGATCGAGAGCTGTTTGATCATCTTGATTGCATATGCTTCCTACTTCTTCGCCAACGCCATCCACATGAGCGGTAAGCCAAGCACTGAACTCCTACATAACATCCACTAACAACCTCAGGCATCGTCTCCCTCCTCTTCTGTGGCATCTGCCTCAAACACTACGCCTACCACAACATGTCCCGCCGCACCCAACTGACCACCAAATTCCTCTTCTCCACCACTGCCCAGCTCTCCGAGAATTTCATCTTCATCTATCTAGGCCTGTCGCTCTTCACCGAAGCCGGACTGGAGTACAAACCCCTCTTTATCTTGGTAACGGTCATAGGCATCTGTCTAGCAAGATGGTGCGCCGTCTTCCCTCTCAGCGCCCTCGTGAACTGGTTCATACGCTATCGGGCTAAGCGGAAGGGACTTGAGGTCGCAGAGGAGATACCGAGGAATTGGCAGATTCTGATCTTCTGGGCCGGACTGCGCGGGGCGGTCGGCGTGGCGCTCGCAGCTGGATTGGCCGGCCCAAACGCTTTCGCCCTACGAGCTACAGTACTCGTCGTGGTGGTCCTGACCGTCATCATCTTCGGCGGCACCACGGCCCGCATGCTCGAGATCCTGAATATCCGCACCGGCGTGGTGGAGGAAATCGACAGCGACGACGAGTTCGACATCGAGCCCGTGCGAATCAACACCAGTCATCACGCCAGCAACGGCTCCTACGCTCGAAGAAACGGCAAAGGATTCGGTCATACGCCGAATAAACTTAGCGGGAATGGAGTAATCGGGTTGGATGATGTGGGTGCGAGGCGCGAGAGGGCGGGGACGTCGTATAGCACCAGTAATTCTCACTCGCCGCCTACACCGCCTGAATTCGGAAGGAGAAATAGCTCACGAGCGCGAAACGGCGACGCTCAGAGCGCAGCTGAGCAGGGCCTTCTCGACCCAGAGGATTTCAGCACGATGAATAGTGATGACAACGACGACGAAGATCTGGACTTACCGCCCGCGGCGCGACGGTCGCCCTCCCGACGGCAGCTGGACCCGAATAATCCTTATCCTCTTTCCGGGTCTCGGGATGCGGAGACGGGGGATCTGGGAGGGCAGGGCACGCAGCCGTTGAGTACAAGGGCAGCGTTGAGTCAGATGTGGAATGCTACGTCCGAGGATGCGGGGAATTTGTTTAATAAGCTCGACGAGAGCTTTTTGAAGCCGCATTTGCTGCTTGATCCTGGGGGTGGTGGTGGGAGTGGGAGCGCTGGGAAAGGGGGTGGGCATGGAGGGGTCTAGACATGGGCTTAGGGAGAATCTTGTATTAGGTATGGTTGTCCTTTGTTGGATACTTGCGGTGACTTCGGGCGTGATTGCAAGACGCGCGCGTTGCTTCACGTGCTCGCCCTTTTCCCCTTGATCAGTTCCCTCCACTCGCCCTCCAACATCGAAAGCACCACGACCCCCTCCCACCTCCCCTGATACCACAGACATTCCCGCCACCGGCCCTCTTCCGTGAACTGCAGTCGTCTATAAAGCCGTATAGCTCCCTCGTTATGAGTGAAAGCTCCTATGCCCACGCGATGCAGACCAGCCGTGAGGAAAGACCATTGCAGACACCAGTTTATGGCCTCTGTGCCGTAGCCTTGGCCGTGGTAGGGGGTGCAGAGTGTGATACCGATTTCTGCCGATCGGTGATGGGCGTGGCGCATGGGACCGTGAAAGAGAAGGAGGAGACCTATGGGCGTTGGTTTTGGTCCTGGTGGCGATTGCTCCTCCGTCTTCTTGTTGCCTCCCTCTACAGCAGCCGATGTCGTCGGGACGCTGATAGCGGTTCCGCCCGCCTCGACGGATCTATCATCTTTGACGGGTAGACAGACAACGACGTTGAGGAGACAGTTCTCGGCGATGGATTTGAAGGACTCTTTCACGTCTTTCCGGGCCTGGGGTACGTGGAGGACTGGGTTGGTCTGGGATATTAAGATGGGGACTTGGTGGATCTCGCGCAGGGCCCATTCTTCGTCTTCTTCGGGCTCGAGGGCGCGGTAGATTAGTCTTTCGGAGGCGAAAGGGTTGGCCATTTTTATTTCTAGCCTTGTGATTGACTTTCTGAAGCTCTTGCAAGCGGTTTGAATGCTTTATAGAGAGATCCCCTACTGCTGGAGGTCGGCATTGTACCTTCCTTATCGGGACACCGCACGCTTTTGAATTGACGCTCGGAACTGAGAGGACTTCGGTGTTCGCACGAGAGGAGTTGGGAATATTGAGATCGCGAGGGCGAGAGGTATTGTAAGAATTGTCTGGCAAGCTATAGAAATCTACTTTGCAGCCATTCAACGATCGTACAACCACTTTCGCGAGGTTCCTCAAGCACACACCAATGCGACGCCTCTACTTCCTTGACAGTCATGTCGGACAGCAGTCCCATTACCTGTAGGCCTTGCGCAGCCGCAGCCGGCGCCAGTGGGTCGTGTGTCGCGGCTACAAAATGATATGGCAGGCTCAGCTTCTGCCACCCTGATCCCAATGCTGCCTTGTCTGCCTCGAGGGCAAGGTTTGCGACAAGGGCCTTGTACCACATCAAAGGTGCGGTCCATCCATCACGCTTCAATCGCGAGATCTATGCCTCACGGAACTGCGGTTCTCGAGCATAAGGCGGTACCTCCGCTTCAGCATTACTTACATCCTCCAACCACTTCTCAATGCCACCTTCGATGCATAGCACTTCCTTCATCCTCGGTCCGCCACCATGAAGCACCGTGAAGATCTGCTCCAGATGCGAGTCTATCATCGCAGCACCTTCGTCAGAAGTAAACAGTGGGAGGTACCAGCTTGAGCAGTACCCTTGGTACTGCTCCTGCATAGCTTTGACTTGCTCAAAGCTGAACGGGTAAGTTGAGGGGGTATGAACGCTGTACCCAGTGTGATAAGTCCAGCAACACGATCAGGATGGTAAGTGCAGAGTTCACTCGCTAGCATGGCGCCGAAGTCGTGGCCGAGGATTATGACTTTGCTCAAATGCTCGCGGTCAAGCAGCGCCAGGACTTGAAGGCAGATTGATGGGAGGCCGTAATAGTGTAGATCCGTTGGCTTGTCTGTGTCGCCGTAGCCTAACAGATCTGGTGCCAAGACGCCATAGCAGCTGGCAGAAGGCGCGTGAAAACGAGACTGGCCCACAAAGATGCAGTGTCCGGACAGCCGTGGAACAAGAGGATAGTGGGTAGACCAATTTTGGGCCCGGAGGTATGATACACGTACTTCAGTCCATCATCCACAGTAAGACTCTTGCGGGCTAGACCGTCCATCTTGCTGTTGTCAACTGCCAACTTCACGGTCAGTAGTCAAAAGTGGCAGCGGAGACTATATGTACAGCTGGAGCTGAGCCAAGATAGATTCGAGAGGATCGTCGCTTTCACTTATAGGAGAACTCGCTTGCCATACGCGCTATGGTACGTGACGAAAGCTGAGAGGTGTAAGGCTGAGATTTTCGCTTTCGGACGATGTGTCGTCAGCCAGTGTTGTCCAATCAGCCCGATTCCAGATCGATGCGACTGGTGTCGCTGACCTTGTGAATTTCGGAATAAGTGAGAAGCTGGTGAACGAGCAGTGCTGGGCCACTTGCAAGATAGTGTGGTTGCTCTGCGAAGCCGGACCCCGTAGCAAAAGAGACTTTAAGTCAATATGCTGGAGAGTAACTCTCGTCCAAATAGAACGCCACGCTAATGTACTGCTCTTCCTTCCCTCCATGCATGTATCTTCCCATATTCCCTCGTACTCTCTACATTTATCGTCCCGACATATTTACCCATAACGCCACGTAGATATACATACATACTGTGTCCGGATCATTCGACCTCTCACACATCCTACACCCCCAATTTTCTATCACTCCTTTCCAACAGCACTCTTCTCCGGCACACGACCAGGGCTAGCAGGAAATGCTCCAGGCATACCCGGCATAGCCCCTTTCGCCACATCGAGATGTGCTTGCGCCTTGACAATAGATTCGGGAATGACTGGTGCCGTCTCATCCTCTTTGCTCTCATCTCGCTCAGCTCCCGCCCCCGCAAACTTCGGCGTTAGCAGAGGTGGATATTCCGAGTCCTCCGACGACTTCTTCGAACTGTCCTCCTCGTTCTGCTCCTTTGCTTGCTTGACCAAAGCCGCCAAGCCTCCGCCTCCAGATCTTCCAGTAAGCCTATTCTTACCCGCAACTAGACCAGCCGCGAGTCGGTTGGCGGCCTCGCTGGCGACCTCTTTGCTCGAATCAAGGATATTGCTATGGGAGCGCAGATCCTCTCTATGTTCGACCCGGCGATTGAGGTACATCGATGCGTTTTCGGCGCCGCGCTGGCTCATGATCCGGTTGATCTCTTCCTGGTAGGCGTGCTCGTAGATGTTCATCTCGACTTCCGGCGGACTTTCGCTGACAATTTGCTGGCGGGTGCTGTCTCGATCTTGATCCGGGTCTTGGTCTGCGTTTGCGCCAATGGAGAGGTATAGGGTATCTTCGAGCGGATCATGAGCGTGACCCTTCTCATGGTCGTCGACTGTGAATGAGCGAGGCATGGACGGGTGCGACGTCGTTGCTGCTCCTCCAGTGGTAGTTTGTCGATGTAGTGCAGGGTCCGTGCCATGGTGTGGATGATGTCTGGCGGTCTCTTCGCGCTGCCGTCGTACTGCTTCGGTCTCGTACCGTCGGAGTTGTGGCTGTGAGCCAGCGTTCACCTCTGCGTCATCTTCGTGTGCTTGGTCTGGATCATGCAGAAGCTTGTTCGTCTTGTCGTCCGCTTCAGCGTCTCGAATTTCACCAGCAGTGACTAGAGTCGCGTCCATCGGCTTTCGGTCATGGGGGTCGGTGCTTTTACTCCCGCTACCACGCATTGCCGCAGGAGGCGCGACAAGTTTACTTTCCCTGCCAAACAGTCCTTGGAACGAGCTCGGTCGCTTGCGGTGCAAAAGTCGCTTGAAGCGCTTCACTGCTCTCATGACAACCATTAGGGAAGCCATGTTTCCGGTGATGGCATTGTCCATCTCGGCTTCAGTAGGCGGCTCAACAAGATCGGCGCAATTATCCTCAGCTGACAATAACGGGTCCTCGCCGTCCTGTGTGACCCATGGATGGCTCTGTACCACGGTCAGCAAAGATAAGAGCATGCTCAATGTCCCAGCCTACCCTAATGTGTGACATAGCGATCCTCTTCTCTGGATCCTTCTCCAGCATTCTGACCATCAGGTCCTTGAAATTGTCGTCCCTTTCATCCTCAAGTTGAAGCTCATCGCCGCGAATGCTGTCGTACAATTCCAGCATCCCACCCTTCTCGAATGGGATATGCCCGTAGCGCAAACAATACAGCGTGACACCCATGCTCCAAATGTCCGCGGCCTTGCCATTCACGGTGCCATGTCGCGCGACACACAGTTCTGGCGGCATGAACGCGGGCGATCCAGCCGACTTTGCAGTAGCCATGTCTGAATCCTTCTCGAACATCTCACTGACACCGAAGTCGACAATTTTGAGGACATCGCCGTTCGTGATCAGGCAATTGTCGGGCTTGATATCTCGGTGGATGATACCTTGGGTGTGCAGGTACTCGATGCCAAGAATCATGTCGCGGAACCAACACCGACATGCCTCGTCTTCATATGGTGCCGCCCGCTCGTCCAGGCCGACCTTCATCACAACGCCTTTCTTGCACATTTCCAGTACCATGTACAGACTGTCCTCTTGAGGATCGTCGAGCACTTCGATCAGGTTGACCAGATTGTTATGGTTGAGCTTCTTCATAATGGCGATTTCTTCCTTGATCAAGCTCAAGCTGTTGTTCTCCGTCCCAACCTTCTCACTTGATGACTGACGGTGTAGTGGAGAATTGAAGCCAAGCCCAGCGGCTAAATGACCTGGTCGCCGCTGCTGATTTGGCTTGCGCAGAAGGTTCGACTGCGCTCGCTTCCGTAGTCGTGACTTTGAGAACTCCTTGACAGCATACTCGGCGCCAAATTGATCATGAGCAAGATGTACAGCCCCGAAGCTCCCTCGGCCGATTTCCTGCTTGATGATGTATTGATTTATTCGATGCACCGCAGAGCCATCGTCGTCGCTGCTGCCGTAATGCGATCGCGCATTCAGCGTCTCTTTCACCGCTTTACCCCGGGAAGGCACGCGCTTGTGGTGTCGGATAGGTGAATGGCGAGCTGACATGGCAGGTGCGCTCATTTGTTTGACCGGGGAAGATCTGATGGTGGATCCATCATCGGGAACATTAATGCTGATGCCGTGACTCGAGCCTGTGCCCGCCGTGGTCTCAGCCTCGGAATGTGCTCGAGGGTGTCCATGTGTAGTTGCAGGCGTCTGCTCGGCAACGTGCGGGTTGTGATCGTCTTCAGCCATTGCTATCGCTGGTCTTCGGCTGTCGGCGTGGTCTTTTTGCTTCGCGCATGTCTCAGAGACTGATGTGATGCAGTATCGATGCAGACCTTTCCTCCTACCCCTGTTCTATTCACTACTGTGCCGTATGCTCCTTCTTCCCGTCTCAGCCTTCTGCGCCCTTCTCGCCCTGCATGAGTGCAATAAGAGCAGGAATCCAATTGCGAAGATTGACAACTTCAAACCGGCCTCATGCAACCCACCTGTCAAGCTTGTCAAGGACCCAACGCCGGCCCGGTGAGAGCTTGAGCTGCAGCCGGCACGGGGGTGACATCCTTCTCAGCCAATTGTTCAACTATTCTGACCATTAATCAAGCCACTATTACCGGCTTGAACTAGGGTACCACGTTGTCGGCCTACGCAATTCCGAGACTGACATTCATTGACCGAGCACGGCACGTGTCAAGACCGGCAGCAGCGTGCTTGCCTCGTCTCGCTTATTGTTTCCACAAGCTACACTGCATGGCTTGAGGCGCCAGCAAGAATTGGACGACTGGTCCTCTCACGGTGGCGAACAATGTCGGTATACTCCTTCTACATTTTTGATCGGCACAGTGAGTCTAGCAAGCCACCACACTCTAATACACTTCACTAAAGGTTAACAGCCGAATGCATCTACTCCAAGCGCTTCACCGCTGCCAACAATACGCAATCAAGTCGAGGTTCGACACTACAGAATGGCGATGTGCCAGCATCCCTGCGCAAGGCCTCGAAAGACCTCGACGAGACCAAGCTGATCTTCGGGACGATCTTTTCCCTGAGGCGCATGGCTAAGCAGCTCGGAGGCGCCGACGACCAATTTTTATCATACCGTACTTGACCAAGAAACAGGATGGGTGGCGACGAAGACTAACGAATACCAGGAACCGGAGAATACAAACTCCACTACTTCGAAACACCGACCCAACTCAAGTTCGTGATGCTCACGGACCCTAGAGTCGGCAATATGCGGACGGTGCTGCATCAGATATGGGCCACACTTTTCGTCGAGTACGTGGTCAAGTCGCCATTGGCGCCTGCTGAGCATACAGGAGGTAAGGGTGTGGCGAATGAATTGTTCGAGGGTGGGCTGGAGAGATTCATGGTAAGCATGGGCCTACTGCCGAGATGAAGACTGCCGTTTGCTTACGTCCGCCTCGAAGGACGCCGTTTTTCGGCCGCCACAGTAAAACTGATTCAAGTGATACCCGAAGAGATGATTGCTGCAATGTATAAATGATGATCAGGATCGTCTACTACGGTCATCGAGCAGAAGCAGGCAGAAGGTGTCACATGTGCTCACCACGGGGATCGCGTTCTGTCGATCTTGATATGACTCCAGAATGCTTGTACGAGATCATTCTAATCTGCCATGCTTTATACTATGCTACGCTTGTACGCTACAATGCTATGCCAGTATCCCACCAATGCTTACCCGTTCGCCACCAGAACAGTCCATGCCACCAGCAGAAGAACTGATCATCCACCGCCCCGAATCCTAGCCCGCGCAGCACGCTGAACGGCAGAGGCTCAAACAGCCAAACACCACCTTGAGCAAAGTCATCTACAAGAAGCGGAGCTGTGTAATACAACCATACATGCACCAGCGCGAAGTTCGCGGCCTGCTTAATCAGTTTCGGACATTTCTCCAAAATGCCCGCGGTCCTGAGCTGGTGTGTTGCGACAGTTTGTGCCATAATGCCCACTGCCTGCAGTAGGAAAAACCTCATCGGTCCGAGCAACGGCCTTGTATCACCAAGCTGGGTGTAACTCCCACAAGCATGCACGCACCCTGACAAGAAGAAAGCAATGCACAACGACACCAGTCTCCCTTTCGTCGACTTCTTTTCGATGCCAGTGGCAGCCAGTATAGCAGTGGCAGGTGCCTCGAATCCATATCTGAACGTCTGATGCCACCACCCTCCCCACCATCCTGCCAGTCCCTTATCGAGGATCATGGCGTAAGAGCCGAACATATCCGCGGGATTCATCCAGGCTTCGCCGCGTAAACCTAGCACTTTTGATCCGAGAAGACAGCTAAAGAAGAGAGGGCCGAGCTTGAAGATTGAGTACAAGGCTGTGTAGATTCCTGTCAGGCTGAGGAGGAGGCGGAAGGACTTGGTTAGAAAGTGTGAGTTCTGGATGATCTGCGGAAGGTGGGATGGCGCTGAAGCTGTAGTGTACCCGATGAAGTATGGGTCCCGGTGCATCAACGTCAACGTGAAATCAAGGATGAAGTAGGTTGATGTGAGACTGATCAGGCAATCTCGGAGTAGCTCTGCGCGTGTGAAGAAGCGGCGAATACCGGTTCGACTTTTGGTATAGCGGGAATCGTTTGTGGTGTTGTCTGTGTTAGAATTATCGCCGAGTTGAGTCTGTGCCCATTGTGGTGGTGGTGGAATGCCTGAAGTTTGCCAATTCCAACCTACACCTCGAAAGCTGCAGAAGCAGTCGGCTACCCAGTCGAGACGTGCTATGAGAGGTCCGGATGGGTATTCTTGCCAGTAGAGCTCATTACGGCTCTCATTGTGCTTGCCGTCAGAGCTGCCGTCAGAGCCCTGGGCGGTGGGCCGTCTTTGCCGTGCGTTGAGTTCCTTCTGTTCAATGGTTGATGCACTGCTATTCGTCTCGGTGTTTGCAGCCCGTTCCGTCGTGTCCGAACGACGCTCAATTCGCTTGAAGTCCCTCTGACAATCGTTCGCTATCATGATTGCAGCCACCCACAGAGTACCCCAGAATGATAGCAGGCCCACGCCGAATGCAGACGCACAGTATCGAGCTCGATTCGTTGCTATACACCAGCCTTGGAACAGACACAGAAAAGCGAAGACTGGCCATCGTGCCCACTGCAGCCAAGGAGATTTCCGGTGGTCGATGAGAAGGTAGCCGATGATGACTGCAGCACCGACAGTCGCCCAAGGATAGATAAACGGATATGCTTTGCCATTATTGATCAGATCGAAGTAGACTTGGTCGTAATAGAGAACAGCCTCACGTGGCGTGCGAAGGCCTGGAGGTAGCATCGTGGTATCGTCCAGGGTTTGTTTCACAATTCCATAAGGCTCGCCGTTCTGGCTAGATCACACGGCCTGTAGCGTGATTAGTCCTGCCTCTGTCGTTTCGTGGCCTCAAGACATAATGGACACTCACCTTGAGAAAAGGAAGAAGGGCGCTGTACGCCACAGTAAGAACATACATGATGACGAGAGGCGTCGCGCTAGTGCAGCGCTAAGCCACAGGTTTAATTTTTGGTTTAAGCACGACCATTTCTTCGTAGGGCGGGCTCGACATCACTGGGTGCGTGATTGAAGGCTACTTCAAAAAGTACATAATACAACTCACTGTGCGCGGAGGAGCGCCAACACCGCCGTCATGGTCAACATTACGGAAAAGATCAAGGAGATCGAGGATGAGATGAAGAGGACGCAGAGTATGAGCGCTGAAAATCATGCTTGAAGTGGTGAAGACTGACTATTTAAAGAGAACAAGGCTACTGGTAGGCTACCAACTTGATCGGTTGTGGTTGATTCCGCTGATGCTGGGCAGAGTATCATCTGGGACTTCTCAAAGGGTAAAAGTGTCAATCCTTACTTGTACACAGCCGTCGCTGACAGGCTCCCAGCAAGCTTGCTCGACTCCGTGCTCAACTACTCGAACCTGGACCCGGCGCCGGGGCAGCTGCAGGGACTGGCTTCGATGTATCGAAATCTGGTGACGCTCGGATAGCGCTGGTCGGGTTTCCGTCAGTCGGCAAGTCGACATTCTTATCAAAAGTGACCAAGACGAAATCTGAAGTCGCCGCATACTCTTTCACGACTTTGACCGCCATACCTGGAGTGCTGGAGTATGGCGGTGCAGAAATTCAGGTCCTCGATCTACCTGGTATCATCGAAGGTGCTGCTGAAGGCAAAGGTCGAGGTCGCCAAGTCATCTCGGCCGCAAAGACAAGCGACATGATTTTGATGATTCTGGACGCTACGAAAAGAGCCGAGCAGCGTGCTCTTCTCGAGGCTGAACTAGAGGCTGTCGGGATTCGGCTGAACCAAGATCCGCCAAATATCTACCTCAAGCAGAAGAAAGCTGGTGGTATGAAGATCACGTTCTCCTCGCCACCTAAGAGCCTGGACGAGAAGATGTTGTACAACATTCTTCGTGACTATCGAATACTGAACTGTGAGGTGTTGGTGAGAGACGAGAATGGTATGCTTCACTCCTTCATGTCGTTGCATCTATACTAACATACGCCCAGCGACCATCGACCAATTCATCGACGTGATCATGAAGGATCACCGAACATACATCAAATGCCTCTACGTATACAACAAAGTCGACTCTATCTCGCTCGAGCATCTGAATAGCCTGGCGCATGAAGACAACACAGCAGTGATGTCTTGCGAGCTGGATCTCGGAATCACAGACGTGGTCGATCGATGTTGGGACGAGCTGCGCCTGATCAGAGTCTACACCAAACGTAAAGGCATCGATCCAGACTTCAGCGAGGCTCTGATTGTGCGGCACAACAGCTCGATTGAGGACGTGTGCGATCACATTCATCGCACACTCAAGGACAGCTTCAAGTATGCACTCGTGTGGGGTGCGAGTGCAAGGCATGTGCCGCAGAGGGTTGGATTAAGTCATGTTGTATCGGATGAGGACGTTGTCAGTATCGTGGGCACCAAGAGCGGCTTATCTACAAAATAAACTAACGTCTGTCGTGGCTAAGCAATTGCTATTGCAGCCTCTCATGGCATGGCTCGGGTTGCTCTTAAAGTTAGTTTTCAATGGCCGCACCTTTAGAAGACTACGATCACTTTGCAAATCAACCATCTCTGGAAGCCACTTTACATCCCTGACCATAACGTGGAGTATATCCACTTGTGTATATGAAACATGACCATTTGTTCGTGTGAAGTATATCCACTTTTGTGTGCTAGCATTTCACCAATCGCCCATTCGAGATTTCACACAATCTCCTTCTTCTCGCCAGCCTCATCATCTGAGCCGTGAGCTTTCTCGATGTCGTGACCGGCACGACCGCCACCTGGTGCCACCACAGAGCTGCGTCTACGAGCCACCTGTACGTTGCCTGTCAGTAATTGCTGGATGAATAAGTGATGGCACTCTTTCGAAAACTCACATCTCGTGCTTCCTCTGTATCGTCCCACGGAATGAGAAGTTCTCCCTTCTTTCCGTAGCGGTGAGGTTGCTCTCGTGCAACTTTGACCACGTCGAGGGCACCACGAAGTCCGTGAACCTTGTGGAAGATCTGTGATGACCGGATCAGCATAATTCGGACCATCTCTGCTTGGTTGTGGATTTGATGCTATGCTTACCTCGTCCATCTCCTCCAAACTTCGGTAGGCGGTCTCTGGGAAGAAAAAGTACACACAAGGCACCATAAAGGCGTTTATGGCCATGAAAACGATGTAGGTCTTGTATCCGATCGAGTTGAAGGCGACTGGGGTGACCATGACGACCATGAAATTGAATATCCAGTTTGCGGTGGTTGAAATGGCATTGGCTGGAGCACGGATATCGAGTGATACGATCTCAGCAGGGTATCTATGGACACGCATGTCAGCACAAACTCATGTTCCCTCCCCCGTGGGTGCATAAGATGACTTACAGCCATGTCATTCCGAGCCAACCGACCGCGAAGAACGAGTTGAAAACGAAGAGGAAGACAGCTGCGCCGATACCAGTACTGCTCCCTTTGACTGAAGTGGTTCCAGCCAGTACAGCCATCGACAAAGCCTGGCCGGCGGCGCCGAACAGCATGAGTTTCCGCCGTCCGAAGCGTTCGATGGTGAAGATGGCGATGAATGATGCGAAGAAGTACTCCGTGCCGTTGAGCGCAGCTAGCAGTCGACTGAGGAACGGAGAAAGGCCGATGTTGTTCTCGAAGATGGTGGCTGCGTAATATGTGATGATATTAATTCCACTGATTTGTTGGAACATCTGATTGACATAGGCAAGGATCGTGCGGTGTAGGTTGCGGTTTCGGTTCGTTTTGAAGACATCAGAAAAGCTGCCCCTTGCCATTTCGAAGACAGTATCTTTGACGGCCCTGAATTCGTCCTGAACACTTTGGTCTTCTTCTGGGAGGTCAGAGAGAGCAGCAAGCACTTGCAGCGCTTCGGCATCTCTGCCCTTCAGTGCTAGCCAACGCGGCGATCTGGGGTGCTCTTCGTCAGTAAATCAGGCTCGCTTCTTCCAGAACTCGGAGTTGAGAGCTTACTCGGGGAGACCAGGAATACCCGCCAAGATGAATAATGCTAGAATGATTTGGAATGCGATTGGGAATCGCCAAGCAATCGAGGAGTGATCCAGGAAGGAGAAACCCAGATCTGAATAGTCGGTCGTGTCAGCCAGCCGTCGACAGAAAGGTCAAACTGGTGCCGTAGTTCCCTTACCAATCCAGTAGGACAACATTACACCAAACACGATCAAAGATCCTTCTATCATAACCATCTGCCCACGTCTATGGGATTTGGAAGTTTCGGACTGCCATGTCGGGACTGTGGAGGTGTTCATACCTACGTGGGAATCAGCTCAAGATCTTGTCCGTCTTGTTCAGGAGCTAGACTTACCATTCCCGAATCCAGTGATGAGCCTAGCAGCAATAAGTTGTCCAAGGCTGAAAGAGGAGCATTGCAGTACCGCGCCGACAACCACTAAGCAGGCTATATTAGTATTCGACCGTTGTGCAAGGTCGACAAGACCATTTATTGCGTCATAGTCGACATGAACTCACTGCAAAGCGATCAGTCATAGTATGCAGAACAGCCAATGCTTTGGCTTACCTGATAGAAGAGCCAACCATGATCGTCTTCTTACGGCCAAGCATGTTGCCGAGCCATATCGTAGCGACGGCGCCAAAGAAGCAGCCAAGCGTATAGCCACCAACGGTGATACCCTGTACATTCGAGGCCCTGCTCGCGGCAGCACCGGTCCGAGAAGCGACATCGATCTGAGGAAAGTACTTGAGGAAGGACTTCAAAGTCAACAGTCCTCCCATAACACCTTGGTCTATGGTACAATATCAGTAACCGCCCGGAAACCACTCTACTTTAGATGACCTCACCATAACCAAAAAGGGCGAAATCTGTTCCGGCGATCACAGCAATGGCGATGTTGAGCCTTGTGCCCCGCAAACCATAGAAGTTACCCATCTTGTCGAAGATATTGTCTGGCCGCGACAGTGTAGGGCGGAGGGAAAGGTAACGAACTGGAGCAATAATGTGCGGAGTGCCCAAGTCTATAAAGTCTTTACTCCAGATGGGATGACTGAAAGGGTAATCCGGCACATGGCAGTCAGACCAACCGACGATCACCAGCGATCAGATCACGGCGCGGCATGTCTACGGCAGGTTGACCAATACGAGGATTGTTTCAACCGAAAACCAGGCGAGGACCAGCGCGTCAACGTCGACGGATGCAACCATGCGAAGGAAGAGAGTTCGCTCGTGCAGACGGAGAGCGTGTCCCCTCGCGGGCACCACGAAATGAGCAGCCCTACAGTTTGTCATGAAGCTCACCAAGATCCGCGAAGCTATGAAAATAAGAAGTGCCATGACGCATCAGCACAAGCTATTTCCGCACATTTGTGTCGTTTCACCCTTGAACTCGTCTCGTGGCAAAAGATGACTTGCCTTACTGTGCGCGTGCGGTCTGCTTTTTGACCCTCCCGGCCTAGTGGATGACTTCAGTGGCGCTCGGTAAGGACGGCACTCCACATCCCCGTCAATCAGCCGCAAGCGTTTTTATGGGGATTCCGAATTTGAAATGCCTTCAAAGACCGTTTGATCTGTCTGCATGCCTAAGCCAGCCTACACACGCAGGCAAATCGCGTACCGCCTCGTTTCTCACGGACAACCTATCCGTGGTGATCCGGCCACAGCGCAGGCCTGTCTTCTCCGTGGACCCAAGAACACTTCCCTTGAGGTCCTATACGTGGTCAGCCTGTTCTCGTCGGCCAGGAAAAAGTAGAGTATGAGCAATGATTCCCAGTCCTGTCTCCGCACCACCCACACTGGCGATCATGAAAGCGTGACACCAGCTTACCATTAACCGGAACATCTGCTCGGACACCCTGCTTCCTCATCGCCTACAGTAGGCCTCTGCGGCTGAAGTGATGACCGTGGCCACAGGGAAAGCGACAACGATGCTCCTGTTGCCACGCACCATTGAGATCGCAGACTCTTTGAAGATGATCAGATAGGTAGACATGCCTAGCAGGTGCACCGGATTAGGGGTGAGCTCGCTTCCTCTTGAGAAAGCTAGCCGTAGGTTGGCAATTAAAGCAACCTATGCCCAGTCTCACGATAGCCTAAGCCGAATAGTGCCATGCGCAGGTCCAGAGATCATGGATGCTTCTCTCGGCCGCTGCAAGACCAGGTCTGGGAATGTTTTGATCCATGATTGCTCGCGGCTAGAACTCGAACCGCCTGATCGTTCTATGTGAGTGTGGATGAGGCATTGGTCAAGTATCATAATGTCGAGGCAGTCGAATATCAAACAATCGTAGAGCATATCGCCGTGGTCCAGGAAACTTGGATCGATGGAATAAAGCAAGCGGACTTTGATGCCCTGCTAGCTGCGAGTCCCAATGGTTCTAGTTGCTAGCACTCAAGATCATATCCAAACTTTGCTCTAAAGAGTTGGGTGGGTGCCAGTTAAAGCTCCTGGAGCTGGAGTATCCGCAAGTTCAGTAGACAAGAATATGTCGAAGTATTCCGCTCTTTATTACTGTACCTGACTCATCACCAATCAATATATAAGAGAGGCGTTGCACATGGGAGCATTGCGCAATCGTTTGTGCAGTCGAAGTATGATGAGCCTGAGGCCGCCAAACTTTGTTTGATTGTGGAGAAATATCGAAAACGCCAGGAACATTTTCCGGCTCGTGACTTGATCATCTATATTACGGATGTTTACTCAGTATTATGAACAGATGAAGTGTCAACGCACACCTACTTAAAACGTACAGCCGATCTTCTTTGGTCGCCGACATGATCAGCATAAGTACACATCTCACAGTCCTTGATCAAAAGACAATACTTGCTGACCCTGCTCAGAGGTACCTTGCTCGTCCGCCAACATTGGTATGTAACCACCCTTTGATCTTCGAACGAATGATCGGGAGCTCAAGTATTTGCAGGTCCTGGATTCGACGTCATCGGACTAGCCTTATCCCTCTGGCTAGAATTACAAGTCAGTGTCGGCGACGATGCATCCGAGGGCGCACAACATAACTGTCGAATCACTTATGAAGGCCACGGCGAGAACAGTGTTGATCTGACACCCGAGCGAAACCTCATCTCACAGACTGCACTTTACGTGCTGCGATGTCATCAGCAAAGAAGTTTTCCGGAGCCAACGCACGTCCACATCAAAAATCCTATCCCACTCGGTCGCGGCCTTGGCTCGTCTGGTGCTGCGGTAGTCGCTGGAGTATCGCTCGGGAACGAAGTCGGCAAGCTAGGCATGACTAAAGATCGCATTTTAGATTTCTGTCTCATGATCGAAAGGCATCCCGACAATGTTGCGGCTGCTCTCTATGGCGGGTTCGTGGGTTCTTACCTCAAGGAGCTTGATCCGGAAGAAATGAAACGAATAGAGGTACCCTTGGCAGAAGTGTTACCTGCACCACAAGGAGGTGAGGATACGGGCCTCACTCCTCCGATCCCGCCCATCGATATTGGCAAGCACATTCGCTTTCCATGGGCATCGGAGATCAAGTGCATTGCGATTATACCAGATTTTGAGGTAGCAACTGCAAAGGCCCGAAGTGTTCTGCCCACGACATACGCAAAAGCCGATGTCATCTACAATTTGCAACGCGTCGCTTTACTTACATCCGCGCTTGGCCAGAGTCCACCAAACCCTGAGCTTATATATGATGGCATGCAAGACAAGGTTCACCAGCCTTACCGCAAGACGCTGATCCCTGGACTCACCGAGCTTCTGCAATCTGTGTCTCCTGCCACACATCCCGGTCTACTAGGCGTCTGTCTGTCAGGTGCCGGCCCCACTGTCTTGGCTCTAGCCACCACCAACTTCGAAGGCATCGCTACCTCGCTCATCAAACGATTTGAAGGCGAAAACATCAAGTGTCGCTGGGAGCTACTCGAGCCTGCGTATGAGGGACTAATCGTATCTCACAGCGAGCAGGCATCAAGCAGTGGCATGACTTACGCAGACGCGGGTGTGTCAATCGATCTAGGGAACGAGCTTGTGCAGTCGATCAAAGCGGCTGTGGCAAGTACACGAAGACCTGGCGCGGATGCAGAGATCGGTGGTTTTGGCGGCGCACTCGACCTAGCCAAAGCAGGATACACGGAACCACCGATACTTATCCAGGCTATTGACGGCATCGGCACTAAGCTAAAGATCGCTTTCGCTATGGACGACTTCTCGACCGTTGGCATAGACCTGGTAGCCATGAATGTGAATGATCTCATTGTGCAAGGTGCGGAACCTTTGACGTTCATGGACTACTACGCATGCTCGAAGCTCAACGTTCCCGACGCCGTGCGCTTTGTCGAAGGCGTGGCCGAAGGTTGCAAGCAGGCAGGGTGTGCTCTGGTTGGAGGTGAGACTGCAGAAATGCCAGGCATGTACCAAGGCAAGGAGTTTGACGCCGGCGGTGCTGCCACTGGTGCTCTTAAAAGAGGTCGTACTGTGTTGCCTGACAAAGCGGCGATGCAGGAAGGCGATGTCTTGTTTGGCCTCAGAAGTAGCGGAGTTCATTCGAACGGTTTCTCGCTTGTTCGCAAGATCATCGAGAGGGCTGGTCTGTCCTTTGCCGACAAGGCTCCTTGGGACTCAGCCTCGACTGTCGGTGCTAGTTTGCTGACACCAACACGAATATACGTCAAGCCCCTAATGCCGGCGATAGAGCAGGATTTGATTCTAGGCATGGCTCACATTACTGGTGGCGGACTGGAAGACAATATCCCTCGAATGCTGCCCAAGCATCTGGCCGCAGAAGTCGACGTATCACAGTGGGAAGTGCCTGCCGTACTGAAGTGGCTCAAGAAGGCTGGTAATGTGGACGCTCGTGAGTTTGCTCGGACGTGGAATACTGGCCTTGGAATGGTGCTGGCAGTTACAGCCCACAGAGCGGAGCAGCTCGTGCAGGTTCTTGAAGGTGCTGGAGAATCACCCGTGAAGATCGGAAAGCTCGTGAAGCACACTGGTGAAGATGTGATACTGCATAACACCAGCGTCTGGAAGTAGGCTGCAATGCGAAACACCACCTTTCCGTTCATCAATCGGGCTGCACTAGCAGACTCGTGCCACGGTGATGGAGACAGCACTATATCGAAGTAATCATCATCTTTGAACGTCGTGGAAAGGTAGCTATGCTCTAGACCTATGGCGACCACAAGCTATGCTCAGCCATATGTCTGCTCAAGAGTTCCTTCACATGTCCATACACAACAGCTGAACTTCATGCAGTGACCCCCATCGAAGTCTGATCTCCAAACGACTTGAAAAGCCAGAATAATCCGAGCATGTGTATCGAAATGAGGTTATCATTTATCTCTATGCGTAATAGCATGCTACCACTGTTGCTCTTCTTGGCAAGCTGCTGTACCGCTGATCTCGGATGTCCACCACCACCTGGCGACCTGTTCACCAACAAGGCGAAGGTTGATGTCCGTGAAAGTCCCGTTTCCGTCAAACATAAAATCACTACCGGTAGTACGATTACAAATCAGCCGCTGTCACCGAGATGGTATGGCTTGACTGTGGAACCGGACTTCAAGATCGATGAGCTGCCACCCGATTGGCAACGGGTTCGGACCCATGAACCATGGCCGCCATTGAAGTGTCCGGGCGGGATTGACAATACCAAGAGATGGATTACTTACTGCTTCGTAGATGACGACGCCGCCGAACATTTGGTCCAAATATTACTCTTTGCTATGACTCGGTGGAGACCAGCAAGTAGGTACACAACATTCAACATAGCGCCCGAGATCAGGTGTTATGACTGGGCTACCAAGTCATGGAACTTCAAGTGCATCTGCACTCCTGATTCTCGGTATGCTTTGCGTATCTTTGATGGTAGGACAATCAAAGATGATGCGCTTGCCGAAGTAGGGTACACAAACGCTGTGCCCCTTCAAAACATAGTTGCTTTCGACCACAACTTCGAGAATTCGCGTCAATGGAGCGACACATACAAGCTGCAAGTGAGAATCAACGCTATGACGCATGAGCTCGGTACGTATGTAGCAATTTCAAGGATGTGAGTCAATACTGAACTATGCTAGGTCATGTCGCTGGATTACTACAGTGAGTTGCAGATGCGATGGAGTATCATGATAGTATCCAGCCATTCTGACGCGTTCCAAAGTGAGCATCAGCGCACTGATGCTGCACTGTACGTAGAAGTCCAGTGCCGAAGGTTCAAAGGATATAACGATGCGGAGGACAAGGCCAGAGAGGAGATCAGGGAAGGAGTTTTCGAACCCGGGTCGACCCTCGCAGATCGGATGAAGAAGATGTAAGCAAGACTACATCTCCAAGTATTGTGCCAACGCTAATCGTACATAGCTGTACAACCTGGAAAGCTGCTCAGCACTATATGCCAATGCTACATGATTGGGTGCCAGGCGTCCCTAACACTCAGTTCCGATGGACCTCAATGTCTCAGTCGTATGACTATGGATCAATCATGGGCTATGACTCCCTTTCGGAACCCGGAGCATCAAAGAAGTCGGCAGTGATACTTCGGAAAGATGGCGTGAACAATGGCATCATCTACGTGGGGGGCCATAAGGATCCACGTTTCGCTGCCGTTTCTGTTATGGATGTCATGAGGATTGCACAGCTTTATCCTGGCGACGAAACTCAGAGAAACGAAGCTGCTGCAATGGCTGAACATGGGTCATGGCCGCACACCGTAGTCATGGTGGACGAGGTGGCGACAGCAGTCATGCCAGTACCAATGAACACTGCTCCTGTATTTGGATCTGCAGGCCACGGCAACATAGTCGTCGACGAAGAAGCAGATGCCCGCGAAGAATAGGGGCCCTACAGGCACACTGATTCTGCCATGTGATTGAGGTGATGACAAACTAGAAGTCGTCACGAGATGAGCGAGAGATGTGGATCTTGTTCGGGCGAAATTGTGGTTCAGCACTTGATAGGAATTGCAGGAAGTCAAGCGGGCGGTGGAATTGAGATGCTGGTCATCTCATTCGTGTATACTGTGCTTTAGCAGCAAAGATTCAAGATTCGATCGTGAGTCTAGTTGTTATCAGTCCTCTGACTTCTTGCCAACATAACACCACATCTCCGTCCTGAACCAAATCCCATCTTGCTTCATCTCCTCGGCTGCCTGCGCCTTGAGCTGCTCGACCTTCTCTCGGCTCCAATACTTGTCTCCTTGCAACACTCTAGCCATGATAGCGTTTGGTGCATCTACGATCATAGTCATAGTGAAATTCTGTCGATAGCCCGGAGTCTCGTCCATTGCCCACAGCTCGCTTCGAAGATCAGTGATTCCATTCTGGGACAGCAAGTCGCGTAACGGAATGATATCTTTGACACCACGAGTCAAGATGAAGTCATTGAAGCCTTGGTTGAGAAGTCTCATCGCCGTTCCGGAGACGCCGGGCTTTGACTGCACCACTCGCGGGCTCTGTGCATCCCACTCAATCCTGTAGAAGTACCCTTAGTACAATCCGCATAATAAGTTGAGGGTATGCTTGCCACTGCACATATCCACCAGGCTTCAACAAGGCCACCGCGTTCTTGACCACTCTCGGCCAATGCACGCCAATCACGAATGCGTGCATCGCTCTCACAGTGACTAGGTCAAACTTGCCATCGTACTCGCTGCCGTAACCCAACTCTGCTGCACCGTCCTGGACATGAAAGCGTACTCTGCCGCCGAAATGCGCGAGGCTCTCACCAGAAGGAAACTGCTTGTCGGTAATGTCGAAGCCATCGCATTGCCAACTTGGGTGCTCAGCTGCGATTTCGGTCAGGAATACACCCGAGCCACAAGCAACATCCGCAACTCTGCATCCTTCTTTATGAGGCAGGGATATAGTCGGATGGACGTGAAAGCCGAAGGCCTCGATCAGCTGCTTGTGCTGTTCATTGAGACGGGCAGCTTCCGCATTAGATGGCGGAGGGATGAGTTGGGACTGGGCCATGGTAGATCCTTTGTGTCGTCGAACGTAGAGCAGGGCTGTTGTGCTTTATACGAATCAGCGAAGGATGCGAGCTGAAGCGGAAGATGTTGCGACGTTGTGCGGCTCCTCATTAAGCGAGAGTCGCAATCGCGATGCAACAGCTCGCTAACAATCTTTGTGTATATACATGCGACGGTCTATAGCACAGGGTTATTAGATACATGTCTAGCAGCCGAAACACTGGGGCGCAGTAGGCACAACACGTTCAAGATATCCTTGCCATGTTGGCGGCGTATTCTTGCGTTGATATTTGGAGTTCGTCGACTTCAATAAATCTTCCACCGCGCTGGCGTATTTGACGAGCTTGGCTTCGCTAAAAGCAGTGCCCATGAATGAGAAGCCGTAGGGCATGCCACTGAGCGAGTGCACATACGCCGGGATCGTAACGACAGGGTAGCCAGCTTGTGCTGCGATTTGGTAGCTTGGGCCAACATCCGGAGGTGCAAGCAGAAGATCAACTGCGGATCCATTGTTGGCGAGCGCGTAGTCGATGCCATCTTCACGTGTGGTGCGATGACAGAAATCCAGGGCTTGGTAGTAGGTCTCGTTCATGATACCTCCTGTAGCCAATGATGCGAGGAAACCGTCTTGGCCAGATCCGAAAGCAGGAGCGATGCCGGGAGTGCCGCCTTCAGTTCCGACATTGTCGATGTTGTACTGTACAATGTCTTCGAGTGAGTGCATGTTGGTATTTGTGACCTCAGATAGGTAAGTCTTGATGTTGTTGTAAAAATCGACTTTGACATAGGTGTACTCAGATTCGTTTGGGAACCCTCGAGTGGTGCCGTAGTCCCTGCAATTCCTGTCAGTCCACATGCAAGACATTGATGCGCTCAGTACTTACCAGTTCCATCCGTTGGGGCTGATCACGTATTGATATTTGAGCTCAGTACCGTTTACAATAGTCGCACCCGCATCTTTCATCGCCTGCACGATGTCGAGTAAGACAGAAATCTGCTCAGGATCCGCCTGGGTCCAGAAAGAGGACCATGGGATCCCGAAACGTGCTCCCTCCAGCGCCTGTTTAGTCGACAATGAGTTGGCATAGCCGTTCTTCGGTGTCTTTCCGCTTTGTGCAAGAGTGTAGTTATCACGCTGGTCAACACCATATATGGCATCGAGAGCATATACAGCATCGCGTACGGTCTTGCCGAAGCATCCAACCTGCGCATTGAGTGTTAGCAGACTTTCCAGACATGACAAGCCTTACGGCCATCGGTTTCCATACCGTATCTTGGTGCTCACTTTCCGGAATGACACCGGCGCGGGAGGTCAGACCCACAGTAGGCTTGAAGCCGACGATTGCATTGCGCTCTGCTGGGTTGATAACACTACCGTCGGTCTCGGTCCCGAGCGCAAACGGTACGACATTGTTGGATACTGAGATAGCACTTCCGGAGCTGCTGCCACCAGGATTTACAGTAAAGTTGTATGAGCTGTAGGCCTGACCTCCGCGACCGCTGTAGCCTTCTGAATAGTTGTTGGATCGCATGTCTGCCCACTCGCTCAGTGTCGCTTTGCCCATCAGCACGGCACCGGCTTGGCGAAGCTTGTTCACGACGAAAGCATCGCGCGGCACAATCGAGCCTTGCAACGACCATGATCCACTGGTGGTCTGCATCTTGTCCTTGGAAGCAATGTTGTCCTTGACCAGGAACGGGATGCCATGTAATGGCGATCTGACATGGCCGGAATGTCGTTCCTTGTCCAGAGCAGCGGCGATATCGAGAACATCTGGATTGAGCTCCAATATGGAATGAATGTATTGGCCAGTCTGAAATTCGCGCTGGATATAGCAGGTCACCAATTGCACGCTCGTCAAGGTCCCAGTGTGCATGAAAGCCTGCAGATCGTCGATGGTGGCCTCTTCGATCTTTGCGCCATGGCACAATGGCATAGGAAACAACTGGGCTGAGGTCGCATTGACTTTCGGAAAGTAATACGGGAAAGGGTCGTTAAGAATCTGTGCATTTGCGAGACCTGAGGCGTTGTAGGAAGAACTGTTGGCCCAGGCCAGATTCGCGAGGTTGAACGCTGCTGATAGCGCCATGTTGACAGACTGTCTCGGCCTCTCCGCCAAGGTTTTGCGGGAAAATTAGGATTTAGCAGATGTTTGGCGCAAATATCGAAGGAACGTGAAGAAGAGGCGGAGTTGATCCAAGAACTCGTCGACACGACAAGACAAGGCATGCGCGATGCTTTCTAGGTAAGCATTGATTATTAGTCTCCATGATCCGTGCTTCCGTGCAGGGACCGAGGAGACGATCGGCGCAGGACAAGCGAGATGGTCGAGCCGTCGAGGAGATCGTGAAAATGCTTTTTGTCCTGTCATCGATAGGCTCCAAACGGGTGAATCAGGCTGCCATGTTCTAGAAAGCGACGCCGAGGCAGGACTCCCGCACGAGACAAGACTGCATACTATGGCTGCGTCAAAAGACTCAGGCGAACTCGCGCAAGACGGTTTTGCGATTCGATCATGATGCAGCCACGGCCAACTTTGGACGGCGCATTGAGTTCGTCATATAGCACGGGCCGCCGCCTACCACCGGAGGCTGCCCCGTCCACCCACGCCAGTCTCAGCTCCCCGCGCCCGGTCGAGGCCCTCAGCTTGTTATTACGACTGCCTTTTCTTTTGACTTTCGCGGTCATCTGGGAACTCTCTACTCTTCAACTCATCATGCTGCTCTCCGCAGCGAGTCTCGCAGGACTTTGGCTTTGACTGCCTCACCAACGGTATGCGAGACTTGTGGTGAGGGCTCGACCTTTCCACGATCACGACAAGAATGGCTTCACCCATCAATTCCGAGGCGATCAATGCTGCCCTGGCAAGGCCTGGCTACCTCCCGGATGGCACGACTGCAGCACTTCTGGAGCAGAGTCGTGATCGAGCGACTGTCATAGCCATCCTCTTTATCGCGGCTCTGGTCTATATCATCATGGCACTGCGTTGCTACGCCCGCATCTTTGTACTCAAGCATTTCGGACGGGACGATTGGCTTGCAGTCCTTTGCTTGGTGTGTCAGTCAATGATGACCCCCCCAGAATGTCCACTGACAGCAATTTAGCTACCCTACACGACATTTATCGTCTTAGCCATCGTGCTCATTCGTCTGGGATCCGGACGTCACTTCGTCTACATTCAGTACATCCTCGACAACCACACTATCAACAGGACCGAGACTTTAGACTTTGCGGCTCACCTGATTTATACTACTGCACTACTAATATGTCGATTGTCTGGACTAGCTTTCTATTCTCGAATCACCCGCCGACATCACAGACTCACCTGGTCGATCAGAGCTGCGGTTGCTTTCATGGTTGCTGGGTACATTCCCCAATTGTTCCTGATAGGATTCCACTGCTTGCCAGCCACCAGCTTGTGGCCATATGCCTTCCAGCCCGAGGTCGGCAATTACACCTGCTTGTCGTGGGGGTTGGTGTACGTCACGAACAGCACCATATCACTCGTCTGCGACCTGATCCTATTCACCATCCCCGCTGCAATCATTCATGTTCTCCGGATAAGCTTGAAGGACAAGCTTAAACTCGTGTTCGTCGTCATGCCTGGTTTACTGGTTATAGCAATATCCGTCGTACGAATGTATCTCGTCGTTGTTGGCCAATGGGAAGCGGACGAGTCATGGGCCTACGACCCTTTCCTCGCGGTCGAGATCGCCGAGATCGGGTCCACGCTCATTGCTCTGTCAATACCAGCCCTGAAACCATTTGTCGGCAGTGTCTTCGCCTTTCTTGACCGCAACCGTACGGACGAGAATAAGTTTGGTTCTCCACAGAACCATCGAACCATTGGCACGAGCAATGCACATCGTGGGCGAGCCGACGCGAATGGCGACATCACCACCCATGAGCTGGACAAGTGGTCCTCGAGATCAGGGATCAATGGTCACCAGGGTACGGTTGAGCCGATTCGCAGTCGGTCCTCTGAGCCGATCATTCAGCAACACCAGGATCGTAGCTTGACTATCCGAGGCAACGTGTGAATAGTCTTGCATCCACCAATGCCCATCTCTCGACAATTAGGATATTCCACCAGGTTATATGTCGGCACAATGAAGGACACGCTGCCGCAGAACCAGTGCTGTTCAGGGCACTTGTTTCTATGCCAAGTCTCGAGCAGCCTGTTCGTCAAATCGGCTTTGACAGCGAAGAGTGCATCAGACACTTGACAGGAGCCTGCTCCTATTCCGCAATTTGGGGCCGAGCAGATAAAACCCAAGAGGTATAGGAATCATGAGAACTGCCAAACATCCTAGCAAGGTTCCCGCCCATTGGACGCCGAGATTGGCGAACATCTGTTTGGAGAAGAGAGGGAAGCCGGATGCTATCGCGGAGCGGAGCATTACATTCGCGGCCACGGTCGATGCTGCGCTAGCAGAAGTCAGTGCTTGCTGTATTGGCTTTTGTTAGGCGCTCATGGACTTACATGGGCAGATACGCATCTGCAGAGGTTGGCACAGACGTCAGCATATCAAGTCGGTCGAATCGGGGTTGGACAGAACTTACCAACCAGATAGTTGAAGTGAGGGAGGAAGATACAAAGAACTCCGAATCCAATAGGAACGCCTGCTGCCACCGAGACCATCCAGTGTATCTGTGGCGTATATGCTGTCCACGCAAACCTACTTTTGTGGTTAGTCCAATGCTCTGCTTGACTCGAGCGTAGCTGACCTCACCAGAATAGACCGATTGGAAAGACGAAAGCACCGAGCATCGCAGGATAAAGTCGCCATTCTGGTACTGCAACGCCACCATGTGCCTCTAACTTTCGAGCGTAGCTCTTCTGCTGAGACAGGATCAGTGCCAGAGCGCAGCAGACGCCAAGCAGTAGACCGATAAATGGTAGATATGCGACGCCAGAGTCCCAGCCGTGCACACTACTGTATACGAAGGGATAGGCTTCCAGCAGCGCATATACGATGCCATATATGAAGCTCATGTACAACGATACCAGCAGTACCGTTGGTTCGGTGACCAGCATTCGAAGCGGGCGAGCGAAGTACTTGTTCATCATGTCCTGCAAGTCGACTTCACGCTTCTCATGGGGTGCATGAATGAAGGTATTGCCGGTCTGTCTTCGGATAATACTGGCTTTCTCCGCGAGTACGAGCGGTGCATATGTTTCTCTCAGGAACAGCAACATGAGGAAGGCGTTCGCGAAGCCTAGTATAGCCGGCAGATACTGTGTCCACCTCCAGCCCAGATAACTGGCCGCGATGAAGCTCCCGATGATCGGTGCCAACAGTGGACCACCGAAAACTGTCAAGGCATAGATTGATATTGCCATGCCGCGGTATCCGCTGCTGTACATATCAGACAGCACTCCAGGTACCACACACAAAGGGCTTGCACCGAACACTCCGGCAAAGAACCGGCATGTGAGGAGGGTCTGTGCGTCTTTCGCGGCCGCACAAGCGATGGTGAAGATTGACGTTCCGAGCATGCCGATGAACAACGGCCATCTACGGCCGTAGAGCTCAGACGAGGGTGCCCAAAGCGGAGGGCCTGCTGCGAAGCCTAGCACGAACAGTGTCGTCCCTAGCTGGCCGACTTCTTCGCTGATATGGAGCTCGTCACTGGCCCCCACTACTCCTGCGGCGAAAATGGCGCTGTTGAAGCAGGCTACGAAAGCGCCACTGCAGACGATGAGAGATATGTAAAGTCTGTAGCAGAGAAAATAGTCAGCATCTGGATTGGTTGACAAGAATTTTGGAATGGTTTTGGTCATACTTTCGGAGACTGGGCCAGTTCTGAGGATTTCTAAGATCGTCCGGTCCATTCCACTCGACTACGAATTGAGCGACGTTATCGTATGTTGGTGGGTAGTCCTTTCCTCCGCCCATCGGTATATTATCTTTCTCTCGCGTCGAAGTCATATCGCTAGAATAATCGCCAGTTGATTGTACCATTCTCGTCCATATGCAAATCCGTCGTTAACGTGGCAGCCCGTCGATAAATGAAGTACATCCTGCTATGTAGAAGGTTACTGTTTGCGCTCAAGTCCGCATTAGCCGGCTTTCCGCCTGACTCCTCTTTTCACCTTCCCACGCAATCCCACCTCCTCCTACTTCCATACAAACAATGGCTACAATTCCAACATTGACGAAACGCGTGCGCGCAAGAAAGGCTTGTGAGCCTTGTCGGCAGCGGAAGAGGAAGTGTGATGGCAAGACGCCATGCACGGGTGAGTCAACTTCATAATCAACTTCATCGTTTTTGTGCCCCTGCTCGCTGGCGTGTAGAAGATGGTGCCATGTGATTGTGACCATGCTAACAGGACCATAGTGAGTCTGCTATTCCAGTCTGCTCCATTCTCTGCCTCGAGAGCCGCTCGAGGCAAGGCTCCATCTGTCATCTTGACTCATGTTCGATTTGGTTACACGCTTGCACCTTTGGCGCTCTTGCCAAGGTGAAAATTACTTATATGTACTGTAGGGTTGTGTGCAATTCGAGTATGACTGCTATTACGAGCCCGCACAGAAGAGACGCCAGCTTCGTATGTCATCGCCGACACAGAGAACTGCAAAGCTCGATACTGAAGAATCGCTTCAGCACTTCGAGGAATCTTCACCCACCCCATCCGCTGATGATGATATCGAGCGCTTCGGATCTCGAGAGGCCAACTCGAGTGCGGCGTTCGTGAGGAAGCTGGCAGTCTCCATCGACCCTGCTAATGCACCTCCGCTTCACTTGTTCGCATGGAACTTGTTCATGGGGACGCGGAAAGTGCATGGCTATCAGCCGGTGGCACGGCCAATCACTAGTATCGTGTCTCGTGCTACCATGGAGAGCTTGTTCACCATATACCTGGACAAATTTGATCGCTGCTATGGCTTCATCAACAAGCAGCAAGTGGCTCAACGCATACAAGCTCGGTGGCAGACTGACATTGCCGACGGACCCTACGACGCAATATTGTGTGGTATCGCTGCGGCCGGCTATCTATTCTCCTGTCGAGAAACTGTCAGTCTCGAGATGGACCTCATCGAAAGCGCCAAACAGATTCTTGATCGATGGAGTGATCTTGAGGTCAGCGTGGACATCGTTCAGGGCTGGGTGCTTCGAGTGGCATACATGAGGATGACTGCAGCTCCTCACGCCGCCTGGGTCGCTTCGTGCACAATGATGCATCTCATAGATGCGGCGAGATTACACATTGAGACTGAGAATATTGCTTTACCAGACTCGCCTGCAGCGCCTGTCAACGAAGAGGAGAGAGAACTTCACCGAAGAATCGTTGGCATCGCTCGGCACTCCAACGTATGGCTCTCATTCGACCTTGGTCGATCCCGAGTTGCACTACACAATAGTAAATTCGCCTTGCCAACGACACGTCCGCATGGAGATTTCACCACCGAACTCCTGCGAATTCTACCGCTGGCGGAGTCACTAGATCCACAGCGTGATGTCAGTCTAAGCGAGCTTAAATCGCTTCTCAAGGAAGTGTTGAGCCAGCAGCATACGGAGCCTCCATCCGTCCTGGCGCAGACTAATATGACGATGCTCATTTGTCGACGTCTCCGGGCTCTCGATGTTCAGCTGACGGGTAGCCTCCTAGACGACGTGCTTGCGCTTACGGCACGGAGCCTACGTGGTGCCCAAGCTATGCTCAATGCTAGCAGTCCTTGGCATCATGTTGCAAATGTCCCATTCCAGGTAGTGTGTATCTTGCTAGCGATAGACAGTCCTGCGGCTATTGGGCAGCTTGGAGATGCCATCAAGACCTTGAGCAATGTTTCACAAGGCTACAATACGGATGCCACCAGAGAAGCGCTCAATACTGCTTGTCTGCTGGTCTGGCTGCAGCAAAAGCGAAAAGAAAAAGATACACAGAGCTTGACTGATATTCTGAGTGCGTACTCGCCAGCTCCTCAACCTTTTGACCAGACAACGAACCTGGCACTCGATCCATTATGGTCGGCAGGTGTTGGACAGGCTTGGGCCGGGACTGATTCGACCTGGCTGGATAGTCTAGTGAACGATATGCCAAATCTACAGGGTCTGGATTTCACTCAACTTCTTGAGCAGGGCTTTCAGTGACGGCCAGCATGTCTCATAGCAGTTCATTCTCCACACCGAGCTACGTCTACTGCTGACAGCGAGGCTTACGACACTTGCTCTATTGCATGTTGCAGCTCTGATCGCCATTGCAGACCAATGCTCTCCCTGATCACTCTCAGAATGCGTCTTCCGGCATCGCCAACTTGCCACATCGCTCTGGCCAAGTGCAACAATACCGCATACCATGCCAGCACGACAAGTGCCTCACCGCGCTGATATCCTAGTAACGAGCTGTACTCTGGCACTGCTAGCATCGGCCAAGAATAGACCATCTGGTGCTTCTTTCCCTGGTCTACCTCATCATCTTCGAACCCAGCATCGAAGCCAACTTGCAAGTACTTGATAGCCAGCAAAAGTGCAGAGCGTTGGACCTCTGTCATACCCTCAGACCTGGCTATCATCTCAACCAAGGGATCGCAGTGATCTCCTCGAGGCATTTGCGAGGTGAATTCAGCAGACCATGCAATTGTAGGCCCTATCTCGGTGCTTAAAAGTAGAGGCCACGCAGATGTCGCGACGGTGTAAATGCCTCGATGTACCTCTATGCATTGCACTAGAGACTCCGTCAAAGTCTGGATGTTGTCAAGCTCTCTCTTGGCCAAAGTATCAGTGAGAACGTGGTGGCCAAGGATAGAAGCAAAGAGTAGAATGGCAACGCAGTTCTCGGCATCGACTTCAGCCTTCTCTGCATTGAACAAAGAGACGGCATGCGTCTGTAATTGTATGGCAAGGTGTTCATATCTCGACGAGCGCTCTGGTTGAAGATATGCTGAGTGCCGAGCAGAGAACGCGAGGAGTTGGTACAGTAAGTACGGATGCCGAAGTCCTGTCTGTACAGCAAACACCATGCCCTCAGATGGCTCTTTTACGCTGCCGCCGAGGATTTTCATGTCATGGTCCTTGACTAGATGAAGGAGTAATCCCATATGCTCAACATTGACGGCGGACAGTGCATCCGGCGTCAGAATTATGGCAGGCTCATGCTCTGCGGCCGTCGCAAGTCCATTGGTAGACTTCAGTACCACTCCGTTTGTGTCGTTGGATCTCGGGGGCCCCTCGTTCGAAGTCACGTCGTTCTTGACGTTGTCACTTGGATGACTCTGAGAGAGAAAGCTACACTCATGGCCAGAACTTGAACAAAGCCGGCAAGATGGTCGACTTTCGTCGCACTTCACGTGTCGGACTTTACTGTACTTGCTTTTAGCACCGCGATTCAGCCTTCGAGATCTGGTAGCACGATCCACCACTGCAGACATCCTCCTCTGGACTTCTTATGGCTCCGCCGAAACATTGAGGGCCAGGGCCGTAGACTGATGCACATCACTGGAATACGCGTATTCATGGCCTAAGTGAAATGAATATGTCAGCCTAGTGGTCACTCAGGGAATCGCATCGCATTCGCATCTCTTCCACGGCGCCGAGCACCTCTCTCATTGGCTGTTATATGGATACGCGTATCCGGAGCTGTCGAAGGATTCCACCCGCTTCTTGCGCACATACAGCAATCAACTACCTCATCCGTTGAGACCCAATATGGCATGCTGTTGACAGCTATGTGGGTCGGCTGCAGTATTACCCACCAAGAGACTGCCATCCCGTCACGCGTGTCCGCAGCAATGTCTCTGCCTGAACCCCACGGACTGGAGACTGCGAAGACCATGTCGAAGGGGTACTCTCGCATATACCATCGACCCTGCTCGAACGAAATGTAACTCGTCTACACTGCAGCCCCAGGTCCTTCGTCCAAGGTATCACTCATCTTAACTTTCATCCAATCAGGACAATTTGCGAGTGAAACTAGAGCAAAGCAACTGACATAGAGGATCTTTCGCACTTCGCCATGCCGGAACTCGAAACGTTTCATGGTAGCTACCTATGGGACTACCTTCCGAACTTACCTGCCGCGATCGTTTTCGCCACTCTCTTCACTCTGGCAACGGTCATGCACACATGGAGAATGTGCAAAGGAAGGATGTGGTTCTGCGTTCCCTTCGTCATAGGCGGCGTCTGTAAGTTTGTACCCGTCACAGTAGCTGTCCACGGACCTCCGCTGATATCATGATCACAGGTGAATTTCTGGGCTACATTACTCGCGCCCTCTCCACCAACGCGACTGGCAACCTTGTACTCTTCCTGGTCCAGAGTATCTTTCTGCTCCTTCCTGCTGTCTTCTTTGCTGCGACGCTGTATATGGTGTACTCTCGCATCATCCGAGCTGTCGATGGTGAACGATTCGCGCTTATCACGGCCCGCCGGACAACGATCTATTTCGTAGTGGGAGACTTCACCTGTCTCAATGTGCAGTCGACCGGTGGTGGGCTACTGGGCAGCTCCACGGATAGCACTGTGAAGATCGGCGAGTATATCGTCGTTGCCGGCCTCATGCTGCAGATTCTGATGTTTGCGGGATTCGTCGGATGCTGTCTGGTGTTTCAGATGCGCTACCAAGCTTACCTTTTTTCAGCCGCCGACGCCTCAGCTCGGTCGCACACTTCGATACCGTGGGGTGTATGTCTATACATGCTCTACGGTACTTCCGCGGCAATTCTGCTCCGCAATCTTTACCGAGTCGTCGAATTTGTGATGGGCAAGGATGGCTATCTTATGCAGAACGAATGGCCAATCTACGCATCATGATCAGCTTCTACATCTGGTACCCAAGTCAGCTGCAGCCAGTCTATCATCGACCTGACTCTGCCACGGAGCTTATGGAGTCCACCAATATCCATACCAACAACGAAGATGGTTTGAAGCTAAGAAGTTCGGCGTAGTTGTATCTCCCTTCTCTCCTCTTTTGAAATGACGAGGACTGGCTCTATCCTCGAGGGCCGATATCCGCGCTATGGTCTTCCTTGGCCAGCATAGCAGCAGCATCAGTGCGGTCTCCACAAAGCTGTTGCCGATTACCGCGGCCTTACGACACGGATCGACCACTGGTTTTTTAGGTTAGAAGAGATTGAGAGCAGAGATATGGAAGCCATACGTAGCAAGACATGGAGGCTTGGGAACAAGTCCGACAAGCAATGGGGCCGGAGATCAAGGACTATTGTTAGACTAAGTATCTCTCGACTCCGGCAAAACTACTGTAGCACAAGGAGATCAGGCCCGACCGAAAATTACAGGCTCTTCCGAACGTGGACGAGTCTAGCCTGCAGTAAAGGCTAAGATGGTGCAGCGTTATATAGTAAATTATGCAGCGTTGTAGATGATGCTAACGAGATATCTGGCTTACAACTGCTGGTATCGTGGTGACAGCCTGGTTTTATGGGCCATCTCGTATATCCTAACAATATTGGATATAGGTATCGATGCTTACCCTGCATACATATACACCAAGTTGTCATTCTTCAGCACAATTGCAACCCCTAGCTGGACGATCTAGTCCAGGCGATGCAATCAAGACATCCCAGCCTCGCCATTCTCTTGGGACGGCATCTGTCTCCGGCACTCTCACCTGCCATGTTCAAACAAGGATGGGTTCGCTTATGCAGGCAATCTGCCGGCTATGTAAGCAGACCACATTGCTGACCCCAAAATCGACGCAAGACCTTCCTGAAATAGGAAACATGTTGTATGGTAGCACTCCAGTTACAATACATTACCACCTTACACGGCATCGAACGAGGACAGCATGGCATGGTGCATTGGTACATAGCATACCATCTGGTACGGTGTCAGCTTATATGGATTGCACATCATCTCTACAGCACTTACAATCACTCTTTTCACATCCCAGGGACCATCACGATGCTCGCCCGGGTCACTTTGCTTGCGATACATGTTCTCTCGGCCGAAGGAGCACTCTACTACCCTGACGCTCGAACGTCATTTCTCGAGCACATGTAAGATCGGCGCGCTGAAGCCAGCTCTGGAGCACTCATGGGCTCACATTAACGACTTTCACAGCCTTGTGGACAACTGGGGAGCATATGCCTCCAATTTCTCCTCCGCCATTACTCCTTGCGCACGATACGTTACGCAGACTGGCGACGCAGCGCTGAAGAGTGGCCGCACGACCGCAGCACAATGGATCCGGGTGCTCTTTCACGACATGATCACCGCCAATGTTACGGCAGGTACCGGTGGTGTGGATGCAAGCATTGGGTTTGAGACGGCGAGGGGTGAGAAGTCTGGAAGTGCTTTCAATGACTCTTTCACGTTTTGGCGGCCATTCGTGAACGATGCAGTGTCTAGTAAGAGCTCACGAACCTGGCCGGACCACAATGCTGACAGACAATGTAGTGGCCGATCTCGTCGCTCTTGGCACGGTCATGTCGGATAATCTTTGTGGCGGTCGCATGATGCAATACAAGGCAGGTCGAGTCGATGCATCGTCGGCAGGCTTGACGACAGGTGTGCCGGCGCCAGAGACTGACCTAGACACCACTTTGCTGTACTTCGAGCGCGCAGGCTTCGACAGGGCAGATGCAATTGGTCTTACTGCTTGTGGCCATACCCTGAGCTCCGTACATCATGGTGGCATCCCGGACGTGGTCGATGCAACGGCTGTGACTCCGAACAATAGTAATGGTGAGTTGACATGCTGTGCTGTTTCAAATCCGACTGACGATGCTCTGTGTCGCAGGCGGCGCTGACTTCGACTCAACAAGAGGTGTATTTGGTCCACTTGTCGTTCAAGAGTACGTCTCCTGGGCTGGCCAGAAGGGTGGGCCACTGGTGACCACAAGTAATATCAGTACTCAATCAGATCGACGATTGTACGAGAGCGACAACAATGCCACCATGCAGGCGCTCCTGGCTCAAGGACCAGATTTCCTGGACACCTGCGTATCGCTCATGGGCCGAGCTATTGACACGATGCCGTATTCGGTGAACCTAAGATCTCCGATTACCCCTATGGCCATCAAGCCAGTGAACGTAACGTACGATTTCGGTGTAGATGGAAAGCTGAAGCTGTCTGGCAACATCAGGGTATGCGATTTCTACACATCGAGATGTGACCTTGCTGATCGCTGTACCAGGTCCTCTCAGCTGCAGGAGCATCCTCACCGTCCTCGTTGGACCTTTCTATCAATGGATATCATGCCAGCCTCACCGCAGAAGATTCGACTGGAAGTTCGGTCTTCGGCACAACAGCATACTTTCCGTTCTCGGTATCCAGTGACCTGATCCGCAACGCTCCTTCCTTTTCGGTCTCAGCAACCAGCTTTGCGCTACAAGGTCAGATATTCGTGGCGCCCAGCATGACCACAATTACGGGAGCAACTGTGAATGCCACTATTGCATCGTCCGGCCACGCATGCAGCTCTCTCTCAATTGAGGTTCACTCACCAAACCGGCAAGGTTATACTCTGGCACCAAAGGTAATGCAGGCGGGTGGCAACCTCACTGCAGTGGCTCCTCGGATAGATGGTTGTGGACTTTGTCGAGCAGTCATGCAACTTGCAGATATACCCACCGACTCAATCGCTGTCAATGCTCTGGTCAGTGGTGGTGTTGTGGACACACTTTTTCAGAATGGCGGAGCCGTAGGGTGGTAGATGTCATCTGATTCCTCGTATTATGCGGAACGCTAAGTACGCACACTCAACCCCATCTCATTAGTACACTGCTAGCCGGGGTAGAGTAATGCCATCTGCTTGCTCTTATGGTCCTCGTACGCAAGCTCGATTGAGCTCTCGTAATGACGTTCTATGACCGTTTAGATTCAAAGAGCCCACCCATAGCTCCTCAGAACATAAATGTCAGCAATGTAGGGCCTTGATTAGGGTATGTCTGTCCTTGAGACCGGATCCGAAGGCGAAAGCACATCCAGATCTCCTTTCTTGCCCACAGAGCTGTGGTGCAAGAAGGCTAGTGCAACACAACACCATCCATGCCACTATTCCACGCCACACGATGGAACTCGTCTTCTGTCGCTTCGGACTCGCACACCACGACAAATGTATATTGGGTGGCAGTGACCGAATGAAGCGTGATCCAGCGGTCCTGGACGAGTTTCGCGATTCGGATGAACACTTTATCGATCGAAGGTCCAGTTGGTCCTCTGCTGAGTCTCCAAACGTCTTTCTCGTAGTTCATGTTATGCCATATTATGTCGATGGTTGGTGGCCCGTATGTCATCGGGATCGACGCGGGCTGTACTGCACCAGTGTCGGGGTTAATAGTCATGCCGTCTATGATGGGACGACTCGTAGAGCAGTCCCATTGAACGTCTCCGATAGCCATGGAGATTCTAGGCGCAGATTATTGTCAGACTGAGATATTGTCTATAGAGAGGTGACGGACAAAACTCCTCGGTATTGTCTTAAAGTGATCAGCAACGAGCATAGGATGATGTTTTTGTGATAACCGTGCGAGTTGAGGAGATCTTGCAATATGATAGTAGAGGGCACAAAGGACAGGATGAAGCACAAGTAAATCAGCAGGTGTGACTTATGACATGTAGGGACCGGATTGAGAGTGGCGAAGGAGCTGTACATTGCGCATCATACGATTCGTGATCGACACGTTGATTGGCTTGCGATTAGAGGCGAGTCTGCTGATGCAAGCTGGGCAACCATTCTAGCCAAGCGCTTCTTCCAATTCAGGTGTAGAGCGACACAATATCGTAGGTAGAGGTTACAAGCTTCCAAAAGGGTTCGATACCGTAGCCACTAAGCACAGCAAAACGCAGGAAACAGGGTGTGGTAGGGAGTTAGTGATGGATGTGGAAGGTGATTGATTGCACGAGTCGAAGACCGCGGAAGAAGTGCCACACTAGAACCACAACGCCCTGCTGTATCGACGAAGCATTCCTCATTTTCGTTATGGAGACCAATGTGTGCCCAATCTATCGCTTTCTGCTGAACATGCCGTGCACCAGACCACAAGCAATCATGGGTATCACCGCAATGAGCCAAAAAACCCAAACAATCCCGACGGCGAAATACACACCTGCCATATTGATCCATGTGCCGTAGAAGCCATGCACCTTCTTCTCTTGATGAGTCTTGGCTGGATGCTCTTCCAGTACTGCAGCGAGCTCGAGAGCGACCTGGTTGTTGATCTTATCCCACGTCGTGTCCAGAGCTTGCAATCTTGCGTTCTCATTCATTTCTTGTCGAAGCGCAGTATTGATGGCGAGTTCGCGGGAACGCTTGACAAATGTCTCAAGATCGTGAGGTGGGACTAGGAAGCCAGACTTGCCGTGCTTGATTGTCTCGGAAGGCCCGCCTTCATCCCGAGCAATGACAGGCACACCAGAAGCCATCGACTCCAGAACGACGAGACCGAACGTCTCTGTAATCGAGCAATGCAGGAAGACATCGGCGGCTGCGTATTTGTGCGCGAGGTCGACACCACGAAGCATACCCGTAAAAATGACTTCCTTATCAAGACCAGTAAAATAATCCTTGACCTCCTGCATGACTGCTGGGTTCTTGTTGCCACCGACGATCAATAGTCTGAATGCCAGACCGCTTTCTTTGAGCTTTCTAGCAGCTCGGGCGAGGAATTCAAAGCCTTTTTCTGGCGCAATGCGACAGATGCAGGCAAAGATGATCTCGCCGTTTGGTGCAATCTCCTTTCGGTAAGCCTCGCCTCGTCGCCCGGGATTGAACAGCTCAGTGTCGACACCTCTACCTAGCTGCCTCATCTTATGAGACGGTGCGCCAGCCTTCTCCATGTATTTGCGTACGTATGCAGACGGGTAGAAAATCGTGCGCACGGACGGAGCACGGAAGAGGTAGCCCTGGACCATTTGCAACAAGTACACACCGTACCCATCCAGCGGTGGTGGAAAGAGGATCTCGGCGTATGCGGAAAGATCAGTCTGGAAGTTCAGAAATGTTGGTGGCGGGTGGTCGATTTGTCGTAGCTGAATCAGGAATTGAAAGCCAACAGATGCGGGACTGGCGAGATAGATAATGTCGGGCATGAATGTCTTGTCGTAAATCACACCGAGTCGGAATGGGTATGCCACTGTCAGGTCTGGATTGTATGGAAGCGGGTAGCCTTGCAGTCTGAACTCCGGGTTGTGTCGTCCAGTCTCCGCAGTGGCTTCAGGTTTCTTCTTGCCATCATTGCTTTTGCTTCTGCGGATCATCTGTGGATTCCTGCCTTGCGCCGAGGACGGTTGCAGTAACGATTGCGCCTGCTGCGCTGCCTCGTCTCGATCGAAGTGGAATTGCCATGAACCACCAATCGCCCGGGAGGCCAACGATGAGGACTTGGCTTCAATAGATCGCACCCACTCTGGGTTGACTATGGGCTGCCGTGGTTGTTTGGACTCGGTTGTTATGATATTCTGCCCTTTGTACAGCGGCGCACATGTGGCGACGTTCACTCCATTGTTGCGCAGGTACTCCACCAGCATGCCAGTAGTGCGGCTGACACCATTGACGGGACCGAGTGATTCTGTGGCCAGTAATACCTTCTTGCCGACGAGTTGTACTGGAAATTCCGGCTTGAGAAAGCCACCCTGAGCGGAGTGAGGTTGAGATTCAGTCATCTTGGCCACAAAGTTCGTGCGTTAGGTTATGGGCTAAGATGTACGTGCGTTTGCCAAGTGCTGTTGTCTGAGGGGATGTTCCTTCCTCGCTATAACATATCGGATCAGAGGTGCATTGTTTGTTAGGCAAGACAAACCCTTATGTCTTAGGTCACGGTAGGACCAGTGATGATATAATGGCTCGGGTGACCTCGCGGCGCGTGGTGGTGGGAAGGGTGAGATTTATAGGGCAGGCGAAAAAGATTGTACTCCAGCGTAGTGTCGGCGACGACCAAAAAAATGCTTGCCGGACATGCACATGAGCAATTGAAATCGACTTCGGCGCCGCTACGGGAGTGGGTGGTGAGCTGCTGAGGTGGCTCGACTCAAGCACGAGGTCGCATCGCGACTTCTCACCCATTCCATAATCGTTGCCTCTTCCACCACGTTGGCGATCTGATTGGCTGTGGAGAGCGCGGTTTCCCAAATTTTGGCTCAAACGTGCCATCCCACCATCAAGAACATAGCAGCAGGGTCGTCGCATGCATGTCATGCCCGACCAATGTTATTATTATTATCATCGCCGTTGTGGGCTGTCGCGGCTAGAGCCTGGCGTGAACACTGTCGTGCTCTCGCCGAAGTTCGGGCAGTGGTGCATTCATCGCAGGTACAAGATGTCGCGCGAATCCGCCCCATCCTGACAAACATGCTGCATTCCTTCCTCGCCTAGCACCCCGCCACAGCCTCACATAAACGCAGTTGCACAAGCCTTCGCCTTGACAGCTTGCCTCCATGAGCCGCTGGCCTGTTGTCGATGCCTTTGCATCCATGGCCGATATGATCGAACAGGCACCATCTCTCGGGCGGTCTGACGATAGTGCCGTCGACTCGAACTCGACGGGCCCGCAGACGCCTCATGACATTTCGCCTTTCGCCTATGCCGAGACCTACGCTATTCCTCCCCCAGATATGACAGCGCTACCACAGCGAGCAGGGACACCGCAGCCCTCGCAGTTCCGCGCTGCACTTCCCGACATCATGGACCCTGAGACTGCAGCCAACGTGCCTATCCGAACTGTTTGCTGCATAGGCGCCGGTTATGTCGGTATGTCACGCGATCATGGATATCGACGTGCGACTGTCAGTACTGACATGTATGTGATCAGGCGGCCCGACTGCTGCAGTAATCGCATTGCACAACCCTCACATTCGAGTGATCGTCGTCGATCGCGATCAGAAACGCATTGATGCCTGGAAGGGACGACATCTGCCTATTCACGAACCCGGCCTCGAAGATGTTGTTCGAATAGCAAGAGACGGTGGAGCGGAATGGCGGAGGAGGTCTAGTGTCGGACAAGCGCGGGCAGGTGCGATCGATGGCGAGACGCCAGATGAGGTCGTTGAGCCAAGACGTCAGCCGAACCTCTTCTTTTCGACCGCATGTGTTGAGACGATCAAAGAAGCGGATATGTGCTTGATCAGCGTCAATACACCAACGAAGAAACGAGGCGTGGGTGCTGGTCGAGCAACGGATATGGCTGCCTTTGAGGGCGCATGTCGTGATGTTGCGATGAACGCGAAGCCCGGTTGCATACTCGTGGAAAAGAGCACTGTTCCATGCAAGACAGGGCAATTGATGAAGGATATTGTATGTCTCACGTGATCTTTCCAGAATAACGCAGAGCTAACTTTCTACACAGATGGAGGCACATCGACCAGGCGTTGTCTTCCCAGTCCTATCGAACCCGGAATTTTTGTCAGAAGGTACAGCAGTCCGCGACTTGATGCAACCCGATCGCGTAGTCATCGGATGCGAGTCGACCATTTCTGGCCACCGAGCAGCTGCAGCACTCGCCAATCTATACGCTGCCTGGGTACCACGATCGAGGATTGCACCAATCAATATCTGGTCCTCTGAACTTTGCAAACTAGCCGCCAATGCCATGCTTGCTCAGCGGATCAGCAGCATCAATTCGATCTCTGCCATCTGTGAAAGGACTGGAGCCGATGTTGGCGAAATCGCAAAGTCAGTAGGCATGGACCCTAGAATTGGCCCGCAATTCCTTAAAGCTGGTCTGGGATTTGGAGGCTCATGTTTCAGGAAAGACATCGCATCTCTAACATATCTTTCCGAGTCGCTTGGCCTGCCCGAGGTAGCGGCGTACTGGCAACAGGTGCTCACGATGAACAACTTCCAGCGCGACAGATTCGCACGCAATGTGATCGCCACGCTCAATAACTCTCTGCGAGGCAAGAAGATCACGATCTTGGGCTACGCATTCAAGAAGAACACAGGAGATGCACGCGAGTCGCCAGCTCTGGATGTCATTCGTATTTTGCTCGAGGAAGGACCAAAGAGCATTTCCATCTTCGACCCATTGTGCAGCGAAAGCGACATCAAGCGAGAGCTGAGTGTGCTGGAACAAGAATTTGCAGTCTGCAAGCCGGAGGGACCGGTCGAAGTCCTCTCGGATCCCTATGTGGCGTGCGCAGACAGCAATGCAGTCCTCGTGCTCACAGACTGGGATATGTTCAAGATCACCGAGCAAGCCAAGCCGACCAAACCGGAATCTTCTGCAGATAGCTACGATGGCGCCACACCATCTGGTCTCCTTCGCATCACCTCTAATCTCGACCAAGTCAACATCAGCAAACCACCTACACCGCCACGAACACCAAAAATGTCTCCACTGCCAGCAGATCTGCAAAGTAGATTGCTTCCGGAAGCAGTCTGTCCTGCTGACTGCACGGAATGTACATCCACATCTGGCAGCGGCCAGACAGAGAAAGACACTTCGACGCCGCTATACTGGGCCGACATCTCAAAGATCATCAAAGAACCAAGATGGGTCTTCGACGGCAGAGGTGCCCTCGATCCTCGTGCTATGGTCGGTATGGGTTTCAGGCTGGAAACACTAGGTCGCGCGAGCATGTATTGAGAATGGAAAGTTGCAGGAATCATCTTGGCGCATTGAACGAGTTCAACACGATTGAGGGCTCCGAACAAACAGGGCATGCATGAACGAGGATAATGTGTAAGCGGACATGTCCGTTAGTGAGCGAGGCGTTGGTGGCGTTGATCATTGTTTTCGGAGGGTGGTCGAGAAGCTCCCATACCCCGTTTCTAGAGTACGAAGTTGTATGCACGAGACCCGCAGACCTGTCTACAGGATAGCGCGTCATGTTCGACGATACGTCCACCGCGACTGCTGGCTCGAGCAGCGCGTACGTGTCGGTACCAGGCTCAAGAAATCTACTTGGTTTGTCTGCAATATGCAGCGTCTCTCAATCGTCCTTCGAGCAGCGGCCGGCATGTAATACCTTGTGCTCAGGTACAACATTGCCAGCTACAGGAAACTGAGCGATGGTGGTGTCAACACTGCTTGGAAAGTCTGTGATGTGACCTAGAGCAGACAGACTCTGTAAGTCTGTGGCAATCAGAATCTCACCGGCTTGGAAGTAGGCCTCAGAATCGCTGGAAATGCTTGGGCGGGTCGGCAAAGCGATGCGTGCTAGTCCACTAAGGAAGATGGAATATTGTATCTATGTCATGTGTCAGTAAGGCTGCATCACAGACCTTTCGAGAACGATTTGCCGCACCTGTCTCGCCCACGCCTGCCCGATATACGTCTGTGGTGGTATTACGCCAACAAAGCTATTCGTGAAGTTTCCAATGGGATAGTTCGCTGCGCCTGCTGCTCCAAAGGGAGGAGCTGCAAGATTCCAGCATTCGAGGGTAGAGGCATTGTTCGCTGTGCCGATTGCACTAATGTTTAGGCCTTGAGCTGTTGTGAGGGATGGGCCGAGCATTGCGCCCATCATGAGTGGCCAGGCGAAGGTGAAATTCATCTTCATTGTTGGGAAGTCGAGCGACGATGGATTCGTGAGGTTGGGCAAGAAGATGGGGTGGACCTAGAGCAGTACTTTGGAAAGCCGCATACCTTATGTATCGACGTGTCTACATATAGCGAATGAGTGCGCTGCGCCTCTGTCCATGCTGTGCAATCCTTCCTACAAACCGCTTCGGAGCCCAGGACCCCAATATAATGTCTTGGTATATGCAAAGGGCCGTCAGCTCTGTTGATAGGCGACATCTAGAGTGGAGAAAAGATGTTCAATATGACGTACGAAAACTCCGTGTAGCCTTGGCTGGCCTCATTTGTCATTCAGCCCATTACTTCGTCCTTCTTCGACCTCGTTGTCAGTCGTCATCAGCAGCGGTATACGGACGAGACATGAACTACGGTGAACGAGGGTGAGAAACCTCTCGATTCCGATTGCTCATTCGCGATTACGTTAAGCCGTTCGCCAGATATGTGGACAACAGATCAGCAGTATATGTACATGCTCGCGCCCGTTGTGATGTCGCTCCGTAAAAGCAACAGAGACCAATGCCACTAGAGGCCGTCTGATCAGCTCACAATTCGCTTACACAGCATGAGATCCACCCTTTGCCGCCTTCGTCTCCATTGTCCCTGCCGTTTCGCTCGCCTGGCGTACCTCAGTATGCACAACAACCTCCATGCTCGCAGCCTCGCTGCGCGATTCTTGCCAAGACGACGAAATGCCGCACTTCACGGCTTTGCCATTCCAAGACGTGAGCGAGAAGTTTCGGAAACTCGTAGCCTGGCGAGGTCGAAAAGCCGTCGTGAGGCGCTTGAGGAGAGATGGCTGCGTAGCAGATGGTCCCGTATCCTTCTCAGCATCTACAGCTATGTTGTGATTGTTGATGTCCTTCGGGAAAACTGCAGAATTGGGCGATACACCATCGGCATCTGTCGTCGTGGTGACTGTAGTCGACTGCGAGCAATCCGTATCATAATGCTTCTTTAACACCGCTGACCCCTTCCGACTGAACAGCATCCTCGCCTTGCTGCTGACAGAGCTCCGAGTCCCCGTCGACGACTGCTTTGGCGTACCCTCCCGACTCAAGCTCGGCCACACTTTATGCGCCCCCATGGCCACCAACCCAGACCGATACATCTCCACCGCATCCCTGCCAAATCCAAAGAACACGAAGATGAACATTCCACCGCCAAGCCAGACGTAGACTGGATAAAGCACCCGGCCTTCACTGGGGAACATAAGGATCTCGTCCCATGTCTCCGCGCCATGCCACCGCTCCCAACTGAAAGGCTCAAAGTCCTTTTGGCTGAGGTTGGAGTAGAGCGTGAACAATTGGAGGGGCACGAAGAAGAGGACTAAGGTCGTACAGAAGAGATAGAGGCGTAGGAAGCGGTTTTTTGTCATGTTGCTGTTTGCGAGAATGGAGGCGAAGGTGAGGTGGTGGTGGATTAGGCGGGTGAGGATGAGGACTATTGAGGAAACTGGTCAGTATTTATCATCCAAAATAAGTAGGTGGGAACGGAACGAACCAGCGTAGTAGGCATCCAAGATTGTCCAAAGGACGGGCGGAAGCCAGTAGATCGCCACTGTGAGGTACGTGGTAGAGATATCAGGCACACAACCCATGATGCCGAAGATGGCGTAGCGGCGCGCTTGGACGATGTAGAGGATGAGCATATGCAGTGCGGGGAAGCCCAAACACAACATTCCATCTATGGCTCTTTCTCTCAACAGCTGCGCTTTGGTCTTCCCGCCGAGAGAAACACGATTGGTATCCATAGCGTGAGCCAGTCCGCGAAGAAGACTTGCTAGTGCAGCTGGCGCCGCCACTGTCCAGGCCGCTTGGAGACTGACTTCCACATCGCAGAGGCCGTGACCGTCGAACCAGGTTGCGATATTGTCGTTGGGCCAAATAAGGGCGTTGGTGAAGATGCGGAGGTTGAAGACGATGGTCCAGAGGACGAGTGTCAGTGCGCCGAGGTTCTTATTGCGATAGTGGGAGTAGGCTGGGCTGAGGAGCGTGATTGAGACGAGGAAGGAAAGTACTGCGAGAGCGGTCGCTAGGGGGTATGGGGCATCTGATGGTAGTTGCATGTCGTCCGTGACGTCTGTAGTGGTTGCACGCTGCAGGAGGCCGAGGAGATTTGGTATTGGTGCCATTGCTGTTGCGAGTTCGTCTGTGTCGGATTGATACTTCTTTATGTGTTTGCTGTCAATTCAAAGGAGCGGTAAAAGTGTTCGATGTGTGATATTGTGGTTGCGGAAGGAATGTCAAGAAACAAGAAGAAGAAGCAGATCAAGCGATGTGGGTCTGACAGTCCTCGTAGACTTCCAATAGGCTGTGGAAGCTCTCAATAGTAGAGTCAGAACCAATACCGCATCAATAAGCGTGACGATCGATAAGACCGTGTCTTCAATAAGTGGCAATGTGAGCATGACAGAGCATGGGAAAGAGACCAGTACAAACCGTCTCTACAGGCCTCAGTATGATGAGAAAGTGATTGTGAGGCCATAGTGTAGCAGTGGCGCTGTTATAGTTCTTTGATGGTCGTGGTTGGGAGTACATGTGGCGGCCATATGGGAGTGCTGAATTTGGGTGTCAATAGGATTTTAGCTCAGCGGTCAATAGATGCAGGTGAAACGAGCCGCTTCGAGGGTAGGAAGTGTTTGTGAATGCTGAGTACGAGACAGAGTCTGGGTATAGAAGGTGGTATTCTGATCGCCGCTGTCCATGCCGGATTGGTGGTGGCGCCACAAGGACGTCAGATCCAGTCCATATCTATGGTCATCGTGGTCTGTCGGATCAGCCGAAAGCAGGGAGCGCTCATCTATCTAGACGGGCACCCATTGCTCCCCGCCGAGGAGCTTGAGAAGGATTGTGAGGAGCCAGTTGGGCTGTAGAGGAGTTAAATATACATGGAGGAGGATGTTGGAATGTCTGGTCGTCGCTACATCCGATAGCTCCGTTAGCAGAATATGTACGGAAAGCTTCCGCGCGAGCAAAGTTGAGTATTTTCTGCTCGGGTGATCAGAACTGTTGCACGCGAGCTTGAGGAAAGCACCTCCAGATCGAAACTAACGGCTGTTGAGATGGCGCCCTCCAAACCACTATCCCGGCGCATGCAAAAGCAAGGGCCACCCGAACCACTGAACGAAGGCTTCTTCGGCAAGAAGAGAAAGTCTGCGGCTCCTACGAATGGAGCTATCAAGAAGCAGAAGAAGGGCGGGAATGCGCCAGCGGTGAAGGCAGTGGCGAACGGAGGACCGAAGCACGCTGCAAACTCGGCTGGCAAGAAGAGCACCAAGGGCGACTTCAAGACGCAGCAGAAGATCGCCAAGCAGCCGTTGTCGTTGGAGGAAGATGAGGACGACGTCTCCGATCTGAGTGGCGATGCTATTGACGATGCAGACGTCATGGAAGATGGGCTGAGTGGTCTGGCAGGCGCTGATTTAGACGACGCACTGGACAGCGATGCCGAGGATTTCGCGGACGCACCGTCGGATCTGGAGGAGGAAGACTTGCTGGACGAGGACCAGGATGTCGTGCAGAAGGGTGTATGGTCCGAGGATGATGATTCCGATGGTGAGGAAGCATTGACAGCGGCGAATATTGCAGGCCTGTCGCAAAAATTAGATGCACGACGAGCGGAGGAGGAAGAGGATGCCGAGCAAGAACTGGCGGACGATGCGCTGCAGACCAACATTGCTCCTGCAGACTTGGACCTGAGCGATGACGAAGCTGGAAAGACGAGTAGCCTGGCGCCCGATCTACAGCTATTGCGAACTCGGATCACTGAGGCTGTGCGAGTGCTCAGCAACTTCAAGGAGCTCCGCGACCCTACTCGCAGTCGTGCCGACTACACACAAGCCGTTCTGAAAGACATTGTTGCGTATTACGGCTATTCTCCATTCCTTGCCGAGAAGCTCTTTGGCCTGTTTACTCCACAAGAAGCCCTGGCTTTCTTTGATGCCAACGAGACGCCTCGTCCGATGGTCCTGCGTACGAACACACTACGAACACATCGACGTGACTTGGCTCACGTTTTGATCAACCGTGGTGTTAGTCTCGAACCTGTTGGGAAATGGTCAAAAGTCGGCCTGCAGATCTTTGAGTCTCAGGTCCCTCTTGGTGCCACGCCAGAGTACTTGGCTGGGCACTACATCCTGCAAGCCGCCTCCTCCTTCTTGCCTGTTATGGCATTAGCACCACAAGAGCACGAACGGGTGCTCGACATGGCTGCTGCTCCCGGTGGCAAGACCACACACATGGCGGCTCTTATGAAAAATACTGGCTGCATATTCGCCAACGACGCAAGCAAAGATCGTGCCAAAGGTCTCATAGGCAACATCCACCGTCTAGGCGTGAAGAACACCATCGTCTGCAACTACTCCGCCCAAGAGTTTCCACGTGTAATGGGAGGCTTCGATCGCGTACTCCTCGACGCACCCTGCTCAGGAACAGGTGTTATCGCGAAAGATCCTAGCGTCAAGACAAACAAGACGCCCGACGACTTCTTGAGGCTACCTCATCTCCAAAAGCAACTTCTGCTCTCCGCCATCGACTCAGTAGACCACGCAAGTAAGACCGGAGGCTACATAGTCTACTCCACTTGCTCCGTCACCGTCGAAGAGAACGAGCAAGTGGTACAGTACGCGCTCAACCAACGGCCCAACGTCCGACTAGTCTCTACGGGTCTCGTCTTCGGCAAAGAAGGTTTCACAAGGTACCAATCCAAGCGCTTTCACCCTAGCCTGAAGGAGACGAGGAGATACTACCCTCACGCCTTCAACGTGGACGGATTCTTCGTAGCAAAGTTCAAGAAATTCGGTCCGACAGGCGCCACGGCCGTTAAAGCGCAAGGCACGCCCGCGGAAGTGGCGAGGTTAGCAACGAATTCCAAGGCGGATGCTGAGGCTGAGGGTGTAGCTAATGGAGATCATGATGAGGTTCCAGAGAATAGTGATGAGGAGGTCGCTGAAGAGACGGAGTTTGGTGGGTTCGATGAGGATGAGGATCAGGTGTATATCGAAAGGAGTTTGAAGAAGACTATGAGGAGGAAGGGGATTGATTTTAGGGCGACGAAGAGTAAGGCTGTGAAGGCTCTTCATCCGGAGAGGGTAACGAATGGAGAGACGGTGAAGGTGAACGGGGTGGTGGAAAAGGCTACTGAGGATGATGTGAAGGTGAATGGGAAGAAGGTGGTGGTGGACGGCTCGTCCAAGGTCAATGAGGCCAAGAAGGAAAAGAAGAAGAGTGCGAAGAAGGCCGTATAATCGCTCGTACCGCTCTCTTATCGACATGGCCATGTACTCAGACCATCCCCGCCGCTATGAGCAAAGCTTCCGACCTGGACGCGTGGTCAGCGAATAATCTGACCACAAAGTCATTGTTCACTCACCTGTCTCGATTTCGAAGCTCAAATCACTCGCGCGACACAAGAGACACGGACGTCTCTTTGTTCTTACAGCGACAATGTGTTATTATAAGAGCCCCTTCTCAATCGGGACACTGGGATTGTATCAGACGTGCTAATAGGGAATTCCAATATAAGATTCCCAGACCACCAATCAGGAAACGAGTCTCGGCAGGTTAGAAAGGATATTACGAAGGCGATCGAAATGGCTCCGTCACTACTCTACACTCAGTCTTCCACATGGCATGGTGAGGGGGAGGGCCTGCTTAGACAGCATATCGACAACTTTGCGGGTCAAGATGTCGCTATGCCCGAGGGCGGGCACAACGGTGCTGCCACTCAGATTATTGCTGGGCCTTCTTCCGTACTCTGCTATGGGTGCGGGCAGTCCTTCAGCAATGTAAAGGCGGTGCTGAGGCATTTGCACACGGCGCATCACATGCCGTTGAGTCCGCATTGCAGCTGTGCGATGTGTCGATTCTCGAGAAACACGCCGCCGCCTGAGCAGGGTTTGCTTGGTGGACAGGGTGGTGCTGCAGCCAGCAACGCTGTGCTCCAAGGAACTGCTCCCCTCAGCGTCCTCACATCCAAGCAAGCTACGAATGATGCAGACATTTGGTCCAAGATCTCCGAAACCAATCTTCCGCCTCTGCTTGGCCAGCTCGAGGCCGGTACGCTCCTCACCAGCCGTGACGGCAGCATCGTCTACCGTACCCGGGCAGCTGCTCCACCACCACTACTGGATACCAACGGCAACCAGGTCCGTAGCGCAGCCACCAGCCGCTTGATGCGCGACATCTCCTTTCTCCCTACACTCATCCCAGCCGATATACCAATTTGGCATATCCACTTTTTTGAGCGCCTTGCCGCTTCAAAGGGCGTCGACCTTCTCCTAACAGATATCATGGACCGCCTGCCACCCCACAATACCGTCAGCAAGAACGGCTTGGATATGAAACTCCAGCGCTATCGCGCTAGCATGGGCTACCTTCCACTCGTGAACAAGGATCTGGAGAGGAGTTTAGCGTTTCAGAGTAACGTTTCCACGATCCAGGACCTGATGGTATGGCAGGGGAAGTCGAACACGATATGGTTACCAACGCATATGGGGAGGAAAGGGCCGTGGAAAGTTGTACAGCCGAATTGGCATCCTGGACATAAGAACAGAGTCGCAGGCGGCAGTCGAGGAGGTGGAATCTACATCATCGACTCGTTGCCGGGCCTCAGCGACCGTGTCCGCAACATTGCCGATACGATCGTGTATCTGGACTGCAAACTCATCGACCTCCGACTCACGCCTGCGGCTGAATTGGATGAAGAGGATTTGGCTTTGAAGCAGGAGGTTTTGTCTTGGTATGAAACGCTGGAACCTTGCTCGGGAGCGAGGGCGCTCATGTTGAAGCGAACGAGTAATGCTGAATTTGAGCATTGGCTTGCGAGGTCTAGGAGTGGGGTCAGTTTGAAGCAGATTAGGAGGGCGCTTGAGGTTGCTGAAGCGGGGGGAGGGCCTTGCGGTGAAGAGTATGTAAGGGTCGTGGGCGGGGATGAGAAACTGGTGGTGATGCTTAGTGGGAGTTGAGGGACAATGTGGACACTGTTGTGGTCGCTTGGGTATACAAGGATAGTGAACAGTATTTATCATCGCTCACGGGTCTGCAGACATTGAATCAGCTAGACTCGACGTCACGGAAACTGACCTCCACGGACATCCGATCCAACAAGAGTTAAGTGAAGCACGTAGCGTGAAAGTGGGTGCAGGTCTGGAACTATGTTCGATACTACCCTCATCGTCGCAAATAACAGTAGCAAGGCAGCGACGTGTTTCAATCGATCCACTATACCACGATGTACAGCTCCACATGCTCCTGACACCACCGAACGCCCTAGCTGCGTCATGGGATACCTTAGCTCCAGGAGCGGCCCTGCGAAGTGCTATCCTCATGTATGGACCAGTCTAAGCAAGCATGAGGAACGCAGCATATCTTAGCTGCTTGCCAAGCCATGCAAGCAAGTGGAAGGGTCAAGCCAAGAGCAGCCCAAGCGAAGTACATGCTTGTCTGTGCCATCAAAAGCGACTTGGCCTAGTGGTGAAATGCGTACTGTATTACTTGCCAAGCCTATGCAAATAAGTCAACACGAGACCGTTAACAAGGAACGGCCGAGCCAAGAGCTGAGGAAGCGGAGTGCATGATCCTTGTGTTACTGTACCTGTTGGCAGTATGGACGAGCAATATGCTCAGGAGATGTTCATGTGACGTATGCCAGGCACGCTGGATGTCTGGCGCTTCACTGGCCATGGAGACTGGAGCCTAGACTCCCTGGAGCTGATAGAACTGTAGCATTAGGAAGGTGAGCTTCCAACATACTGAGTCTATCTCTCTTGCTCAACGCGATATCAGCACTTTCCAGGCGAAAATCTCAAGACAAACCATAATGCAGCTCACCATCTACCTCCCCATGCTCAGTACTACCACTGCAGTCTCCGCAGTCTCTTGTTCTCATGCCGTGAACTCGAAGATTGCCATCCAGGAATTCCAACACTTGGAGCTGATCAATATATCCAGGGCATCTCAGGGACCTACAAGGACTACAAGACTTGTGCTTCTCAGGGCAATTGGTGGTCTGTCAATGACTGTCCAGGACGTGAGTAAAACCTACAACACATTCTGGTCCACTTCGCGGCTGATTTCGAGCTCTAGAGGCTGACAATATCCGATGCTGCATGAACTCCCACTGCTACCATGGTAGTACAGAAGGTTATTGCACGAACACCAAGACGAACACTGGATCGGGAAAATGCCCATACTCTTTGAAGAAGTGAGTGCACTTTTGTCCGAGTCCGGCCGATGACCATTCATGATATCTAGCTACTGACGCCGAGCATAGGAATTTGGGCTGTCCAGGTCCCAGCGATGTCCAGTGCTGCGTACATACTGCGTCCTGATGGGCCAATGTGTCGTGCGTAGCCTGTCAATCATGTCTCTGCTCCGGCATGATGCCGTGAGGATCTATCACCTGTAGATTCAGTTCACCATCAATTTCGCTAGCACTGGGACAACAGCAACCGTCTCAGATAAGTACGTCTATAGATTTGGCGAAGATGTCTCACATCTAGGTTGATCCAGTACTTTCGAATTTGGTGTCCATGATCTCGTTCCTCGCCTGGAGTTCATAAACGCATCGTATCCGACTTCGGCATCTCACATCCCGAACCCCTCTGCTAGATATGTCAACATGCCGACGCACCATGATATGTTAATGTTGCTGACATAGGCGGTATCGTTCGTATAGTAATGAACGATCCTGCAATACCTAGTATACCAGATCTCAGCAGCAGTCGTCGTCGCCTCCCCAGTGTCAGCACGACATCATGCCATTGACGTCCGACCTCACGCTTGATCCAAGCAAGTAGGTCACAGTATTGTTCAAGAATCTTTACCGTTGATCAGTCTACTAAAAGCAGTGAAGATTCGATCCCAAAGCCATCGACGAGAAGACCACACAATTCAATGAGAAGCTTATCAAGATCATGGAGGGTGGGCCTCGTTGTATGTAACACAATCATCATGGAACCCCGAAGTCTGGGAATCTGACGAACGGTCACTGAAATGATCGATAGGGTGGGAAGTGGGAGCAGAAAAGTATCGTCAAATGAGATGGAACGGCGAGACGCCGCTACCGAAACCAGGTATCATCGCAATCGCCACGTCAATTCAAAGAACACCACAAGCTGACCACATCCTCGAACCCAGTCGTCCTTGACTCCGGTAAGAACATCACACTCCCCTCTCGAGACCCCGGCCGCACAGTCCCCTGCCGTGTCTTCCACCCCGAGGACAACGCAGCTCCAGAATCGCTCCTCTACCACATCCACGGCGGGGGCTGGGTCCTGCAATCCGAGCACTTCCAAGACATAATGCTCCAATACCTCGCCACCCACTGTAACCTCGTGGTCTTATCCGTAGGCTACCGCCTCGCACCAGAACACCCCTATCCAGCCGGCAACGAGGACTGCTTCGACGTAGCCGAATACCTCGTCGATCACGCAAAGAGAGATTATGGTGTTGAGATGGGATTTATGAGTGGCGATAGTGCGGGTGCTCATCTCAGTGTGGTTACTACCTACCACCTCCTGAAGTCTCGACCCGACTTCGCATTCAAGGGCCTGGTATTGAACTTCGGCGCGTACGATCTGAGTGGGTTCCTACCACAGGCATGGCTGTTCAAGCTGCCATTGGTGTTGGATGTGGAGATTATGCAGAAGTTCATACGTCCCCTGTCACTTTCATCCTTCCTGGGTCTGACGGTACTGACTGCGTTTGTTCAGATACATCGAAGCCTACCTGCCCAACACGACACCAGAACAACGCCGGGATCCGATGATCTCGCCAGTTTTTGCGGATCTGAATAGTATGAAGCTGCCCTCGGCATTGTTCGTAGTAGGGACGCTGGACTGTCTGCTGGATGATAGTGTCTTTATGAGTGCGAAGTGGCGGATGAGTGGTGCAGAAAGTTTGCTGAAGGTGTTTCCCGGTAAGTGTTGAGCTTTAATGCCTGCGCCAAGAACATCTGCGACAATCGACTGCCGTGGTCATTAGGCTGATACGCGATTGCAGGAGCACCACACGGGTTCGTCTTCTTCCCACCAGGCGAAGGCGGAACACCAGAAACGCAGAAGTCGCTGGACGATATCACGATGTATATCAACGAGCGCGTATGAAGTCGTATATGTGCTCAAGGGTGTGCTGTATTTCTCATCTATATGCCACGTATAAGTCTAGTCAGTAGCCGGCATAGCCTCATGGCCATGCCAAGCCATTACCACCTGAATACAGCCGGTCTTGTGTTACCTCCGGCCGCCTTCCCGTCTCTGTCTCGTTGCCTCGTTACTTTTCATCCTTCGCGGATTAGTGAAGAAGAAGAGTCTATCGTTTTTCGAAGTGGATTAAGGGCACAAGGTATCCACGGAAATGTGTAAGCTGTCTGGCATGGATGTTCGCAAGGCTGCTGATCGCTCAGTCATCCGCAGTAGGTTTGTACATAATCGTGGTAAGGAACTATACATCATTATCAGTATTCGATCGTGTGTACGCTAAGAAACAAGTAAGCTCACCTTCCGCTTGTACCTCGTCGTGCCACTGGTAGCGAGCACGCCACTCTTGATGCTGCTCGTGGCCAGATGATTCAAGACAGTGTGATTTGGCATGAGCAGCACACTGGCATCGTCTTTGTGCGGCATGTTACCATTCAGGATACTCTTGCCAAGGAACATCGGAAGCGAGGGTGGCTGCGGCAGGTGCTGCTCTACTCGTTTCGCTCGCTGCACCTTTTGATCTTCGGTATTGTTACTGTCAAGGTCGAATAGAAAAGCTGGAATCTCAGACGTATACTTCGGTCGTGGTAACTTCTGCTTCACAGGCTTGGGTACTGGTTGGGTGCGCGGTGTCGGCGTTGGCAGCGGCTCGGGCGCCCGCGGTATTGATGTTGGCTGAGCTGGTCCAGCGCCAACAGTCTCCTGTAGCGTAGAGGGCTGTCCACCTTCGACTGTCTCTGGTGCACGTTGTGCAGGCCGAATGTCCATAGGCCTGGCAATCGCCTCCCCTGTCTCTATGGCTTGGGCGGCCGTCAATGCGGCTCCAGGTATCGGCATCGGCTCGGCAGGTACGGGTGCCTGCTCAGCCGTGGCTGGGAGAGGAGCGACGACCTCAATGTAATTGACTAGAATGTTGGTGTAGTCCACAGTCGTGGGCAAGTCGTCTGAGGTAACCATATCGCCACCCACCAAGAACTTGAGATGGTGAGTGCCCGGCTTGAGCTGTAGCGTTGCCGTGAAGCCGCCATTCTCCTTGTCCGGATGTAGCTTGAACTTGCGTTCCCAGTTGACAAAGGTGCCAGTTACGTAGACCTTGTCTGAGTCGCCTCGCCATGTCACAGTAGTGGGAACACTGGGCGCTGAGGAATGAGACTCAGGCATGAAGGCATCGAGATCGCCAATCTCGTCATCGTCTGCGGTCGTGGAGCTCAATACACTCGACCTACGAGGCAAGAGCCCATCAACCTCGGACTGGTATAGCGGCGAGCTGACATCTTGTGCGGTGAGAATTGGTGAGCCAGGTGTATGCAGCTCCTCCTCAATTGGCAGGGGCAGTCTAGGCGGCCTGTCATATCGGTTGGTGGTCGGTGCAGAGTATGGTGATCCTTGTGGTATGCCTGTAGGCTCGAATATCTCCTTCTCGCTCAATCCATCACCAGCCTGAGGCACATCCACTGGGCGTGAAGATGGTGATGAAGTTGATACTCTGTCATCATCCACAGGCGGCGCGGGTAGTGTCTGAGACCTAGAAGGTGGCCTACGCTCTTTGCTCTCCGTCTGGCCCATGGCAGACCTGTTCGACCTGTGACTCGACGCCGAGTCGTCCGTAGCTTTGGATCGCGAAGTCGCAGATGTTATCGATCGGGCTCTCGAGTGTGTTTGAGTTGGTGAGGCATGCTCGCGTGTAGTTGTGGTGGAAGCGGCGCTGCTCGGGACAAGAGTCGAAGCCGGCGCTGAAGGTTTGGTCGAGGCATGTGATTGCTGCTTCCGTTTCGCTTCACGAGAAGCTTGCCTTTCGAGGATGGAGTATTTGACTGACGCTGGCGATGGTGACTTTGCATTTTCTTCGCGCGATGATGACGACTCTGCATTTCCCATCGTCCTGCCTTCCCACCCAGATTCCTTACGGTACTACGGTGACGTTATCTTCCTGTCTATTTCATACTATAGTGTGGATGCTTCGTGCCCTTGGCTCTCGTCCAGTCTCATTAAAGTCAAGGGTAACACCGCATGCTGAGAGGGCGAATGAGGAGTGAGACGAAGAAATGATTATGAAGCTCACCCGCGTGCCCACCATGCTCCTCTCTATCGACACGCCCGCCCCAATTTGCATGTGAATTTAGCGGTTGGGGTGCAGGGTGGAGGCTGTGGAGCAGCACACACGCCACTTTGATTCGCTGCAATAGAGTTCTGCACCTCATCGACATCCTGCACAACACCGTTCCTGGATTGCATGCATATAAGTATCAAGCCAGCGGGCTATTGGCTGGCGACATCAATGCCATAACATGAGCTGATCGCATGCCAAGAAAGAAAACATGGACAAGGCTGTCGAGGGCCAGGACCTCTTGAATGTACAGTCCGTATTTGCCGTCCTCACCACTTATGTTATCTGGCCGATCGGACTGGTCGTATACTACGTTCTACTCTACCTGGCAATCGCGATACTGTTTTTAGCCAAGATTCTGTACACACCAGTCGGATGGTTATTACAGCCTATCATATACATGGGCCAATTCTTACTCATCGTTTTATGGACGCCTTTCCGCTTGTTGGCGAAGCTGGAGGTAAGCGGCGTCTGCGGTATGAAGTGGACATCACTAATTACTGGTAGACACTCTACATCTATCTCGGCGTGGCAGCAGTGGTCGGTCTCGCTATCGGCGCAGTTATGCGGTACCTCTACGGCTCACTGTCTGGAGTATTGCACCTGGATACGCCACCAGCAAGGTCAGCCAAGGAGTACCGCCAGGCAAAGCGTAGAGAGAAGGAGAAGACTGCGGCTTCATTCTACCCACCACTGCATGCATCACCTCAAAGTACATCGCCCACACAGCCTTCGCAAGCCTACTATAGCACCTCTGATGCTGCACTAAAGTCACGACATGGCAAAGGTCTCCTGAACCAAACTATCATGGAAGAGATGGACTCCGACTATTGACAATATCAATGAAGCTCTATGATAAGGCACGACTCATGCTACTCGCTGGGTAGCGACCTGCGCTTGACCCAAACCCGAGTATCATCATTACTGTTGTACACACCGGTGGCCTTCCGATGCCGTGGCATCTTCCAGTCTCCGCCACCAGCAGGCTCGATATCCCACATGGCGATCATAGCGGCTGGGAACAGCATAGCTTGCTTGAACGCAAACGCTCTGCCTTTGCACATGCTTGCGCCACCGCCTAGCACGAGTCAGCGTGTACCCAGCAGGAATTTCGCGGAATATGCGACTTACCATAAGGCCTAATGGAACCCATATCAGCTACCTGACTCTTCTCACCCTTGTCGAACTTGATATGGCGGTCAGGTTTCCAGGCATCGGGGTTAGGAAAAGAAGCAGGGTCTGTATTATGCAAATCGTGCGCGACATGAGCATAATCGCCTTTGCGTAATTGCCAGCTTGGGGCTTCCTTGTCACGACCTTGTAACACAAAGTCCTGCTTCACGATCTTTAAGCTCCATGGAGCAGCATCAAGGCGGAGACATTCAATATAGCAGCTTTTCAGTAACGGACAACTGTTACACAACCCGTCAATATCAAATGTCTCCAGCCGTGGCGACTCAGCTATCGGCAGATCGGACTTTGGCTGAACGACCCTAACGTATGGTGCGATTTCTTCCCGGACCATGGCCAGCAGTGCTTTATCAGCATAGATGCGATTGATCATCCAGAATATTAATGTATCAGAATTCGCATTCGCCGCCCAGAGCAACGAGTGTTCTGTCGCGGCTCGAGCACGTATACTCCAGCCATATTTACGATACACTGACATTCGCGCCATCACCAAAGACCCGACATCGTCGAGACTACTCCACTTTGAGTCTGGTTTCTCACCCTCCATGTGCTTGTCCAGCATAACATGAAAGGTGTCAACGGCAGCGAGGATGCGTTGTCTAGCAATGTGTGCTCGAGTCAAAGCAGGAACTGGGAACCACCTAGGCAAGCCGGTAGCCAGCATGAGAATCCCCTTGTCCAAAGTCCAAATATCCTCGAAGAAGTCTGGATAGTTTGCCAAGAAGTCCGAGCCAACGAGCGAAGGATTCGTGATATGTGCAGCATAGTCTCTGACGAGAGGCAGAAGACTGGCTTCTACCACAGACTCTCCTGATTTGTTCTTAGTAGTCTCCACCCCACTCGTCCTCTCCCACGGCATCTGATCAACTAGACTTTCACTCCCCGTCACAAAATCCATGATCCTTCCTCTCAGTCTCTCCCCCGTGTCCCGAGTCATGTTTCCCAGACTCGGCTCGCTAAGCAGATGTTTATAGCATGTCAACATCTCCGGTAAGGCGGCATCGTACTTGTCTTGTTCTTGCTTTGGAAACCCGAAGACCACGCTGAGTATATGTCTTGAGACATCATCAGAGGTGGCGATAGTAGACTTTTGATTCATCAGTGCTGTTGCCAGACTTGGGTTGTGGATAATGTTGTGTCGACCGCCAAAGAAGTTCAGAGTAAAGATTCCGGGACTCATGCTATCGCGAAGGCTGGAAACGAAGGTCGTGGCGTCCAAGGCCATGTTTGGAATGTGCCCGATGAGTGGGAGCCAGTAAGGCACTGCTGGGACTGTGTTCGCTCCATCTCGTGATTGTCTTGTCCTGCTCGCTACAAAGCCAGTATAGATTCGTGTTGCAATCAAGACGAGGAGGAGTCCGATAGGCGCAAGTAGCCATGGACTGCCAAAGCGCTCTTGCCAGGAGATGAGGAATGCATTTCTCCCAGGCGCACCTGTCATGAATGGTGTTCCCTCCATGATCGATTTGACTTGATCGATCTTGCACAACGAATGAAATGGATGTCGTTGTGCACTTGCTAGAATACTAATGGAAGATGTTGTTCCAGCTGAGCACGAGCCAGAATCCGCTAGCCATCACTTCTTCATTTCAATTCCTTTCCTGATAATCAGTCATCACTACGCGAGCTACGCGAGCCTGTCCCGAGGTCGTCCTCGTGCGAAAAGCACCTCGGGGTCGACGTGATGGGAGACCAGGTATGTTACGTGGAGGAAGCGGGGTCAGGTCGGTATCAGGCAGTATGACCGTTGTAGAGTATCGTGTGGACTCTATGCCCATACAGGATCTCGAAACTTGTTACTACGACGCCCACGACTTTCTCCACTGATTCCAGCAATCTCTGGTGTGCACTGTACATATCAGAGCGTGGACAACCTACTCAGAATCGCCATACCAATTCATCCTGCAGCATCATCTTGATATAACTGTCCGAAACTCTTTTCGAATTGCAAGAATGACGGCCATCAGCATTCCAGATAAGGACATTGCATCTCTGGCGGGCAAAGTGGTCGTATTGACTGGTAGAAGTCGGCTACCATTGCTAAACGGCTCTGCTGACAATGACAGGCGGTTCGGTAAGCCAAGCTTGAGACAGACTGAACAGCCGTTTCGTTCTCATACTGAGCCAGTGTACTCCGAAATGATCATTGATAAGTCCTTCAGTCTGGTATCGGTCTTGCCACCACAAATTTGCTTCTTGACCACGGCGCTATTGTCGTATCCGGCGATATCCACGAATGTCCACTGAAGCACAAGAATCTGGCAAGCCACATCGCGAACGTCGTAGACTGGAGCTCGTTATCGGCTCTGTTCGACAAAGCTAAAGACCAACATGGAAGGATAGACCATGTATTCGCGAACGTGAGCACTGTCCCATCAACCCTGAGCACACATGCAATTCACTAAGTCATCATGCGATTGTCAGGCTGGAATATCAGGCCGTGCAGACTATGTCAATCCTCGTCTCAATGAGCAAGGCAAACTTCTGGAACCCGATCACACCACTCTAGACACCAACCTGAAAGCCGTTATCAATACAGCCTACCTCGCAATCCATCACTTCAAGTCCCAATCGCCACCAACAGGAAGCATCGTATGCACAGCCTCCATAGCAGCTGTCCAACACTTCCGGGCAGTCGACTACGCAGCAGCTAAACACGGCGTCTTAGGCCTAGTCCGCGGTCTTATACCCGCGTTAGCTGCCGACAGTGTTCCTGTTCGTGTCAATGCTATTGCACCACACTGGACGACTTCTGGTATGGTACCGGCAGCATTGCTAGACGCGATAGGACAGGCTAGCCAAGGCCCAGAGGCAGTGGCGAGAGCAGTGGCGTTGCTCATGGCTGATGAGAGCAGGCAGGGACAGCTGGTCATGTCGCGAGAGGGAAAGCATTTCGAGATAGGTCAGAGGCTGAACGAAGTCACGGATGAGCTGACAGGAACGGCCGAGGAGCTGAACGGCACTACAGAGAAACTTGTAGCATTCGCAAGGCAGCACGGCCAAGCTTCTTGATGATAGTAGCAGATACTGATCGGTGTTGATGGAACTCCATCCAATCTCGCATCTTCCCGCTGTCCATCACGTAGTAGCGGAGATCATATGAGATTCAGGTTGGTGTGGACTAATATGTGGACAGCGCACAAAGGAGTGTCATTAAGAGCTGTCTACTGATCTCGAGTGCGTCATATTTCATTTCTTCAGATCTTCATCCATCATCCGCGAAGTATCAAAAGATCATCAAGCATATCGTGTACTAAGCAGCCGCAGCAACAGCCTGGACAGCCTCGCGCTCGCGCTCAAGCACGTTCTCCAACGCACCAAGAGCACCCTGTCCAGCCTTGAGATCCTGCTCGAAGTCCTTCAAGCCCAGCTGCTCGTCCGTCCACAGGGGCTCGACGACTTCAGCGTTCTGAACACCTACGCCGATGAAGCCACCCTCCTTAGCCCAGTCAGAAGTGCGCTTGATGACGAGCTCGTTCCAGACACTCTCCAGCGCCTGACACAGGTGGTCGCGGTACTCCTTGATGTGGCCAGGAGTCGGAGTAATGCGGAGTCGCTCTTGTCCGACGGGTACGGTTGGGTAATTGATTGCCTGCACATAGATTTGGTGCTTCTCCAACAGCAAGTCTGAAGCCTTCTTCGCCACCTCGGCATTCCCAACCAAGACAGGAATGATGTGCGAAGGATTCGGGATGACCGGGATATCCATTGAGTTCAGTGTCTCCTTCACGGCACGGGTGTGTAGCTGCTGAAGACGCCTGTCACCCTGGTAGGCAGTCTGGTACTTAATTGCGGTCTCAGCACCAGCCATTGTCGCGGGAGGAAGCGAAGTCGTGAAAATAAAGCCTGGGGCCAAGGAACGAATGGTATCGACCATCCTGGCCGAACCAGCAATGTAGCCGCCCACACAGCCGTAAGCTTTACCGAGAGTGCCAGTAATGATATCAATGCGGTCCTGAACAGTCCCTCTCGGGTTTCCGCCGTTGGCATAAACATCATAATCCAAATGCTCAGCTACGCCAGCGCCACTGGGTCCATACATGCCGACGGCATGGACTTCATCGAGAAAGGTGATAGCGCCGTACTTCTCCGCCAAATCGCAAATCTCCTCAATCGGACCAATACTGCCGCACATGCTGTATACACTCTCGAACGCAATGATTTTCGGCGCGTCTTGTGGCAAGCTCGCGAGCTTGTTCTCCAGATCCTCCATATCGTTATGTTTGAACACGATTTTCTTCGCCCCAGAGTGGCGAATGCCTTGGATCATAGAAGCGTGGTTCATACTGTCGCTGAGAATAACGCAGTCTGGGAATTTACTTCCCAGTGTCGCGAGCGTAGCATCGTTCGCCACATAGCAAGACGAGAAAACCAATGCTGCTTCCTTGGCATGCAATTTCGCACAAGCCGCCTCAAGCGAAACAGCATGCTGATTGTGCCCAGATATGTTTCTAGTCCCACCAGCACCTGATCCGTATTTATCCAACGTCTCGTGCATCTTGTTCAAGACATGCTGGTTCCTGCCCATACCAAGATAATCGTTCGAACACCATACCGTGACCTTCTCCTCGGCAGATGACATGTGAGCACGTGGGAATTCTTGTGCCAAGCGATTGATGTTGTTGAAGTAGCGGTAGCTCTTGTCCTTGTGCTTCTTGTCCAGCTCGTTTTGGTAGAAGGCATCATAATCAAACTTGACGGGGTTTGGTGGCTGTGGGGCCATACCGTGCTGGTGCTGCTGAGTTGTAGACTTTGCTCCGGGTGGGCTAAAGGGGACATGCTCACGCCTTAGACTGTGCACATCGACGGCCTGCGCCTCCTTGGGTGCGGTGGTGTGCAGCTTGGCCCGTGGCGGCTTCGTGTGATAAGCACGAGTTCCACTAAAGGCGCCGGCCATGGCAGAGCTAGCGATGTTGCGGCCGCTCTGGACAGATAACGCCTTGCCCATGACCGGGCAGCGACGTGCGATGATTTGCAGGTTCGACATGGCACCACCACCCACAGCGGCGGCCTGCTGAACATTGGCGCTGTTGGACAGCAAGCGCAGGGTGGCGGGCGAAGTCTTCTTCAAGAATGGGCACATTGTGCGGCTTTGGCGGAGTAGAGCCTCCATTGCGATGGGATATGATTCAGATGGGTTTCCACAAGAAATGCTGGCAGTCGTAGTAGATTGGGCGTGGGAAGGGCGGGCATGTGTTCAAGCTGAATACTCCGGCTTATGTGGGATCATCGACGGAGATGTTACATTATTTTAAGCTCAATGGCCCCACTAATCTCGATGCGTAGAGATCAGACGATATGCCTTGCTTCTGATTAGCTGGCGGGTTTAAGCATAGAAACGGCCCATCTTTACCCAAGTGCCTCGGTGCACCCAAATTTCATTACTTTCTGCTAGAGCACACCAAGCATGTATCTTGGATCGACATAATTGAGTTCACGGCATGTATTCAGAATGGGTAAAGATGCTCGCCAGTACTGAAGTCAAGATATATAAACCGAGGCACTATCTCGAAGCTTGGCATGGTCAGAGAGGAACGAGAACGAGCTGCAGCAAGGTCTGCCGTGCAGCAGGCTGAAGACGCGCGTTATACTACATGTGAAGGCAACATTTTACAGTGACGTGGCCATCCCGAGCCATCATCTATTAACAAAACGCCAACGCTATGCCCCCGTTTCAACGCTGAATTCGAGTTAAGCGTAATCGACCTCCACACTCTCTAATCCTTCCCCAACCACTTCCAGACTCTGCAAGCCACCTACGAACGCCTTGATCTTCTTGAACTTCTTCCCCAGCTTCTTCGTGTTGAAATGACGATGCTAACGTCCGCTTCGTCTCCTCTTCGGATCAAAACCCGTCTGCTCGTCGTGCCTACGCTTCCGGTCCGGATGCTGCTGTGGTCCACCAAGCTCCTGTTGCATCATGCCTCCTCTGCCGCTAGGACCTCCACCCTGCTGTCCGCTCATATCCCTACGGTCGTCTTCACGCCTAGCAGGGCCTCTGTTATTGAACTCTTCGGGCCAACCGGAGTTGCGTGATCCTGCTCCACGTCGACCATCGTCGGGGCCGTCCCGAGAAGGCTCGTGATTGTGGTTGAAGTCCCCTCCGCGGCGTGGGAAGTTTGAGCCTAGAGACGGTGGCCCTCCCATCGAGCCTGGACCAGGCATCTGTGGGTCTCGTCGCGCATCATCATTACCTCGTGGCCCCGGCATGCTACGCCTGTCACGCTCATCTCGTGGTGGCCGTCTATCGTCTCTCGGCGGACCAGCATTGCGTTTGTCACGGTCTTCAGGCATGCTCTGGGGTGGAAGTGGACGACGTGGTGGCTGGTCATCTGGTCGGACACGCTCGCGGCTTGCCTGCCCGCTACCACGCTGTCCACGATCTTCTTCATCACGTCTAGATCTCGAATCGTCGCGTGCGTCTGCTTGGCGAGTGCTCTGGAACAGATCTTGCCGTGGTTCAGGAGCGCGAGAGTCTGGTCGGCTTGCGGGCCCGGCATCGTGACGTGAAGGATGCTCATGGCGCCTCGATGGCTCTGCTGGAGGCTGTACAGGCGCAGTAGCCTGGAACGAAGCCGGTGGTCCTGCTGAAGACGCAACGGCTATGCTGCCTTGTCGACTCGAAGCTCCTCTAAAGCTCACGTCCTGCCCGTTGCCACGTGGACTCTGCTGTGCGGCACCACCGCCCTGCAAGGTAGCGTTGATGGAGCTGATTGGGCCGCGCTGTCCGCCACGCACTTGTCTATCACGCTCTGAAGCTGGGCCAGATGGTGGCGCGGCAGAGACAGGAGAAGGGCCAGTAGGTGCACCATTTGGAGGACGATTGCCTGCAGCAGCTCTGGGCCCTGACGGTGGTGCAGAGCTGATGGGTGATGACGAGGCATGTGCCTGTGACTCGTTGCCTCCATTGATGAGACGCAATCTATCTGGATTGACGCCGCCAGCTTCGCCTGTAGGAGCTTGTGATGCTGGCGCTGAAGGGGCTGCGCTTGCTTGGTGGTTGGGAAACTGTCCAGAGCTTCGGCGATCGTGCGAAGGCTGGCGTGGGAGCTGTCGATCGGCTGCAGGTGACTCCGGAGGTCTGCTGGTTATAGGAGAGGACGCAGAAGAGCCATTCTGACGGGTGTCGACTTGCAGTGGTTGGGCAGTGAAATTACGGCCACCTCTTCCAGATTGACCATTGACGGGTCGTGGACCAGATGGCGGTTCCGCAGGCTGGTTAAGCCGGCCGTAAGACGACTCTTGATGGCTATCCCTACTTAGACGACCCTTCTTCGGACCAGAAGGCGCAAGCTCTGTGGCCTGTTCTCGTCTACCCTGATCGCGCGCGAATTCTGCTTGTTGAGGCGGCTGCGGCCGACGGTCACGCTCATCCCGACGTTGGCGGTCGTGACTTTGGTCTCGAGACGGCTCCGGATTTCTGGCCAAGCCTTTCTCCTCCTGCTCAATCAGTCGCATCCGCTCATTGTTGACACGAAATTGCTCCATGGTCTCATTATTTGCGGGTGCCCTAGGTGGCGTGGACGCAGCAGGGGTAGAGACCACTGAATTGAGATGACCAGATCGCGGACCAGGACCAGCTTGCGCGGTAGGAGGACCCATAGACCCATTGACACGCTCGCCATGACGATCGCGGGTGTCGGCAGCTCTGGCGTGCATTGGTGGAGCAGGTCCATCGCGTCTTGAGAACGAATCGTCTCTCGCTTCACGTGGTCGCTCATCTCTATTGTGGCTGCGCTGCATGCCCGGTGGCGTCCTAGCGCGGCTCCGACCTGGGGAATGGTCGCGAGAACCAGGACGTCCTTCTCCAGGTCGATCAAGTCTGCCGTAGCCATCATCAGCACGTCTGGAAGACCGGACATCAATTCTCGCGGCCGGTGTTGGCGGCAAAGGCTTCTGCTCGTGTGCTGGGCGAGAGTCTGATCGCGACTCGGGTCGCGGGGGGCGTGTAGGAAGCTGCGACGAAGACTGGCGCGATAGCTCTGGTCTTGCAGATTCGTTCGAAGCCGGTAAGTTCCTGGTCATAGCCGGACCGCTTGGCGCAGCAGACGCCTGTGGCTGCTGTCTAGGTGGAGGTGTAGGTGCTGCGCGTGGCTCAGGTGATGGCTTCGCAGTCTGTACCTTGGCCTGGACATCGCCTTTCTCCGCCGCAGGAACCTGCTTCGCCGTCGCCTTCTCAGCATGCTTTTCGTCTTCCACCTCACCATCTTCAGGTCCAGCACCACCATCACCATTGACCTTTGGCTTAAACTCCGGCGCTTGAGCATTCAGCTCTGACGCCTCAGGCCCAGCACTGCCCTCCTCCTTAGCATTCTCATTCAACCTGAACGCCTGCGGCATAACCCAAGACTTCTGCCTAGACCTCAACGGGGCTAACACAGAAAGCGCCATGAGCTTGAGGTCCTGCCTCTCCTCCTCCGTAGAGAGCTTCTCCACAGCACTGACAAGCTTATTGCCCAAGAACGTCACCTGCGGAAAGACGCCAACAACTGCTTTGAGTACCATGATGCCGTTCCTAATGTGCATGTACTCGCCAGACTCGAAGCACGCAAGCAGAGCGTTCGACATATTGATGTGCCAGTTGTAGACTTGGCGGCGGAAGAGCTCATAGTCCATGAATTTCCAATTCTCTTGCTTGCTGTAGTCCATAGGACCGATGACGAAACCAGGAAGCTTGTCTTTGTGATGACGGCCTAGTGCGCGAGTATCGTAGTCTTCGCGCTTCGCATGCCAGCCTGTCAGCATCTTCAGGAGCTCATTGAGAAAGCGGCCAAGATGTTGAGATTCCAAATTCGTGCACTGGAAGATCAGAGCCGCCAGGGTCTGTTTTCGGAAGAGCTGGTCGAAGATGACTAGGGTACTGAAGCCAGGTGTGCCACGCTCGTGGAGACTCTTGAGCATAGTGTAGCTGTACTGCGCATCCAGTGACGAAATCATAGCGCGAGGTAGAAAGCATTCTTGCAGGAGCGCATCGTGCCTCTTGATTTGATCCTCCTTATTGCGCGACCTGTCGAACCAGTGATGCTTCTCTCGCAAGCCAAGACGATTGGTCGTTCGCTGGTACAAGGCGACACGTGCCCGAGGCTCGGAGGTGAGCTTCTTCAGTTTGTCAGATAATTCGGCTCGCTGGCGATCGATTACTTGTCTGCCAAAAGAGCCTTTCGTTGCACGCTCGCGATTCAGCTCTTTGACCTGCTCCTCGATGCCTTTGATAGCAGCTCTGTAGGCGTCATTCGGTACGAAGACGTCGGTCAGTGCCAGAGTCCAGAATGTCACGAAGAAGGGCATGCTGACTCGGTCTTGCAGCTCCTGGGCGACCATGGGCAAGTCGTCGATAATTGGCTGGAGCATAGAGTGCCATGGGGAGCGCTGAGTGGTTGTAACGCCGGAGGTAGCAGTGACGTTTTCATCGACATCAACAGCGGCTGACTCTGAGGCAGTGCCGTTGACAGTAGGCTTCTCGTCCACTAAAGCCGACTCGACATCTGCCTGGCTATTAACCATCTCGATGTCGCCATTAGTCTGTGACTTCTCCTGGCTCGCCCTTCGCTTCTTCAATTCGAGCATCTCTTGCTGTTTCTTCTCGTCGTGCTCAAGTACGCGATGTGTGATCGAAGCTCTGCAGATCATGAAAGCAACAGCAGGCTGTAGACCAAAGTCGCCAATCAGACTGACCACATCGGGAACAGCTGCATCGAACTCTTCGGGCTTCAGGTTCGTGCGCAGCACATCCAGGTACTGCGCAAAGACCGATTGGATCTTGTCGAGGTTGTTACCCAGCACTTTCAGCGGCATATTAGCGCTCGATTCGTGATGAGCATACGTCTGCCTTTCCTGTGCTATAGCGACAAGCATCTGGCCAACGAGACCAGGCTCCGTCAAAGCTCGGATGAGTCGCTTCGCTTGACTCTTGCGCGTGTGTCGTGTGTCACTTAGCAATTCCATAGTATGCGCTTGAAGATGCTCTCCACCAGCCATAGCCAGGACCTGAGCATCGTTGAACTCGACGTCGGATCGAATCCCAGCCATTTCGCCAAGCACCTGCTCAAACATCTCGAGATCGGTCGAATCGCCATTGCGAAGCTCTGAAGCCAAATACTGCAGGACTGGCGAAGGACTGACGCTCGGATAGCGCGAGAACAGCGCAGCCACAAACAAAGACAGCGACTGAAGCCAAGAACTGGTAAGCATACCATCTTCCTGAATTCTGTTCCGGCCCGTGCCACTGAGCGAGTTGATAAGGCACCAGGTAAGGACATCATATGCCAGTTTCGGGAAGTATTTGGTGCACTCCACCAAAGCAGGTATCATGTTCGAGTACTGCTCGAGCTGATTGATCATGAACATCATCAATACACCTGGAGAAGAGTAAGATACTTTGCCGAGAGCTCGAGCCTGGCTCTTAACGTTCTCGTTCGAGACTCGACGCAAGACATCCTTGACTTCTGCTCGGTTGTGGTCGAATGCTGTCTTGACGTCTGGTACTCGTGATGTCCGACCAGTGAACCACTCTGCGTAGAGGTTATAGCGCGTGGTGACTGGGAAGAGCATGAGTAGTTGGTAGACTTCGTCGGTCAAGCTCAGGTTGTGTTTGGTCAAACTCAGTGCAGGGATAAGGAGCCTTCTCATCAGCTCTAGCCAACGAGATTGGTTTGACTCGGAGAAGTCTTCTGTTAGACTGCGTCTTGCGAGGCGAAGGAGTGTGCTATAGATGACGGTATCTCGACCAATCTTCACACCAAGGAAGCCCAGGAAAGTGTTGCAAAGCTGGAACACGTCGTCCATAGTCTGGCACACGGGCATATTGTCCGCCCACTCAGTGTAATAGTATCGGTATCGTGCGCCGTCCTTATCAAGCACCTCTTCTAGGCCAAGCCACTTAGTAGGCAGCTTGGGTGGACGAGGTGTGAAGCTCATCGTGCCGTCAGACTTTGCCGCAGTATCAGACAACTGCTCACGTGCTTCGCCAAGACCATTACGGTCAGAGACTGGCTTGACGCTCTCGGCTATCAGGCTGAGCATATGTCTAGCGATGCGCAGAAGATATGGAGGCAGAGATGTGTCCACGTCCACAAGCCATGGGAAGCGACCAAGGATGTACAGTGCCTCTGGTATTGCGCCGAGTGCGAGCAACGCCTTGAGCAGTCCGAGCTTTTGGTTTGGAGGTGGCGGAAGAGCATCAGCGGCAGAGTCGTCTTTCTTGTCGCCAGGCTTGGGTGTAGCGCCACCACTGCGATCTTTGTCTCGCATACTACGTGAGACTGGTAGACTATCGTCGGTAAGGGCTGAAGCCATGGCAAGCTTGTTTGGTCCTCCGCCAGGTCGCTCCTTTGCCTCCTTGTCCGCCTTCTCCTTTTCCAGACGGTCTCGCTCCTCGGCCATCCTGTCGTCCGCCGGATGCAGATGAGGATATAAGTCTCGTAGCGAAATGAATCCAATTTTGATGAGTAATGCCGAAAAGTGTATCAGATTATCCGGCATAATGTCGTCTGCTTCACGAGCAGGCGAAGCATAGAAGCGTAATTTGAAGCCCAGAATCTGGGCTGCATCCGGGTTGCCGGGTGGTGGGAGCATCTTCGTCTCCCGCATGTACCTCCGGTTCTCGTTCACTCGTTTCCGACCAGCCTCCATGAGATTGTTACCCTTGCCATCAATTTCCGTTGATAGGTCCTCGGCAAGTTGCTCAGCAATCGAACCGTAGTCCACAATACGCTTTTGACCAAGCTCAAAGTACGCATCCAGACCCGACTCTCTCACCCTCTGCCAGAAGTGCTCGTCCCTTAAGTGCTTCATGCCTGCGAGCTCGCTCTTCTCAATCTCCGAGGGCCCTAGTCGTCCCGAGCCACGCAAAGCCCAAGCCGGAAAAGTGTCAAAGCCATCATCTTCCCACTTCACATTGTCCAGATTCCCACCTTCCGGCCACCAAGAGCTGCATCTGTAAAACTTGATAAAGAATGCATACGCCTTGACTAGTAGATTCGCGCTGATGTCGAGAGTGATGTCGAGCACCCGACCAACGTCTAGATCGAAGGCACCGACAAGCGCCATGATGCGATGAAAAGCATTTTCAGCCACATCTGGGTCCGTCGTCTTGTTCGACTCCTCGGCAATGTTGAAATATTCCGTGAGCAGCTTGGCGTAGCCTTCTGTCTCTTCGCGCAAAAGATTGAAGTTCGCCTGCTTATACAGCAGATTTGTGGTCTTGCGTGCTCGTGTTCTCTCGAACGAAAATCGGACGAGGTTCACTGCTGTCAGGAGTGGAATGTCGAGATGCTGTCGCACTATATCCGGATCAATGCCGGTCGCGGCGAGCAGAGATAGAAGCGCCGGGTTTTTGGTGTCTGCGTCCTCCAGCATGGCGATGGTGTTCAGCAGTACATCCTGCCCGTCCAGTCTTTCCTGATGCTCCAGAACCAACTGCTTCACCACCATTCCCGCCTCGCTCGGATCAAGCCTGCCATCCAAGCTTGCACGTAAGAGCTCTTGCAGCAAAGTACTCATAATGAACTCATCAACGTCTCCCACTCTTCCAAGCAGCATCTGCTTTCCGCTCTCCTGCCACGATGCTACCGCCTCATCAGTCACGTACTCGTAGGCATACGGTGCAGGCGGACCCCGTGACTCTTCTTCAGGAGGGGGGATAGGTGTAGCATTGCGTGGTACAGGTGTGTTAGTCCTCGAGATTTCTGCTGCTGGTTGTGGTGTCGAGGGTTGTGCGAGTGTCGGCGCAGGCCCATTTCGAGGCGCGACAGGAACAGCATTCGGGCTGTTATCTGCAGGGCCGCCCTGTCTACTCTGTCTTCGTCCGGTGTTACTTCCACCTCTGCCTCTGCCTCCTTCACTCACCATTCGTTGCGCCATGCTCAAGTCCTGAGGCCTATGGGGTGATGGACGGCCCGCATCGTCGTTCGGCCGCTTGCGCTTATTAGCGCTGCCCGGTGGCATGGCCAGCAAGCCCAGAGGCACTCTGCGCGTCGACCAGCGCTCGAAACCTCGTGTTCACCTGCATGTATTGATAATTTGTGCTTTCAGTGCGTGAAGGAAGCCTTTTTGGTGCTGCTTAACCGCAGGATTGCTGTGAGTAAGGCTGGACTTCTCCGAGCCGGGTTATAGCAGTACACGTAGATTCCAGCTGGTCCGGGTGACTTGTGCACTTTCGTTTGTAGATGATAATGTGTGTTTGCGGTAGTCTGACTAACAGAATCTCAAGCTGTTCGTCCTCGTGAAGCTACTCTGCGGAATGCCAGCGAACGGGCCGAGATGTCGCGGATGTGGTCCGAGCTCTCTTCCGAATGCCGACCGTAGTGACTTCGTCACTCGAGCTGTCGAAGGCGCAGCGCTGGTTCATCGATAATACTACGACACTGCAACGAGCCTGACATAGCACGACCCTGGCACACTGGCCTCAGAACGACACAGCCGATTAAAGACTACCATCTGCGACCGAAGAAGTCAGGCTATTGCCGCCCATCGAGCAACAAGAAATCCGCGAAACAAAGCAATACACCATGAAGCCTGTAGTCTCCGCCTTCAATGCATGGACATGGTGCGATCCGAAACGTCTATCATAGTCACTCAGTCAGTACTAACAGCCATGACACAGTATTGTCATCTGCTGCTTCGCGATAGTCATCCTCAGCGCCATCGGCTCGATGTTCGCGAAGAACAACCACAGCATGATGGGATCAGATGAGGACCCGAAGGACGGTGGCGCAGTGGCAGTAGCAGTATTTGGAGCTGTTGGTGTATACGGTGTATGTTTCGATCAGATTGCAAAGCACGCTAAGAGTGCTATGAGAATGCTTAGGCTAATGTTCGATAACAGGTCTTCCTCCTCTTCTGCGCATGCCAAGCCTTCGTACACCGACGACAGAGCCGACAGGGCGAGATTGCGTTGCGGTGAGATGGGATGGGATGATAGGTTGCATGAGCGGGTTTTCTTGAGGAGGCGGGTACATGATTGCACTTATGAGGCGTTTCGAAACCGATTCTAGATTTACGGCCGTGAGGTGGCGTCACACAATTTGGGCGGTTCATGGTTGACTTCGCTAGACGACATACAGCGTTTCGAACAAGGCTATCAGAACCTAGACCCTTGTCTCCACAGAGTGTCAGTCGCGTGTTCCACAATCTACGAACATGAAGTTACGACACTGGTCGTGATCTCGCATACTGGGACAAACTGCGGTATAGACACAACAAGTGCCGCAGTACCCTCTAGCGTGACTATCTCTTTAGTCATGGAGAGAGCATGCCCGCTTACACGTCAAGCCTTCTAGTATATTTTCAATAGTATAAAGTGATCAAGCCTTATGCAAAGATCCAAGCACTAATCAACTGAGATCATAGGACCGTGACTTACTGGTCTCCAATCCTAATAAAGTCTCTGCTCATCTCGTCAGAAAACCATCACGCAGCTGCATCCTGCATCCTCTCCACTGGTGACTCAGCCGCTACGGAACGGTCTATTACACCAAAATTGCCTTGTGGCCAACACAAAGACTCTGTCGAGCCTCGACATCAAGATCGTGGTGCTCCTGGATCACTTTGGCTGGGACGAAGAGCACTCTGAGCTCGAGACACCGTGAGAGTATGCTGTTCCGGTGGCGTATAACGCCAGTCAAGCATGGCCGAGACATCATGCGAAGTCACCAACCGCGCAGTATGTTCATCAGAAACTTAGTCCGTCAGTGCTCTTTGACATCTGGCATCGGGTTGTAGCATACAAAAGGAATCGGATTTTCTGAGGACTAGTTTGTGATCTCTCCATGCGCCAAACACCATGGGGTATATCCAATCTGGTAGTAGCAATCCAACCAAGCGCCGTCGATCAGCATCACCCGGAGGTGAATAGAAACACGAGTGTGCTGACTAATTGTTTTCGGCTTTGTCGCCATCCTCACCAATGTCGTCCGAGCCGCCTGAGCAGCTACTTGGAGTCTTCGAGAAGAGGAGGCGAGAAGTAGGCTTCTTGCCGGTACTGCGAAGAAGTCAGTGTTGTCCAACCGAAAGGAGAATGATGCATTGCATGGTGCCTATTCACCTGTCCTTGATGATTTGCCTCTGCTTGAAGCTCGATAGTTTCTGGCTTGCCGGGCTCAGGATGGCATCGCTTGGGCTGATGTAGGCTCCACTTTGTTTGCTGGAGAAGGAACTTTAGATGTGAGCCGACGGACCTGAGCAATTATGTGGTAGCTTACCCGTTGAGAATGGTAGACTTGTGTTCGAGGCCGGTAGTGTCCTGCATTGTTGGTGTGTTGTTCTCCTCGCCTGACGCCACTGCCTTCTCGTTGTTGCTTGATTGTAAACTTGGTTGGATGTTTTGATCTAGATTTGAAAGGGCGGCCATCTTTCGTTGTGTGTTCGGTATACTCGAGAGTGGGTGACTTGTATATACTCGTACACGAATCTGAGTCGCTAAAATGTCGATCTTTGTTTGGACACAGATGTTGTCGGGGCAGCTGCGAGAGTCAACGACCCTCAGGCATCCACTGTTGGCGGAAGCGGCCCGCGCCATCGGAAAAGCTTAGCTTGCGAGCTCCAAGCAGCAATTTTATCTGCAGTAGCCAGAGTGCACTGCGACAGACATATCGCTCATACTCTCCAGCGCACGAACAGCACGGCATCTGACGCTGTTGCTACTGCTGTTATATGCGTGAGGCGTAACTAAATCACATGATATAGCACCATCAACACCAGAGAAAGCGACCTGATCGAACCACAACGAAGAATTCGAGATGGCGTTAGTCAAGATGGACGAGGCAGACGAGCAGATCATAAAGCCAGAAGCCGCCTCTCCAGCAATCGATACAAGTGGATGGCCTCTGCTATTGAAGAACTGGGACCAACGTATGTCCAAATTCAAGTGTCCCAGAAATGTATCGAGCTAATTATTATACCAGTCCTCGTCCGCACCGGCCACTTCACACCCATACCAGCAGGATGCACGCCAATGCGCCGTGACCTCAAATCTTACATCTCCTCCGGCGTCATCAACCTCGACAAACCTTCCAACCCTTCCTCGCACGAAGTCGTAGCATGGCTCAAGCGCATGTTACGAGTAGAGAGGACTGGCCACTCCGGTACCCTCGATCCCAAAGTCACTGGATGTCTGATCGTCTGCATTGATCGTGCGACGAGATTGGTGAAGAGTCAGCAGGGTGCTGGTAAGGAGTATGTATGTGTCCTGCGACTGCACGACAAGCTACCTGGCGGAGAGGCACAATTGGCACGAGCATTAGAGACATTGACAGGTGCGCTCTTCCAGCGACCACCGCTTATATCGGCTGTCAAGCGGCAATTGCGTATTCGCACAATTCACGAGAGTAAGCTCTTCGAGTTTGACAATGAGAGGCATTTGGCTGTCTTTTGGGTGTCGTGTGAGGCGGGAACGTACATCCGAACGCTCTGCGTGCATCTCGGTCTCTTGCTCGGCGTTGGTGGACACATGCAGGAGCTAAGACGTGTTCGATCTGGTGCTATGGACGAGAAGGACGGGATGGTTACACTCCACGATGTGCTCGACGCACAGTGGCTCTACGACAATCAGCGTGACGAAGCGTATCTGCGAACAGTCATCAAGCCCCTCGAGACGCTTCTGACGACATACAAGCGTATTGTGGTCAAGGATTCAGCGGTCAATGCTGTATGCTACGGTGCTAAGCTCATGATTCCGGGTCTGCTACGATACGAGGCCGGGATTGAAGTTCACGAGGAAGTCGTCCTGATCACGACAAAGGGTGAGGCCATCGCCCTTGCCATCGCACAGATGTCCACAGTCGAGCTCTCAAGCTGTGACCACGGCGTTGTCGCCAAGGTGAAGCGCTGTATCATGGAGCGCGACCTCTACCCCCGAAGATGGGGCATGGGACCCGTCGCGACGGAGAAGAAGAAGATGAAGGAGTCTGGCAAGCTCGACAAGTACGGACGCACGAACGAGGCCACACCTGCGCAATGGAAGCAGGAATACAAGGACTTCAATGATCCCGAGGGTGTAAACGGCACGAATGGCATCAGTGGTACTGATGAGAAGCAGGCTGCTGAGGGTGCTGCGGTGAAAGAAGGTATTCCAGGCAGGGGACGGGACACGACTACCAAGGAGGACGTCGAGATGGCGGAGCCCGTTGCCCCGGCGCCTGAGAAGAAGAAGAAGCGTAAGCACGAGGGTGAGACTGCCGAGGAGAAGGCGGATCGGAAGAAGAAGAAGAAGGAGAAGAGGCTGTCGAAGGCTGCGGATGATGAGGATAGTGATTGAGTCTCCTATCGGCATTCGATGGGTTTGGAATAACTGACAGACGGCGTGATGAGGAGGCGAAATGTGGCGTTTGGGCGTGGTCATTCTGATTCGTGTACGCTGAAGGACGGTGTGCTGTGGCAGTATCATTGTACAGTAGCCATGACAGTGGCGCAGGAGGCGTTTGAGCGGTGTCTGGAGGAGCTATGGACTTTGCTTAGGCTTCGGCAACTTAGTACATGTTGTCAACGAAGACCGATTTGTTGATATCAATGACTCTCAGGCATATCGTCCCGTAGCTTTGTCCCTCCCATCTGATCTGCAAGCTCTGCGTACTCCTGTTCTCCGGGGAAGCACCGGCGAAGATGCAGGTGGGCCAAATGGTCGTCTTTGACATTGGCTGGACTGCTTCTCTCATGCAGGCCCCACCTTCTCATCGGACTCCCCCTCCAACCAGCAGTGCGTGGAATATTGCAGTAGTAGCTTCACTCTCTCACCGTTCACTCACAAGATTTTGTTTCGAGGAGCTTTACACATATATCCTGATTCTACGTCTTGTCTCATCGATTCAACGGAACAAGGACAAACACTCAAACACACAACACATCCGACACAATGAAAGCTGTTGTTGCTGGTAAGTAAAGTCACCACCATCGTAAGCCATTGAACAGTAGACCACTAACACGTCTGTCATATAGGAGCCAGCGGCGGTATCGGCCAAGTGAGCAGTTCATACCACTGACAAAATATATATAAAGGCACTCTGCTAACACCGACCCCACCAGCCTCTATCCCTCCTCCTTAAGGCCTGCCCGCTCGTCGATAAGCTCGCCCTCTACGATGTCGTCAACACACCCGGCGTAGCCACCGACCTCTCCCACATCTCCTCCGTCGCACAGATCGAAGGTTTCCTCCCTGCCGACGATGGTCTCAAGAAGGCGTTGACGGGCGCTGACATCGTCGTCATCCCGGCTGGTATTCCTCGTAAGATAGCCCCGCATCATAAGGAATAAAGAGTAAATGGCATGAAAAGATGCTGATGGAAATGATCGCACAGGCAAGCCAGGCATGACACGCGACGATCTCTTCAAGATCAACGCCGGCATCGTCAAGGGCCTGATCGAGGGCGTTGCGACCACCTGCCCAGACGCCTACATCCTCGTCATCTCCAACCCCGTCAACAGCACCGTCCCAATCGCCGCCGAGATCTTGAAGAAGGCCGGCAAGTTCAACCCCAAGAAGCTCTTCGGCGTCACCACTCTCGACGTCGTGCGCGCCGAGACTTTCGCCCAGAGCTTCACCGGCGAGAAGGACCCAAGCAAGACCAACATCCCAGTCATTGGTGGTCACTCCGGCGAGACCATCGTGCCATTGTACTCCCAGGCCAAGCCCGCTGTCAAGATCCCAGAGGACAAGCTTGATGCACTCATCAACCGTAAGTACGGCCATATTGCCTCAAAGAACCAGTTGGAATCTAACACCCTCCAGGCGTCCAATTCGGTGGCGACGAAGTCGTCAAAGCCAAAGACGGCACCGGCTCCGCCACCCTCAGCATGGCCTACGCCGGTTTCCGCTTCGCCGAAGCCGTCATGAAAGCCGCCAAAGGCGAGTCCAACATCGTCGAGCCCACTTTCGTCTACCTCCCCGGCGTCGAAGGCGGTGACGAGATCGCCAAGGAAACCGGCTGCGACTTCTTCTCTGTCCCAGTCCACTTGGGCAAAGATGGTGCGGAGAAGGCTGTTAACATTGTCAAGGAGGCGAACGAGTACGAGAAGAAGTTGTTGCAGAAGTGCTACGAGGGGTTGAAGGGGAATATTGAGAAGGGTGTTGAGTTTGTGAAGAACCCGCCGCCACCACCGGAGAAGAAGTAGATGTCTTTCGGCATGCAGACTTGCGTGCGTAAGGCTCAGCTTTGGAGATGGAGAAATGATAAGATGACCACAGCTTCTCTTATGATGAGGTGGCGTCGGGTATACAGTAGCTAGAGGATGCATAGCTCATGACACAAAAGCTCTTCTTCTCATGCCGCACCTCTTACTAAATCTCGAAGGTGTTTGATGTTGTTTCTGATCACAACCCTCAACGAGCCTAGGCACACTCTCTTTACCGGCTTGCACGGCACCGTTAGCTATAAAGGTCAGGTCGCATTCGTGTCGCGACGCTGTCTCTCTGTCCTACACTGTGTGACATTTGTGCGGCAAGTAGGAACCTCAGAGAAGTCACATCACTCCTTCCTCTCAAGCCTTAGCACCCTTCTGCTTGATCTGAAACGTCGCAGTCGGTATCTCCGTCGAGCTCGCCTCAACCGTAGCCTCGACTCCCAGGCCAGCCAACGCACCACGTATCACTCCACAAGGGAAGTATAAGTACTACATCCACATCAGCTGCCGCCCACACAAAGGGTTACAATGTAGAAGAACTCACCGTCTGCGCCCTAGCCAACGCCTCCTCGGCTCCTCTGATTCCGGTCCTTCGATCCACACTCATCCTCCCCAAAGGTTGAAACTTGGTATCCGTCAGCACGAAAATCCCTCGGTGATTAGTCTTGAGATTATCGATTTGCTTTCTGAAGACGAGGATCCAGAGGTCTTTGCAGATGAACTTGATCGCTTCTAAAGGCGTTGTGGGGCGAGGTTTGTTTACTGAGAAGCTGATCACATCCATTAGCACACGCAGTTTTCCACTTGCCATCCGTCGTCCTAGACGTAGACAGTCATGGGAGTCGTATATGCGTGCTTAGAAAGTAGGCAGGCCATACCTACCGCTCAACCAAACCCTGTCCGACGCGATACCCCATCCCATCTAACCTCCAAAACACCCTCTCCCTCGTCTCCTCACTCATGATTGGGAAACCCAGACTCGTCGTTGCGTGCTCCTCGCCATCTTTATGATCCTTCACTTCGGCCTTCCCCTCTGACCCAACCACAACACCGTCCTCTGCCCCACCACCAATAACACCTCCTCTTGCGCCAGCGACAGTCAAGCTCCCAGCTCCGTTAGTGACAGTAGACGCTTGCGATTTTGCAGGCACCTTACTCGCGGTCCTATTGAACAGCCTACTACGTTTATATTCGTCCAAGATAGCCTGCTCGCGCGCAAGAAGATGTTCCGTTATTCTTTGCGCCAGAGGCACGAGCTCGATGAGTAGGAGATCCAGGGCTGACGCCGCAACTTTCGGGTTCAGGGGATCGTCTTCGTACGGTGGCTGTTGTTGTGCGGGACGGGACATGGCTGGTAGTACTTGGCGATTGTATCGTTGTGATGTGATTATGGATGACTTTCTAGTGTTTTCCCAAGGGCAGCACAAGTCCTTATTCCGCTTGAGACATGGTTGCGCTCATAATACTCCGATCTCAAAGGGTCAGGTGAGTGGTAGCTGGCTCTTTTAGATATAAGGAAGGGCGGGCACAGTATGTTCTTTCGAGCTTCACTTGTTCTCGAGCTAGTCAGCGGCTGTTCCCGCACCTTCAGATTTCACGACATACATGGCACCACCAAGCTCACTAAACGTCACATATCACAGGCAGCTGGTAGATCCTCATCAATTCCAATCCCAAGTATCCGTATTAGCTATCTACGCCCTATTGGCGTGTACAGAGGCCATGAAGATCCTCATCCAATGCCAGGCCGTCATCTCCGCATAGGCCATGGTCTCATCACTAATACATAGGTGAGAAAAGCATGAGTCAAGCCATGTATAAATGGCCTTTCCTGCTCTCCCATGATCCAAGTTGAAGGTACATCGAATGCAAGATCGCTTTAGACCTGAAAGCAAGCACATCCAATGCCCCCGCTCTTTCCATGAAAACGCCCAGGTTAACGCCAGCAAATATCATCTGTTTTCTCCTCAAATTCAGCATCTCAATTATTACCATACCCTCATGGCTCCTCGAGCCGGCGCATTCTGCCTTCCGTCGTCGTCGATGTTGTTGTCGAAAGCACACAACTCCACTAGCCAATGCTGAAATATGTCAAGTGTGCAAAACAAGAGGTCAAGATTGAGAGTCGTAAAGGTTGGGCAGCGAGCTCCGTCGTTGTTCTTTCTTCTACTTTGTGGTATGATCATGCTTCATTCCTTCATACTTCGTCAACGTCCTTGTCGTGTTAGCGGCAAGTCTTCTTAGATTCGGTGACTGCTCGCTGTTCGTGTGGTATAGTGGTGTCGAAAGATGCAAGTTCGTGATAGTTTCATTATCATGTCTTTGTCGTTCAGTGCTCGACCGTGATTTCTGGTGCACTGCTTTGCTGCGACATCTCGTCGCTGTTGCGTGCGACGTGGCCGTTCTGGCGAGGGCGAGGAAAGCCGGCGCCACGTTCGGGAATTGGTCCGCGGGGTTGACGTTCTGGGTTACCTTGCTGGTTGTTGCGGCTCTGCGACCGGTCGTCATAGTTAGTGCTGAAAGAGCGGTGCCCGCCAATGGGTCCAGGGGTTTCGCGATCCCAGCTTGGGAAGCCGCGCAGGCCGCGTGGGCTGCCACCGAAGCCGTTACTACCCAGGTTCATGTTACCAAGTCCACTGATCAGCGTGCTCTCGTTGCGCTCAGCTAGGCTAGAGGTTGGCGTCATGAGAGTAGGTGTGTTGGACTGGTTGCTGACCGTGCCAAAGTCCTGGGCGAGACGGGCCACGTTGTTGCTGAGTGCAGCCGGGAAGCTGGCGGTGGAGGGTACTGGAGACGGCGTGTACGAGCGCAGGTCCGCGAAAGATTTGGCGGCACGTAAGTTGTTATTTGGACCAAGACTTCCAACATCGTTGTATCCGCCGAGATACGCAGAACCTTGCGTACGAAGGCCACCTCCGTAGTAATCGTTCCCGCCACGGACATCACTGAAGTCGGTAGTAGCTGCGCGGTTGATCGTGCGTCGGTTGTCATTCTGCAGATGTGCAATCTGTGGCATAGGCGGGCTGACGCGTGCTCTGGATCCTTCTTTGAAAACATGCACTGCACGCCTGTCTGCCTCGCCTTTTGAGGTGTGGCCAAGCGACATGTGGTGAGCGAGCGTATGGACAATGCGGCGTTCTGGAGGAGCAAGAGTCGGTGGGAACACCACCAGATCGCGGCTCGTGTCCTCCTTGAATAGGAGCAACTTCGTGTAGTACTGCAGTGTGATTGGGTCGTTCATGTCAACATCCACACCCATGTTGTTCGGTGACTCGGTGGTAGGTTGCTGCCAGCCACCACCACTGCGCATATTGCGGGCAGTGACAGGCGAAGGCGAGTGATTCTGGATGCGAGAGTTGAGAGATGACATTGAGCCTTGGGTCTGCAAAGTGGCTGGACCCATTGGGCGATGCTGCTCCTCAAGCTGGCCTCGACGCTCACGCTTCTCGCGCTCGATCCTCTCGCGCTCTGCTGCTGGTAGCATCTTCTTGTATTCCACACGTAGCTTCCTTCCATTCAGTTCGAAGTGGTTCAGCGAGTCGATGACAGCAGCAGTCTCGTCCGGGTTTGTGAAATTGGCAAAGGCCAGACCGCGGAAGACACCATTGTCGAAGTGGTAGTTGAAGGCGTATGGAAGAGGCAGACCCATGTCAGTCATAATAGCCACAAGCTGCTCCTTCTTAACGGCAAAAGGGATATTTTTGATAACAATGGCGGTCGGAATGAGGTCTTCGTCGGGGTCTGAGCCCATGGTGTCTGGTCGCATGCCACCAAATCCTGCCATACCACCCATGAATGGTGGAGGCATAGCTTGCGACTGATCAATCCAGGCCTAGAGATAAGTCAGTAAAGCGTGTAATGAGTTTGAGGTACGATTGACTCACAGCAGGCAGTCCAGCACGACCCTTCGATTGTGGCCGTCTCATGCCAGTCCCGCCAAGTCCATTCACAGTGTTGTTCTGCCCGAAGGTATTGGAGTTCCACGTTGCACCACCCATGCCGTACTCGTTGCCGTAGCCGCCTATTGTAGATCGCCCGTCATTGAAGCGATCTCCTCCGTAAGCACCCGCATACAGGTCGGATGGTAGATAGGCTTGCGGCTCCACCTGCTGTCGCGAAGCCTGACGGTTGAGCTGCCTGTGGGATGTTGGCGAGCGGTTGGAGTTGTTGTTATAATACATGTCGAAGTCGTTATGGTTCATGGTCGCCGATATGAGGCCTGATTTGTTGGACAAGCTCCTGGTGGTTGTCTTTGGTGGATGACTTTGAGGTTAAATGCAGGCTATGCGCGTACAAGTCGTGCTGCAGCTTGTCGTCTCGTTGGTCGAAGTATGAGGCGTAGCGGACGTGAAGAGTGGCCGTAAATAGTGCCGTGAGCGGAGGACAGTCGAGGCTCAGAGTGATGGATTTCGTTAGTCGTGCTGCTGCCGTGATCTCGTGACTAGATATCTCAAGGAAGAACAGCAGCCATCCGTCTGGCTCTTGCTGTGCCTATCCACGCTGCGCGAAGAGTCGTTGTTATGGGCACGCACGAGCGTGTGATTTGTGGCTTCTGGCAGTTCGTACGATAAATTTGCGCTAGAACCGGGGCCTGCTCTGTGGTTACGAAAGCTTGCTGCCGTGGGTGATGATTGTGTGTGATTGTGCACACTACCGGTGGAGATGGGTGAGTAGCAATACACCTATTGCTGTACTCGTGTGGTGGGATGTGGTGTGGTAAAAGAAAGTGAAGTCGGAGTGAAGGAGTTGTAGCAGCAGAGGTGTTTGATGGCCTCTGCCTCCGTGGTCTGAAGCTGCTAGAGCTAGAATAGCGAATAGCGCACAGGGCAGCCCTCCTTTTCAATAATAAGCGGACCACGTCGGGGGTTAGGTAGAATTAAATTGATCTGAATGGTTTCTGTGCTCTACCCTCATACGCAGCGACGATATAGGCTCATGTGCGGTAGTTGCAGGCAGCGTGCAGGAGAGGCTATCAAGGCCCACTCCGTCACTGTCCCTATGTCCGCATGTAGCAGAACGTGCAGCTCAAAATGGAGTTGAGTTCCGCGCTGCTGGAAAGCACAGGAAAAGGCGCAGGAGAAATGTCCGGTTGGCTGTCGCACGTCGACGAATGGTTGTCGTAGAAGCCACACTTCTGAGGCTCACTGGGCACACGACAACCCATACCAAATCTACCCTCAGCTGACCACGCGGTCTCGGGCGCAGGCGTCGATGCGTACGAGTTTTTCTCTTACTTATGGGGTCAGATGATGGCGTCGCGCACTTATGCACGGAAGCCGAGACTGCAGAGGCGAAATGACATGGATTGGCTGGCAGCAGGGCGACGATACAAAGACGATGCAGCACACTAGCCGACAAGCGTGCAGTCATGTCTGCAATTCTTGCAGTGGGACGCTGCATGTTGGAAGGAAGTAACTCGTTGACGCTGTATTCTATGCGACACTGGCCACTCTTCTGCCTGCATCTTCTTGCCACCACCACCCTTGGCGCTGCAGCGCTTTGCATATTCATGCGGTGCATTGCTGCCCCGTCTGCAAAGTTGCGACAGTATGCACCTCAGCGATCATCCATCATCCCTGATCAAGTCAACAAGCTCGTGTCTGCTCGTCCCGTCCTCGTGCGGCCGACAAGACTAATACGACGGCCCGCACCTAAGGTATTCTGGTATCCAGGTACTGCAATCAGTCAGGTAAGGCTGGCACACGAATGTGTCTCAATGAATTGCAATGCAGTAGCGACCACGATCGGGCAGTCATACTGCGAATGCGTACAAATCGCAACCAAGTCGAATGCGCATGAGCTCGCGCAGAAATTCATGCACGCCAACATCACCTCTTCTGCCGCTCCCAATATCCATGGCTAGACCGAGGTCGGCACATACATTCCTGCATCACCGTAGCACAACATACACAAGCTCTGCAAGCAACCTTGTTCATCTGTTACACTGCATACAATGTTCAGCAAGCAATGTGATGAGCTCGACAAAGCCGACCTAAAAACCTTCGAGCTCACGGAAGCTTTCGGCTCGGAAGCTCGACTCGAAAAGGTGGGAGCAGGAAAAATGGACAGTGGAACCGAGCAGCGCCACGGCCCATCGTCCGTTCGAATGGGTACCAGACTTCGATCGAGTCTGATTGTGGAGAAGTATCACGCATGTAGGACTTGTCAGGTGACGTGGTGGGCTTACCTCGAGACAACATTGAACGATCCCGCGAGGCTGCAATAACCATGCATCATGCGCCATAGTATCAAGGTAAATCTAAGCACCAGGTTGTTCGACTGCCAAAAGTCATGCGTGGCCAAACCAAAACACCCTCCTATGGGCTAGTATAACCACTCGCAACGATCAGCTTTGCCAACGCATCCGTGAACGATTATTGGGTCCTGGCTCATTCCTGAGCGCGCAAGACAATATCTCAGATCACCTTGTTCATCCCTTCGCAACTCCAACAGAACGACCACTTCTCGCGTCCGAGTGTTGACCTTCGCTCTCAAATTCCGTCCCTGGGCTTTCACTCTCGAATTTCGTCGTTGTCGCGTGGCCTTCGCTTTCCAGTGCTGTGGGATGATCCTCGCTCTCGAACTCAGTGGGATGACTCTCGCTCTCGAATTCCGTATGCTGCCCATCAGTGTCGGTGTCAGGACACTCACTACCTTCATAAGCAACGGAACTGCTGCCCTCACTACTTCCTTCACGTCGCTGCGTTGGCACGATGTCGACAGGATTCGACCCGACGATCCAAACTCTGCTTGCCACATGGCGGGCAGAGGGCCGATGAGTCACCGAAAGTGCTCACCTTCACAGCAAATCGACTGATCACGAACAGACTAGATCGACAAATGCGCTACGTCTCGACAGCTGTGAAGCATCGGCCTCTGTCTGCTGCATATGCTCTGACATGACCACAACAATGTTATCTTGCTTCGCGTAAGTGATCATCGCTTGCAGCGCTCTAATCTCCATGCCCGGCGGCGAAAGCTCACTCAAGTCCAGGGTCTCGAGTGACGGAAGCTCGTTTTCCAGCAATGCAATCAGGGCTCCATCTATGCCTGCAGCAGCAATACTTGCATCAAATCCTTTATCGACAATGGTTAGTCTGACTGTAGTGGATGGTATGTGATTACTGATTAGCGAGGCCAGGGCAGTACAATGTAGCCGACCCGTCTCTTGCCGAAGGGATACGGGTGTCGTGATGTAGTCTGGGAGATATATCCTGGTTTGGTCGAGCCTCGACGACCCGACTGCTTTCGACATCAAAGAGTGGTCGATCGCGTCATTACCGTTGCTGCTCGGAAGGAATCGTATCTGGACACTCCGTAATGACTCTGGTGTGGCAGCGAGAAACTGTCTGATTGGATGTTCTGAGCATACAACGTGCTGCAGTATAGTCGGCGGTCTTGATGCATGGGGGAAGCGATGCGGAGGCGGCGAGGAAAAGCCCTCCACGGTAAGATGCTGCAAGCCCTGGAAGAGGGCCAGTCTCTCCTCCAGCGCGCTGAGGGGCATTCGTGAACTGTGAAGACGCAAGTCCTTCACAGTTGATGCTGGGACAGAGCGAGCTGGTTGGATAACCCTGGTGCTGCAAAGTGATGATCCGGAAATGGTCGACAGATCAGTTAAGCTCAAGATCTCCAGCCGGGGGAGCCTTGACAACGCTTGGATCTCAATGATACTGAGGCGTTCTTGCTGGTTGTATCCACACCCGGCTACCTCCTTACCACCCAGGTAGATTTCGCGCACGCTCTGAAGTCCGCGACGGGGCAAACCAATGGGTCCCATGTCTAGACTGCCATGAGGCTCGCAGCCTGTGTCAAGTGCTACGAGCTGGTGAAACCTGCAGCTGTCATCTGCTAGCATGAGAACACTGCACCAGACGTCCATACGTACAGATCTGTATGCATACCACTCTCGAAGAGGAGCAGGCGAGGGCAATGGCCGATCAGCATTGCGAGTGCCATTCTATGAGCGTTCATGATGAGCAGATCTATTAGGAATATGTCCCATAAATCCTTCTCTTTGACAAAATATCGCGCACCGATAAGCCCCAACCATCGACACTCAGCCTTCCATCTTCCACTTAGCACGTAGTTCGGGGAATTTGTCCTCGACAGTCTGTTCACTATCTATAAAATCGTCGTCGCGGTGAGAGTGGTAACCATCTAGCAGCATCGCACGTGGCAGGATCACTCTGCGGATGTTCCAGGCTACAAATACATTCTCAACGACGTTATGGACCAAAGGCAGTAGGCCACCCTCTTGGAAGCGATTGATCGTGCTATGGCGCCTGGCTGCTACTCGGTGGCGAGGCAAAGCTTCGTGCTCGCAGGCGCTGTAGCATAGGCTTGAAGTCCGAGCGAAGTCCCAGTGAGACGGGGGGTCTAGGTGTTCGACTACACAGACAAGGAGCTCGAAGCGTAAGTCAAGCAGCCCCGTGATGTTGTCATAGACTGCAGGCGCTCGCTGGTATTTCCGGAGGTATGTCGCCTGTGGGAGTGTAGGATCTAAATAGCAGCGAATGCTTACGGTCGTAGCAACGCCCGTGACCAGTATCGCCTTGACTCTCGAGCTGCCAAGAAGACGTGGCCATAATCATCAAGTACCGGAAAGCTCGTGTGCGTTTGAAGAAGTCCTCGAAGGGTGGCTGAGTCACAGCGCAGCATCAAGGATGACAAAGGAGGCGAGGTAGCTTTGTTCATGGTGTGGCAGCAACCTCTCTTCTTGTACTTTCATGACTGCTCGTACTCAGTGATAATCATAAGAATGGAAGACGATGCCGAGAGGGATGGCTATCGTGCCGAGATGGCCCAAGCGTCAAGTGACACAAGCATTCAAGCCACGAAGTCGAAGAAGAGACGATCGAAAGACCGCTCGCGGACTGCTACACCATCCGTCGAGGTACCGACAACAGACGGCAATACACAGGATCTCCTCCGCAATACTGCAAAGCGCCGGAAGTCTATCAGTACACCGATGACCACAACTCGCACACTGCCACTTCTGGTATGCAGTATAGGTAATCCCGGAAGTATCTACGCCAACACACTCCACAGCGCCGGCCACACGGTGCTCAACAGACTAGCCGAGCATCTAGGTTACGCAGGCTTCCGCAAGGAAAGGGAGCTTGGCAATGGACTCGTGAGCAGGCCTGCCATTACTGGCAGCACGGGAGACTGGACACTATGGCAGAGTACATCCTATATGAACGAGTCTGGGAAAGGCGTGAGAGCTGCCCACACTGCTTGGTCAAAGCACATCCCCGTGGCAGAGGCAGGCAAGCTGGTCGTTATCTATGACGAGCTGGAGAAGGCCATGGGTGTGGTTACACTACGGACGAACCAGGGGGCAAGTGCCAAGGGACACAATGGGTTGAAGAGTATCATGGCGACTTTGGGTAATAACGTTGCTTTGGCTCGCATTGGCGTCGGTATTGGCCGTCCTGTAAGCAGAGATAGCAATGATGTGGCTCAATATGTGCTGAAGAAGATGACGCCAGCAGAGAAGGCCAAGATTGAAGTGTCTGTTGAAGAGGTGGTCGCGAAGCTAAAGCAGTTGGAGAAGGGTTGACATGTGGTTCATAGTACGGAGTCCACACGCGCTGTTCGCACCGGCCATGCTGAAGCACTCTTATCTTTGGCCCACGGGTCATTCATTCAGGCTGGCTTCACTCTGCTACGTCTACAGTGCCTCCGGCGCTAGCAGGAATGTGCGGCAGCAACCTGCGAGCACACTGTTACGGCAGCAAAGTGTCGCGAAGCTGGAGGCTCACCAGAGACCAGGTGCATCCGCTTGCAGACCAAAGGCTAGTCCTTCCGATACGCAAAGTCGTGTCATCCAGCTCAACGGCCCTCTGATTGGTCGATCACCGACTGTAGTTCGAGCTTGTTGTCTGTTTCGACTACCAGGACATCCGACCACTCTTCAAAACACCGCTCGGCTTAAAACAGCAATTCCGGTGTACCAGAGATCTCCTCTCCTTATTCTTACCGTATCTGTCCATAATCCTCATGACATCCGTCGATCTCGAACGATGGTCATGGCAACGTCTCCTCACGTTGAGAGACATCCACGGAGATTGATCGAAGCGGAGAGATATGGTAGAAGGTCTGTATAACTTCCATGCCCATGAAGTCACTCTCTCACTCTCTCCTTCCACCGCCTCTCTGTCCATTGTACTATCTCTACCCTGCCACGTTCTACTTGACGCCAAGATGGTCCGTCTCGGTGCGAAGTGTCTGCTCGGCCTCGTAGGCCTAGCACAAATCACTGGTGCATTGCCTGGTCGACCGCGAGAGCTGGTTGTGGTAAGTCAGGACGTCTCGAAGCAGCTCGAACGTGACTAAAGCGATGTCAGCTCAATACGCCACAAGCACCTGCTCATCACCCTGGTCATCCTCCTGGTGAAGGAAACTTGAAACTGCGTAAGGATGAGCCGAAGGGTGATCAACCAGAAGACGATCCGCATGCCAACCCTCCACCTCCCCCTCCTTCTGCTGCAGCGGCAAAGCCACAGTCGACCACTTCCAAAGCCGCTGCTGGACCTCCACCGCCCGATCCGAAAGACGATCCGAAAGACGATCCGAAAGGCAATCCGAAGGGCAGTCCTCCACCTCCGCCACCTCCTGCCACAACAGAACGCCCACCATCGGCTTCATCCAAGCCTGGAGTAGGCCCAGCACCGTCCGATCCAAAGGGTAACCCGCCGCTACCACCCTCACCAGCCTCAACCATACATTCATCAAGCAGTACTGTAAAGCCTAGCGGACCGGCTGGCGCTCCTCCACCTCCTCCGCCCCCTCCTCCAGGCCCGTCCTCTGAAAAGACAACCTCGTCTCCTAGCAGTGCGCCATCTAGCCACGGATCGACGACTAGTCATGCGTCCACATCTTCGTCCCTGCCGGCTTTGACGTCAAAGTCAACTTCGACAACACTTCATTCATCATCACTGTCCGTTCCGCCAATCGTCTTCCCACCAATCTCTATCTCTACCACAACTTCGAGCGCTGTTACGGCCCCATCTCCAGCTAAAGCAGGCACGTGCTCTGCTGGCGGTGTCACCTACACTACTGGTCAACGTGTCACGGACGGAGCTGGTAACACTTATATCATCCATTGCAGCACGGACAACACTGCGCTAGGCACGACAATTGTTGGGGTCGGCTCCGGTGGCTTCGGTGCCTGCTTTGCAGAGTGTGATAACTCTGCAAGCTGCGTAGGCTGGACCTACTCGGGCGCCGACAGTGGCAACTGCTACCTCAAGACCTTCCTAGGCACTTATTTCCCGTCCTCAAACACAATCGTGACCGCTTTCCGTGATAACGCCCCGAACTCTCCTCCATCTATCAGCGTACCGCTTTCAGCAACGTCTACTGGTAATCTTGTGCCATCGGTTTCTCCTCTTCCTCCAGCCAGGGGTACCTGCGCTCAGCTTGGTACCTCTAATGCTACGTTTTCGGATAACATCGGCCGAGTGTGGTCTCTACAGTGTGGACACGATTACACCGATCACGATATCAGCGCACAAGCTGTCACCAATTACCAAGAATGTTTCGTTGCTTGCGATGCTAAAGCTGGCTGTACGGCCTTTTCGTACGTGGGAGACAGCGTGTATGGCACGTGCTACTTGAAGAGCGCCGGTGCTGGAGAAGTTGTGAACAGCAACGTGGATTCCGCTATCTGCATCTCTGGATGTGATGTTGCCGCATCGCCAGCTTCTTCCGCTTCGGCTACAGGCTCTGCTAGCAACGCAAATTCCACCTCTTCGCCCTCCGACTCTGGTATCACTGCCTGCACAGCTATTGCGCCAGGTGGTCAAGGTTACTATACCGACTCCACAGGGTGCACTTACGAAATGACTTGCCGACTGGACTATCCTGGCAATGACATAGTAGGTATACCTGGTGGGTTAAGCGACTGCTTCGGGTTTTGCGATACTACTCCGGGATGTGTCGCTTTCTCTCATCTAGGAAGTGCTACCTCGGGCTATTGCTATCTAAAGAGTAAGGATAGCTACAACACTACCTCTGGGTCGGCCGATGCTGCTAGGTTGATCAGCTGTGGCTCCTCCTCGTCATCTAGCATGATCGTGACTTCCAGCACATCTCACAGTCTCACGGCCACTTCCAGCCTAACAGCGACCTTCACACACACTTCGGCGTCAACAGAGCCACCGACTTCCAGCCACGGGAGTACTTCAGTAGCTCTGACGACCTCGACTCATGACACTTCTCTCAGCATCAACATACCCTCTACCACGTCCGCAATTACCACGCACATGACTACTTCGACGGTGTCCACAAGCCCGAGCTATAGCGCGTCTCAGAGTTTGTCGACGTCCACACATATAGTTTTCCCACCCATTTCCACCAGTCTGGGCAACAGCAAACCTCAAAGCGAATCAACCTCTACACGAACTTCGACTTCGGGTGTGCCTCCTGTCTCGACATATACTACAACGGTGATGCCTAGCTCATCTCACAGCTCCACTTCGAGCGTCCCGTATAGCACTTCGACAGCCACACATTCATCAAGCTCCCCTATTCCGCCAATCTCAACCGTCACGACGACCATGATCCTAAGCTCATCAGCCAGCTCATCATCCCGCCTGATCTCGAGCACTTCTCTCAGTACCTCGCTGTCTACACACACGTCGAGCACAGCTGGACCTCCAGTCTCGACGCATACTACCACCATCGTCCTGAGCTCTTCATATAGCACAACGCTTACTAGCCCTCGGAGCGCCTCGACGACCAGCCATACATCGACTTTAGTTGCTCCTCCGATTTCAACCCACACGACAACCATAATTCTAAGCTCGTCATCGACCTTAACGCTAAGCACGACATCTACTCGCACTTCGACTTCAATTCCTCCTCCAACGTCAACTCATATTACCACCTTTACCCTCGGCTTATCTTCTACTCTGCAGCCTAGTACGACATCTACACACACTTCAACTTCAGCTCCTCCTCCGATCTCGACTTATACAACCACCGTCCTGCCCAGTTCTTCCTTGGCTCGTACCTCTACCACCTCTAGCATGATCTCGATTTCGAGCCATACTACATCGAGCACTTATATCTCGACTTCAGCTGCCCCTCCACTATCAACCCACTTTACGACCATCACGCCTGGTCCATCTACAGGCTCAACACATAGTATCTCGTCGTCAGCGACCTCGGCGTCGAGCTCAGCTGCTCCTCCGATGTCCATCCACTTCACGACCGTTACAACTAGCCCGTCTTCGAGCTCTTCGCGTCCATCTACCAGCTCGAGCGAAGTACAGAGCTCAAGTCGTAGCATTTCGAGCTCCAGTAGCGCATCAAGCACTCACTCATCGACTTCAGCTGCACCTCCAATGTCGACCCTCTATACGACCATAACAACCAGCTACCTTACCAGCTCGACTCAAACCAGTCGCAGCACAAGTCCCCCATCGAGCAGTTATGCATCGACCACCGTTGCACCTCCAATCTCGACTCACGTTACGACTGTCACTCTTAGCTCGATTTCGAGCTCAACCCACGTTACGTCCAGCGCTACTTCGACTACTAGCTCGACCCGCAGTACATTTAGCACGTACACTTCATCTGCCATCCCAACGACTCCCTCGTCGAGTTCCAGTCTTCCAGCTAGCTCCCACTCCTCGACAACTTCCGTCCTCCCGACAAGCTTTTACACAACGATCACTGTCGTCACGAGCGTTGCAAGCAGCTCACGTGCTTCTTCGAGCTCGAGCCTGCCAGCTACTACACTCTCATCATCGGTCTTGAAATCATTATCAAGCTCCAGTGTACCATTCAGCACTCGTACTACACCAAGCTCCACTCCTCCTGCAACGACTTCCGCATGGGGCGGCGGTCCTGAAGCGCCGTCAGCAACATACACCGCACGACCGACCACCTCGTCCACCTCAACCATCATCTCCACGTCCTCCGCCGCCCCTACCTCGTCCTCTAACGCCAACCCCGGCGTCGTGACAGGCGGCGGGTGCACCGACCTTCCCGACCCCTACAGCGGCTACACAACCCAGTGCAGTACCGATCACTACGGTGGCGATACTTTCAGTCAGGTCGTTTCTGCGTTCAAGGATTGCTTCCCTGTCTGCGATCAGACGAGTGGATGTGTTGGTTTTGCTTATGTTGGTGGAAGTGGACCTGGTAAGTCGTCTTTGCCGCCGTTGACTCTACGTGGTGATGTGAGTATGATTTTACTGACTTACGCTGTGCAGGTACTTGTTACTTCAAGTCGAAGATTGTGCCGCAGAGTACTAACTCGAATGTTGACTTTGCTGGCAAGGGATCGCCACCGACTTGGGGTTGAAGTCATTCGAAGGATAAGGCTTCAGCGTAGATTGGTAATAGATAGACAGATTGGTAGATCGCTCATTGTAGATAAAAGTAGTAGTAGTAGTAATAATACTTGGCGAACACCTGCTCAGTCACTTTCAAGCGAGTGAGCTCTCTCCGACTTGACTCTCAACCCCCATCAGATACGTGCAGGCTTGAAAGCGTAGGTTCTGGTGAGGACAAGGCAATCGATATCCCTCGGTCACGACATAGTAGAAGAGAACGCAAAGAACGAAATTTTTTGTTCAGGTTTTTGTTGCCCATTAGGCTCGCTATACATAGAGGTGTTCCATCACCAGTGCCTGCCGTCATTCATGGTTCTTCCACCAAGGGAGTGTCCTGATTACACTCATCGTCATCATAAACTCAAAAAAGCCAAGACGACCTCGTCAAGGATTGACAACAGCGGCCTCCTCAGCCCTATTCGCGGCGGCCTAGTCCTAGTCCTCCCCCTCATCAGCCGCACCGCCCATGCGGCCTATATTCTTTTGTAGCTCATCCATACTCTTGTCCCAGTTGGGATACGGCTTCTCCTCGCCGTTGGCCTCAGCCTGCTCGTTGCGGATGCTCTGCATACCCAGGCCATCCTCGTATGTGGGCTGACCGGAGGATTTGGTGTAGCCGATTGGCTTGGAGTCGGTAGCGAGGAGAGGGTCGCTCTCGTGGGACTTGGGCATGATCCTCATGCAATCGGGTCCAGCTGCGTGGGGACAGGTGGACATCTTGGGAGGATGTCGGGAGGTTGTTGTTCGTTGGAAGGCTGGTTTGAAAGAGTATGAAAGTGAATTCGAGTAGTGAAGTTGGTTGGAGTTGTGAGGTGGTGTCGATTGTTTCAGTTGTTGATGAGGAAGTAAGAAGAAGGGAGTAAGAGTGGAAGGGAGGACTTATTTATACCTGCTGGGCGAAGTGTGCAGACTTCACTACAGCGGCCAGCGGGTACGATGATTTAGTATCTCGTGGTGAAGAGAAGCTGATTGCCTACCGTACGTGGCTGGTGTGGCAGTAATAGGCAAGCATTTGTTGACCTCATGGTGTATCTTGGCCAACGAGATGCGAGAGGACAGCTTGCTGGACGGTATGACTCTGGTGAAGGGGCAGATCTTGGGAGTGAAGGATGTTGAAATTCCTTCGTTGGACCAGTAGGATGCGACTGAGTTGATTGCTTGCTTTTGTGAGTGTCGTGAAGAGGTACTGGTGTGTGATGACGAGTCTTTGCCTCGTAGCTCGTGGCAAACCGGAGGCACCGTATACGCTTCCTGCTGCATCGCCTAGGGCTCGTAAGCACGAGAGAGCCGCAGTGAATTTGTTCTCTTACCATCTGCTGACACGTTTGGGACAAATGTCTAGGGAGAACAGAGTGCAGTCACGGAGATTGCTTGCTTCGTGCCGTAATCATACCATAGTCTACTCTGGGCACCATCACTTTCGTCACATCATGCTCTACTCCATATCGTTCCCGTACACACACAATCCTTCTGGAGGCGATGCCAAATCTCCCGCATCGTCCGATGAAGAAGAGCTTGTCAACGGTACTGTGCCCACCTCACTCATCATCGCGGCCTCGAGATCCCGCGCAAGATCGAAAGTGACTGCGCCTGTAAGTGTCGCTGTCCGGACACCATAGAGCTGCCGCAACGGCTCGAGCATAATGTCCAAATCATCTGCCACCTTAACCTCACCGGCATTTTTTCGGCGGTCCAGAGCATCTGAAACAGCGTTGCTGTTGGAAATGCGTATGCTGAGGGAGGTGAGATGTCGCGGTCGAGACTTCTCAAATGCCCAATCCTCTTCGCCATCATCGCTTTCATCAGACCCATCAGATACCACGACATCAGGCTTCAGCGCGTTGACGAGCCTCTGTACCTGCCTCCTCAAGCCAAACACAAGCCCCTTGCCTCCAACATTGAACTTGATCATACCAGTATAAGGATCCAAATGATCAATATTGACAACCACCCTCTTAACCAACCGCCGATACCTTTCCGGCACTAGGTCCAGAAAATCGTAATTCCTGCTCGGAGCCATGCCTGTGGGTAGCACGAATCTATACCTCCACTTGATACCGGGGTATGTGAGAAAGAGGAGGAAAGTGTTTCGCCCATAGACTAGCTCCGCGCACTCATCGTGTAGTTGGCTGCAGACGGATAGTATGCTCATCTGTCCCCGTAGCCAGACAACATTACTCGTACTGCTGCTCTGTCGCAACTGTCTCGCTGCTTCTGTCTCGGCGGAGGGGACGAGCATACCCTTCTTCATGCGCTTCTGTACAGCACTAAACTCCCGCGCATGAGCGGTAAGAGGATTGCTGTCCACTAGTTCTTTCGTCCTTGGCAAGATATACGACAAGATCTCTTGTCTTAGCTCTAGAGGCAGTCGGAGGAGAGGGAACTTGGGCTTAAAACTCGCTGGCGAGCGGGAGCGGTGCTCCAATTCTTCCCAGGATTCATGGCGGTGGTAGGCCGGATGAGGATGAGATGGTCGTTCTGGCGTTGTGAGAAGATCAGTGCTGATGATTGGGGCTGATGGATGTGGTGTCACGTAGTAGTCCCTGCAATTGTAGGTGCCGTAATCCATGCTATAGCTACACCGTCACCAATGCCCGTGTTCCATTCATCACCAAGGGTATGGTTTCGATATCGTCCGTGCATCACCAGCGCCCACGGAACGAGACCCCTGTCCTGCCGCCGAACGTGGAGAGGCTGGAGAAAGTGGATTCAGCAACAACGATGCTGTGACTCCCTCTCCCTCCCCTTCCCTCCTCACCAACAACCATGCGCGACGACAGCACTTCAGGCCCGTCCGACCTGGCGATGATGCCCTGTCCTTTCCATGCTGCCTTGTCAGTCATCACATATAGCCCCAGGCTTGGGGTGGACGCTGCTTGATCTCCTTCTTCACCGCCGAACGACAGGCCTCACCTCACCAGGACGAGGAAGTGGTTCGGTGCCTAGCGATAACATCGCCTAAAACACAGAGAAGGAGAGAACGGACAGATATCCACCTCATAAATCAATACAACACAGTATAGACTCGGAGTCAGGAGACAGCACCACCAGCCATGGATCTCGAAACACTACCGAACGAAATAACCACCCATATCTTCACTACCCTGCCCACCATCTCCTCCGTTCTCGCCTTGGCATCCACAAACCATCACTTCAATACAATCTACCACGGCTCCCAACGCCTTGCCATCCTTTCCGCAGCTGCAGACGCCGAGTACGGACCCTTAAATGACATAATCCAAATCTGCACCTATAACGCCTCTCAACCCGCCCACACACCACGCACGGTACCCATGTCCGATGCCCTCATCAAAGAAGTCCTTCGTATCGGAAAGGTCGCGAAGCAGTGGGAGGATGTGTATCCGTTCAAGAAATGGAAGGATGATTATGCCGCTCGACGCTTGCTGTCGGATGGGGAACGCTATGCCCTTCGTCGCGCCCTCTACAGATTGTGGCATTACACCAAAGCCTTCCACAACCGGCAACACCCACGCACCACACGTAATACACCCCAACTAGTCGCCGAACGCGCCGCTCTCCTCCACAATTACCCCACCGTCGAACTGGCAGAAATGTACGATGTCCAGCTCGTGCTACGAGACGTAGTAGCCAACAACATCTGTCCCTCCAACGGCCGCATCCGTCAGAAATTTCAAAAGCGATATCCGGATTCCAGTCATCAGCTTCTGTTCAACATCCACCTCAACTACCCCGCCCCAGCCTCGACCTGGTGCTCCACAGCCGCTGACAACGCCTGGCTGAACCCAACACTGCTGCAGTACTCGAAAAGCCACCACCACCACCAACCACAATCCACCCCATCAAACGGCTTCCACAACCGCCTGCTCCCCTCCCGCCACCATGAACCAGGTGCCGAAGGCTGGGGCGACGACATCAATCATTATTACGTGGTGGAGGATATGATGAAACTGGATCCCGGACAGATTTTGCTTCTGAAGGAGAGGTATTTTCTCAAGGGCCATGTGGAGGCTTTTGTGCGGTTGGAGGTTGATGGGGGCGAGGGGTGGTTCGTGGATAATGGAGAGACGTTCTCGGAGACGCTGTGGAGTGTTTTGAGGCAGAGGCATATGGATGATGTGGATGGTGGTGTTGAGGGACTGAAGCGGGAGGTAGAGGATGGGGTACTTGGGGTGGCTTGTGGAAGGTGAGGGCGGGACGAGGGTCATGGTAATGGTACGAGGTGGAGTGAGGAAGACTCGGGGGCGTAGTATTCTGATACGAAGCTTGCGGCTTGTCCGTCGTTGCTTACTGAGGTGGTTTGTATGCATACTTCTAATATGGGCACCAAACTTTTGGCCCAAACAAACATAACTCCAAGCGTTCTTTTTCCTTTACCACACATGCTTCCATAATACTGACAAAAGCAGCTCACAACAGCACAACAGCTTCCAGCCTCACTCAATAATGAATACACCCATTGCGCAACTCGAGCACACACACTCGAACTCGAACCCGATCACTTCAGCCAATCGAAGCAAAAAACAACGCGTCCCTCACTCGAACTCAAACTTGATCACCTTGTCCAACCGAAGCAAAAACTCGACGCGCTTGCTCAGCTGCGAGAAATCTTCGCGTTCGACCAGAGACTACAGGTGTGAATTCTTTTTATGAACGGAGGTATTTTTGTCGTTGAATCAAGCCTGGAGCTCGCTTTCAACTTGGAAGGGAAAGGTATGGTTGTCCAATATAAGGGTTGGTGGCTGGGTGGCCGATGATACGCCGGTGAACGTTTTGCTGTCTTCATTGCATGAGACGATTGTAGAACATAGGGTGGACCGGTGCGCTGGAAAGTGTTGTGCGGTGGTCTTGGTATAGGTGTCGTTCTCTTGCTGACACTGATAGCGTGACTGGGAGTGGGAGCGGGAGCGAGAGCGAGTCATTGGTAGCAGACCCGAATCCGTGCCTTCCTCATATGTGCATGTGATGTCACGACAAACGGATTCTGATGCGGCACAAACAAAACCTTTCGTCCTCCTTCCATCGTGCTTTAAACGACGCTTCTTCACTTCACAATCTCTGGCTCCTGGACATTTCGCGAACAACGTAAAAGGTCCGACTACACCTCGTCGCTAACGTGCCACCACTTGAATCAAACACCCCCTCGAACATGGCTGCACCAATGGAGGCGACGAGCGAGAAACACTGCATCTTGTGTGGCTCGACTACGGGTGCCGAGACCATCAAGCTGCTCTCCTGCGGAAAATGCAAACAAGCTCACTACTGCGGTAAAGCTTGCCAAAAGAAAGATTGGCCCATGGACAAGCACGTCTGCAAGGACTGGGCACACCCATCTTATATGCCATCACCCTTGAGCCCGGTGCCGCTCCCACCAGGTTCGACATCTTTCCAGACTACCTACCCTGGCATGGTACTCAGACCTGAAAACGACAAGAGCGTTCCCGGCGGCGTCCGGTGCATGACGCTCGCATGCGGATCAAAGGAACTCTGAACCCATTTTTGTTCTATGACATACCTCTCACTGATGTTGTGGGCTATTCTCTGCGGTTGGCCGCGATCCCGACTACACCAGACAATGTACCTATGATTCCAAACCCACATGTGGCGGATTTGACCATCAACCCAGACCCAAAGTCGCCAGAATTTGGGCAGCCCAGCGCACCGCTCAGTCCGACACGCTCGTGGTGTGTGGTGCGCAAAGATCGAGCCCAAATGTATCCCATTCATGTCGCCGCCGTCGTCATCTACGTCACGGAGATGCTGGACGAGGTCAAAGGGGTGGCGGGCAGGGTTGCGAAGGGCGAAGAAGTGGACAAGGAGGAGATTGCAGCGAGGCTGCTTACGCCGAAGGCTTTCTCGGAGGCTTTCGAGAGCATCAGGGTGAATTGTAAGCTGGAGGATGCTGAGAGGTGGGCGGTGGTTGCAAATCCGATACAGGCGAATCAATTCGGGCCGTAGAGGCCCGGCTGTGGATGCAAAAGGGTGGGCGACATGGGTGCAACATTAATCAGTGGGTGCGGTGGTATCGGAACCTGGATATGAGAAATGGGATGCTGCAGCCAGTTGGAGTATTGCAGACGACATGCATAGATGAGTGGGCTCAAAAGAACGATACACTTGAGCTATAATCACGTCAAACATTTCTCGCCCATGCGCGCCCAGTCGGTGGCGCATGCACTGCGCGTTGCTGGGACGTACCTTCCCGTTTGGCGCACACGTGATGTCACTGCAAACGGAGCATTTCACGTGTAACCACTGGTCTTTCTCAACTTCCTTCACATCCCGACGCCACCTTTCATTGTACATCTACCACAGAGACCATCACTGAGAAGGTATTCGCCAGCTTATTACTGAGCGAGGCGAGGCGTCCCCACTGACGACCTCGCGGCGACATCATCAATATGGCGACACTCCCTGGCGACATGGGCTGCGTCACCTACGGCTCGGGCAAAGCGCTGGAGAGATGTGGCCGCTGCAAAAACGCTCACTACTGCAGCAAAGCCTGTCAAGGCAAAGACTGGCCACTCCACAAGGCCATGTGTAAGCGCCTTGCCGCTGCTGCTGCTGCTTCCATCGCCCCACCAGGGACCACATCCACGATAGTATCATACCACCTACCCAAGGACTCCCCACTAGACCTCACCTTCACATCTATCTTCATGCGTACGCTTCCAAGCATGGATCAGGCCCAACCATTCTGTTGCGGAGGCTCTCGGTGGCATCATCTCCGGCTCGTTGCAAAACCGCATTGCTGAATTACCTCTCACTCACGCCCTCGGATTCCCGATCTTTTTGGCCATCTGCTCTGATCTAGAAGCAGCCATCTCACTGTCCAATCTGTTTATCAACATTCTCTCTTTCGATCCGGACCCGAAGTCCAAAGGCTTCGCTCAGCCGACCCTGATCGAGAAGCACTTTGGCAAAGTCCGTCTGATGCGTTGTGATCGCCGGCCGATGCACGAGGTACACATTGAGACGCTCGGGATGTACGCACTTTATGGGCTGGAAGAGTTTTTACAGGTCCGTCCCCTTGTCGCTAATGGCAAGGAGGGTGATACGAAGGGATGGCAAACAAGCTGCTAACGCCCAAGGCGTTTGCAGCCTATCTCGAGACGATGAAGGCCGATCAGGACCCGGAGGAAAAGAAGCGATGGGAGGCAGCTGGGAAGCCTGTTGAGGTGTCTTGATCTGCTGGCGACATGGGTTTGCCATGCTTAGGTGGTACGTCAAAGCAAAGAGATGCAATTCAATGTGCGGCATACGTGCGATTGTTTACGGGCTGCGGAATAGCCGGTCTGGTATGCTGCGAATGCTTTAAGGATTTTAAGGAAGGTGGAAGTTTTGAGATGAATGCAGAAGAAGAAAGGAGCACTGCGCGGCCTACAGACTTACTCTCAATCGATGGTATGAGACGCGACTCTCAATTATCATGGAAAGTCTTGATAGTCACTGCACACGGACGACTCGTAGCTAGTACTGATGTGTACACGAGGCATCCCTGTCAATCGCAACAGCGAAACCTAAGAAACAAGTTCTGTACGGATGCCAGTTGCTGTCTGCACCGAGAAATCGTCCTTCCCTTAGGTCAATATGTCGGACGAGCAAAGGCTATTGCCAGAAACCTGAGTCAAGGTGTGCTCGTTCTCCTGCTCGGCGTGAATGCGCGAAGGTCGATTTGAGCACTACGAGGCAGCTGGACTTTGAACTTTCGAAGCTGGTCCGTTTGTAGAAATGCCAATTCGAGGATCGAAGCGCCTAACCGGCCAAGAGTCTGGCGGCATGTGCTCCTTCGGATCCTTGTACAGCAGTTCCAGCGCTTCGTTCAGACTAGGCTTGATGAGCAATAAGGCTTTTGTTGTTGCCCTCTTGACCGGATCCTCGACGAGGCAAAGTTTGAGAATGTCGAGTATAGGCTGCATATCGGTGGACCTTGTCTTGTTCAAAGCGATCTCGAGATCCAGTGGCGTGTAAGTATGCTTACGATTGTCAAACTGCTCTAGCGTCAAGACCTCGTACAGTGCAGTTCCAAAATTGTAGACATCGTTAGCTCTTGTCTGAATTCGCGAGGTGGAAGCACGGCGATATGCATGTCGGTCAGTATATTTGAGATTGTATACAGCCAGACTTTCCGGTGACAGATACCCAGGTGTACCACTGACGCCTTCGCTATCCTGCTCGTAGCATGAGAGTCCGAAGTCGCCAAGGACGACATCTGGCAGGCCGTGCTGGTTGTCGTCAGAAATGCGAAGATAGATGTTCGGCCTCTTGATATCTCGGTGTATCATAGGTTTGTTGCACAACCTAGGAGTGCTCGCCGTGTCCACTGTAAAATTGCCTTCGTGGAGATAGCCTACTGCTGCAAACATCGATGAGATGAAGTATAGGACGAAGATCTTGGGGAAGCCTTGTTCTCGAAGCTGGTCAATTGAGTTCCAGTGGTTGATCAGGGCATCGACGTCGCCTCCGGAGCAGTACTCAAGTGACATGCTTGCTGTGCTCGTGAGCTCATCTATACTATAGTCGTTGCACTGTACGATATTTCGATGTGACCCAATCTTGAACATCAGCATCTTGATCTCACCTGCCAGGGCCGGCCGTCTCGACCGCTTGCGCCTCTCCATGTCGACGGTCTTGATCACAATGAGCTTGCTGGTCTGATTACACTGCATAATCTTGACAGTGCCCTGACCACTCTTTGGGAAGTTGTGGACAATAGTGCAGTCAGCATGCGGGTCTATCGCTGGTAAGAGACGTTGAGATGCTCTGGACGACTCGGATGGTGCAGATCCTGACGATGTGCTAGAGACGGCACGACGAGTCAAACTCGACCTGAGAGAGTTTCTCTGCAGTGCCGCCACTTGAATGCCACTGAAGCCCCTGAACGAATCATGTCCATCTGGACTCGTTGGGACCGGCGCTGATGCGTGTCGAAGTCTTCGGAAAGCCGACGAGCGAGTCTGTTCGTGAGATGTCGCCGTGTTCGTGATTGACGAGAAAAGGCCCTGCTCTGTTTCGATGCGACAGATCTGCTGCAGTCGGCCCCGACTGCAAATGGCTCGCAAGTAGTGGAAGATCACGATAGCAATAGCAAACATTGCAGTCACGATGACCAGCATCAAGCTCATGATCCTTGGGCCAGCCATGTCGGTTATAGCAGGGAAAATTGCTACAAGTCAGGGGAAGAAGACAAGACCAGCTTGTCGATTCTGCTTTGGGTGTCGCAGTACTTTGTCCAGAGTCCTGCTCATCGAAGAGAGAGCAGAAATCTCGCGCTGCATGGCGAGCTACTATACTCTCATCAGCAGCCATACACAATGGACAAAGTAAGAGTAAGTCATAACGCTTCAACAGTCTTGCATCTCAAGACATAGAGGTTGTCGAGAAATGTCTCACAGCATTGAAGACATGCAAGTAGTGAACCACTCCATCACAGACAGCGTTCGGCGGACAACGCGTTGCAGCAGTAGCGATCGTGAGGTCTCTAAAATCGAGTCCCTTCGATCCCGGGCGTATATAGACTGCTCGGGTTGTGCTAGCAGAGAGATGAGCTGTATTCGGACCATAGACCTTGCTGAAACCCAGGCATCAAGAGGAAGATCTTCTGTGGCTGTTCTGCGCAGCATCAGGCACAACTTGATTGCGAGCTTCGCACGCTCATAAGGCGCGATATCACATCGATCTACAGAGCAGCATTCTCAAGATTACCATCAATTGTGGCCGGTCGCTCGCGTGAAACAGTATGGCGTGGTCATCAGAGTAAGCATGAAGGTCAGCCCAGTACAGTTGGGATGCTTTAACTGAAACCATGCTCTCAGAATGGGCGTGAGCATCCCGAAGTCCTGATGAGTCCCAAGAGTAGAGTATGTCGGAAGATGATGGCGTCGTTGCTCGCAAAGACTAAGAAGGAACTGGAAAGTGGCGTTGGCAAGGTCTTGGCGCTTTTGGCCGAGCACACGGGGCATGAGTCCTGCATCAAATGACGACAAACCTTTATCTCGACGAGCTCAAAAAGCACCCAGTCCTTGAAGAGGAAGCCGCCTGTTCCCCATCGTGAGGTGATAATCTACACGGGCTCCCTGATAGACAGCTTCCAGATTGGCCGAACCACCCGCATCTAGTGCAATGGAAGCTTGCTATGCATCCAATGAAGGTGCAACACAAAGTCATCACACTGTGTCAAAGGCAACACCCTCTGACCATCCTACCGCTGGAATCGCCGAGTTCATGTACTCTCGGATGGTGCCGATAACTCCAATGGCGATTTTGGACAAAACAAAATGTGATAGCCCACGTACTGGTCTGAGAGCGCTAGAAACCGAGATGTCATATGGCATATCGGCCCTCTAGCGGATGTCAATTCTGTGGTCTGCATTCGCATCCGAATGTAACGGTAAGCACAAATGGAGCCGTAAGTCGGGCAGTATAAGTACAAGCTTCTTTCGTCTTCATTCCCTAGCATACACCTCACTTCCTCGAGGATTCCACCATGATGAAGCAGCCCTACTTCGGCCTCAGAGGAGGATGGTTGACCTTCTGGATAACGTGAGTTGTGTTACGTTCGTTCAGGTCAAACTCATCTGCTAACACCCAGTAGAGTCTCGTGCGCAACAGACATGGTAGCATATCGACCTCACCTAGGTAATTTACTCGACTACTGACACCACGATTTAGGCTCTCTTTGGCTATGATCAAGGTGTTTTTAGCGGTGTGAACATCTCAGAGGACTACCTGGATGTCCTAGACCTCAACGGACCTAGCAAGACCAATCTCCTCTCCATCATCACCAGTATCTACAACATTGGCTGCTTCTTCGGTGCCATTCTCGCCTTCACGGTAGGCGAGAGACTTGGTCGCAAGAAGACGATTCTCCTCGGTACTACGATCATGGCTATTGGTGCAATACTCCAAGTCAGTGCGTTCAGCCCAGCGCAAATGATGGTTGGACGTATCGTCACTGGAGTTGGAAACGGACTGAATACTGCTACTGCTCCGGTTTGGCAGACGGAGACTTCACCATCGAAGTGGCGCGGCAAGCTGGTAGTCATCGAGATGATGATGAATATCTTTGGTTTCATGCTTGTAAACTGGATTGTAAGTATTTAATACCGACTCACAAGACATCCCACTGATCGCTAGACAGAACTACGGTCTGTCGTTTGTGGGTGGGGCGCTTGCCTGGCGCCTGCCTATCGGCCTGCAATTCGTCTTCATGGTTGTGCTCTGGAGCACCACTCCTTGGCTACCAGAAAGTCCGCGATGGTACGACTCTCAGCACGCAGTCGCTCGTGCGACTTATACTGATCCTGCTTGCTAGGTTGATTGCCCACGACCAGATTGAGAAAGCCACGAGAATCATTGCCGATATTGAGAACAAGAACATAGACGATCCTGAAATAGTTGCGAACACAAACGAGATCATCGCAAGCGTCCAGTACGAGCGGCAGAACGCTATTGGATGGGTCGATCTCATGCGTGGTAAAACTGGAGACGCTGGTACCAAGACGGTCGGACGACTGCTTTTGGGTGCTGGCACTCAGTTCATGCAGCAGTTTGGAGGCATAGTAAGTCACATTCGCATCAACCTCCCACTTTACGAGCTGACCATTTGATAGAACGTAATGTCTATCTACATGCCAACTCTTCTAATCACATCCGTGGGACTCAAAAGCGACATGGCTCGACTGATCGCTGCTCTGAGCTCAGTCGCTTATCTCGTCTCATCCGGTGTGGCGGCGCCGTTAGTCGAGCGCTGTGGTCGACGATTCATGATGATGGTATCGACTGCTATTCAGCTGGTCTGCTTCTTCATGATGGCAATACTCCTGTATTACGCACAGAAGCCCGGCTACGCTCACCAGAAGACGGCAGCCGAAGCATCTGTGGTCTGGTTCTTCATCTACTATATGGGCTTCGGACTTGGCATGTTGGGTGAGTACGCTCGGTCTATAAGCGCGGGCACATTGATTGACGCTTCTGATAGGAATACCATGGCTCTACCCAACCGAAATCAACAACCTTTCCATGAGGACTAAAGGCGCAGCTGTTGCAACGGCAACAGACTGGTTGACGAACTTCGTAATCGTGCAAATTACGCCCATCGGCCTCCAGACTCTCGGGTGGCGCTTCTACATTATCTTCATCGTCCTCAACGCTGCCTTCCTGCCAGTGATATGGTTGCTGTACCCTGAAACGGCAGACCGCACACTGGAGGACCTGGACTACTACTACCGTGAGAATCCACCTTTGATCGTGATAGGCGACAAGGACGCTATATCGGTCAAACGTCCGAGCGAGTATGTGCAGATGCAGGACGACGATGTGCTAAGGGCAAGGAGTGTAACACAGGTCAATGTGGTTGTTCAAGAGGAGAAAGAGTAATTTGGCACTGTAACAATGGAAGGTCGTAGCAGAAGGTGATAGCAAACGTAGGGCCGTTATATACAGTAGCCAAATTGCTTTGTGACCACCCCATATATTGGGCACCTTGCAACACCATCAATACCTATAGCTGGTCTTCGGCCGGTGCATTTCGCGTCTTTCGCCCCACGTCATCGGCATCGTGAACTCCGTAGTTCTACCCCGTCAAGCTCGAGTACATACCAAGCGAACCTTCACACATCGTTATTCACGTGCACGTTGCAGCATTAATAGTCCTGCGCCAGACACACCACTCAGGCAAGGTCAGCGGCTGGCTTCCCACATCTTCCACGGCCATGCCAGCATGACTGCGCAAAACCCACCTCCTCGCGCAGCATGCCACGAGTCTACCCACCGCTCGAAGGCCGACAACCCAATGCCGCGATCTCACCGTCCATAATTGAAAGCGCTGCGGGTTTCACTGCTGGAGTGGTGTCTACACTCGTCGTCCACCCTTTCGATGTCGTCAAGACACGATTGCAGATTGAGCAAAATGCCAAGTCCTTACCTGGAGGGAGCTGGCGGGTCATACGGACGATTGCGAGTGAAGGGAGGCAATCAACACAGGCACAGGTGAAGGCTGGAGCAATGGTGAAGAGCTTTTATCGAGGACTTATGCCTAACATGATTGGCAACAGTGTTAGTTGGGCTTTGTACTTCATGTGGTATGGCAATATCAAGGACTTGGTGCGGTCAGCGAGAGGTGGAGGAAGAGAGCTGCGGTCCTCAGACTACTTCCTGGCCTCTGGAGTGTCCGGAATTCTGACAGCTGTGTTCACCAATCCGATATGGGTGATCAAGACGCGGATGCTGTCTACAGCAAGAAATACTCCTGGCGCTTACAAAAGTATTGCACATGGCACGCACGACCTCTATCAGACAGAAGGTATACGGGGCTTCTACCGCGGGCTATTACCCTCGCTTTTCGGTGTCAGTCACGGTGCGATCCAGTTCATGGCATACGAACAGCTCAAGAATCGATGGGCAAGGGAAAGACCTGGAGGAAAGGCTGGTCTGACCAACTCGGATTATCTCCTCCTCAGTGCAGTTAGTAAGATGCTTGCGGGTAGCATCACATACCCATACCAAGTTGTCCGAGCTCGATTGCAGGTCTATGATGCCCCAAAGCGCTACAAAGGCGCCTGGGATGTGGTGCAGAAAGTGTACCGCCATGAGGGACTTGGCGGGTTCTACAAAGGGTACGCTCTCCGCCTTTTGCTCATTCAAACATTACTGACATGTCAACCAGCCTTGGTCCGAACATTGTGCGGGTCCTACCATCCACCTGTGTAACATTTCTGGTATACGAAAACACGAAGCACTATTTACCTCGCCTTTGGGCTCCCGACGAGATCCACGTCGATGAAGTGGCGGCCTAAGCATTATGTTGTTTGACTTTGGCATGCATCTTGTACATACACGCATCGAAGGCATAGCATGGCAGGGTGCCCGGCGTTACACGGTGGACCATGCGCTCAGGACAGCGCTGCAGCGAGGATTGTATAGAGCACGGCTCTTGCCTAGACATAGAACACCGACATATCAGCAGCGAGCATTATGATAACATACTCTACAGATTATACTTCAACCAATGCAACCACTGCATGAATATGCGGAGTGGCGCCTTCAGGTTGTCTGGACTTTCGGCTTCAAAGCCGGCAGCATTCATGTTAAGTTGGTGGGTCATGGATAGCCTGTCTGGGAGGCCTTGCTTTTATCTCCTGATGTTCATGCCTGATATTTTATCGTTCCTCGGGCATCAACGCAAAAACACTGCATGTCCAGACCTTAACTTGCGGTCGAGGGGCCGACCGAGACTTTGATCCCTTTAGCCAAAGCAGTAATCACGATGCATTGAGTATGCGGAGGACGAAAAGCGTATCAACGCAAGTCAACTCTACCGAGCCGTACCTCGTGAACCAGAACATTGAGAAACTCAATGTTGGTATACTGTATTGCGTAAGAAGAGGACAGCAGAGTTCGAGCCGTTGGAACGGAGAACGCCTGTCCTGCAGTCGTGGATCTTCAATTAATCATATATTGGTTACCGTGTATAAGATATATCGATTTTGATTGTCGCAATTAAATGTGCTGTGCGTGTGTATACCTGAAGAGATCGAATGAGGCGCTGATTGGATCTTGGTGCAAGGATGACATCTCTCCGGCTCTCACACTCTCACTCGAGCTGACGGGCTTACTTTCGACAGCCTTGAATTGGCATGATTATGTACAAGATACCTATTCACTTTCCGCTCAAGGTGGGCATCCGGAGCAGTATGGCCGTTCGGGAGAAGGAGCTCGAGCAAGTGGAATCGACTGGCGGTCGGCAGTACCTTGCAGTCGCGTGTCTTCAAAAGTGACGCCGCAAGGCCACCGCGGTCATCTCCACTGTATATACCTATACTATAAACCCGTAGTCAAAAAGAGATTTCAAGGTCGATTCCACCCACCAAGCCTCCACAATATCGCGTGCTGGCCACGACGCTGATGGCACGAGTCTCACAGAAATGAGCAATGTGGACGGTCACCTGCCTGAGGTGAAAGTCTTTGATCGAGCTGAACAGGAGCTGTTTCCATGATGATGCAGCGGAGCTGAGACCAAAACCTCCGACTGCATGCCGTCTGTATTTGCTTGGCCCACGACGATCCTATGCGTTAGGCTAACTCGAAACTGCTCATGCGGCTTGAAATTGACAAGCAAAATGGATCCTCCAACGGCTATGGGAAGGACCGCCGATGACGAACCCAGTTTCGGGTCATAACGATTCTGAACAAGGCGGGACTTTGCTGACCGTCCGTGCCCTTTGCACCAGGGGTGTCCCGGTTTCACGAATGTATCGACCCCCCGACACGGAAGACCTTGGGCACCGCGTGAGCGACCCAATCGTGCGCAACGTGGGCGAACAGCCAGACTGCAGCTCTGCCATCCTTGTGGCGTAGAGGCTCTTCCGGCATGAGCAGAAATGAGCTCGTCGGGCGCTCGTATTCTGGACCCATCAACCTCGTAGAAGACCATTCAGCCGACAGAATTCGCAAACCGGGTAGAAGTGCCAGCCCACGCCACCGCGCGACCAGAAACACCAACCCTGTCGCGAATGCTGTAGCGCGGACGGTACTTCAGCTTTACTTGGCCCGCACAGAGCTCCGGATGCGCAGCAAGCAGTTCCTGCATGACTGCTAGGATGTCCTTTTGCAGATTATTGACTGTGCCTGTTGCACTGCACTTTGTCGCGCAACATTATTGTTGTTGATTCTCTTCCTCATAGATCAGGCTTAACCTTCGCTGCTTCCAGGTCCGTCAATTCTCTTCGTACGCGCTTGTGGTACGTCGCGCTTATCCACGACATCAATATCCCGGCATCAGTATGCATCCGCAGGCTCAAGCATAGACTGGACTCGAAGACTACACTTCCAGGAGGCAGCGGGCTGCTCTCCGGCTATCCCTAGTTGCCTGTATTACTTGCCAGCTCTACTTCTAGGCGTAGACACTCGTTCGCCAAGGCGCTGAACAGTCCTCCACCGAGCATCGGTACCTGAACCATGTTGCAGGCAACAATCACCGACGTGCAGGATAAACTACGCAGCCGGCCCCCACTAACCTTGACTACCGACTGCTATCTACAGAATAACTCCACGATGGGATCTGATGAGACCGTCTCTCCACTCGAGTGTTCTAACGTACAACCTGACCGCGAATCTGGCCACAACACTGCATCTCATGCTGCCGGCTCAATACGTCGAAGGATGTCCTGGTTCACCCGCGGCAAAGACGAAGAGATCCAGGATGGACCCCGACGACGAACTTCGAACCTGTCGTCAACCCGATCCAAGGAGACGCTGCCAAGCCACGATGACCTACCACCACGAGCTTCCACGTCACTGTCCTTTCGATATACACGCTCAAGACTGCAATCGTTACCTGAGCGAAGTCATACCTTCGCAAATCCGAGCGGCACCAATAGGACGACCCAGGACGATCTGAGCGCGAAGTCAGCCACGGCCGCAACCCTCCCAGCACAGACGCATACTTCACGAGTCCGCTCTCGTGCCGAGTCTGCCAACGCCCAGCCATTACTACTATCCCGTGATGCATTCCTATCAAGTGAAGACTGTGCGTTGCACTCCAGTTATCGTAGGCTACCACATCGTACTAACATCTGTCGCAGATCGGATCTACCTCAAGAAGTCCAGTATCTCTCTGCCGTACAACTTCGAACACATCACACACACTGCTGCGCAGGAGCTGCCGCCGCTAGACACTGTCACCGAACGAGACCTACCTGCCCGGTTCTGGTCCCTTTCAGCTTACCGGCGACCGACCAGACATCTCACAGGCATACAAGCCGATGACTTATCGCATAAGCTTCCTGTCATGGGCATCACACGAGGAGCGCAAAGCTCTAGGCCCGCGTCGCCGACTCTGTGCGAACTCGACATTGATCGTCCGGTGGCCGTAGAGTCATTATGCGATTCCGAAAGCCTTGGATCACCACTTGGCAAGCTCGATGTTGGTAAGGCTCTTCCGATGCTACCTTCGTCTCTCATGTCAGACGGTGTCGACGCTCCTCTGGAGCGCAAATCATCAATCGCGACACTCAACGACACCAGGCTACATCTCCTCAGCCAAATGCCATCGCTAGATCAGCTGTCTCCTCCGACGAAAAAGTCGCAGAATCTTGGCACATATAAGCCGAAAGGCGCACCACGACAAGCACCACCAAAGCCATTAGATCTGGTCTCACATCCGCAGGCTCGGGATGCGAATGCTTCCGACTCGCCTCGGGTCTCTAGTGATGTGGAAAGCCCGACCGAGATTATGTCGCCGACTACTTCACCTCGACTGTCCCAAACCGATTCTCACAGACCGCCTCACTACACTGGACCGGCTTCGATATCAGTCTCCTCGATCGCGACCACAGCGTCAACCATGTCAGCACAATCACGTCCCTCCACCCGGGCAATGGTGACGTTGGAGTCCCCAATGGCCTCTCCTGTAATGGCTTCGCCCCCACGATCCTCGAATTCTCGTGCAGCTCGCACTTTGTCCGCCGACTCATGGGAAGCTGATGTGGAGTTCTCCTACCAAATGGAGGCGGAGTCAACCTGTGATTTTCAATGGAACGGGTCGACCAGACATGACTCTCGGAGCACCTTGACCCCTGGAGAGCGAGCATCTAGCCGGCCTGCATCGCGTAAAGTTTTCCCAAGGCCACCAAGCACAAGGCCAGGGTCTGCGCAGAGTACTATAAGGTCAGCGGTGAGCAGAAAGACGTCTCGCGAAACACTACTGTCGAAGCAGTCGCCTGTGGGCCATCGTGGCTTCTCCGCCGCAAGGACTAGCTCGAGGAGTAGCCTCAGACCTCCTGCATCGCTTGGTCTAGGCGCCAATGGTGGCATGAATGCTGCAAGCGTGCTCTCGCCAATCTTCAGCGTTGCGGGTGCCGACTCACCCGCTCTACCTTCACCGGTGTCCCCTGTGTCGCCAGCTTATGAGCCAAAGCAGGCTCCTATACAGGAGGTACAAGAATATAGCCGGGAATACCTGAGTGACCCGGAGTCTATCAATCGCTCCTCCAGCTCTTGTAGCTCAGGTGACACGACCTCCTACCGGAGCGTACCCTCCGTGCGCCGAGACCCAGCACGCTGGTCCTTTGCATCAGCAAACAGCGTACCAGAACTTATGCAGAGCAAGCACAGGAGCAAGTCCGGACTACAGCAAAGCACCACTGCACGCCAGCTCGACACAGTCCCTGCGAGCCCGGCCAAAGGTAATGGGGAAGGCGATCTCGCTGGTCGGCCTTCGCCACCACCACAGCAGCAGCTTCCGCCACTACCGGTATATGACCCAACGAGAAGTTCATCGCAACTGTCAGATCACAATGCTGTGCGACAAGCAGCTGGAAGGGCTATGCAGAGACTGTCTGCTTCAAAGCCATTCTCCCACTTCAACGCCGTGCATGAGATCCGACCTGGAAAGGCTGATGAGCGGTGGATCTGATCAACGAGATTGTATGAATTACTTTTTTTTGGTCCTGAGCAACGATGTAGGTACCCTGGTGGTACCAAATGATTGTATAACATGATGATCGGGGAAATAAAGGAGATCTATTTGAGAGGGGGATAATGCAGGACGAGAGACATGGAAGGTTCGCTTCTGAGCTGATGGATATATATACCTTACCTTACCTTGCTATTCTTGAGCCTGTATCATTACTACATGAATTTGCATCCCTCCGTTGTGCTTCCCCGTGCTTCACTTGAGGCTACAGCAGTCTGATGCCGACACCACAGACTCTTTCGAACGCAGTCGTAGATTCATGGCGCATGCAGTGCAGCGCCATCAATAATGATCGACTGCACGAGTAAAGCTATTGATTATTGTGATCGCACTCAGGGATGAGGCGCGTGTGGCGGCTCCCGTCGGCAACTTTTGCAGCCGAAAGTGCCGTTGGCCTGCCATCGAGCAGTCTGTTTGGATGCGTGAACTTTAGCTTCGAATTGACTGGATTGGCGCTTCCCTACCATCAGGTCCTCTCCTTTCTTACCAAGCAAGTATACACATACTAGTGACTATTGTATCTCTTCTGGAGTCGGTATTGTAGGACATGTTGAATCGCGGTGCATGAACACAACAACCTTGGTATAAGTGCTAGATATGGCGGTCTTGTTGGATCAGGCTTGGGTCAAGGTACAAGGTAGGTCGGGTTGCGGCCATGCATAGATCGATACCAGTATGCTAACAGTCATCATAGCCAAGACGTTCACGAAATGGCTCAATAACAAGATATCTGTCCGCAACGTCCAAGTCAACGATCTGGTCAAGGACCTCTCAGACGGCATTATCCTCATACATCTCCTTGAGATCCTGTCCCAAGAATCGCTGGGCAGATATGCAGCTCGACCAAAGCTGCGAGTGCAACGGTTCGAAAATGTCAATATAGCTCTGGAATTTATCAAGAGTCGAAAGATACAGTTGACGAATATTGGAGCCGAGGATATTGTGGATGGGAATCGGAAGATCATTCTGGGTCTGATATGGACGTTGATCTTACGATTTACCATTAGCGACATCAACGATCAGGGCTTGAGCGCGCGGGAAGGGCTACTCTTGTGGTGTCAGCGGAAGACGGCATGCTACGACGAGGTGGATGTACGGGACTTCTCTGGCAGTTGGAATAATGGCTTGGCTTTCTGTGCTCTGTTGGATATCCATCGACCGGACCTGATTGACTTCGACAAGCTGGATAAGTCGGATCATCGCGGGAACATGCAGCTGGCATTTGATATTGCATCGAAGGAGATTGGGATTCCGGATCTGCTGGACGTTGAGGACGTTTGCGATGTGGCCAAGCCCGACGAGCGATCACTGATGACATATATCGCATACTGGTTCCACGCCTTTTCGCAGATGGACAGAGTAGAGAACGCTGGCCGCAGAGTGGAGAAGTTTGTATCGAATATGAATGGTGCTTGGGACATGCAGAGCAACTTTGAGCGACGCATGCGCGCTTTGTTGAAGCAGATTGAGGAGCAACAGCAAGCATGGAACTTGGCGAAGTTCAGTGGCTCATACACCGATGCCAAAGAGCAAAGTAGACAGTTCACGCTATACAAACAGAAGGAGAAGAGAGACTGGGTGGCGGAGAAGAGTGATTTGGCTGGATTACTGGGCAACATCAAGACGAAGCTGGCCACGTACAGACTCCTACCGTACGAACCACCCGCGGAGCTGAGTCTTGACTCGCTGGAGAAAGCATGGCGCGAATTGTTCGAAGCACAACGACTACGCAGCCAAATCATCAACAACACGATCCGTGACATCAAGAACAACCTCCGGCGAAGCTTCGCCGACAAAGCCAACGACTTTGCTCTCGCGCTCCAGACGATCAGCATGAGTATTTCGGGACTCGAAGGCGAAGTGGAAGACCAGCTCTCTCACGCCAGTCAGATATCCAACAACCTCCCGCCACTAGAACAGTACCTCGACATTATCGCGAGACTGGACAATCAGTGCCAAGAAGCCAATATCGAAGAGAACGACTTCACGACATACACCTACGACGAACTCGCTTACGAACTCAGTCTCGTCAAATCGAGCGTGCAGAAGAAGCTCGCCTTTCTGGAGAATCAGATGGTAGCCCGCAACATGACGAACCTTACTCCCATACAATTGGAAGAATTCGAGTCGGTCTTCCGCCACTTCGACCGCGACTTGTCAAATAGCCTCCAAGAACTCGAGTTCTCCGCCGCCCTCGCCAGTCTTGGGCTTGTCTACGACGAGACAGAAATGCACGACCGCTTCGCCGAAGTCGCTGGGCGAGGCGGCAGTGTGAGCTTCGAACAATTCATCCGGTTCATGGTTGATGTGACCGAGGATCAAAACACCGCCGAGCAAGTCTTTGAGTCGTTCCGGGAGATCGCAGATGGGAAGCCGTATGTTACGGAACTAGACCTCACGCACTCGCTCATACCAGAAGAGATTGTGAGGGATCTATGTCGGGATATGCCTGCGCATCGGGGACCGGATTTGCAAGAGGATAGGGAGATGGAGAAGTTTGATTATGTGCGGTTTATGGAAAAGTTTGTTAGTGGGAGGCAGAGGGAGCAGGTGAATGGTGGATCGCATCATTGAGCTGAAGTGGTATTAAGAGTTTGTTTTTGGTATCTTGCACAGGCGGCGAAGTTGGATAGGCGCGGGTGTTGGAACAAGCCATTACGAGGGATGTTGTTGATGATTGCATGTAGTATAGTCGCCCAGTACATGTATTAATTGATATGATATCTGCAACCATTACGGCCTTCGCTCTTACGCCGAATTCCACTGCGGAGTTTGAGATTTGTTCTTGCACCTTCCGCTTTTGGTCGCCAGGCTGAACGCCGCTCGACCAATCCCCAAGGCGGCGACATAAAACGCGGGCCAGACGTGTCGATCACGTAGCGGTTGTACACACGTATGTCTATCGCTTCGATCGAACATCGAACTTGTCTTCTTCGTCGTCATTCTGTTGCGTGGCGGACAGTATGCCGATGCTGTACGGAGTAGAAGAACGACATATATACACCACTGAGGAAGCCCAGAAGCATCTTGATCCACGCATGTAACCAAGACACTCGACTTTGATTTATATCGTTACCAATACAAGCAACCATTACTACATTCACTGGCCGGACCATCAACCATGCCTCTAATCGACGACCTCTTCTCCCTCCCCGTCCCACAATCCATCCAGATATCTCCCAATAGTCAACAGATCCTCTACTCCACAGCCCTCACCTGGAATGCCAAGTTTCCAGGCGCCGAGCACGCCGTCTCGACCCTCTGGCTAGCGGAGACTGGCAAAGCCGATTCAGCTCGTCAGCTCACAGCCGGGAACTCGAACGATCGTGATCCGAGATGGAGCCCCGAGGGCGATAGTATAGCTTTCTTATCTGACCGTGGTAGAACAGCGGAAAGAAAGGAGAGCTGCGCTATATACTCTCTACCTGCGTCTGGCCCTGGAGAGGCGACAGCGATTACTGACGTGGCGAATGAGCGTAATATTGAGAGTTTTAGGTTTTCGCCTATGGGTGGGAAGATAGCGTTCCTCTCCGCGGATGAGAAGGACGAGAATCGCAAGAAGAAAGACAAGGAGAAGGATGATGTGCAAGTCTGGGGCGAAGAACTCGCTTTCAATCGTCTTCGGATCGTGGATCTTGGAACCAAAGCCGTTGAGGTGCTGGTGAGTCAGGAGCAGCATATTCTGGAATTCGCGTGGAACGATGACGGAAGTGCGATTGTGTTCACGACGACCAAGTCCACCGATATCGAGAGTAACAGCCTCTACGGCACCGATGTCTGGATTCTGGACCTCGAGACGAAGAAGCAGAAACGGATCTGTCATATAGCGAAGATGGGCCGCGATCTAGTATGGGCAGGCAAGAGAATCTACTGGGTGGGCCCAGTGGCGGAGGAATGGCTGACTTCTGCCTTTGGTGTCCATGAAGTGGAAGTTCCTGCGGACATGTCTGAAGCCGCGAACGAGGGGACGACCAACAAGTCCCACCACATCGCCTACGCTAAAACAAACTGCGCTCTCAACCTCTCCAAGACAGCGACAGGAAACGAAGTCCTAGTCTACGTCCAAAACGGCATGGCAGACGAGATCCGCCTGCTCAACGGCGATAAGACATTGTTTAGCAAGAAGCGGAAGATTCTAGCCTGGGACGCGACCTTCACGACCGACAGCGACGAAGTCGTCCTCGCCCTCGCGCAGGGCGACTCCAACAACCCGACCGAAGTCTACACCACCACAGCCTCAGGCGGCAGCATGGTCCAGCTCTCGCACCTCGGCCAAACGGTAAAACAAGCCGGCCGCAACTTCGGCACCACAACCTTCCTAACCTGCCAATCGCTCGACGGAAAAGTCCAGCTGGAATGCCCCCTCGTCCTCCCCTTCTCAGCCGCTCCGAACAACACCAAGCCCGCCAAACCCCTCCCCACCGTCGTCCTCATCCACGGCGGCCCTTACTACCGCCACACCGAATCCTTCGAAGGCCTGTACTTCATGTGGGCCCCCCTGCTCCTGTCCGCCGGCTACTCCATCCTCCTAGCCGACTACCGCGGCAGCAGCGGCCGCGGCGAGGAATGGGCTTCTCACGCTCGAGGGAATTCGGGGGTGAAAGAGGACTATGAAGACATTATCGGCTTGACGAACGCGGCTGTGGAACAGGGGTATGCGGATCCCGAGCGTTTGGCCGTCGGCGGGTGGAGCCAAGGTGGCTTCTTCAGCTATTTGTGCTCTGTGCGCAATGGGTTACATGGCTTGGGATGGAGATTCCAGGCCGCGATCCCAGGGGCCGGGATGACCGATCTGGATACCATGGCTCTTACCTCGGACGTCGGCTTCTGGGAACAGGAACTCGTGGCTTCGGGCGCTGCCTGGCTTTCTCCCCCCTCCGACGTCCGAAATCGTCGGGGTTCAGCGCTGTGGGAGTTTCGTGAGAATGTGAGGAGTGGGAAGGTGGTGTTGCCGGCTATGATGATTTTGCATGGGGAGGGGGATGTTAGGGTGCCGGTTGAGCAGGGGAGGGGGATGAGGCGGGCGTTGGAGCAGTTTTGTGCGGAAGAGGGGAAGAAGGAGGAGGGGAGGGAGGGGCCGGTGGAGTGGAGGTATGTGGTTTATCCGCGGGAAGGGCATTTTATTGTTGAGACGGGGCATTTGGTGGATATGGGAAGGAGGGTCGTGGGGTGGGTGGAGAGGTTTTTGGGCAAGGCTTAGCTAGCTTGGGGGTGAGATGGTGGGGTTGCTAGTGATTTAGGGTGCGAGTGCGGTTAATGACGGGTTCCGTGCGGTGGTGGGAAGTGAAGTCATTGCTGGCTGTTGTAATGATGTTGACACCTATGAGCCACGATTTGCCTTACGCAATGCTCCATACCACTCGCTCCGCCGTTCCGTCTCATACTCGAACCAAATCAATCAGTAGGAAGAAGAAATCTTCTCGCATGCTCTTGACCGTGATGTGGATAGGCCGCGATACTCGTCTAGCTTCCTACACTCCAAACACTTTTCCACCCACCGACCACTCCCAACTCACCCACCACCCCCAACTCATCAATCCTACCGCCTCCTCCCACTCCTAACCTTGGGAAACTCCAACGGCAACCTCAACCTCGCCACACGGGAAACACTAGCCTGCGCCTTGCTCATCCCAAAGGCCTCCCGATCCTTTTCCGACGGCGCGGAGACTTTCGCCCCGAGTTCGACAAAGTACTGCGCGAGCTGTTTATTCTCCATTTTGAGGTCGAGCTTGAGATCTGCAAATAATCGAAATTGATTAGCGACACGATGCGTTGGATTGTGTTGATAGAGAGGGGTTGGACTTACCACTCATCTCCATCCGCCACCCCTCACTAACAAACAACCCCAACGCACAAACCCAACACCACAACCGCTCCAACTCCCACTTCCCCAACTCCCCCCTCTCATTGGCAAACAACCGCCTCACGCTCTCCACCAACTGTCCCGGCCAACCTCCCAATTTCTGCCCCATGACTTCCTTCTTGGGCACCTTCTTCCCGCCCCGCCCAGCCGTCTGCAGCACATCATGAAACTCCAGTAAGAGCGTCATATACCGCAACGCTTTCAACTTCTCCATGTCTTCAGACTTGGCTATGCCTTCGACGCGTTTGGCGGGGAAGCGGTGGGAGAAGAGGATTGCTTCGCCCGAGTGTACGGCGTCGAGCCAGTCTTCCGTGGGGATTAGGCGGAGGTCCGAGGCCGGGATGAGGGTGCTGAAGGGGTAGACGTCCTCTACTGTCTCGGCTTGTAGATTCGGGCGGGGGATGGGTTTGGAGGAGAGGAGATCCTGTTCCATCTCCTCTCGGTTGCCAGCAGGGGTGGTGTTCTCGGCGATGGAGTCGAGGATCGCATCTTGGACGTCTGAGGTTTTTCCTTTGCCTTTGGGTGTCGGGGCGATGATGGCGTTGACGGTGCGGCTGTCGAGGATTTTCTGGGCTTTCTTGGTGCCGAATTCGCGGCCCAGGGCTTCGCGTTGGGAGGTGTAGGTTTTGCGTTGTTTGGCTGCTCGGTCGGACGGGGTGGGGTCGTTTTTGCGGGGGATGGCGTGGAGGGTTAGGTGGTGGGAAGGGACTAATTGGAGGGTGCTGGTTGTGGGGTCGAAGATGCCGAGGTAGTGGGTTAGGTGTTGGTCGGTGGTGGACGGAGTGGCGGTGTAGTCTACTCGTTGGTGGTGGGAGGAGTGGAGGGTGAGGTGGTGGGTGGTGGGTTTGGGTAGGTTGCCTGCTGATTTTGTTGATTTTGTGGATTTTGGCTTGGAGTAGGCGTGGAAGGGGAGTGATGGGGTGATGAGGCCTGGCGCAGATAGCTATATTACAAGACTGTCAGCATGTTCGCCGTTTATAGCTTCTCCTGCAACAATGTCTAACATACCAGCACCGGATGTAAGCCCTCGGGTTCAAGATAAGTAACATTCACATCTCCCCCAATCTTCTGGCTCTTGGCCGCCACATCCTCCCTCTCATCCCTCGCCCTCTTTCTCTTCTTCCCGTCAGTTCCAGCCATAATCTACAACAATGCCCAAATCCCCAAATCCTACAATGTCGACAAGGAACGACCTGTCACATGCAAAGCCCGCGCGACAAATTTCCTAGCCCGCTCTTACCCAAACAGGCAACCGCGATTGAGCTCCTTAGCGCCAACGGCCGCGGGATATGCTAAAGTGACATCCCAGCGGTCACCAATCACATCCGCGCCTGACGCGTCTTTAGTCTAAACTCTCTTCTCAAGTGTTTGGTCCCCTGACTCCCCTCACGTGGAGTGGTTGCTGGCATCTCGTGGGTTGTGAGTTGTGACATGGGTGCGGGTGCGGGTGCAGGTTGGCAGAGTTGGCAGACAAGGCAGGCTGGAGCGAGGGGCATCACACTCCGTTCTGCTCTTCAGCCACACATGTTTGCAACTCGAATAATGCTACAATACATGCTTGACTGAGTACACGACGATATCAAGAGCCTTAACGAGATAACGACAGCCCATGACCACCTCTCCTAATAACACCCACCACCACCACCACTTGCATCCCCCTCGCAAACTCCAAGTCCGTCCCACCCTCCATCCAAACCAAGCCGATATCGTCCGTGAAGCCTCTCGCTCCCCGTCACCCTACGATCGGAAACGTCGACCATTGGATAGTAACAACAACAACACCACCTCCACCTACACCACCACCTCCACCGCCACCCCCACCACCCAACCCCCCCCCCCCACACCCACCCCCCCGACACAAATAGCCCGGGATGC